CCAAGAGGTTGTGTCGTTTTTGCGTGTCATTTGTATTTTTAGTCGGGCATGGATATTTGGTCTCTTTTCATAAAGTGCATGGACATTTGGTCTCTTTCGCACAGGTGCAAACCACAAAAATACGATTTGCACTGTGCATGGACATTTTTTGGACATTTTTACGCTTTCGCACAGTGCATTTCGAACCTTTTCCCACGCTTGTCGCCAACGCACCGTGCATGTGGTTTTTTTCCTTTACGCACAGCGCAAACCACAAAAAAGCCGTTTGCACTGTGCCAATTTTTTGGCGCCTCAGCAGTGACGTAGTTGAAATTTGCCGCGCGATATTTCAACTGCACAGTGCGAAGACCAAAACAAAGTGACGCACCGTGCAGATTTTTGAACAATGTCGCAGCGATATTTCAATCGCACCGTGCAGAAAAACCCCAATTTTGCACTGTGCATTTAATTTTTTTTTTTTTTTGATTTGCACGGTGCGAGAAGAGAAAAATGAACTGTGCGCTGGCGACAAGCATGGGAAAAAGTTCAAAATGCACTGTGCGAAAGCGAAAAAATCTGCACAGTGCAAACCACAAAATTCCGTTTGCACTGTGCAAATTCCGCACCGTGCAGAAAAAGCCCAATTTTGCACCGTGCATTTAATTTTTTTTTTGGTTTTGCACTGTGCACCGAAAATATCGCAGCGACGTAGGCCTTTTTCGATTGCGTTGTCGCGCTTTGCCGAAAATTTTGCACAGTGCAAACGGCTTTTCTGTGGTTTGCACTGTGCGAAATGAGAGAAATAAAAATGCACTGTGCGCTGGCAACAAGCGTGGAAAAACGTTCAAAATGCACTGTGCGAAAGCGAAAAAATGTCCATGAACTTTGTGGAAATACTAATATTTGTAAGAGATGTCGGGTTTGTTCTCTGAAAATCATCATATTGACAGACGGAATTAGGGATCTCGTTTGGAAACCGCTTATTTCTGTCGTTTCAGATGTTCGTTTATGACGCACACCGCGATTATTGCAACTTTTCGAGGGGTTTTGCAGGGGTTTATGTCGTAAAATTAGGGGAAGTTTTTTGATAATTTTGCGTATGTCGCCGACACATCCCATAATCTTTGAGACATTCGATATCAGACTGTCGGGAAAATAATGAGCACTCCGTTGCAGCGAAAATAACATCTCCATCGAGAAAATGAGTTGTCGGGGGTAAAACCAGTTTTCGACAGTGTGCTCATTATTTTCCCGACAGTCTGAGGAGCTATTTTCGAGCCCGTACGCCGCGGTCATTACTTCCATTCAACCCACACGGGGTCGTTTTCGTCCGTCCCACCAGTAATCACTGTAATTGCCCTTCTTTTTGATTGAGTACAATCCTTCTAAATGGATTAGAAAGCGTGAGCGTCGGCCCCAAAAATACACTCGGTTTCCCCGCGGAAAACCGCAATTCCTGACCCACTCTTCCGCTGTTTTGTGTCGCGAAATTGCACTCTCGCAAGTGCACGTACAGTTTAATGTTTTGTTTGGGGGCTAGGTTCTACTACGATCCACCACCTGTAATAGCCGTAAATTTAGTGGTCAGCGTGTCAAAACAAATTGTTTTTTTTGCTGTTCAGAGGCCTTGAAAGTGTGGTCAGTGTGACGACTCGGGACTTGTAAATCTTTTGTGTCCAGAAAATGTGTCATGATCACACCGGTGTGTTGTGCCAGTGGTAGAAAAAACGGTTGTATATGGCTAGAGGTACTCCTTAGAGCATGCCAAAAAAATGGGCATTGCAAAGCTTTCGCCGCGGATTGCCAAAGTTTTGAAACAAAAGTTTTTGCTTTAGGAAGTATTCCTAGCCACACACAGCCGTTGTTTTTATTTCTGGCACAGCTTAAACGGGTGTCATGGTGACGGATTTTCTTGACCCAGAAGGATTTATAAGTCCCGAGCCATATACAGCGGGGGACCTGACGCAGTGGCAAAAGACGTACCATTTTGCATCCGGGAAGTACCAAAAATGTGGCAAAATGCTTCCCTCTCCTAGTGAAAAAACTCCGATTTCAAAAGCGCGCCCTCCAAAACGAAGTTTGGGGAGGGAAGCATTTTGCCACATTTTTGATAAATATTTCCCGGATGCAAAATGGTATGTTTTTTGCCACTGGATCAGGTCCCCCACTGTATGTACAATAACATGGAGCATGAGTTGTAAAGATAAATTATGAAAATGTACGATTATGTATTATAGGTTTGTCACAGTCACAAGATACAAACCGCGGCCCAAGACATCTGACTATACCACACTAGAAAGTGATGGGCGATTGTTCAAAAATGGAGCCTTCTTTGTAATGTATTTCGCTCTGTGATGTGCATATGACCCACTCAACAACATTATAGTAATTTTTACATCTATGGCTGACATTTGACAAAGCTACATTCAGCCTCACATGGTGTTTCATTTGTCAAACAACCGTGTGTTTGTGTGATATGTGTGTGAAGGAAATGGGAGATTTTCTCTGCTTCTCACGTTCTCTCTGGTCTTTAAAGATTGCTGAATATTTGGATTGAGCTTGTGAATTGATTGCTGAAATGTTCAGCAAGTCTTTTGTGGCCTACTTTCGCGATATAGGGTCCTAGAAAAAGGATTTTTCGTGGCCCCAAATTCCATCGAAAAAAGATTACTTTTTGCTGCGAAAAAGGCTTTTTGCCATGTGCGGAAATATCGATCTGTCGGGAAAATAATGAGCACAACATCGTTTCAGTCTGTCGGGAAAATAATGAGCACATTGTTGCTGCTCCAATTGCGTCGCTGAAGTGAAAAGCAGTTTGATTTTTCCGCGACACAACTCATTTTCTCGGCCATTTTCCACGCCATATTGTGCTCATTGTTTTACACACTGAGCATCCGACAACTCATACATGGTTTACGGGAGTGAAACTCAAAGAAAACCGAACACTATCCATACAGCATTCGGTATTATGGATATCCGCATGTGTTCTTTGGTGCCTGCACTTTTCTGATCGCCAAATTGCTCGCATACCCCCATCGTATGGCCCCATTGTATGATATTTTGAGCCCTCATCTCGTTCTTGTATCCCGCGTTTCCAGTTCTCGGTTCTCCGGCATGTTCATGCATGTCGGATCCCCGCCATTTACACCCGTCGTTTCGGGGCCGGCGCGCTACCTGCCCATCCCCTCCCTTAAAAGTGCGGCATCCGGCCATTTCGACGCCCCCTGGCCCCAATTTGCGGGCTCCGCTGAATGGGAATGTTTTCTGCGAACAGGAACCGCTCCATACACAACCATTATACATCGGCGGGGCCGGAGACATCATTCATATGGCCGGGATCGTCGGGTATTTTCGGGTGGGGGGGAACGGCGGAGAGGTCGGCCGGCTACGGTAGGCGGCGCTGAAGATGTGTGTTGAGGTGGAGTGGACGGCTGAGAGGGAGTCGAGGGCTCAAAGTCGTTGATTTGACATTGATACTGATATAAAAGTGGGGTGGGCTTATGTTGTGCTAGACGCCGGCTTTATCAGTCTGGCGGGAAAATAGTGAGAAAGAACTACTCTGTTGCATCGAAGATCACGTCGCCGCGGAGAAAATCAAATTGTTTTGCGGCAAAATCAAATTGCTTTTCACCTCAGCGATCGGCGCAGCGACATTGTGCTCATTATTTTCCCGATATAATGAGACTGATACAAAAGGTTTATTTTGTTGATGTAATGTGGATATTAAGGATTACGCTAGCTTTAAGTTTGAGTCATCACGGCTAGAATCATTTTATTGTGGTATTGTTATATTGTTTTTATCATTTTTAGTCTTATTTAAGTTTGATTTTCGATTTAAGTAACCTTATCCTCCTCTGTTGAGACCTAAGGTGGCTTTATCCTGCGGTTTTAACAACTTTGCGACCCCTTACAGCAGACATATGTAATCATCACATCCCACCCCGATCCAACTATTTATATATCAGTATGTCGGGAAAATAATGAACATATTGTCGCTGTGCCGATCCTGTCGCTGTAAAAAAACCATTTCATTTTTCCGCGACACAATTTATTTTCACGGCGGCGATTCGATTACCGATCTCATAGAGTGATTATTATTTTCCCGACAGACAAGTATTACTGCTTAATTATTTCCTTGTCTGCCACCAATTTCGTTACCCAATCTCTAATCGACTCAGAAAGCAACTTCCCCAATCCCGAAGACACCGCTCGTTTCGCGGAATCAATGTAAAATCAATTATCCCGCTGGCATCAACATCACATAACCTTAATCTCTTCTTAAAACCGCTGACGTCTCCGGATTTTTTGGCTACGTAAATCAATTTGTGTTTTTTGCCGCTCTTTTTATAGGCCGTGTTTTATAGGCTATTTCCACGTGTTTTTGGGGTGGTAGAGACAAAGATTCGTTAATTTTGGGGAGATGTCAGTGTGTCGGGAAAATAATGAGCAGATTGTCGCTGCGCCGATCGTGTCGATGAAGTGACAAGTAATTTGATTTTGCCGCGACAGAATTTGTTTGCTCTGTGGCGATGCGAATTTCGATGCGACAGAGTGCTCATTATTTTCCCAACAGACTGATATTAGCTGTTATATACCTACTAGAGTATTTTTCGCCGTATGACAATTTTAAAACGATGAAAAGATAGGATTTTTGTAATTTTAGCCATTTTCAGGGAGCCACCCTACTTTAGACGTTTCCAGCTCCTTCCACATTTCATTCCCACTCTATTCAAACCTTGGAGACCATAGAAGACACATCCAACTACAACACTGGTCATTTCCGGATTCCCAGCACCTCAAGTTGCGACCATTCCCTGCCCACATAACCGACCGAACATTGGCGCCGCCGAGTCGCCGCAGCCGCGCCACTGAGGGCGCGCGGAGATGCCCAGCGCCGTTGTGAATGCGGACGAACCGAGTACGTCGGCCGCCGATTCCACACGCCCTCCCCGCCCCATCAGCCGCCGCCGCTGCTGCCGCCGGAGCGTAGACGCGGCGACGGTGTCGCGCGGCGCCGCCACATGGCGCCCGCCGGTGCGATGGCCCCGACGCGGGCCAACCGAACCGCCGACCTGTCGGGCCTGCTGCTGGAGCAGGCCCACGAGCTGTTCGCGGAAGCGCTCACTTCCACCGTGCCCAGCACGCCGCTGGCAACCGCCGCGCCCTCGCCCTTCGACACCACACTGCCGCCGGAGCCGGTGGTGGAGAGGACGGCCGCGATGTTCGTGTACGCCCTGTTCCTGGTCCTGATCCCCACGGCCACCATCCTCGGCAACGCGCTGGTCATCCTGTCGGTGCTGCGGTTCAAGGCGTTGCATTCGGCCATCAATTTTTTGATTCTCGGCCTCGCGGTGGCCGACCTTTTCGTCGCCGTGTTTGTGATGCCCTACGCGGTTTATGTATATGTGAGTTGTGCAAGCCTATGTATATCGGTCTGTCGGGGAAATAATGAGCAAAAGTCACCGGTCGATCGCTGAACACAACTCATTTTCTCATCGGCGATGCGATCTTTGATACGAAAAGGTGTTCATAATTTTCCCGACAGACTGATATGCAGCTTGATGTCTACAAACCTCCATGTGCCACAAAAATAAAATTCAAATTGCAGATACAAGGTGGTAACTGGTTCCTCGGCAATCTGATGTGTGATATTTACAATGCAAGTGATGTCGCTTGCAGCACAGCCTCGATATTCCTGTTGGCGGTGATATCTTTCGACAGATATCGTGCAGTCAGCCGGCCTATTCAGTATTCGCGACAATCGCAGAATATCCGACGAGTCATTGTGATCCTAGTGCTCATCTGGGTCGTATCGCTTGCGCTGGCCTCGCCGATCGTTCTGGGTAAGAAAAAGTGTGATTTCACATTAAATTATCGACATCTCTCTAATTTGTTTTAAACGTGTTCAGCTTTTGAGGCAGTCTTGGCCATGGATAATATAAAAACGATATTATTTTAGGTCTAAATCATCGGCCGCCGGACGCTTCGCCCTACGAATGCCGCTTCTACAATCCCGAGTTCTCGGTGGGCTCCTCCATCGTCTCGTTCATCGTCCCGTGCATCATTGTCCTGTTCGTCTACATCCGAATCATGATGGCGTTGAGGAAGCGGGAGAAGGCGGCCAAAATGCGAAGATTGGCTAGTCAACAACAAGACAAGTACGTCCACGACAAAAAATATTCAGTTCTCAGTCTGTCGGGAAAATATTGAGCAATCTCTCGCATCAACAATCGCATTGCTGCTGATAAAATCAATTGTGTCGCGGCAAAATCGAATTGTTTTTCACTTCAGCGACACGATCGGCGCAGTGACATTGCGCACATCATTTTCCCGACAAGTTGATGCTAATCCGTTCGTAAAGTCTCTGAACTGATTTAGGCAACGTTACACTGTGCAGAAAAAGTCAGGGTTTTAGCAACAGCCCAAAAAAACCCTATTGCACTGTGCAAAAAGCCAATGCACAGTGCAAGGCGGATGTTTTGTTTGCTCACAGTGCATGTCGCCAGAATCACTGTATTGACTTTGCTCATGATTCAGAGGCTTTACGAACGGACTAGTATCAACTTGTCGGGAAAATAATGTGCACAATGTCGCTGCGTCGATTGTGTCGCTGAAGTGAAAGCGATTTGATTTTGCCGCGACACAATTCTTTTTTTCGTCTGCGATGATGTCATTTTTGATGCCACAGAAAGCTGATTATTTTCCCACGGGCTGATAGTAGTGTCTACCAGTCCTTCCGGAAACTCGGCAGAGTGATTTTTGGCGTTTGCGATATGCGAAAAAACTCAAGGTGCGAGCGACAGCCCAAAAGAGAAAAAAAATTTTCTTTGCACTACTGCACAGTGCAAAGAAGGCTCTTGTTTTCTCACAGTCCAAGTTTCAGTCCGGTGAATTTCCGGAAGGACTAGTGGCACCTAAACTGTTGAGAAATCCTGTTTTTTCAAACCCTCAACCCCCATTTTTCAGCCGAAACGACGGCTCGACCGACGAAGTGGACGCCGGACAAATTGTCGCCGCTCCAGGTAGGCCAGTCCGTCCCCGGTTTTTTTCCGAATCTTTTGTCGGTTTCCGAAATTTGTTTACACGTTTGCTCTCCCGAGATCTCAACAACATTTCTGTTATATTTACTTGGTCTGAAGTGTCTCCGTTTTCCTCGTCAACAATGGCACTGTGCGAGAATTTCAGAAATGGGGGAGACGTTCGCGGTCAAACAGGCGGAAAGGAAATTACATGGGATCATTAGCGCTATGATGGAGTAGGGGGTGCTTCGTCAAAAATTTGAATGGATCTCCTGATAGATTACCGACGTACTGCTCGTTTCGGATAAACGACCTTTTTCGAATTACATTTGAATAATAGATGGAGCGTTTAGAGCGCATTTTTTTGATGATGAAATTTGGGCAATTACCGTAAATTTTGGGTGAGTCAGAAAGCGAAGATTAAATTTTTGGAAATTTACGTAATATTTTTTACTGTTCTAAAATTTGCATATTTTATTTCTCTGAGATTTACATAAAAATTTTTGAAAAATAAATTGCATAAATTTTTTTCTTGTTCAAAAATAAGCATAAAATTAGTTAAAAAGATTACGTAAAAATTTTTTATCGTCCAAAAATTTAAATAAAATTCAAATTAACGCCCAAAAATTTGCATATCTTTGATTTTCAAAAATTTGCATAAACTTTTTAATTGATCAAAAATAAGCAGAAAATTAGTTAAAAAGATTACGTAAAAATTTTTTATCATCCAAAAATTTGCATAAAATTCAAATTAATGCCCAAAAATTTGCATATCTTTGATTTTCAAAAATTTGCATAAAATTTTTAATTGCCCAAAAATTAACATAAAATCCGAATTTGCTCTCCAAAAATTTGCATAAACCCTTTTTCGCCTCAAAAACACTTTCATAAAACCTCAAAAATTCAAAATCAATGTTCTAACAACGCACTGCCATTGTCTTCTTCTCGTATCTCCTCACCATTTCCATGTTGCCGTGTCGCACCGTTTTCTCGGATATTTTTTCATTTTTTCGAATTTTTCATTGCCGTTTTTCGCACCGCACTCCGTTTTCACAATGTTCTTTTTTTGGAAGCACCGTTTTAACTTTTTGGTTTTTTTGGGTTGCGCGTAAATTGCAGCGAGCTGTTCATGGCCAGAACGAAATTTGGAGTCTGTAAGTTACATGAGAAGGATTCTGGAAAGGGAAATTCATGCACTCGAAATTCTTAATAATGCAAAATAATTGCAAAATTATGATGTTTCAGTCTCAATTTTCAATTCTGCCTCTAACTGTCTGCTTATATTATGATTACAAATTAATTTTTTCTTCTTCAAATTTCCGATTTTGTCACTAGTCCGTTCGTAAAGCCGCTGGAGTAGTGATTTTTGACGTTTGCACTACAGAAAAGTCAGGGTGCGAGCGACAGCTCAAAAAAGCCTATTGCACGGTGCAAAAAGCAAGAAATTGCACCGTGCAAAGGGAATTTTAGTCTCCTCACCGTGCATGTCGCCGAAATCACTCCAGCGACTTCAACGGTCCAGCAATTCCCATAACAAACCCAAAAAATTTGTCATCATGAAATTTCCTGCCGCTTTTCTCTCCTCTCCTCTCTGTCTGCTCACTGCAGCAAGTTTTCGTTGCAGCCGTCAACCTGCTGATGCTGGCCCTGCCCTCCATGCAACGTCGGATGCGCCGCTTCGAGCGCCACCGGAGCGCCCTCCAACAAGCAGGCGAGTTGTTCAAGGTGCAGGCCTGGATGCGGCCCATGGTGCGGCGGCATGGCGCGAAGAAGGGCGGTGAGCACGCCAAGCGTGCGGAGCTGCCGCAGCCCGACCCCGCAACGCGCAACCCGCTCCCCGCGCTTACGCTCGCAGCGCCCGCGAAGAAGCTGAGCACGCGCGCGCCCAGCAGCGTCCTGTCCAGCCAGAGCGCGCTGCTGCAGATGGCGGAGATGTCGACGAACGCGGTCGGCGTCGCCACCCTCGACCCGGAAGCGGCCGCCACCCAACAACAGTCGGTGAGAAGGTGCAGATTCGCGGATGAGCAGAATGTCAAAGAGTACGAGGTGGAGGAGGCGTCGGAGCAGGAGGAAAACGAAGAGGAGGACGAGAGCGACGAGGACGAGAGCGACTCCGACGACAGCATGGACGAGTTCCATGCGTCGGCGCGGAACCTTTTCGCGAGGGTTGGCTGTGGCGTTGCCAACATGTCGAAGCTCACGGATGCCGCGATTAGTGTGATCGGCGCGCGGCCCAGGTTGTCGTTGGCTGAACCCACGCTGCGAAAGCTAATTCCTCCGTCGAGACGGACCCTGCAAACGCCTGAAACTCCGAACCGACGAAAGTCCGGCATTCCCCAATTCGAGCCCATCGAGGTGTGTTCGCCGCAAACCCTGGGATTGGCGTCGTTGATGCCGCTGCTGGCAACAGGCTCTCTACGACGCTGCAGCGACTCCGTTTCGCAAATGAGAACCAATTCCTGTCGAGTACCCAGCCCCAACCAACTGTCCCCGAACGATATTGACTTGAAACGACAGGCCTTGCGGCCTTCCAGTGCCAATCCGCTGAGCCCACCGTCAGTGGGAAGCACAATGACTCCAAGACCGACACCCACCGGCAGCTTCATATCAAGAGAAGGGTCGTCGCCGGAGGTGCCGGATCGACCGCTAGTAGAGGACGAGCAAGTCGTTGATCATGTTAGATTCCACATGTCCGAGAACGAGGAAGGTCTTGTGGAATTCAAGTGCGAAGAGTATGTTGCAACTGAAGCGGAAGAAGAAGTGGTGGCTGAAGAAGAAAAAGGGAGGGTTCTTGAGGAGAGTCTAGACGAACAAGACGCAGAGACTCACCAAGAATATAAAGAACAGTTAGAAGATGAAGAAAACGCTTCAGAAACGGAAGAAGAAGAAGACCTTTCGCCACGCGCATTTTCCGACGAACGCGTTCGCCGTCTCATCGACGACGATGAGAAGAAGCTCAGCCACGACTCCACTCATCTACAGGCGAGTGAAGCGCTCGTCATCCTTAGAGACCATCATTCCCCGGCTCCTTCAACAAACCTCCCAAGCACTCTTGAGATGACGGCCAAAAAACGTGACCCGCAAATTGAGGGTGCTCAAGAGCTCAAGTCGCCTGCTTGTGACATGAGCCATTCCACGTCCAACGACCGTACCACCATCGAGACGCCGTCCAGCTACGAGCCGGAGGAGGAGGAGCCGAACGGCTTGAAGTTGAGTGCGCGCTCGGCGCAACGCCATCGCGAAGAGATCTGGAAGGCGAGGATGGTCTTCTTCCAAACGGGCCCGCAGCCCATCCTCAACGCGCGGAGTCCGTTGATGTTGCGGCGGTTCGTCTGCGACCCGCTTAATGATCCGCTTGAAGAAAGAGAGAGGCTGCTGAAGCTAGTCGATAACTCCACTCGTCACTCTGTCGATGACGCCTCGAACACACTCAGACATAGCGACACAAGTACGTAGAGGTCGTATAGCCGTCTAACCGCCGGATGTTGCATAATAACCGTCGTCGTATCGGAAATATATTGCTTAACATTGACATTAACCCCTCGGCGCTCTCTATTGTTTCGTGAACTCTCTATTGTGGCTTGAATTTATTTGCAAGGGAAGGTCAGCGCGATTAAACATATAACAAGGTATATAGGGTGCTAAAATTGGCTTGATGTGGTGTGCATAGTCTGAGTGTTTGACGTGTTGTGCTGTGACTAACCCTCACCGAACGAATGCGCAATCTTGCACGTGGCCTTTGAAGTGGGCACTTGGCAGAAAACGGGTCTCAAGTGGAATCAACGACTATACAAGACAAAGATCACCGTACATCGAAAATATCACCATGGCATTCCAAGAGATCCAACATTTATCCACCAATTATTCGCTTGCGGTGTCGCACCAGAATTTTTTTCGTTTTGTTTGCCGTGTCCTCCCCCCGCACTCACACAATTAACACCACTTTCAGCGTAGTCCGCCGTGCGATGTCGTCCGCAACTTTTTGTCCACAGGTTTCCGGGTATCAAGTAATAACAGCGCTCTTTCAGACGACCACGACGTTGGGAACTCGTCAAGTCCGCTGAGTTCGAGCGACTCGTTGTCAGACAATATACACGTTGTCACGAATGACTTTGTTTCGGAGGCGCCCACTTCTATGTCAAGGTAATAAATTTAGTATTCGGCTAGTATCAGGTCTGTTATTAGCCTGTCTAGAAAATAATGTGGATTTGGCGGCCCTTGGAATGGCCTGTCATCGCTTTGTGACAGCTTGGGAATTTGGTGCGCAAAGAGACATTAGACTTTGGTCGATCCACAATATTTCCCCGACAGACTAATGTTATAATAGTATCGTTGATGATAAACTGAGTATCTGGTAGCTTTCAGAATCAAAAACAAAAATTTTTATTTTTAGAAAGTCCAGTGAGTACGAGTCGCAACACACGAACGGCACGCATCCCGGCCACCCTCACAACACATATCACAGCCGCAATCGGCGGCTTTCCCGTGAATCCTCGTTGCTACGGTAAGGCAGTCATCGAACAAAGTCGGCCGTGTCTTGTATCAGTCTGTCGGGAAAATAATGGGCACTCAGTCGCATAGAAAACCGCATCGCTGCCGAGAAAATGAATAGTGCCGTGGCAAAACCAAATTGCTTTTTTTTTACTTCAGATACGCGATTGGTAGAGCGACACTGTGCTCATTATTTTCCCCACAGATTGTATGGACCTTCTAATTTTTCATGTCCATTTTTAGAAACCCAATGAAGCGATTCAAAAGCTTGCACGTCTCTCCTCGCAACATTGCACTGCCCACGGTTGACATTGCTCGCCCCGCCGACATTTGGCGTCATTTCTCGCGCCGCTCCCCTCGAATATTCGGTCCCCAATCCACGCCCAGCCCGAAGATCATGCAAAAGAAGTATTCGTACGCCGAAGAAGGCCTGTTCGGCACGACCACACCGTTGTTGGACGCTGGCCGCAGGAAGAGCGACACGTCGGCGTTCGCTCAAACCCCGCCGAACGGCGCGCCCGAGGGGCTGGGAGCATGGGTAACGGAGGAGGGCGAGCCTCAGAGGAACATCGAGGAGACCGAAGAGGTCGCCGAGCCGCCGAAACTGCCACTGTCGCCGAAATCGCCGGCCAAACGGTTCGAAGGCGCGCTGACGTCCGCCGTGTTGGGAGAGGACATGGATTATGTCGATGTGGACTCGATGCAAGGCAGCCTAACGGGTGCGTACGCCAAGCCTCCGCCAATTGCGCTTTATTCTCAAGAAACTACCTCATCCGCTACTGACCTCAGGTAGGATATTTTGGGTTTGGTCCGAAGAGGGCGTTGGGGCAAGACGACTACTGCTCGAAAAAGGCCACCTGGGCGATGAGGGCTACTGTCGGAAAAGGGGCCTAGGCAAAGAGGGAACCTGGTCGGGGAGTGCATCTGGGCGATGAGGGCTACTGGCCAAAAAGGGGACCTGGGCGATGAGGGCACCTGGTCGAGGAGGGCACCTGGTAAAGCGGGCACCTGGTCTAGAAGGGAACCTAGGCGAATAGGGCAACAAAACCTAGGTGCCCTCTTCACTCATATGCCCTCTTCCCCCAATTACCTTCGTCTCGTCCAACCGATTATTGGGCTAACTTCCCTTTCTGAAAATTGTGTATGACCTAAAATGACCCTGTGACATCGAATTCCACTGCTACACAACTAATAACACCCGGTTTTAGGGAAGAAAAAATTCAAGAAGCTGCGATAGAAGAGGAGCCCGCAAATCCCCCCAATATGGTTTCCAACGACGAGCACAGCGCCCTCAACGATGCGACGATTGCGACCGATTCCGGGCTCGGCCCCGACTCCCGGGAGCACAACGAAGTCGTCATCACCAACTTGAATGCCATGGAAGCGGCGGAAACGCCGAGAAAGATCTCCAAATCGAAGAGACATGAAGAGGTAGGGAGAGAAGAAGACTACCCGTTTTGTCTCGGGAAGTAGTAAAAAATCGGTCGTATATGAGTTGCGATGACAATTAAATTAAGCGATTTGAATTCCAGGCCGGCTCACCCACCGTAACCTTCAAGATCCCCGGAAAACACCGCGAGAAATCGTCGAGGAACGACCGGCCAATGAAACGTCTCTCATCGGCTGCGCAGATCTACGAAAACAAGCGGACGGTGGACAAAAATGTGGATCAAGGTAAGCCAAATGCGTCCAAAGCAACAACAACCCATTTAGAAGCCGATTTGAAGCACAAACGAAGCTTCTCCCAACGCCTTCGAGGCTCGCTTGGCGCTGTGGTTGGACCCACAAACTCCCGCTCCGAGCATTCGATGGACAGCTGCTACTCGTCCAGCCAATCGCAGGGCACCAATACCACGGTGGGCGCGGGAAATTCGAGCGGCTCAAAGGAGTCGAAGAAGGGCAAAGTCCTGGCCAACTCCAAGGCCAACGGAAGCACCACCGAGCTGGCTGTGCGCATGGTGAAGAAGGCGATCAATCGCAAGGAGTCGAGCCTCAAAAGAAAGGTCAATAAGGCTCAACGGAAGGAAAAACGGGCCACAAAAACCTTGGGAATCGTTGTGGGTGAGTTGGAGATCAAGATAGTATTATTAGAATTTTCACAAAGTGCATGGAAATTTATCGCTAGCGCCAGGAATTCGCACAGTGCAAACGGAATTTTTGGTGTTTTGCACGGTGCGAAAACGGAAAAATAAAGATGCACTGTGCGTTGGCGACAAGTGTGAGAAAACGCTCAAAAAGGACTTTCATGAAGTGCATGGGCATTTACCGCGCCCCGCACCGTGCAAAAAATCCACCCATTCTGCACCCGCATTCCAAATTTCGTTTGGTTTTTGCACTGTGCGGCGAAAATCGCTGAACTTGCACAGTGCAAACGGCTTTTCTTGGAGCTTGCACGGTGCGGAAAAAGGAAAATGCACTGTGCGTTAGCGTCAAGCGTGGGAAAAGGCTCAAAATGCACTTTCATGAAGTGCATGGACATGTGTCTCGCCCCGCACCGTGCATTCCACCTTTTGTTTTCTTTTGCACTGTGCGGCAAAATATCGCTGGCGACAGGAATTTGCACAGTGCAAACGGCTTGTTTGGAAGTTTGCACGGTGCGAAAAGAGGAAAACGCACAGTGCGTTGGCGACAAACGTGGGAAAAGGCTCAAAATCATTGTGCGAAAAACGAAAAAATGTCCATGCACTTTATGAAAATTAATAACAAAATATTTTCAAATTTCAAGCCAAAAATTATCACATGACGTCTAAATCGACCTTATCTTAGGCATCTTCCTCATCTGCTGGGTGCCCTTCTTCTTCATCAACATCCTCAGCGGGATATGCATCAAGTTGAACATAGAGAGTTGCCAAGTCGGGTTCGGCCCCTTCTTCTATGCCACCTGGATCGGGTACATGAACTCGTTCATGAACCCGGTGATCTACACCATCTTCAACACCGAGTTCCGGCGTGCCTTCAAGTCGCTGCTGCTGGGTAAAAGCAACAATCGGAGGAATCGCGGCCATCCCGTCTAGCCGGTTCCTCGAATGCCATTCGTTTTTTTTCTCTTTATCATCCTCATCAGGCATGGTTTTTAATTTCCAAAAAATTTTTTGTTTTGAATTTTCGTTTTCCCGCCAAATTTTCAAATTCTTGGCATTCTGTTTCAAGTCTGAAAAATGCTCCATATACGCTATGAATTCGTATTTTACAATCGCCCAATGAGATTCTTCCAAAAAATTTTTTTTTGTTGCAGAATGCCAAAGTGGCGGGAAACCGAAAATTCAAAAATTTCCGTTTGCCATTTCAACTACCACTGATTTACAGTGCAATTTCAAGACTTGTACAAAGTTTTTTGCGTTCCTATATGCAGCTTCTTGGTCTATATTCTCCGTTGGGTCTCAAGATTCGATCAAAACTCAGCTATTTAATAGATTTTCGACGTTTTCATCGCCTTTAATAAAGTTTTATCAATGACTCAGCCCAAAAATTTTATTTTCCAACAACAATCCGCCATTTTTGGGTTGAAAATCGCTCAAAATCGATAAAATTTTAGCTAAAAACCCGGCAAATTTTCGGGCATGCCTCAGGCAAGTCCGGCGGTGTGCCGCTGAATAAAGTCATTCTTGACAATGTCCTCAACGCGGCCCAGGTTCAGCGCAATGAACTCGTCGGACGCGATGGTGCCCTTGTTGAAGACGTGGACTCCATTGAACTTGACGTCCTTGTACATGAATTCCCAAAGCTTCTCGGCACCCAATTCGACGCATGAGTGGTTGGTGGCGAGCGAAGTCGAGTTTCCCATATAGTATTCGACAAAGCCGTGCTCATGAACGGCCACACAGCCCTGTTGAAGCAGAGCGCCGAGGAGGGCGTTGCTGAAATTAAAAAAAGAGGCAGTGGTCGCAGTGTGACGCTCAGATTTTGAAGAAACTTGGGATAAGTTTAGAGTAATGTCTTCGAAGGCATATAGTAGATCTCTACCTCGCGCTTTGCAGAAATGACCGAGATTTTTCTGCCCAAATATCAGCCAATATTGTCACATTTTTTGCAATTTTTTTTATATAAAACTGCAGCCTTATTCCTACAGTAGTGAGTGATGTTTCCACAAAAAAATAATTTTTTTCAACGTTAAACTGGAAATGGACAAAAAACGTTCTTCTGTCTGGCTGCTCTCTAAATTTTGTGTTCTCCATCCCCTCCCCTCCTCACCTACCCTTTGTAATCTTTCCTGACGCAAACCATCTCGCCATGCGCAACAACTTGACCACCCTCCCTCTTCGGCAAGTAGTGTGGCGTCATATGGATGGCGTAGTAGAGAACGGTCGCCATGAACTTCAAATTCTCGTCGGTCACATTATACGCGGTGCAGGCTTTCTCTTTCACTGCAAGGAACTCGTCAACAACGTTGATTTACTTACAAAATTCAAGGTCATCAACATCCCTGGGTGATGCATAGGTCTTCTCGTCGAATCGGTCCATATTCATCAGATGATAACCGACCAACTCATCGCCGTCGAAGGCCAAGGTGGTGTAGGGGAAATGGAGGCAGGTCTCGATGATTGGAAGGAGAAGCTGGTCATAGAACACCTGGGGATCAACACCTAAAATTAGCAATAAGTTTGTGACCAAGGTTTCACTATACAGTGCGTCCCAGGTTTTTGGTTCCACCCCATTTTTTGATCATATCTCTGGGGTTTTTTTCTCAAATGCCATGAAATTTTACACAAGTGTTAACCAACCTTTTAGAATAAGCTATGCGAAGTTTCATCCCAATTGGCTTCAGTACTCTGACGTTATGGCGATTTATTTAAAATTTTGGGTGTCCCAGGTTTTTGGTTCCACGTGGAAATTTGCGAGTTTTTTGGTCCGGTTTTGAACCAACCTGCTCTTAATACTATTCATCTTGTTCTCTGTAGTATTAGAAAGGGTATTACATTCGTATCTGCCGTACTTTTTCGACGGAGTGGCGCTATGAGCCATCTCCGACCTTGTACATGAGATAAAGATTGGTTCTGAAAAAAATGTCTGTCAGGCTGTTTTTTGGGCATTAAACTTGCCAATGCTGTTAAATTATACAGTGTGCATCTACTTAATGAAAAAAGTAGCTTGCTCAATGATCTCGAGTATTTTCTTGGCATATCATCTTCAACAAGTAGCTACCGTAACACTTTATACCCCGAATTACCAAGAGGAATGGACGAGAATCACAAAATTTGATATGCAAATTTGAACGCAGCGTGCCTGAAAACGTAATGCTACAATCATTAGCCGTTTCAGAATAAATCGGGTCTGTAAAGTTCGTTCTACAAAACAGTTCCGAAAAATAGGCCAAAATAGGCTTGCTTTTACCCATTTATCCTTGAACCAACCACCTGCGGCAGATAGAACATTTAAAGGGCCTGTACAGCTACTTTGAAAAGCGATTTTCTCGGCTTGGGGTGGCGTTCTGATATAACGTTTGTTTTCGTGGTGGAACGCACTGACAAATTCGGTGCGACTTTTTTTGATCCAAGATGAAGAATATTAGGTGTATAACGTACATTATTCAGCGTTATATAGCTCCAATTTGTTGTTTTTATGTGGAGAATGGGTAAGTCGTTGTTTTGAAAAAATTTTGTGTGGATTTTTAGAGATTTTTGATGTTGGGGATGCATTTTGAAGCATTTGGGATAAATTATAAGATAAAATAGGTTTTATGAGGTGGAAGGAAGGTAAATTTGTTCTAGAAGGTTTTGCTTGTGAGTGGGTGAAGTTATTTTGAAATACGCTACATTAATTTTGACAGATTGATGGATTTTTGATATTATTTTAGGTAAAACTTGTTGTTGCGGAAGAGCCATCAAAGCTCACTCTTGATAAGTTGAAGTCTGGGCAACGGCATACCAAGCATGAGTTCAAGACGTACCAGGTCAACGAGGATGGTAACCAGAAAAGTCTCCAAAATCCCGTTCCCTTACACAAAGACAGCGAGGAAGGTGGAATGTGAAAGCCGAAAAACGCGTTGCTCCCATTGTAAGTTCATTTGAGAATATTTTCTTTGGCTTTTAGGAACTTCATGAAAGGTTTGAAGGAGCACAAATAACTTTTTTGAGGTAAAGTTATATTACACTATCATTTCAGAAGTGCAAACGATCAATTCCATATTCAACGATCCCAACTTTCGTGAAAGCCGCTAAGAACACCGCTTCAACGACTGCTGTTTTGAGTACCTTTCTAGTTAATTACCCACGTATTAAACTTGATTTATTTATTGTTCAAATTCTTGAAAAAGTCTGCATAATACAGAAAATGGCTGCATCTTCTCCATTGCCGGTTCTAATCAATTTTGCTGGAATCCACAGCGGTTCTGATCCCTTGAGCACCTCGGTTTCTTCAGTCAGACGACGTTCGGGCAACGGGAATTCTGCCTGGAAAACAAAGACAAACATGAACAATACAATGTGAAAATTAAAGTCAGATGGAATAAAAAACATTAAATAAAAGTCCCGAATAAAGCTGCAGGTCTATAAAACCTAATTGTGAAGGCCATAAAACCTAATTGTCAGGGTATATACGCAACATTACGACGCATTTTCCACTTATTTCTACCTAAAATAATATCAAAAATACATCAAATGTCAAAAACAATGTAGCGTATTTCAAAATAACTTCACCCACTCATAAGCAAAACCTTCTAGAACAAGTTTACCTTCCTTTCACCTCATAAAACCTATTTTATCTTATAACTTATCCCAGAGGCTTAAAAAGGCATCCCCAACATAAAAATGTCTAAAAAACCACACAAAATTTTTTCAAAACACCGACTTACCCATTCTCCACATAAAAACAACAAATTGGCGCCATATGACACTGAATAAAGTACGTTATACACCTAATATTCTTCATCTTGGATCAAAAAAAGTCGCACCGAATTTGTCAGTGCGTTCCACCACGAAAACAAACGTTATATCAGAACGCCACCCCAAGCCGAGAAAATCGCTTTTCAAAGTAGCTGTACAGGCCCTTTAAGCAAGAAATAGGATGCAGCTATAGGTTTGTTAACATGCTGAGTTTGATTTTCGGGGCAAAAAGTTCCCATAGATAGTAATTTTCTGTACTTTTAGGACCTCTGAAGGTTACTGTAGAATGTAAACGGTAGCTTAAATGACTTAAAAGGTCGATTAAACTACTTCAAACAAATCGGTATCGGTGTAGTTTTACATCTTGCATTTGCTACATTTGCTACAAGTAGTCTAAGTTGTTTCTTGCCGGAAATAAATCACTAATCGGAATTTTTTTTAAAACCAATGTTTACCTGATGTACAAGGTCGGAGATGGCTCGTGGGGCCACTGCGTCGATAAAGTACGGTAGATCCGAATGTAATACCCTTTCTAATACTACAGAGAACACGAGGAATGGTATTAAGAGCAGGCTGGTTCAAAACCGGACCAAAAACTCGCAAATTTCCAAGTGGAACCAAAAACCTGGGACACCCAAAATTTTAAAAAATCGCCATAACGTCAGAGTACTGAAGTCAAATCGGATGAAACTTTGCATAGCGTATTCTCAAAGGTTGGTTAACACTTGTGTAAAATTTCATGGCATTTGAGAAAAAACCCCCCGAGATATGATCAAAAAATGGGGTGGAACCAAAAACCTGGGACGCACTGTATGTTGCGGCAGAACTCTCCCCCAATCTGAACTCTCCCCCTTCTGAACTCTCCCCCATTTTGAACACTCCCTTCGTTGTGAAAATTGAAAAAATGAGGTGTGACATGTTATACGATGAAAATTTTTTTTTCAAATTGAGAAAATGAGGTGTGGCATGTCATACGATGGAATTTTTTTCAAATTGAAAAGAATAAGGTGTGACATGTTATACGATAAATTTTTTTTTTCAAATTGAAAAAAAATGAGGTGTGACATGTTATACGGTGGAAATTTTGGAAATTTAGGTATGACATATCACCTAATTCTTCTCCTAATTTTTTCAATTTGAAAAAAATTACCACCGTAAAAGATGTCACACCTAATTTTTTTTAATTTGTAAAAAATTTCCATTGTATAACATGTCACACCTCGTTTTTTTCAATTTTCAAAATGGAGAAGTGTTCAAAAAAGGAGAGTTCAGAGTTTTTGGTGAAAATCAAAAAAGGGAAGGAGTTCAGGCTCAACCTTCACAATATACGATCCTTATACGAAATTTTTTACCATGCTCTTTCCGATAATAACCAAGATATTGGTAAGAAATATTATACAATGACTGGCCAAAGGACAAAAATTCTTCAAAAAATGGGCTGGGCGCGAGCCGCGGAGGACATTTTATACTGCTCGGCACAAAAAGCCCTGCAAATTTACTAGTCTTTCCAGAAAGTGGGTAGTTTCGATGCGACAGAGAGCTTGTTATTTTCCCGACACACTGATACTACACTCTGTGCAGTTGCCTTGTAAAATAAACCGTCATTTCTCGAAAATTCCCAATTTTTGAGTACTCACGGCACACTTACCAACCCCGTGCGCAGATCGTTCCAAGGGCGCAAAGTGAGTGTGGGTAAATTTGTTGATCATCTCCAAATCACTGTACTCCGCCAACTCGATCCGAACACTCCTTCCCGGCTTGGCCTTGAGCGGAAATTTCGGGAGAAGGACTCGGCGCGCTTTTGCCACTGGACTAGAAAGCGATAGGAAGCGACGCTGGCTAAGACCGGCGAGCAGTTTGGTTGGAAAGACACTAAAAAAACGTGGATAAGTGGCCGGAGGGTCGGTAAAATCATTACGAACTACGGGCTGTAAATCGCAAATACCGAATCATTGTTGATGACGTAGCACACGGGAAAGGAGGACCACCGAGAGAACAAAAGGGGAATTGATTTGCGGGAAAATGCCCTCAAAATTTGCATAATTTTGGGCGTCTTTTGAATGCTTTTTTTCACGTTTCGGTCGAAAAAAGGAAAAATCAAGTAGCACAAAATATTGGATTTTTTTAATGGAAACACTACCCTCTATAGTGTAAAACGATACGAAACTTTTCATCCCAAAATTTGCAAAAGAAATCCAGCATATTTTTAAAAAAAGTGATAAAAAATTTTTCTGACAGAGGAAGTACTCCAAGTGCGACGCTCAGATTTTTATGAACCTTGGCATAAATTTAGAATAATTTTTTCTAAGCTATATGCGAGAATCCTAGCTCGCGCTGTGCAGAAACAACCGAGATTTTTAGATCGAAAGTCGGCGAAAATTTTGGACTTTTTGCCGAATTTCGGCACCAAAATTTTCATGCCTATTTCTACCGTAAAGGATAATGTTTCTGCAAAAAACCAAACTTTTCCGCACGAAACTGCTAAAGTTATGGCCAAAAAGCGCTTTTTTCTCTGACCGCTCTCCACGGTTAGCGTACTTTCTCGGCGGCAAAAATCGTTCGATATCTCGGCGGCGCCCGAAAAGCGCGAGCTAAAACTTTCAGGAATTGATATTTAGTCCATACCCGACGTGTGGGCAAAATTTAAAGAAAATCTGAGCGTCGCACTTGACGCAGTTCCCCTGTTAGCCAACAGACCGAGTCACTCTTACCTTTGCATTATTTTGCTGACACAGTTTTAGATTTGTTCTGTTCAGCTCGGCCATCTTATATATCAGACGTAAATAGAACCTGAAAGTAAAAAATGCCAGTTCTGAAACACGCTGTGACATTTGAAACCAAAGATTTTGTCTTTACAATCTCGAAACTTAATGATAACAGTTACTAAATTTCGGAAGCCCCTCTTTCCACGTGCGACTGCGATAAAAGTCCAACTTTTACGAGGTCCTTGTCACCCGAAAAGTTTTGGTCGACTCTTGGTAAAAGCCCCTTCGCCACGGCAAGGCGGTCGATCTTCGAAGAGGAAATTCCTTTTTTGCCCGGAGGCGGGGAAAAGAACAACCCCAGAAAGCACTGAAACCCGGCGTTCAGTGAGAGACTGAAGAGACTTTGATCTGAATAGACGGACGAGAAATGAGAAAAATAAAGAGAAATAAAAAAAATAAGACAAAATCGGAAAAAATAAAATAAAATAATAAAAATTCACCGGTAAAACATTTTTTATTTAATAAATAATTTTTTTGGATTTTTTTGTTTTTTATTCTAAATTAAAAAAATGATAAAAAAGAATTTTTTTGGTTTTTTTTATTTTTTTTAAAATATTTTTTTTTGTTTTTTTTTATTTTTATAATTAAAAATTTTCTAAAAAAAAACCCTTAATAGTTGTCGAAACCCGCTAAGACTTCGTCCCAATTATCTTCGGCCAGTTTGGCCTCCGAATTCTCGGGCGCAGCTCGGGCCTCTTCCGCCGGTTCAGTGCCAGCAATTTGCATGGCATCTTGCAAGAAGTCCTCGCTTGGAGTCTCCAAACACGCCTCCAAGCTCGGACTCTGCTCAATTTGCCCCGAGGGCATATTATTTCCATTTACAAAATTGTTACAGTACCCCTCAGGGATCACTGGATAACAGTAACCCATCTGCGGATAATAGTTTGCTGATGTGTTACTGTAATCCCATGATCCCTGAGGGTTACTGTAATAGTTTTGCGATGGCAAACAATAGTTGCCCGAGGCAAATTGAGCCTGGCTCTGGGCAGGGGCACTATATGCTCCCTGAATATCCAAGTTTTGGCTTGGATATCCAGCGTGCATATATTGCCCATGCCCCAAGCCACTTGCAAATTCAGCCGAAGGGGACCCCTCCCAGCTACCGTACCCCTCACTTACCTCTGTTAACTTACGTGGCCTTCCTGGCTTCTTTGGCTTGTCTTCCTTCTGGCTCTTCTTACTTCTGGCCCGGTGGTTCGCGAAGTACACCTTTATGGTTTTCTCCGGCAGACCAGTCGCTTCTACCAGCTGCGACATTCGCGAGCCTATCTCTTGGTCTTCCGCGAACGCCGCAGCCAGTGTCTGCTCCTGTTCTTGCGACCACTTGGTGCGGGCCCATCTCTTCTCCTTCTTCTTCTCCACTCTTCCGCTTTGGACTCGGCCAATCCCTCCTAAATTCAAATTTGAAGCCAAGTCGGCCTCCACGACAAAATTACCCTCAGGCAGTAAAACTGGGACTGGTCCTGGCCATCCCGAGGAGGTAGCCTGGACCACTGAGGGGTCATAAATCGTGGGGACATAAGAAAAGGTGGGGTAATTAACGTTGAACATAATGAATTCAAAAAAATCAAGAAGACTTGAAAAAAATTCAAATCACCGCACAGCAAACTGCGAAATCAAAGAATAAGCCTATAGGCGCCGAGTTTCGACCACTGCGCAAATTTCTGTCCACGTGCCACGCCCCTATCTGACTAATTATTACGCAGAAACAGGCGTTGCGCAGAAATTTTAGGCTTATTTTCTTGCGCAATAGCACGCTTTCGATTTGAATTTTTTTCTGTGCTTCCTTCTTGGAATTTCGAAAATGGCCTTGAGGAATAAAATCCATTTTTATTAGTTATAAGCTAGTTGTGTGGCATTTACAGCCCTTTCAAAGGGTTGATGACATTTCTTAGCCAAGTACAATATAATAACCAAAAAGTGTTCAAAATCCTTACCTTTCCCGGATTTTCTACTCCGAATTTTTTTATCCTTTGGTTTACTTTTACGAAATGCCAGTTGTAATACAGAAACATCATTTATTTCTTATTAAACGTAAAAAACATTAAGAATAACAATTCAGATGACCAAGTGTAATATTTTCTTGTTTTCTTCAACTTCTGGGCTTGGATCGGTGGCGTTGGCGATGGCATCGGAGTCTGAAAGCAACATAAATTATTAAAACACGATTTTTGAGTCACTGCGTCAGCCAGTAGTGGGGCCCGGTCTTAGGAAAAAATCGATTTTGAGATTTTTGGCTTAAAATAGTCGGCAGCACTTGTGGAAGAAAAGCTAAAAATATTTTTGCCTAATTATGCCCGGAAGGCATATTTTTTTACAAAATACGTTTTTACACTTCAAAGCCTCTGGAGGCCGAAGTGATCCGACCACAGAGATTAAACCTGGCATACAGAGGTTTTTGACACCCAGGAATCTGAAAATCGTAGCATTTTTACCGTCAGATTACTGTAACATGGTCATACTGTAATCCGGTCGATAAAAATCGACGATAACTTCTTTAGATCAAAAATGCCACAGGATTTTATTGCAGATTTGGAATCAGCATAAAATTCTGCTTCGGATACATGTAAAATATGTTCAAAATTCCGTGGCCCAACCTCTGTAGTATAGTGGTTGTGCGCCAGGATTATCAATCTGGCGACCCAGGCTCGATTCCCGGTGGCTGCAAATGGCAGAAAATGGACTATAAAAGGGCGGAGACTTGGAAAAAAGGAAAAATAAATTACAGAAAATTAATTTTGTGCTACTTAGGACCAGTTTAAAAGTTTTTGCAAGAATTCCGCATAAATTACGGTTTTTATGGAAAACGCCTCACAGCATTCGTAAGATCGCCCCAAATGGCAACTAAAGAGTTGTGGTGAATCTACATAACGCTTGCTATTAAATTTTCGTCATATCCGACGAGGAATGCAATACAAAACAAAATAAAACAGTTATTTAATTTTCAGATGAAAGCACGCATGTTACAGTCCCGTAGTTTAGACTCTGTTCCTTACCAACTGAGTCTCCATGCAGATTTATCATTAGAGCGTCCACGCGCTCCGTTTTTCGTGGGATACGCAAGACGACCTAAGTTTTACAAGCTGTGTGATCCCGGTGCTGTTAGGGAATCTTATATGACTGTTTGTGAATCTTATATGACTTTTTGGTCAAATATCGTTCCGTTCGATAAACCTCGGCCGCAGCTCGCCTTCTTAAAATCCCGAATTTGAAAGAAAACCCAGGCTATCCCAAAAATTTAACGAAATAAGCAGAAATTAACTTATTTCGTAGTAGGAAGCCTCAGTAATCTATTCTGTAAATTTTAACCAGATTGCTCCACTTTCCGGCAATCTATAAGGCGTTTTCCATAACAACCGTAATTTATGCGGAATTCTGGCAAAAACTTTTAAACTGGTCCTAAGTAGCATAAAATTAATTTTCTGTAATTGATTTTCCCTTTTTTCCAAGTTTCCGCCCTCTTATAGTCCATTTTCTGCCATTTGCAGCCACCGGGAATCGAACCTGGGTCGCCAGATTGATAATCCTGGCGCACAACCACTATACTACAGAGGTTGGGCCACGGAATTTTGAACATATTTTACATGTATCCGGAGCAGAATTTTATGCTGATTCCGAATCTGCAATAAAATCCTGTGGCATTTTTGATCTAAAGAAGTTATCGTCGATTTTTATCGACCGGATTACAGTATGACCATGTTACAGTAATCTGACGGTAAAAATGCTACGATTTTCAGATTCCTGGGTGTCAAAAACCTCTGTATGCCAGGTTTAATCTCTGTGGTCGGATCACTTCGGCCTCCAGAGGCTTTGAAGTGTAAAAACGTATTTTGTAAAAAAATATGCCTTCCGGGCATAATTAGGCAAAAATATTTTTAGCTTTTCTTCCATAAGTGCTACCGACTATTTTAAGCCAAAAATCTCAAAATCGATTTTTTCCTAAGACCACCGCTGGTGCCCTGACTCAAAAATCGTGTTTTAAATGATAAATTCAAATTGTATGTCAGCTTTGTCCCGACAAAAATGCAATAATTAAAAATCTTAACCAACCATTAAGATTTTCAGAAAAAAATTGGAAAAAATGTGACAAAATCTGGCGAATCTTGTCACGATAAGTTTCATATCTATTTATACCGTGGAGGATAATGTTTCCACAAAAAACCCAATTTTTTTCCACATGAAACTGGCAAAGATATGGCTAAAAAGTGTTTTTTCGCTCTTACCGCTCTCCATTCCGCATACTCTCTCGAAAACAATTCAGTATCTCCGTTTGACTCCCTTATCACACTGTTTTCAAGCCTTTGGTGAATTCCAGTTCTGCCTAAATCATTTGCTTTTCAAGGCGAATGTTGGCCGCATCGATGAGATTGTGGAAAGCGCATATACCGAGAAGTACACTAACCATGCAAATGAGGATTCTGTCTTGTGGTTGTATTTGTAAAAAAATCTGAATAAACCTTATTTTGAATTCTCAGGGGTACAATTTTATTTGCTTTGTACGACATTCCGACACCTCTCTTTGACATTGAAATATGTATAGCTCAAAGTAACGCAGAACATGAGGAGTTCTCATCTATTGACATTTATTATTACAACTCGCACAAAAATCACGGTATCCAAATTGAAAATAATTGGTTTGCGATGTCCTAGACACTCTGTCGAATATACTTGTCGCAGTAATTGCTCTTCACCACATCTTCGATGAGGCCCAAGCTCAACGTGAAACAATCCGCGCCGTCCCTCATTTTGCCGTCGCCGTAGACGCTTTCCTCGTTGAATTTGATGTCCTTGTACTTGACAGACCAAACTGGGGGCATTCCCAGCTGTGTGCAGACGTTGTTCGTTGCAGCGGCACTCGCATTTCCGAAATAATACTTAGCCAATCGATGCTTGTGCACGGCGGTGCAGCTGAGGTACATCATGGCGCCGAGGAGACCATTGCTGTAAAGTTTACAGCATTTTTTGAGGAGAAGTAAAATTTTAAGAGAAGAGCCTCAACTGTGCCGCTAAGGCCTTTTTTGTATTTTGCGCACACGTTGGGTATAGACCATACACTGCTGGACAAAATGATATGACCACCGCAATTTTGCGCTGGCAATTTGTTCATGGTAAATGAATTGCTTTAATATTTGGTGAAAGTGAGTATGGAGCAATGTAACATGTACCCAAAAAGTATCAAAGGATTTCAAAAAGTGCAAGGTGAGTAAAATTTGGAAATACGCGAAACCGCCAAAAATCAGCTGGACAAAATGATATAATATGACCACGTGGTTTAATTCAATCTTTTACTAATAACCACAATTTAACAAACAATCCTAGTAATGAGGGAGTCCTCCATTGATTACTAGGACTATTATGGGGACACGTTCGGCCAGGTTTAGACGGGTTTGAACGCGTTAAACCATGTTTGATGCAGAGTTACCCAAACTGGTGATTATCTTCCATTAACGCTTTCCAAAAGTTTTAAATTAAGTTTTTATCATGTGATCTAGACGTGTAATCACCTGTGCAAGCCTTCGCTTTTCGTAGAACTCCATGGTGGTCTGGTAGTGTGGATTCAGCAAACATCCGGTTACCATGTCCAGCTTTGGCGACCCATTTGCTATTTGACCCTGGGGATAGATGTGCTCCTTAGGTTTAAAATGTAACCCGGAGTCTCTCTAGAAACCGGCGAAGCCAAAAAGAGTCCCCGCTGACACGATTTCAGCTTTGCAGATGCAACTGCACCGATGTGCCCCTTAAACAGAAAAACCGAGTTTTTCAAATGGATTTTTAGAGATGCAAAACGGCTTTCAAACGATGGCCTATGTAATTTTAGAACCTACAGCACACCTCATGCATCCTGGGCCATCAAATGAACTGTTTTTTGTCGCTAACGATCCCTTTGAAAAACTTGGTTTTTCTGTTTAAGGGGCACATCGGTGCAGTTGCATCTGCAAAGCTGAAATCGTGTCAGCGGGGACTCTTTTTGGCTTCGCCGGTTTCTAGAGAGACTCCGGGTTACATTTTAAACCTAAGGAGCACATCTATCCCCAGGGTCAAATAGCAAATGGGTCGCCAAAGCTGGACATGGTAACCGGATGTTTGCTGAATCCACACTACCAGACCACCATGGAGTTCGTACGAAAAGCGAAGGCTTGCACAGGTGATTACACGTCTAGATCACATGATAAAAACTTCATTTAAAACTTTTGGAAAGCGTTAATGGAAGATAATCACCAGTTTGGGTAACTCTGCATCAAACATGGTTTAACGCGTTCAAACCCGTCTAAACCTGGCCGAACGTGTCCCCATAATAGTCCTAGTAATCAATGGAGGACTCACTCATTACTAGGATTGTTTGTTAAATTGTGGTTATTAGTACAGGGTGTACCAAATTCGTGGCCCGATTTGAATTGGCTATAACTTCTTTAATTTTGGGCCAAATTTTAAAATTCTTTTTTCCCTGAATCCTCAGACAACCCCATTTTGTCTGATACCAAATATGTTATACATAGATAAGTGTCATCTACAGTTATTGGATTTATTCTTGAAGTTCATTTTTTTGGTCGTTTTTCGGTTGTTTTTTCGGCCTTTCCCGGTGTGTCCGAAAATGGAGTACGGTGTGGAAGAAAAAGCTTGGTCTGTGGTTTGGTATGGCAAATACGGTTCGCCGATAAACGTTCAAAGGGAATACAGGATGAAATACGGACGTAAGGCCCAACCCAGATCGCAAGACATTTCGGCGTTGGTGGAATAGGTTCCTTGAGACTGGCAGCGTTAACAGGAAACAAAAAAAGCAGGAAAGATGGGTACGAACGTAGCTGAAAATGGAAGAAGTTTTGTCAAAATTCCGAGAAAATCCGCATATGAGTACACGAAGTTTGGCCAGAACCGAGGGAATGCCTTCACCAAGGACGATTCGACGAACTCTGGAGGTTGATCTTCACTTTTTGTTCTTATTCTCATCGTCGATTTTCAGGAGGGGAAATTCCACCGTATTTTTCTTCCGCACCGTACTCCATTTTCGGACACACCGGGAAAGACCGAAAAAACAACCGAAAAACGACCGAAAAAATGAACTCCAAGAATAAATCCAATAACTGTAGATGACACTTACCTATGTATAACATATTTGGTATCAGACAAAATGGGGTTGTCTGAGGATTCAGGGAAAAAAAGAATTTTAAAATTTGGCCCAAAATTAAAGAAGTTATAGCCAATTCAAATCGGGCACCGAATTTGGTACACCCTGTAAAAGATTGAATTAAACCACGTGGTCATATCATTTTGTCCAGCCGATTTTTGGCGGTTTCGCGTATTTCCAAATTTTACTCACCTTGCACTTTTTGAAATCCTTTGATACTTTTTGGGTACATGTTACATTGCTCCATACTCACTTTCACCAAATATTAAAGCAATTCATTTACCATGAACAAATTGCCAGCGCAAAATTGCGGTGGTCATATCATTTTTTCCAGCAGTGTATATCAATTTTTGAATGTTTTATTATAGCTCGCAGATATTCAACGATCTTTACGGCCAAGTGAGTACGTGCAACGGTCAGAGAGAGGAACACTTTTCGGACATCTCCTTGCCAGTTTCACAAGGGAAAAAATGATATTTTTTGTGGAAGAATTGCCCTCTATACAAAAATGTATCACTCTTCTGTTTCGACCTAAAAACCATATTCGTTCCTAAAGCGCAAGCTCGGAGTATTGAATACAAACAAACCAGTATTTACCGTAGAGAGTCATGTTCTTACAAGAAATCAAATTTTTTCCGAACGAAGCTGAAAAATTTATAACCGAAAAGTCCTTTCACTCTACACGTTTTGCGTAATCTATCGTCCTCAAAGATCTTGAATATCTCGGCTGCCCTTGCGAAACGGAAACAAAGGTTTTCAGGAATTGATATGTGGCCTATGCATTGTCGTTCTGCAAAGGGCAGGCTTGAAGACTTGCAATATGCCTCAGAAAAAATTGTTTTAAATTTGTACCAACTTTCATCAAAATCTGAGCGTCGCGCTTTTTCAACTTCCCCTGTTCGCCCAATTTCTCTTACCCGTTAAACTCCTGGTCTACACATCCCATCTCAGCGTGCGCCGCGACCGCCTGATTCTCCTCCGGCAAGTAATGGGGAACAATGTGAATGGCATAGTGCAACAGAGTCATCATGTATTTCAAGCGCTCGTCGGTGACGCCATAGTCGGCTGCGCACTTTTCCATGACTAAAAATATCAACGTTGTTGACCTACTAAACTGATGACCTACAGGGTCCAAGATCCTTCACTTCCTTGGGCGGAACGTCGGCATTCTTGTCGAAGACCTCCAGATTCACCATGCAGCACGCGATCATCCTGTCTCCGTCCATGACGACGGTACTGTACGGGTATTGGAGGCAGTTGTGGACCATCGGACGGACCAATTGCTCCTGAACCACCTCGACTGGAGTGCCTGAAACATGACGTAAAATGAAGTCTGAATTAGTTCACTTACCAACGCCTCTGCTCGAGTTTTCCAATGGAGCAAAGTGTTCGAGGGTCAGCTTGTCGATGGCGTCGAAGTCACTGTATTCGGCGATCTCAATGCTCACAGTCTTCCCGGGATGTGTTTTTAGCGGGTAGTCGGGTTGAAGCACTCGACGTCCCGATTTCAATGCAACGCTTGACTGACTGAGAAATCTGGATGGCTTTAACGCTGCCATTGGCGTCAAGTTGACAAGAAAGCTTAAAAAATCGGGGTAGCGCCCAAGTACAAGGTTTAGATTTTGATGAACTTTGGGAAAAAATGCGATTAGTTTTATCAAAAGAGATACGAGTGGCTTCTGGCTCGCGGCTTACAGAAGATTTGAGATTTTTTAAATGAAATCTGGAAAAAATTGGCGTCTTTTTTTGCTTATTCTGGCATAAAAATTTTCGTGCGTATTTCTACTGTAATGTCTCTACAAAAAAATTATTTTTTTCCACTCAAAGTTGGCAAGGAATTGGCCAAAAAAGTGTTTGCCTCTCCGACCGCTCTCCGCATATCGCATGCTTTCTCGGCCAGTTGAGTAAAAAATAGTTAACTACTGTAAGATTCTTTCATTATGAGTGTGTCGGGAAAAGAGTGAGCCTCCTGTCGCATCGAAAATCGCACCGCCGCCGAGAAAATAAATTGCGTCGCGACAAAATAAAATTGCTTTTTACCTCAGCGACACGATCGGCGCACATTGTGCTCATTATTTTCCCGACAGACAACAATTTATTTTCCCACTTACCGCAACATAATTCCTTTCAGTTCTATGACCTTTTTACAATAACCTTATCGCGCTTTTCACTCCACTCTTTATATACAACACTTTTAATTGTACCCATAAATAATGCGAAGCGCGGAAAAAACGTCGATGAAACATTTGATGACTCTTTTTTTCACTATGATCCCATAAATTAAAATGTTTCACCATCGTGGATATTCGTTTACAATACGCGGAATTCAACACATGTTTGATACTTTGGGGTCATGTGAGAGAAGTGGTTGGAACGGTGGTTGATTTATTCTTTGTTTTTTTATGGGAATGAAAATTTGGGGATTGCAAATTCGTAAAATTTTTCAAACTTTTTTAAGTGTGTAATGTGTTATTTCATTCTTGGAAATATTACAATGATAAAACGTATGCGATTTTCCACAAAATCTTTATTCGAAAAAAATCGATGAGAATTTTTCTTCTATTTTTCTTATTTTTTCGCGGAGCGCATCCAGTCCTTGTTTGCGCATACTAGGCCGTTCGTAAAGTCGCTGGAATGATTTCGGCGACATGCACTCCGCGAAGCCGAAAGTTCACTTTGCACTGTGCAATTTTTGGCTTTTTGCACAGTGCAATAGGCTTTTTGGGGCTGTCGCCTGCACCCTGAGTTTTCTTGCGCAGTGCACGTCGCTGAAAACATTCCAGCGACTTTACGAACGGTCTGATATCAGGGAAAATAACGGCGGATCATTGCTCCTCGGAATCGCCCATCATCGCTTTGCGAGGACAGTCGCAGCTGGAGATTTGGTGCGCGACAGCGGTGAGGCGAGACATTTTGATACGACGATCCGCCGTTATTTTCCCGACAGACTGATACGTTCTAAAAATCCTGTATATACCAGTTATTTATACCAGTCCTCCCGCAAAGTCACCGGATTGATATTTTGCCGTTTGCACTGTGCAAAAAACTCAGGGTGCGCGCGACAGCTCGAAAAAGCCTGTTGCACGGTGCAAAAGCAACAAATTGCACAGTGCAAAGGAAGCTTTGTTTTCGCACAGTGCAGATCGCTGAATTCAGTCCGACGATTTTCCGGGCGTAAATTGCATTTTTTTTACTTTTTTCTCTTGGCGGGTCCGTGTTAAACCCGTGTCCTCTGTGATAAACAAGTTAAAAATTTTTTCATTTGACTTTTACATTGGCGAAATTTTGCCTATATGCTATATTTTCTCATTTCACTTACTTACGCCAAGCTTTATCTCGTTGAAAAATCAGTTATTTATTCTTCTATTTACACTCTCAACGAGACTCATCAAATTTCTAATTATACAGCCACAGCACCGAATCGCCACTCGTATATTTCTCGGTGTATCGGCTCTTCACCGCGTCCGTGATGAGTCCCAGGTTCAGCGAGACGGACGCCTTGTCGTCCGCGTTCTTGTAGACGTGTTTCCCATTGAATTTGACGTCTTTGTACTTGAGTTCCCACACCTTCGCCGCGCCCAGTTGCTCGGAGGCGGAGCAGGTCGCAATAGTTGTTGGGTTGCCCATCAAATAGTCGGCGAAGCCGTGTTCATGCACTGCTACACAGCTTTGTTGAAGCATCGCGCCGAGAAGGCCGTTTCTGGAGAGGAAATGATACTATGTGTACTTGATACTTGAACGGCTCAAAAATAGTGGCAAAATCGCAGTTCCCCTGTTTGAAATTCCGAAAAAGCATGTTATTGAATCGATGTAAACATAAAAATGAGATGGCTAGGACGGAAAAACACGGAGATTTTAACAGTATAAAAATCTTTTGGCCTGACCTAAATATTTTCGCGTCAGGACGCATGAAAAAAGCACGCATTTTTTTGGGACACCCCGTAGGTATGCCGAAAATAGAAGCAGTGAATTGCTTCTAATTGCGCTCATTATTTCCCCGACAGACTGACAGTTGATAGTGTTGATATATACAAGAAAATTTACCCTTTATAATCCCTCCTCACACAGACCATCTCCCCATGCGCCGCGTATTGTTTGTTGTCCTTCTTTGGCAAGAAGTGCGGAGTAATATTAGTGGCATAATACAACAATGTAGCCACATATCGGATGTTTTGATCAGTCAAGTCAGAGCCCTCAAAGAGCTTCTTTTCTACTGAAATTAATCTTTGTTTTGCATTCACTAAAACCTACAGTCCCCAAAGTCATCAAGTCCTAGTGGTGGAACATCCATGTTCTGATCATAACACTCAATATTCATAAGATTGAACCCAACCAGTTCGTCGCCATCAAACGCCAACGTGCTGTAGGGATAACGGAGGCAGGAGTTCATGATTTTCCGGACCACTTGCTCATGAAGGACGGCGGGGTTTGAGCCTAGAAGAAGAGTGCCACAAGATATAAAATCACCTACCGACTCCTTGACTAGCACTCTCCAATTTCGAAAAATGTTCGAATGAGAATCGGTCAATGACGTCATAGTCACTATATTCGGCGACTTCAATGCTGACGCTCTTTCCTGGCATACGTTTCAGTGGGTATTCCGGGACAAGAACCCGACGGCCGGTCTTTGGACTCGGGCTGACAGAGGCGACAGACGTCACAGATCGTACAAAACGAGTGGCTCTGGGGGATAGTGCTAGCCTGTAAGAATAAAAACTTCTGGTAAGAAAAAATTGGGTCGTAGGGAGGGTTGTTTCAGGGGCTTTTTTACAGGGCCCTGACCCCAAATGGGACGCTCAGATTTTTTCTATTTTACAGTGGGGGACTTGATCAAGTGACAAAAAACGTATCATTTTGCATCCGGGAAATATCAAAAATGTGGCAAAATGCTTCCTTCTCCAAGTGAAAAAACTCCGATTTCATAAGCGCGCCCGCCCTTTTCGTGAGGGAAAACCTTCAAAAGAAGTCTTTTCACTTGGAGAGGGAAGCATTTTGCCACATTTTTGATACTTCCCGGATACGAAATGGTACGTTTTTGCCGCTGGATCAGGTCCCCCAGTGCACAAATAGAGGTCCCCTTAGCTATGCACTCCAATTTTAGTCTCGGTGCATTCTAACTAGCTGTCATTTTGACACATTTTTTGGACACCCAAAGATTGCGAAGCCCCGAGCCATGTATGCATTGAACACTGTACAAATGGGACGCTCAGACTTTTCCTATAATAATTTCGTATACTATTTGCGCCTAGGTCGCATACCAATTCCTGAAAATTCTATTTCGCGCTTCGAAAAGGCAGATATTCAACGGTGAGTGCGGAAAACGCGGAGAAGAGATAAGAAACTTTCATACCGTATGCTTGCAAGCTTCGTGGGCAAAAAAAAAAGATTTTTTTTGTGGAAACATCACTCTCTCCGTGGGGAATTGGCACAAAAGCTTTCATGCTAAAATTCGAAAAAAGGAGGCACATTTTTTCCAACTTTTATGTCGATTTTTTTCCTTGTGGAAACATTACGCTCTACGGTAGGAAAAGGCACAAAAATTTTGTTCTTTGTCTTGCCTACCCGCCTCGTTTCGCATGCTCGAAAACAGTCACGCTAAATATGTCGACCGAAAGTTGGCGGCTCAAACTTTCAGGCAAATCGCGGTAAATTTTTAGGAATTTTGCCTCCGGCGCCACTTCTCCCTGAAGACTTACCGTAACATTCTGAAACTCGACTTGTTGTAGAACAAACAAATTTTTTTTCGGCTTGAAGCGATAACTCTCGCAGTTACTTTTATACGTGCGATTGTTGCGTTAATGGACCTGCGGCGGTCGTAAAAGCCTAATTGAACGTTGTACCCCGGCCTCTGCCGGCAATAAATTCACAGGATTAGGGCCTTTCACAAACACTGATAAGGTGTCGCTGTCTCATTGTTTTGCCGGTATCTCGTGTTCCAAGAGTCATTATGGTTTTGTTGACCTCTCCGCCGTTTTATGGGTGGCAAGGAAATCGTTTGTCATATGAAACATTTGACAGTAATATCGTCAATGTTTTACGGGCCGGTCTCGGGGCTGATGATAAGGAAAGGTCCATAAAGTTTTTTCAGAGTGTGAAGAGAGTATCTTGTGTTGTCGGTGTTTCAAGCTCGTATGTGATACAGTAGGGGACCTGATCCAGTGGCAAAGAAAATCTCATACTTTTTTCGTCTAAAAAATCACGGCGGTTTCTGCAAAACGCGGCCTAGGAATCGTCCATATACCTTTTAAAAGACGATTTCTGAGTCAGTGCATCAGCCTGTTAGGGGGAAAAAATCGATTTTGAGTTTTTTGCACTAAAATGGCTGTTGGAAGGTGCTAAGCAAAAGCGAACAATATTTTTTCCCAAAACCATCATCAAGGTATATTTTTTTACAATTTACTGTTTTAGAAGTAACCGCGTCCAGCTGTCGTATCTTACCTTACTGGGCGATGATTTGACGGTTACTGAAGTTTTCGACCCTTGCGATGACGATGGTATCATTATTTTTCCGATTTTCCTACTGTAACATACCGTAATACTGTATCGACCGCTAAAAAACGACCGTAGAATCTTTATTTCTGAAAATTTCACAGGCGATTTTACGATTTTTGGAATCAGCATAAAATTCTGCTCTAGAGGCAATCAAAAAAAGCTCAAAAAAAGCTGCGACAAATTTCGTGGTATAGTGGTTAGTGGTCGGGACTACCAATCCAGCGACCCGGGTTCGAGTCCGGCTGGGTGCAAATATTGAAAAGAAGTCCGAAATTAAATTTATTGTGATTCAGAGGTTTGTATGTTTTGCCATGGGCAATTATCAATGTCAATGGTAGCTGGATTCGAGGATAAAACGGGGTTTATATAATTTTAGAGGCTCATTACGTGAAAAAATCAAAGTGCTTCAAATCGGTTGAAATTGATAATACCTAAGGGCTATTCTAAGACACTTTCTCGTTTATCCGACAACTACGAAAGAAACAGCCTTAAAAAAGCGCCTTGTTATCGGCCAAGCCAATCTGCAGTCTTCCGAAGCCATCATCAGCCCTGAGGGCAACACAATAATGTTGAAGGAAATCGCTGCCGAACGCAAAATCGTAGACATTTCCGAACGTCCAGGTGGACAGTGAAACATGATATTTTTTGTCCTAAAACATAGGCAACAGATGAGACCGCGACTTACACTTAAAGTTGGTCTTTGGAAGCCACGGCGCAACCACTCGACTACCAATCAAGACGATGCTTTATTGTTAGACTATGGAGAATGGTGTAAGATAAAAAATTAGGTTCAACTTCGAGAATGGTCGACTGCGCAAAGATTCAAGACCTGTATAAGCCCGCCGTTTCGTTCAACGAGATCGGTCTTCCGAGGTATCCGTCTGGAGCCAACTGAGCACCCAGCCGGACTCGAACCCGGGTTGCTGGATTGGTAGTCCCGACCACTAACCACTATACCACGAAATTTGTCGCAACTTTTTTTGATTGCCTCTAGCGCAGAATTTTATGCTGATTCCAAAAATCGGAAAATCGCCTGTGAAATTTTAAGAAATAAAGATTCTACGGCCTTTTTTTAGCGGCCGATACGGTATTACGGTATGTTACGGTAAGAAAATCGGAAAAATAATGATTCCGTCGTCATCGCAAGGGTCAAAAAACTTCAGTAACCGTCAAATCATCGCTCAGTAAGGTAAGACACGACAGCTGGAGGCGATTACTTCTAAAACAGTAAATTGTAAAAAAATATACCTTGATAAAGGTTTTGGGGAAAAATATTGTTCGCTTTTGCTTAGCACCTTCCGACAGCCATTTTAGTGCAAAAAAACTCAAAATCGATTTTTTCCTATGTCCACGGCTGACGCACCCACTCAGAAATCGTCTTTTAAGGAAGGACGTGCTTTTCGATGCCCGCAAATTTTCGCGGTTCGCGACCGCAAATTAAAACGAAATCTGCCCGCACTTTTTCTGCCCGCAAATTATAAAAATGTTATAAAACGCCTGAAACATGGATGATTAGTGAAATATTTGTATAAATCCGGTGGAATTAATAAATTTACATATGCAAAAGTGCATTTGACAAAAAAAAATTTTTGAGAAGTGTCTCAGATGCATGTTTTCTGAAATAAAATTCCAAATCACGGGGTGATATCATGTTTTTGGACAAAGCTGATGAATATGGAGTCCAAATCAAGTTGTTATAAAGGCTGAACAAAACTTTTTTTTGTCCAAACGAACTTTTCGATGCCCGCAGATCGGAAAATCGGATCCTCAGACGTTACGAATGTAAAAATCTTCATTGTTATCATTTTTTGAGTAATTTCAAGCTGCCACGAGACAATTGCTGCACATCTTCAGGTAGAAAATTTGAATTTCAGATTTGCGGGCAAAAAAGTTTGAAAACTTTTGGATGCCCGCAGATAAAAAAATGCTCCAAAATCTTTCGTGAGTCACCGAAGTAAAAAAACCTTAGTTACCATGTCAAGATTAGACGCTATGATCGTTCCGACGGCAATTGGGGCCGATTTGTTTGCAGGAAAACGGTTTTTTGGCAGAAAAAATATTTGCGGGCAAAAAAAGTTAGAAAAATTTTTGAGTGCCCGCAAATCTAAAAAAGCTTCCAAATAAATCAAAACTTGTTGTCTTGGGGAAAATTGGGCTCATAATGCTATTTTGACTAGTTTTATGACCATTGACGCCGATTTTTTGGTTGAAAAGTACAAATTTAAATTTGCGGGCAAAAAAAGTTTCAAAAATTTTCCAATGCCCGCAAATTAAAAAAGGCTTCCAAATCAATCAAAACTTGTTGTGATGAAAATACGGGTAACATAAGCGACATTATGACACCTTTTACGACCATAGGCACCGATTTTTCAGTGAAAAAATCCAAATTAAAATTTGCGGGCAAAAAAAGTTCTAAAAATTTTCCAATGCCCGCAAATCTGAAAAAAGGTTTAAACAGTCAAGGTTGATGACATTGTTCATGATTAAAGCTCGGTAAAGTTTTTTGGGTTTGTGCCTTTCTTTTGATAATCCTGAGAAATACTGTAGACGGTTATTTATCGCATCCATGTGTAAAATGTCCACTTCTGCCGAAACCGCGTCATTTCTGATAAGATAACTCAAAAAATGGAATTCTTTTACCGAATTATTTCAAAAATTGACCGAAAGGTAAGTTTCTGTTTCAAATCTTGCACTTTTGGGGACGAATCGTTACTTGCAGCAGCCACCATTCTATCACGGGCATTGGAAAATTTTTAGAACTTTTTTTGCCCGCAAATTTTAATTTGGATTTTTTCACTGAAAAATCGGTGCCTATGGTCGTAAAAGGTGTCATAATGTCGCTTATGTTACCCGTATTTTCATCACAACAAGTTTTGATTGATTTGGAAGCCTTTTTTAATTTGCGGGCATTGGAAAATTTTTGAAACTTTTTTTGCCCGCAAATTTAAATTTGTACTTTTCAACCAAAAAATCGGCGTCAATGGTCATAAAACTAGTCAAAATAGCATTATGAGCCCAATTTTCCCCAAGACAACAAGTTTTGATTTATTTGGAAGCTTTTTTAGATTTGCGGGCACTCAAAAATTTTTCTAACTTTTTTTGCCCGCAAATATTTTTTCTGCCAAAAAACCGTTTTCCTGCAAACAAATCGGCCCCAATTGCCGTCGGAACGATCATAGCGTCTAATCTTGACATGGTAACTAAGGTTTTTTTACTTCGGTGACTCACGAAAGATTTTGGAGCATTTTTTTATCTGCGGGCATCCAAAAGTTTTCAAACTTTTTTTGCCCGCAAATCTGAAATTCAAATTTTCTACCTGAAGATGTGCAGCAATTGTCTCGTGGCAGCTTGAAATTACTCAAAAAATGATAACAATGAAGATTTTTACATTCGTAACGTCTGAGGATCCGATTTTCCGATCTGCGGGCATCGAAAAGTTCGTTTGGACAAAAAAAAGTTTTGTTCAGCCTTTATAACAACTTGATTTGGACTCCATATTCATCAGCTTTGTCCAAAAACATGATATCACCCCGTGATTTGGAATTTTATTTCAGAAAACATGCATCTGAGACACTTCTCAAAAATTTTTTTTTGTCAAATGCACTTTTGCATATGTAAATTTATTAATTCCACCGGATTTATACAAATATTTCACTAATCATCCATGTTTCAGGCGTTTTATAACATTTTTATAATTTGCGGGCAGAAAAAGTGCGGGCAGATTTCGTTTTAATTTGCGGTCGCGAACCGCGAAAATTTGCGGGCATCGAAAAGTCCATTTGCGGGCGAAAAAAAATTCCTCCTTTAAGGAATGAATCCAAATTTGTGCCAAGTTTCATCAAAATGAAGCTTGCTACAATGGGCCCTGCAAGCGTTAAATTCCACTTGTAAAATACGCTACCACTCCGATTTTTTCATCTTTATTTCTTTTCCCATTACACCACAATTTGTTTCTCAACAACCTGTTTAGCGAACTTCTCCATCAGATTGACGAGTCCAACGAAAAGCTCGAACGACTCCAACGCCTCGTGTCGCTGATAGCGCAGCTGACGGATGGATTCGCTGAAACGGATGCGCGTCTTGGTCTGCAGTCTGTCCGCCTCCGTGTCGGCCATGAACCACACACCCGTGCGCTTGGTGCCGCTTTGGGAAACGATCAGCGCCGCCGCCTCTCTGGCCGGCCACGTCGGAATCTTCTTTTTGATCTGGAAAACTTTTTTTTTAAATATCTGCTTACCGCAGCTCTGAACTCCCAGATATCCTCGGGAATTTTGTGTTCGTCGATCCAGCTGGACATGAAGAACATCTGCAGCTTGTGGGAGACAGATTTACCATCCGTAACGGACACTTTTACATTCCGATGCTTGGACTTGGTCTCCTCTTCGATTCGAAATTTGATTCCGGCACAAGTTTTCTCACCTCTGCCCTCAGGGCAAATTAATCTGAAAAAAGGTAGAAGTTGCATTCGAAGTATTTTACAAAAGCCCTAACTAACAGGGGAAGTACTCCAAGTGCGACGCACAGATTTTGATAAAACTTGGCACAAATTTAGAATAATTTTTTCTAAGACATATGCGAGAATCCTAGCTCGCGCTTTGCAGAAACAACCGAGATGTTTAGATTGAAAGTTAGATCAAAATTAAGGACTTTTTGCCGAATTTCGGCCCGAAAAGTTTCATGCCTATTTCTACCGTAAAGAATAATGTTTCTACAAAAAATCAAATTTTTTCGCACGAAACTGCCAAAGTAGTGGCCAAAAAGGTGTTCTCTCTCTGACCGCACTCCACGTTTAGCGTGCTCTCTCCGCAGCAAGAATCGTTCGATATCTCGGCGGCGCCCGCAAACCGCGAGCTAAGACTTTCAGGAATTGATATTTAGTCCATACCCGTGTGCAAAATTTAAAGAAATCTGAGCGTCACACTTGGAGTACTTCCCCTGTAAGTCAAAAACGGTTCAAATTTTTTTTTATCTCAAGAACAAAGTCGAAAGTTCAAATTCAATTGTATTTTCATAAAGTGCGTAGACTTTTTTAGCCTTTTATCGCGGACGCACAGTGCATTTTGCTTTTTTCGCACAGTGCAAACTTCAACTCGGCGACATTTTGACGCACGGTGCAAAAGATAAAACTGCACGGTGCAAAAAACTAAAAATGCACGGTGCAAATTGCAATTTGCACCGTGTATTTTCCTCGCGACAAAAAGTCTACGAACTTTATGAAAAAACAGTTATCAAACAAAAAAATCTCAAAAACCCCCCTACTTTGCCTCCGGCGTGTCTTCTTTCATCAGAACAATGATGGCTTCCGGCTTCAACTCGGCCACCAACCGATGGAAATCGGCTTCAGTGTCCTGCGTGAACGGAGCTTGCGCGAGAACGAATTGCTTTGACTGAACGAGGCCATCAACATAGCTGGCGTGGTAGTAATCACCGCCCTCGGACTCGCTCAACACAACTCGAGTGTGATCGTTAAGAGGAATATCTGAAAAATTCGAAGGCATTCTTTCAAACATAGGGTTATTAGAGCAAAGTCATCAAAATTAATGTGAGTAAATTGCGGACTGACCTGGAAATCGGTTCTTACTCGCATTTTCGTCGGCAAAAAATGCGCAAAAAGTCGGTGATTCGCGGTGAATCTCGTGGTAAGAGGCCAAAAGTCCTTCGTGGATTTTCTTGCCGCCATCGGTCAACTGGAAACAGGCAATGTTGATATTGATACGATTTCAAGGCCACAGCGAAGAAGCGTCCGTTTTCTGGGACCTCGCGTTTTTTCTTGCTTCGACATAAAGTTGGCCAATAAAGGTTGTAAAACTGGGATTTTAAGGATCAAAAAATGCCTAAAAACCTTTTTAGAATAGCCCACACACCTCAGGAGGCATAAAGACCCTGAGGCTGGATACAAACGCTATATCAGAGATAGACATGGCTCCCGGCCTGGGCCGGGCCGCGGGCCGGGCCGAAATTTCGGCCCGTCGGCCGGATTTCAGGTCGGCGCCGGACCATTTCCGGCCCGTCGGCCGGGCCGGTGTTTCGGCCCGGCCCGGCCCGGAATAGTTAAAATCCAGAATCTCAAAGCGAAAATTGGGTTTGATAATGAAAATAAACGAAATGACAAGACACAATTCGTTTTTTTAAAGGTATTTTTGTTTTTAGATAGCTATGGAAACACATATTTATCCATTTACATGATGATAGAGGAAAAATTTGGTCATAAGGAGTTAGACTTGAGGAGACTTTCGTTTCAATGGGCCGGCCCGGGCCGGGCTGAAGCAAATTTAGAACGGGCCGGGCCGGGCCGACGGAAAATTTGAAACGGGCCGGGCCGGAACCCTTCAGGCCGACGGGCCGGGCCGAGATTTTCGGCCCGGGCCGGCCGACGAGCCATGTCTAATCAGAGATAAGGCTAGGGCGCAGCTTGGAAAATTCTTTTTTGTTCAAAGAGAAAAATTTCCTATCTGAAAGTCTGCTGAAGCTTTTGCATGGCGAATCAGGCGCAACTCTGGTCATAATAAAACAATGAAAGCTTTAAAAATACAATTTTTTAGGATTCTTTTTCGAGCTGCGCCCGAACTTTTTCAGCCAACTTTCAGATAAATAACTGGCCTTTGTCAAAAAAAAGGAAGTGTTGGAAACCTTAAAAAAACAGGTTAAAATCTCATTTCCCGGCTCATCAAAAAACATATTTTCCGAGCTGCGCCCGATCACTTCCAACCAGCTTTCAGATTTTTTTGACCGGTCTCAGCCCGAAAAAGGAAGTGTTGCTGACATAAGGAGCAAAAAAATAAAAATCTCCTTTTTCCGGCCAACCAAAAAAATAATATTCCAAGCTGCGCCCGACCTTTTTTGTTACTTCTCGCTAGCTAGCCTTCCGGAGCCTATTCTAGCCTCACAGGCCTGTCAATGTCCCATTTACTTTTTAAATACAACTTTTACGACCCGTTTTCTTCATAATCATATTCAACTATTTTCTCCTTTTTCATTCTGCAACTTGCGAAAAGAAAAAAAGAATTTTTGAGTCTAGGCCAGCAACGGAAGTTTTCCAAGAAAAAAAATAAGAAACTCACATGCACCGCCAAGACCATTGGATGGAAGAATCTGGATTTCTGCTTTCGCTTCGATCGCTGCGACTTGCCCGCATTGGCGATAACCTCCCGAGTTCCGTCCTTGTGCAAGGCGATGTCCATCTTGTCGTGGGCTGTTCAGTGGCCCCACAAAAGGGCGGCAACAGAAGCGAAAAGAGCACCGCACTGCTTTCGAATTGGCAAAAATGGGAAGGAAAACGGGAAATTTTTATTTCGATAATTTTGAAAATGAAAATTTAAAAAACGATGTGAAAATGGGAACCATGGGAAACCTGGATTAGAAAGTACTAAAAGAATAAGGGAACTAAGATTGTCTATATGAAATTGAGGTCAGCACGAGAGATGACTGAACACTCCGGTGATGTTGACAACTTCTCTGTTTCCGAAATTGAACGGCCGAATAATGTCGCCGGACTCAATGTACTTGTCCTCTACGCGGATGGAAAAGTGCTCACATTCCTGAAAAGAAAACAGTGGATGGTACCGTCAGGGAGAAATAGGAATAAAAAAATTCCGTAAGATTTTTGCAGATTGCCCATCATCCAAAAAAATAAAAAAATTCTTGGAGAGATGAATAAAAAGAGTAAAAAACCTTGCCTTTGAGTCACATCGGTAATAAAAGTGTAGGTATGGCTCGATGCTCGTCAGCTCATCGGTCCTTCCAGTTATGTGGAAATTACCCTCATGGTCCGTTTTTACGTTGGCTACAAGGTCGTTAGGGTCTACTGAAATGATAAAATATAATTTTTTGACAAAAAGCGGCGAAATTTTTTTTATTTTTGGTATAGAAACCTGACCAATTTTTGATGATTATATTACACTTGGATTAGAAATCTCATCAACCCTTCGAAATTGCTGTAACTGCTGCACAACTTGTTTATAACAAGTAAAAGTAGATCTTACTTGTACAAAAGTCCTTTTTCGAAATCCCAAAAAGAAAGAGCAGAAAAAAATTTCAAATCGAAAATGTGCGATTACGCAAGAAAATAAGCCTAAAATTTCTGCGCAACGCATGTTTCTGCGCAATAATAAGCTAGAAAGGGGCGTGGCACGTCGACAGAAATTTGCGCAAGGGTCGAAACTCGGCGCCTATAGGCTTATTCTTTGATCTTGCAGCTTACTGCGCGGTGATTTGAATTTTTTTTCAAGTTTTCTTGATTTGTTTTCAAAAATCATCATGTTTAACGTCCCAACCCCCTCTTTTTCTTATATCCCGATCATTTATGACCCCTCAGCGGTCCAGGCTACCTCTTCGGGGTGGCCAGGACCGGTCCCAGTTTTAATCCCTGAGGGTAATTTTGTCGTGGAGGCCAATTTGGCCTCAAATTTACATTTAGGAGGAATTGGCCGAGTCCAGAGCGGAAGAGTGGAGAAGAAGAAGGAGAAGAGATGGGCCCGCACCAAGTGGTCGCAAGCCCAGGAGCAGACACTGGCTGCGGCGTTCGCGGAGGACCAAGAGATAGGCTCGCGAATGCCGCAGCTGGTAGAAGCGACTGGCCTGCCGGAGAAGACCATTAAGGTGTACTTCGCGAACCACCGAGCCAGAAGCAAGAAGAGCCAGAAGGAAGACAAGCCAAGGAAGCCAGGAAGGCCACGTAAGTTAACAGAGGTAAGTGAGGGGTACGGTAGCTGGGAGGGGTCCCCTTCGGCTGAATTTGCAAGTGGCTCCAGGCATGTACAATATATGCACCCTGGATATCCAAGCGAAACTTTGGATATTCAGGGAGCATGTAGTGCCCCCGCCCAGAGAAAGGCTCAATTTGCCTCGGGCAACTATTGTTTGCCATCACAAAACTATTACAGTAACCCTCAGGGATCATGGGATTACAGTAACACATCAGCGAACTATTATCCGCAGATGGGTTACTGCAATCCAGTGATCCCTGAGGGGTATTGTAACAATTTTGTAAATTGAAATAATATGCCCTCGGGGCAAATTGAGCAGAGTCCGAGCTTGGAGACGTGTTTGGAGGCTCCAAGCGAGGACTTCTTGCAAGATGCCATGCAAATTGCTGGCATTGAACCGGCCGAAGAGGCCCGAGCTGCGCCCGAGGTTTCGGAGGCCAAACTGGCCGAAGATAATTGGGACGAAGTCTTAGCGGGTTTCGAAAATTATTGAGGGGATTTTTTAGTAATTTTTGATTATAAAAATAAAAAAAAACAAAAAATCTTTTTTATCATTTTTTTAATTTAGAATAAAAAACAAAAAAATCCAAAAAAATTGTTTATTAAATAAAAAATATTTTACCGGTGAATTTTTATTATTTGATTTTATTTTTTTCCGATTTTGTCTTATTTTCTTTTATTTCTCTTTATTTTTCTCGTTTCTCGTCCGTTTATTCAGATTAAAGTCTCTTCAGTCTCTCACTGAACGCCGGGTATCAGTGCTCCATGGGGTTGTTCCTTTCCCCGCCTCCGGGCAAAAAAGGAAATTCCTCTTCGAAGATCGACCGCCTTGCCGTGGCGAAGAGGCTTTTACCAAGAGTCGATCAAAACTTTGAAACCCAAACGTAAAAATTTTTCCCCTAATGTAAGTTACTCACACCAAAACCGATCCCTCTCGATGAACTTGACGTTTGCGCCGACCAGTGGCTTTCCATTGCAAGTCAATCGGCCATACGCAGTGATCCCCTGTGATTCACAGCGAACCCCGATGAGAAGTCCCAACAATACAAATAACAACATTCGAGGAAATGGACAAAAAAAGCGACGGCTCTCTGATTATATTCGCCCCCGCGACCTTGTCCGAACGAGAAATGTTGAAAATTATAGTTTATTATTATGAGTAATCGTTGTTTTGGAGACGACGATTGAGTGGAGGGGGAAGTCTAGGCGGAAAGACGAGCGGTGTGTCGGCGATTCAGAGCGGCGGAGGTCTGAAAAAGGTTGTTAGAAGTATAATTGAGACTTTGCAAAAGGACTAGTAAACACTCGGTAATTTCTGCAAGTTCGGAGGTAAGTTCTCATCAAAACATTCCCGATTCGAAACTCACCAAGATCAAGTTCAACTTGGGCGGAAGATCATCGATGTCACTCGCTTCTTCGTACTCATCATGCGCCGTGTATTCGTAGGTGTCGGCCACATCAAACGAATGGCCGTACGCGTAGCGGCGTCGCTTCTCTTTCGCCGTCTCCATGTTCCTTTGGATCTGCGCGTATTCCGGACTCTCCACCTTCCGCCGCAGATGCTGAAGGAACTTTTCTCGTGTCGAAATGAACTTCCGAACGATTGTCGAGGCGGTTTGAGTGCTTTGCAGCTCCTTCACATCCACGCCAGTCTTCTGGCTCTTGTTGAGGGGGCGATAGACGGTGGTGGCGATGGAAATATCATCGTCCGGGTCGTCGAACGAATCGCTGGTGTAGGTGGTGCCCGAACCTGTCAAAGTGCCTTCAAATTAGAGGGGTTTAAGCCGGAGACAAGACATGGCTTTCGGGCCGGGCCCAGCCCGCACATGGTTTTGCCTGGCCTGTTACAATTTTTCACGTCAGACCTTTTTCAGCTGTCGCTCGCACCTTGACTAATACGAATGGACTAGTAAGAAATGTCAATAGTTATAAGGCCAACTTAATCTTATAATATTATCTAGTACAGTTTGGCCCGACCCAAAAGCCATGTCTACTAGCGACTTACTGCTTGTTTCCATTGAAACTTGAAGGTGTTGCAGATCATTTTCGGTCGCTGCCTGTGGCGTGTAACTTTCATCCGAGATGACTGACTGCGGCGTGGAACAGGAGTAGCCAACGGACTCGGTGAAGGAGGTCTGAATGGTGGCGTTGGCTTTGACGAGACGGTCTTGACTCTGAAAAGAAATTTTATGAGGACTAACTGTGTAGGGGCAGCTGAAAAAATCTATTTTGCCCGCTCGAAATTTGCCGAGTTAAGAGGAAAAGAAAATTTTTAACCTCGAGAAATATCCCTTTTTCTTTCTCTATCAGTCTGTCGGAAAAATAATGAGCACAATGTCGATGCGCCAACCGCGTTGCACAGCATGCAGAAAAAACAATTTTGCCGCGGCACAAGTAGTTTTCTCGACGGAGATGCAATTTTCGGTAAGACAGTGCTCATTATTTTCCCGACAGAACGATATTTTGAATCCACCCACCTGATAGCGACTTCCATTTCTCGAGTTCTTCTCCGATTCCAACAGTAAAATCCTCTCCTCCAACGCTTTCACATACGCCATCAGCTCCTCGTCCGGCGGCTTCTTCGGCGTCTCCGTTCTGCGGTTTTCATTCGGCGACTCACTCCATTTCAGCGATCCGTTCTCCATCTGACAGCACTGCTCTTGGTAGTTGCATTGCGAACAACAAGGCGGCGCGTAGCAGCACTGTTGTTGCTGTTGCAGAGTGTGGGCGTGGCTCTCGTAGGTCTGATGGGCTTGTTGCAGGTCGCGAACTTGTCGTTGCTTCTGAATCCGCACCTTGTCCAAGTAAAGGCATAGCCGACGGAGTTCGACGTTCTCCTCGATGAGCTTTCGTTGAGCGTTTTCGGCCTCCAACGCGCGTTGCTGACAGCAACAGTTCTGAAGGTGCGATATTTTGGGTTTATAGAAGTGTGATTCAGTTAACGTCGGAAGTAGCCCAAGTGCGGCGCTCAGATTTTGATGAAACTTGGCACAAATTTAGAATAAATTTTTCTATGACGTATGCAAGCCCGCTAACTCGCGCTTTGCAGAAACCAACGAGATTTTTAGACCGAAAGATGATATTATAGAAATTTGACATTTTTTGCAATTTTGGCGTTCAAAGTTTCATCCCGCTTTCTACTGCAGGGAGTAATGTTTAGACATAAAACTTAAGTTTTTCCGTCTATGGCCAAAAGTTATTTTTCTTTGGTCGCGCTCCACATTTTGCGTACTCTCTGGGCCGCAAAGGCCGCTGAATATCTCGGCGGCGCCTGGAAAGTACAAGCTAAAACTCTCGGAAATTGATACGTGTCCCATGCCCAACGTATGCGCAAAATTTATAGAAAATCCGAACGTTGCACTTGGAGTGCTTCCACTTGCCGGCACAATATCAGTCTGCCGGGAAAATGGTGGCAAGTTGTCGCGCCTTTGAATAGCCCATCATCGCTTTGCCACGGCAAGTCGCAGCTGGAGACCACTATTTTCCCGACGGGCTCATAGTAAATGTAATATTTTAACCAAAATTATTCAAAACCCTACCTTGTCTCTCCAATAATTGACGCTCTCCCGATCCTTCGACTGTGTCTTCCTTAACGGGAAATAATACTGACCGGTGGCCAGATTTTGCTGACTTCTAGCCACCCCCTTCCCAGCGGTCATCCTCTTTTTGAAGCTCTTTATCTCATCATAAAGACTTTTCATAATCGAAAATTAAGATGCCACAAATCTCTTTGGAACCCTTATTCAAAAACAGCCCTCAGGCCATAGAGAAGGCCCGTAATTTTTGGGTCAGCGCTTCCTACCGCCTTCTCTTCCCAGTTCGATCCGGTGGGGGGCCGAACGGGCGGGACCACGTAAACATTACACTACGTCGATCACTCGGCATTCCTCGAGAGATGTTATAAAACGCAAGGGGGCGCTTAATTCGCTAGTCATTTTTCTTCTCTCGGTCATTTGCTTTTCATTTGGGCGAAAAATAACGCAAGGATCGGCAGAAGGGCCCGGATCAGTGGGCCATCTCTCATATCGAACATTATTAACATCTGGATGATGTTTCCCCGGGAATTTTAATTTCTTGTGTTAGGAAATGAAAATGCTGTAATAGTAAGGAAGTATATTTAGGCATGGCTCAATGATCGATCTAGAGCCGCGGGCCAGGCCCTAGAGAATGCTGGTCCGGGCAGGCCGGCCTGAAGAAAAATCAGTTGAATAGGCTTGCTGTTTTTTAGTTTGTCGGGAAAATAATGTGCACTCGCATCGAAAATCGCATCGTCGCAGAGAAAATGAGTTGTGGCAACAAAATCAAATAAATTTCGCGACGCCATTGCCGCAGAGACATTGTGCCCATTATTTTCCCGACATACTGATATTAGCAGTTTCATAAAGTTTTGCACATTCCAAGCCTCAAAAAAGCCGTTTGCACTGTGCAAATTTCTATAGCGACGTATTAGTCAAAACTTGCCTACGTTGTAGCGATATTTCAAAGGACAATGCACAATGCAAACCTAAAAAAATAGCCGTTTGCACTGTGCAAAAAATGCAGTGCTTTTTCTCCACGGTGTGGGACGCGTCAAATGTTCATGCACTTTATGAAAATACTATCAGTCTGTCGGGAAAATAATGAGCATTCTGTCGCATTGAAAAGCGCATCGCCGCCGAGAAAATTAATTGTGTTGCGGCAAAATCAAATTTCTTTTTAGTACAGCGACGCAACAGCGATATTTTGGTCCTTGTTTTCCCGACAGACTCACAGTTTCTGGGAAGTCAAAAAAATGGTCCATGCCTTGACAAATCATCTGCTAAACTATAAGGTCAAAAATTATCAAAAACAACTACATATGGCTCTGTCTTTATTGTCGCTTCGTTGAAAACAATCGGACATCCGACCGCGTGGGATAGCCGGCACTTTTCGACTTTTTCGGCGCCGCTTCTGGTCCCCACACCTGCCGCAGCTCCGCGAAATGCCGATCGCCGCTGTTGATCACGCTAATCTTCTGCCCCAACGCATTCCTCATCGCCATGTCCTTGCCGTGTTCGGCCGGACGGCACGGGATCTTCTTGCGCAACAACGGCTCGTTCCAAAATATCCAGAACGGGATGGCAATGTCGAAGGATTGGAAGACAATGTCGTGCAGCGCGCCAACATAGCGCGACTCCATCAGCAAGCAATGGGGCACCATGTAGGCAAGGATGAAGACCAGAATTGGAAGACCGATGAACAAGCGGACTAATGAGAGGTACATCACGGACTTTTGAATCGATAGGGAGCGGAGTTGAATGGAGATCTGCAAAAGCCAAGTTTAGAGGGCCGTATTTAAGCCTAGCTCAAACTATATTCATAAAAATATAGTGTGTCACGATGACATTATCTAAAATGGGCCTGTGGTACCAAAACGGCTCCAGAGGGCTAGGACTACTCCCTGGAGTATCCATAGAAAATATAAGGTTCAAAATTCTAGCCAACAGTCATCAATTTGGATGACTAATTTCCCGGATTTCTTTTTTGGATGACGTTTTTTCCGAATTCATGCGAATTATGGCGTGAAAAGTGTCACTATAGTAGAAGAACATTTTTCCACAAAAAAGTTAATTTTTTTCTGTCGCTGGCGAAAGTATCGCAAAAAGGGTGCTTTTTCTCTGATCTCCTCTCTCCACGCTCCGCACACTCTCCCTACGGCAAAAGACTGTTCAATCTCTAGGCAAAGATTTGGGAGCCTTCCATTGTTAGTGAGGGGAGTTGGCGTTGCGGTTTTTGTGCCGGACCACATTCATTACCAGTAGGCCTACACTTGCGGACAACCACTTTGCGGGCTGCTACATATAACAAAAAAACCACGGAGATTCCGAGGGGATGTTTCGAAATCCGCCAACATTTGCTTGCAACAAGAAATTCAAACGATTTTTTTGGCAGTTAGATGTTGCAAATTATGTTTACAGGTGTATAAGTGGTTTGAAAAGTGACTATAACGTTATCCCGGCATTTCTAAAGGTTCAGAAACCATATTTTTGAAAACAAACCACCATAATTTCGCAAGCGGTGAGTGGATTCAATTGATTCGTGTGCTTATCAGTACAAAGGAGTCGTCAATACAAAATTTCTATGATACTACGTAGATTACGAAAGGGAAATTGCAGTTGTGGCCGGTAAAAGTCGGCTGTCCACAAAATGGTTGACCGCAAAAGTTGCGAGATCCCATTACTTACCATTGTCTTGTTATGGAGGTCAAACTTATGTTGGAAGTACAAACTGGCCAACTGGCTCTTGAACGGGATTGTCAACTAAAAAATACACTTTAATTTTTGATTTTTCCTATAGAAACATCTGAAAAAGCACTTACAACCACACTGCCGGCCGTGACAGTGAACATGAGAGATGCCAGTAGAAGATGGTAAGTATTGGCTAAACAAAACTCAGCGATTTCCCAACCACTTACTGTGCGAATCGCCGAAAAGCCCAACAATCGAAAGGACCCATGAAATGAGAGTGCATAGCAGTCCATTAAACGCTCCCTTGCATCCGAAGTTGGAGTTTGTGAACTTGCAAAATATATATAACATGATGCCGGATATTGCGATCATATCGTATTTGGAGCAGACGAAAAAGTCGTGATACAGACCCATCCTATCGTCCTTCGAATACGTGTATCTGCTGTTGAAGACAACGTTTATGAGGATGATAAGTCTAAAGATTTTCAATGGATATATGGCTCGAGAAGTCTAAATTTTTGAGTGTCCAAAAAATGTGTCAAAAAGACAGCTGTTTAGAATGTAAGATTAAAGATTAAACAGAGGTTATGCATAGCTAAGACAACCTCTATTAGTATAGTGGCGGACCTGATCCATTGGCCAAAAATGTACCATTTTGCATCCGGGAAGTATCAAAAATGCAGCAAAATACCTCCTTCTCGAAGTGAAAAAAGTCCGATTTCAAAAGCGCGCCCTTTCAAACTGAGTTTTTTTAGTGGGAGAGGGAGGCATTTTGCCACATTTTTGATACTTCCCGGATGCAAAATGATACCTTTTTTGCCACTGGATCAGGTCCCACACCGAATTTGCACATCAGTCCGTCGGGAAAATAATTATTTTACAAGCACTCTGTTGCATCAAAGATCGCATCGCCGCAGAGAAAATCAATTATGTAGCGGGAAAATAACATTGTTTTTTATTCCAGACGGACTCATAAAGTGCATGGACGCTTTCTCTCTTTCGCACAGTGCATTTTGAACTTTTTCTAGACTTGTCACCAACGCACAGTGCATTCTTCTCTTTTCGCACAGTGCAGGCCCGAAAAAAGTTTTTTTGAACTGTGTGAACCCTTCAGCAGATCCTAGGCGGCGATTAAAGAAATTTTTACGCCGCAGCAAGATCGAGTTAAAGTGCACAGTGCAAAAATAAGGGGTTTTTGTGCACGGTACGGATCGCGTTAAAATTTCCTTGTACTTTATGAAAATAATAATACAGTCGCCACAAATCAATTTAGGTTCAAAACTTTTATAATGTCCAATTTGAAAGACGGATTTTCTGGACTTTCTTGGACTTTTTCCCCGGCGAAAGTCTTTGCAATACCTCAAAGTTTCTTGACATGCTCTGGAGGGTACTCCTTGATATATACAGCCGTTTTTTATCCCAATGGCACATTTTACAAGGAAGTACTTTTAGTGGCTGAGTGGCTAGTGCCGCAGCCTGGGAATCAAGAGGGGCGATGCCGCACGGGTTCGATTCCCCTTTTGGCCTAAATCAACTTTTTTGAAGGTCTGAAAAATAAATTTTTATGCCAAGACAGATTTATTATGCTTTCGAAACACAACAAACATCATTTCCAGTTAAAATGAAATTTGCAAACCTGTGAAAAATTAAACGAAAAGGGTTTATATAGGACTTTAAATCAACTTGCGGTGGATTTTTCACCCCTAAAAACCTAAAATGGACAGCTAATATTTCCATATCCTTGAGCAGCGTGATGACACAATTTTTTTGAGGTATGTCTAAAAGTAAAGTAGGAGCCCCCATAAAAGTACTTTTCTTGTTAAACAAGTGCTATTGTGATACATTTCTGGACACACAAATATTTAGAATTCTCCAACCATATATTCACCACACCTACCGCAGACTCAGGTATCCAAACGAGCAAAAGCTCTCGTTCAACAAAAGCACTTTACTCAAACTGGTCAACAATCGATACCGAATGATCGACACTGTAAAAATGAGCGTCGTATAGAGCGAAACAACCACCACGACCAGCTCAATGGCGGAGACAACCTTCAGGTTAAAGGGCACGTCGTCGGGACTGTCGCAACAGCAAGCTTTGGATGGACTTGCGCTCATAAGACCCGTGGAGCCAAAGCTTGCAACGCCGCTGTCACGCGAAAACAATGACATTAACTTGGAGGACAGGAATAGGGTAGCGATGCGGTAAACACGTACAGCAGGCATAGGAATTCCATTAATACGTGATGCGATTAATTCGTTAAACTGTAAACAAACTTTTGGCCAGCTCCATGTGCGTATTGCCTACCAAAAGAATCTCATAAAGTGCGTAGACATTTTTCGCCGGTTTGTCGCTCATGCACCGTGCATTTTGCCTGTTTGCCGCTCACGCACCGTGCATTTTGCAAAATGGGGAAAAAAGCGCAACGCACGGTGCGGTGCGCGGCAAAAGCGTTGCGGCAGAACTCTCCCCAATCTGAACTCTCCCCCTTTTTTAACTCTCCCCTTAAATGAACCCTCCCCTTTTTGAACACTCCCCCTCATTTTGAAAATTGAAAAAATGAGGTGTGACATGTTATACGATGAAAATTTTTTTCAAATTGAGAAAAATTGGGTGTGACATTTTATACGATGATTTTTTTTCAAATTGAGAAAAATTTGGTGTGACATGTTATACGCCGGAAATTTTTTTCAAATTGAGAAAAATTTGGTGTGACATTTTATACGATGAAGTTTTTTTTCAAATAAGAAAAAATGAGGTGTGACATGCTATACGATGAAAACTTCTTTCAAATTGAGAAAAATGAGGTGTGACATCTTATACGATGGAAATTTTTTTCAAATTGAGAAAAATTAGGTGTGACATGTTATACGATGAAATTTTTTTTCAAATTGAGACAAATTGGGAGTGACATCTTATACGATGACAATTTTTTTCAAATTGAAAAAATGGTTTGAAAAAATTTTCCATCGTATAACATGTCACACTTCGATTTTTTCAATTTTCAAAATGGAGGAGTGTTCAAAAACTGGGAGAGTTCAGATTTTTTGGTGAAAATAAAAAAAGGGGGATTGTTTCGCCTTTTTTGGGGGAGAGTTGAAAAAGGGGGAGAGTTCAGAAAAAAAGCAGAGTTCCGGGTTGCAAAATGTGAGCAGAGCTACACATTTTGCAACCCGGCAAAATGTCTACGCACTATGGCAAGACTAGTACATATATAAAAGACTTCATTTTACACGGAAACGATAACGATTACATACTACATACACCAAAATACTACACTACATTCATCGGCCATATGAATTCATCCATCCCTGACTATTATAAAATGATACTTTGAAATTGTTCTGTATATGTTACACTATTGCTCTTGAAGTTTATTTAAAAAAATTGGCGATACAAAGAAATACAATTTTCAGTTCCCTTTCTGCAAAATGTCATATCATCGTTTCATTGAATTGAGGTGAAATTGAAAGGTGTAAATAGCTTAACGAACTCAAGATCTATGAATATCATCTTTATATTAAACCCGAAATTCTTACAACGGAAGTGTTGCAAATTGTCTTGAACCTTTGCACGCAAGATTAGATACATATCGGTTTGTTGGGAGAATAATATATAAGCATTTTGTCGCATCGAAAATCGCATCGCCGCCGAGAAAGTAAATTTTGTTGTGGCAAAATTAAATTGCGTTTCACTTCAGCGACGGAATAGGCGCAGCGACATGCGCTCATTATTTTCCCGACAGACTGATACTAGGCGCGCCATACAGTCCCGACGCAAGGATGCAGCATTGTTTTCTTGAGACGAAGTTGGTGGTCTTGGAAGGTTTATGAAATCGGTTAGATAAGGCCCTACCATATAAAACACACGCCAGTAGATAGCGTTTTCAGCGTTCTTTAAGATAGTCTAAACAAAAAATTCGAAATTTTATTTCAACCTGTAAATAATGCAAAAAGAAAAAACGACATGGCTTGAGATGGAGACCCTTATACTGACCAGGCAATGGAATCTCGACTGATACACTCCATGATTTTACATGTGATTAGTGTGAATAAATTGAATTGAAAGCGACAAAGTCATACTTCTAGACCTCATATCAGTCTGTCGGGAAAGCAAAATGTCTCGCCTCGCCGCTATCGCGCACCAAATCTCCAGCTGCAGCCGCAAAGCGACGATGGGCGATTGCAAGGCGCGACAATCCTCCGTTATTTTCCCGACAGACTGATAGTTTCTTTCCGAAGATATACATGTATAGTACAAACTCTCAAAAGACGTGTTTCACACTTTTCGGATTAAAAATAGCAGTGTCTTCGGTAAAGCGCGAGCTTGGAATCTAGCATATGCCCAATAAATAAAATAGCCTAGTGTTGTCCTGACTTTTATTATAATCTGAGCGTAAAAGTTTCCTCAAAAATAGCCTTCAAAAGCAAAATACTACGCCTTTCAAATGCGCGTAAACTTTTCTTCTCGACGCATCAATTGCACGGCACAAAAGTCCAACTGCACAGTGCGGAAAGCTTGCGACAAAAATTCTACGCACTTTTGAAGCCGCATAGTATTAATACAATTTTACTGAATCTTACGTAAGATGATACAACTTGAGGCGTTAGCGGAGGAATTTTGATGACTTTCTCCCCTCCTCTACCTCACGTTTTCCCACATGCCCTTCAACTCTTCGAAATGTTTGTCGCCGTTGTTGCTTAGACTGATCTTCTGCCCCAGGGCATTTCTCATTCCCACATCTTTGTTTCGCCGCCGACTGAAGCATGGAGCCTTCTTCCTCAACAGTGGCTCGTTCCACAATGTCCAGAATGGGATGATTGTGTCAAAACTCTCAAAAATGATATCGTGCAAGGCCCCAACATATCTAGATCCGGTTATCATACATGCTGGCGCCATATAGGCGTAGATAATGGTCAAGATCGGGGCGCCGATGTAGAGACGGGCCAGAGAAAGATAGAGGGCTGATTTTAAAATGCTCAAGGAACGGAGTTGAATCGAGATCTAAAAATCGAGCGATAGAGACGACAAGGAAATACTCTTACCATTGTCTTGCTGCGGAGGTCGAATTTGTGCTGGCTGTATAAGCGGGATAAATGGCGTTTAAATGGAATTGTCAACTGAAGCAATCAATGTGAAAGGAAATCATTTTTTTAACAAAGAAAGTCTCCTTTATGGGGCTCCTACTTTTAGACGGGACTTAAATCAAAAAAAAAATACGTAAAATCATGCTGATTAAGAATTGTAAAACTTAGCTGCCCAGTTTTGGGTTTTAGGGGCTAAAAGTTAATCGCAAGCTGACATAGAGTATAAAGTATTACATAAACCCCTATTCGCTCAATTTTTCGCAGGTTCAAAAATTTTATCCTACAGGGGGAGTAACACAGGTGCGATGCTCAGATTTTCTTTACATTTTGCACACATGTCGGGCATGGACTAAGTATCGACCCCTGAAAATTTTAACTCGCACTTTACAACCGAGATATTGAACGACCTCTGCGGCCGAGAGAATACCCTAAACGAGAGCGGTCAGAGGGAAAAAGGTTTTTGGCCATAACTTTGCCAGTTTCGTGCGGAAAAAATGGATTTTTTGTAGAAACATTACCCTTGACGGTAGAAAAAGGCACAAAACTTTTCGTGCCAAAATTCGGCAGAAAGTCCTAAATTTTCGCCGACTTTCGATCTAAAAATCTCGGTTGTTTCTGCAAAGCGCGAGCTAGGATTCTCGCGTATATTTTAGAAAAAATTATTCTAATTTTGTGCCAAGTTTTACCAAAATCCGAGTGTCGCACTTGGGGTACTTCCCCTGTAAGCTTAAAATGATGACTCTTCAGTTTCTAAGACGTAATAAACATGTAACTCACCATGACACTAACCGTCGTAACACTGAACACACCAGCCAGCGTGATCACGTACAATATTTGAACTGCGACAGAAGTAATCTTATTTTTTCTCCACTTACTTTGCGGATCTCCAAGATTGCCGGAAATGGCAAACGTCCAAGCAGACGTAGAGCATGACAGCCCGTAGAACAGCCCTCTCCGTCCGAAATTCGCATTTGTGTACTTGGAAAAGAGGTATAAAATGATTCCGGACACTCCCATCATGTTGTACTTGGTTAGGACGAAGAAGTCGTGGTACATTCGGATGGGATCTGTCCGTTCGTACGAGTACTGGCTATCATAGACGATTTTGACCAGGGTTATGAGGCTGTAACCGAGTTTATTGCACAGTATGAGCCATTGAAACACGATTTCTGAGTGAGTGTAGCAGCCCTTGACATAGAAAATTTCGATCTCGGGTTTTTTGCCTTAATGTGACCGACATCATCCTAAAAACTTATTGGCAAAACAGTTTTGCCTACTTCCGCCGTTAACATAGTTGTTTTTACAATTTATTGTTCATACAGTAATCCACAATAATTCAGTAATGACCATACAGATATTCATGAAATTGTGCATACTGATGTTTTCGAACTCGTAGATTACAAAAAAAGTGGTTTTGCCTCATTAGGATTACTGTAACATACCAAACTTCCGATTCGGCCGCCAAAAATTGGCCGTAAAAAGTTTTTTTCTGAAAACCCACAGCTGATTTTTACATATGTTAATCAGCATAAAATTCTGCCCTAAAAAAGTTAAAAAAAGTCCAAAAAGTGGGGCGGCATTTTTCATGGTATAGTGGTTTCGGGTCAGCGTCCCGAGTTCGAGTCCGCCTGGATGCAAAAACCAAAAATAAAGAGTAAATTAGTTTTGATGTGGTCTTGGGGTCTGTATGAGGGAGACTGAATAATTTTAGACATAGATGATAACCCTATTTGAGATAAAAATGGATTTTATATAATTTTAGATGACAAATTCGTGAAAAATAAAACGTCTTCAAATTGCTTGAAAATGATAACAACTCTTCTAGAAATAATTCTAAGAAACTTTTCCGTTAGCTTTTTTTGATTGCTTACTGTACCATGGAGTACTGTAACATAAAACTTTTTTTCCTTAACCGTGGTTTTCTTCTAAATTCTTCAAATGAAATTTTGAATTTTTTTGGTTAGCTTTTCTAAACGGTCGAAACCATGCGCGCTGCATATTTAAAATAAAATTCCATCTCTATTCCAGTGTGTATTCATATCATCGTTAATTGGTGAAACTTCGGGAGATTTCTCAGGTCTTTTGAATCGTACGGCCATAGAAACATTTTGGTGTTCCAACCGACTCATTCTTAACCATTTCTATCATTATAATGATAGTCCGATGTCTCTGCGCTCTGTGGTATGTGAAAAACTAAATCGGGTTTAATGTTACAGTACTCCATGGTACAGTAAGCAATCAAAAAAAGCTAACGGAAAAGTTTCTTAGAATTATTCCTAGAAGAGTTGGTATCAATTTCAAACGATTTGAAGACGTTTTATTTTTCACGAAATTATCACCTAAAATTATATAAAATCAATTTTTATCTCAAATAGGGGTATCATCTATGTCTAAAATTATTCAGTCTCCCTCATACAGACCCCAAGACCACATCAAAACTAATTTACGCTTTATTTTTGGTTTTTGCATCCAGGCGGACTCGAACTCGGGACGCTGGATTGGTAGTTCTGACCCAAAACCACTATACCATGAAAAATGCCGCCCCACTTTTTGGACTTTTTTTTAACGTTTGTAGGGCAGAATTTTATGCTGATTAACATATGTAAAAATCAGCTGTGGGTTTTCGGAAACAAACTTTTTACGGCCGATTTTTGGCGGCCGAATCGGCAGTTTGGTATGTTACAGTAATCCTAATGAGTCAAGACCACTTTTTTTGAAATCTACGAGTTCGAAAACATCAGTATGCACAATTTCATGAATATCTGTATGGTCATTACTGAATTATTGTGGATTACTGTATGAACAATAAATTGTAAAAACAACTATGTTAACAGCGGAAGTAGGCAAAACTGTTTTGCCGATAAGTTTTTAGGACGATGTCGGTTGCAACAAGGCAAAAAACCCGAGATCGAAATTTTCTATGTCACGGCCTAACTAAAGGCTGCTTCACTGACTCAGAAATCGTGTTTTAATTGTAAGAACTGGATTTGAATTCGCAAAATATTTTTTTTTTAATTTTTTGTTTTCGAAAAAATGAATTTTTCTTTTATTTTCGACATTAAAATTTGTATTTCGGACGCTATTTTTGTGTCTGGCGTTTAGTTCAGGTGCTTTCTTTTCTTTACATATGTACATAAACAGTGTTTTGTTTGAAAAGCATGACGTTTAAAAAATAACGCCAAAATACAGAGCCGGGCTACGGAAATTTGAGGGTTTCAGAGCCAGGCCGAGCTTCGAAAATTTTGAAAATGGGCCGGCCCCACGCTTTACCGGCCCGGGCTTCAGCGTGTGGAGCAAAAAGCCCAGCCCCATTGTCATATCTGCGCCATAGTCAATGAAATTTTTTTTTGTAGCACACTGATACTCTATAACTTGCTCTGAGCTTCCCAAAACGCTCGCAAGTTACTGGTCCTTCCGAAAAGCTGGCGGGCTGAAATTGGCGACACGCACTGCGCGAAAACAAACGTTTTCTTTGGATTGTGCAATTTCTTGCCGTTTGCACCGTGCAATAGGCTTTTTTGGCGATAGCTCGCATCTTGACTTTGTTGCCTTCCTTATGCAGTGCAAACGCCAAAAAATCAGTCAGATAACTTTCCTGAGGGACAAGCAGAGGCAAAACAAGCTAGAGAGCTCTTCGTGACCCACCTTTTATAATATTATTATTATAAAGGCCCTACTCAAAAATTATACATATTTAGCCTCACTCACCGTAAACTGAGGTATCCAAACGAGCAAAAACATTCGTTCAACAGCAGCACCTTGCTTAGATTAGTAAGCAATCGATATCGACTTATTGCGACGACAAAAATAACTTCCGTAGAGAGTGAAATAAGAACAATAAGCAGTTCAACCGCTGACAATATCCTCAGTCCGTCAGTAACGTCCGGACTGCTGAGGCAGTGAAGCTCTAAATTTGATGTCATAAATCCTTTCTTAGAGTGAAAATTTCGCACTGAAGCAGGAATGTGAGTACGGCTGTCTAATTGAATACTAAATTTTGAAACTTCAGGGGCGGAAATATTTATGCAAGCGAACAAGAAACAAATGGAATACATTAGGTTACAGGTAATGCAATCATCGGAGTAGTTACTTATTTATTGCAACTTTCTACAACATGTGTATTTTCCGAATATATAATACAGACATGTTACTAGTCCTTCCGGAAAGTCGCCGGACGGAAATCGGCGACATGCACTCTGCGAAATCGAAAGTTCACTTTGCACTGTGCAATTTTTGGCTTTTTGCACTGTGCAATAAGCTTTTTCGAGCTGTCGCTCGCACCCTGAGTTTTTTCTCACAGTGCAATGTCGCCGATTTCCGTCCGGCGACTTTCCGGAAGGACTAGTTTCAGCAAGTCGGGAAAATAATGTGGATTCGTCGCGTCTTAAAATCATTAGCGCTTTGCGACGACTGCCGCGGCTGGAGGTTTTGTGAGCGACTGCGACGAGGCGAGAAATTTTGCCGCGACTAACCCACATTATTTTCCCGACAGACTGATACATCTTTACCCCTGGCAGAGCCCACAGTTGAAAAAGTGCACAGTGCACTTTTTTAACTGTTCCAGAAAATGCACAGCGCATTTTTCACTTGCACCAGGAACTGCACAGTGCGGTTCTCATTCGCACCAAGAATTTCACAGTACGTTTTTCAGCTGTTCCAGAAACTTCACAGTGCGTTTTTCACTTACGCTAGAAACTGCGCAGTGCGTTCTGATTTGCACCTGAAGCTTCACAGTGCACTTTTTTTAACTGTTCCAGAAAATGCACAGTGCTTTTTTCTCTTGCACCGAGAACTGCACAGTGCGGTTTTCATTCGCACCAAGAATTTCACTGTGCGTTTTTCAGCTGTTCCAGAAACTGCACAGTGCGTTTTCACTTACACTAGAAACTGCACAGTGCGTTCTGATTTGCACCTGAAGCTTCACAGTGCACTTTTTTTAACTGTTCCAGAAAATGCACAGTGCTTTTTTCTCTTGCACCGAGAACTGCACAGTGCGGTTTTCATTCGCACCAAGAATTTCACTGTGCGTTTTTCAGCTGTTCCAGAAACTGCACAGTGCGTTTTCACTTACACTAGAAACTGCACAGTGCGTTCTGATTTGCACCTGAAGCTTCACAGTGCGTTTTTCAACCGTTCCAGAAAGTGCACCATGCATTTTTCACTTGCACTAGGAACTGCACAGTGCATTTTTCAACTATTCCAGAAACTGCACTGTGCGCTTTTCACTTGCACCAGGAACTCCACAGTGCGTTTTTCAGCTGTTCCAGAAACTACAGAGTGGGTTTTTCACTTGTTCCAAAGACTTCACAGTGCATTTTTCGTTTGAACTAGGAACTGCACAGTGCATTTTTTCATCTGTACCAGAAACGCACAGTTCGGTTTTTATTCGCACCAAGAACTGCACAGTGCATTTTTCAACGGTTCTAGAAGCTGCACAGTGCGTTTTTCAAAGCTGCCAGAAACTGCAGAGTGCGGTTTTCATTCGCACCAGGAACTGCACAGTGCATTTTTCAACTGTTCCAGAGACTGCACAGTGCATACTTGCCCAACTTGCAAATTGTCGAAACTTTATGTTGCGATAAGTAGATCAAGAGGTTAGGATCTCATATTGCAAGAGTAAACCGTATAATATGCACAGCACAAAAAACATAGTGCATCACTGTCTTCTACCCTTCAATTTTCCACATCCCCCGCAGCCCTTCGAAATATCTATCGCCATTGTTGCTCAGACTGATCTTCTGTCCCAAGGCGTTCCTCATTCCCACATTTTTGCTCTGCCGTTTACTGAAGCATGGAGCCTTCTTCCTCAACAGTGGCTCGTTCCACAATGTCCAGAATGGGATGATTGTGTCAAAACTTTCAAAAATGATATCGTGCAGAGCCCCAACATATCTGGACGCGTTCATCATGCATGCTGGCGCCAGGTAGGCATAGATAATTGTCAAGATCGGGGCGCCGATGTAGAGACGGGCCAGAGAAAGATAGAGGGCTGATTTTAAAATGCTCAAGGAACGGAGTTGAATCGAGATCTAAAAATTGGGCGATAGAGAAGAAAGAAACTTTTCTTACCATTGTCTTGTTGCGGAGGTCGAATTTGTGCTGACCGTATAAGCGGGATAAATGGCGTTTGAACGGGATTGTCAGCTGAAGCAATCAATGTGAGGGGAAGTCAATTTTTCAACAAGGAAAGTACTTTTATTGGGGCTCCTACTTTTAGACGGGACGAGTTTCAAAAAATACGTTAAATCGTGCTGAAAAAGAATTTGTGAAATTTAGCCGCCCTGTGTCGGGTTTTAGGGCTTAAAGTCAATCGCAAATTGACATAAAGTCCTGCATAAACTCCTATTGTGCTACTGTAAGCGAGATAAAAAGATAAAAGTTTGAATTGGGTTGTCAACTGGGGCAATCAACATATACCGTCACGGAAAAATTCAGGCGAAAAAAGGTATCCAATTGCCTCAGTAAATCACATATTTTTTCTATACAGTGACGTATACGGGCACAACTACTAGGCGAGAAAAACCCACTGCTAATGAAACACTATTTTTGTTGGATTTCTGGATGCGTTTTCTCTGTCATATCATCCTGTCTAAGACTATCATTTTCATAAGGAAATTTATTTATTAAAATCTTAGTTTGCTTTTGGCAGCTGATAGTTCATGCGGGAATTTCTGAGTGTTTCTGAGTCACTGTTTCAGCTGTTCGTACATACAGGAAATTTTAAATAGATGAGGTTATGAGACATGGCTTCCGGTCGATATTTCCACGAAAGCTTTAAATAAATGTGAACCTCCCTATTTAAGTATTTTACTTCTTGGATAACGTCAAAGATACCAGTCTGTCGGGAAAATAATGAGCAATTTCGCATCGAAAATCGCATGAAAAAATTAATTGTGCCACGGCCAAGTCAGGTTGCCTTTAAATTCAGCGATCGGCGCCGCGACATTGTGCTCATTATTTTCCCGACAGACTGATATAAAATAAAGTTTCCGCGCAGTAAAAAGCAATCTCATAAATTCCTCGACTCACCACGACACTGACGGTTGTAACGGAAAAGAAGCCAATGAACGCGAACACATAGAGCATTTGTACTGCAGTCACAGTCATTTTTCTTTCAATTTGACTTACTTTTCGGATCATAAACTATACCGGTCACTGCAAAGGTCCAAGCCAACAGACAAAAGAACAACCCATTGAAGAGCCCTTTCCGTCCAAAATTTGTTTTTGTGTACTTGGAAAACAAGTATACAGGGTGACCCAAAATAACGGAGACAAATTTTGGAAGGGCCCACCGCGAAACCCGGGCGTTAAAGAAACACAAGCGACAGTGGGTAATATTCTATAAGACTTTCTCTATAATCCACGAAAATTTGGCGGAGTCATCATGTCGCAGGAAAAAGTTACAGCTTAACAAAAATGCCTTGCGCCATTTTTTGGCCCTCAATTTTGGTTCCTTTGTGTTGTGTAGAGCATGGCTGTACTACAGCCGCAGAAATGGCAAGTTCATTTGTTTTGCTAGACTACTACGTCTCTAAGCAAGCAGTTATGTAGGTTTCTGGGCTACGGTTTTTATTTCTACGGTGGTACCAATCTCAACATTGAAGATCGCCATTTTTTCCAAATTTTTTCAATCAAAAATTCAGTTTTTTTAGAATAAAGCTAAAACCGCTAGAATGTATTCTATTCATAAATACAATAATTCTGGAAAAAGCTGTGATTGCTTGCTGGTTGCAACAGATTTTCCTTGACAAGTTTCTCGCCCAGAACCACCCTATGGCACGCGGCTTTGAGAAAGATGGGTTATCGATAACAAAATGACAAGATAGATAAAAACGGCGCATTCTGCTCTTGTACAATTATGAATACGACTCTTGAGAAACGGCCTAGGGCACTTTCGGTCTTTATGTGTCACCGGCTCGACTGGTATTCCGCCTAAGGCAAAAATAAGGCACAATTCTAGTGATTACCAAATAGCATTCCGTAGCAGTTACAAAATGTTTCTCTTTTGGTTCTATGCTGTTCCTTTAATCATGTTGTAGTAACTCATATTACATTTTGCCTTATCTAACATTTAAACTCCTTTTTACCGATACATTTTCAAAAAAGGCCGATTTTTGCACTTCAACTCCCTGAAAATACTCGGCTGTAACTTTTGAACCATCGATAGTTGAGCTTAGTACGATGGCTCGTTTCAAAGGCCATATTATGATAATTAAGCAGAGCAAATCTCAAACTATTCCGAATTTTCTTTTTTTAGTAAGGCAGCTTTCTTGCAAAAAGACCCCACGGGCAGAAAGGTCCGAGTCAACCGGATATATTGATGTGGTTCAAGGCACAAGAGCGTCGTACAACAAAACTTCCGGTATATAAAACTACACTAACGTGGTACTGTAGTATAAATAAGGAATCACTCATGAATCTTCATAGGCCGCAGAAAAAACGGGAAATCTTTTGTCTCCGTTATTTTGGGTCACCCTGTATTATGATTCCCGACAATCCCATCATGTTGTACTTGGTTAGGACGAAAAAATCGTGATACATTCGGATTGGATCAGCTCTGTTGTCCGAGAATTGTCGATTATTGACCAATGTGATGAGGCTATAGGAAATTTTTGAAATTTTTTTTGTGGCGTTATCAGTCTGTCGGGAAAATAATGAGCGCTCTGTGGCATCGAAAATCGCATCGCCGCTGAGAAAACGAATTGTCTCGGAGGAAAATCAAATTGCTTTCACTTCAGCGACATAGTCGGCGTAAAAACATTTTGCTCATTATTTTCCCGACAGACTGACAACGATCAAAGCACAGTGGTTTTTCATTCGAACTGCGGCCAATGCGCTCACTGGAAGCTTGCTGAAAATGGTAGGTCACCGTTTGGAAAAAAGCCGAAGCTACATCTGACAAGGGAAGCCACTTTTTTCGCAGACGGACTTTGGAACACGACCTAGTAGGTTTCAAACGTGAAGCGTCTGCGATCATAAAACTGTTTGACTTTACAGTATTCATGAACATTCAGCCTTGAATTTATGTTTAAATTGCTGTAAAAAAATAAGAAAGTGTATACATTTTATGTTTACATACTAAATCAATATTTACAAACCAAAAAAGAAAATAAACTGCGCAGAGGATCGAACCCGACCTTTCTGGCGCAAAAAGCGAGCGCGCTGAACACTCGGCCCCACTGCAGATGAAATAAGCTGTTTCTTTTGAGGAGGCTATTCGCTCATTTCGGCTAAACTTTGCGGTCGATTTTCTCGGCCGAGAAGCTCCGTAAACACTTTTGGAAATCAGTTTTGTGATCGCAGACGCTTCACTTTTGAAACCTACTAGGTCCTGTACCAAAGTCCGTCTGCGAAAAAGGTGACTTCCCTTGTGAGCTTTTTTCCGAGCTGCGCCCTACCAATTCCAGTGAATTAAAAATTTCAGCAAACTCTCGGCTATCGCAATGACCTGATTGTTTGTCTCGCAAAACCAGTCAGCGGTGCCGACCGCACGAACGAAAAGACGTCAAGACTTTCTGGCCGGCCGATCAGTATGTCGGGAAAATAATGAGTACAATGTCGCTGTGCCGATTGCCCCGCTGAATTGAAAAGAAATTTAATTTTGCCGCGACACAATTTATTTTCACGGCTTTTTCGACGCCGGATTTTGCTCACAAAAAAGTTTGGAATGATGTGCGGCGGCGATGTGATTTTCCGACTTTCGATGTGACATTGCGCTCATTATTTCCCCCACAGACTGGTAAGAGGGCCTACTCAAAATATATTGCCTTACTCACCGTAAACTAAGCGATCCAAACGAGCACAGGCATTCGTTCAGCAAGAGCACCTTGCTGAGATTCGTAAGCAGTCGATATCGACTCAATGCGACGACAAAAATCACTTCAGTAGAGAGCGAAACAAAGACGATGACCAATTCAACCGCTGACAAAACCCATAATCCGACCGAGATCTCGGGGGTGCTAAGACAATCAGGTTTCAAATTAGAGGTCATAGACTTTTCTCTGGAAGCAAATTTTTGCACTCCCAGACCGGCTGTCTAACTGAATAAATTTTGAAAGTTTGAGGGGGCATTAGTCAAGGAAACGAATATGAAAACACATGGAATATGTAATTGTGGGTCTCTGGGGCCTGTTTCATCAACGAAAAATAAATAAAATAAACGAAAGGGAAAGCGAGAGAACACCCAAAACACGTTTCGAAGCGAGAGAGTCGCGACAGATTAGTAGAGACCATCTATAGAGCGGCGCATTTATCAGAGAGTGACTTTTTACGTCCAAAACGGGGGTTCTCTACAGTAATCAGTGGATAACTCGGCTCCCGGTGGTCGTAGAATCACCCTTCCAAAAACCAAATAAAGCTATTCCCTAGAGCTACGTGATATCCAAATTTCATATTTATACTTCAAAAAATGAACTCAGTAGACACCTAGTAGATCGTAGTATTCAACTTTTTTGACGTTTTTTTCTGAAAAATGTTATTTTTTCAGTCAATTTTTGACATAATGGGATAAAATGGGTATCAGTCGATAGCCAAACGTTTACTCTACAAAACTTTTTTAGAGGGGCGGTTTACTTCAAAAAATGAACTCGGTAGACACCTAGTAGATCACAGTATTTACGCTTTTTTTACGTTTTTTCGGGAAAAACCTTTGTTTTTCACTCAGTCTTTAACATAATGGGATAAAATTAGTACCAGTCGATAGCCCAACGTCTAATCTATAAAAATTTTTAGAGGGGCGGCTTTATTTGCGTAAAAAGTCCTTCGATCGTTTCCGAAAAAACCAAAAGAGAGGAAAAGCGCCCTCGAAACGCGATGGTTTTTTGTGTCAAAAACGGTGGTTCATGGCAGTAAACATAGACGTTTCGCAGGCCACAGGGCAAAAGAAGCCGCCCCTCTAAAAAATTTTTATAGATTAGACGTTGGGCTATCGACTGGTACTAATTTTATCCCATTATGTTAAAGACTGAGTGAAAAACAAAGGTTTTTCCCGAAAAAACGTAAAAAAAGCGTAAATACTGTGATCTACTAGGTGTCTACCGAGTTCATTTTTTGAAGTAAACCGCCCCTCTAAAAAAGTTTTGTAGAGTAAACGTTTGGCTATCGACTGATACCCATTTTATCCCATTATGTCAAAAATTGACTGAAAAAATAATATTTTTCAGAAAAAAACGTCAAAAAAGTTGAATACTACGATCTACTAGGTGTCTACTGAGTTCATTTTTTGAAGTATAAATATGAAATTTGGATATCACGTAGCTCTAGGGAATAGCTTTATTTGGTTTTTGGAAGGGTGATTCTACGACCACCGGGAGCCGAGTTATCCACTGATTACTGTAGAGAACCCCCGTTTTGGACGTAAAAAGTCACTCTCTGATAAATGCGCCGCTCTATAGATGGTCTCTACTAATCTGTCGCGACTCTCTCGCTTCGAAACGTGTTTTGGGTGTTCTCTCGCTTTCCCTTTCGTTTATTTTATTTATTTTTCGTTGATGAAACAGGCCCCTGATTGTTGCAGTTCCTTCCCAGAATTGACAAGGCTACGGAATGAGGTATTTTTGGAGTTCCGTTCGGATCCTGGCGGGCTGTCGTGCTCTTATCTATTCTCTTATTAAACTTTATACAGCGGCTTGTCTGGAAAACGTGGAACAAAATGAGGTTGTTGTGCCGATCGCGTGGCTGAAGTGAAAAGCACAATTCGTTTTCTCGTCTGTGATGAAATTTTCGATGCGATAGATTGCTCATTCTTTTCCCGACGGACTGATATCATACCTGCCGGCAGGTTGTTAGGCCAACAACCACAGGAACGCAACCAAAATATTGCAATGGACAAATTGCGCCAAAAGCTGGACACAAAATACGTATAATATTAGGGCGTCCCATAAGTCTTGCAAATTTTTGGGTCGTCGATTTGTGCGAATCCTTGTAAGCTTTGAAACGCATTACGGGGTATGTTGGATATACGGTTTTGAAGCTCAAACAAAGCGCTTCTAAATCATATATATAAAGGGCACATAAGGTCCACCTGGTACCCACATTGCCCCAAAACTGTACTAGACATTAAGAAAAATTTTGGTTGCTGATTTTAAAATGGATATATGCTTTGTAAAAATAGACCTGTTGGCCCACTAAACGTCGAAGAGTACTCAGTCGATTTTTAAAAAAAATTGTGGTGACAAAGGTGCAGCCTCACTTACCAAGGAACGGAATCGTTCTCCTAACCCTTCCCAAAAGTGGATGGTATTAAAGAATGTCAAGTATTTGCCCGGAGGGCATGTGGTTGGTTAAAATTTCTATGTTGTTAACAGGTGTAAGAAATGGCAATTTTAACAGTACCAAACACTAAGGAGGGTAGTTCTTTAGGCCCTCGAAATGACACTTAAAACCAAAAATTTGCAAGACTTATGGGACACCCTAATATGACTGACTATACCCATAATTATTATCCAAGTCATCTGAATATTCATTTATTGCAAGCTTTGTTACAAATATGCAAGATGGCAAGAGCCCTTTGAAGACGGCGATATCACAGAACGAGACCCGCTTAATATACATGACTAAAAGCAGGCAATATGTACATACCATGGCACATTTAAAAACTGCTTTCGCTCGCCATTACATACTATACACTGCGAGCTCGTCGCGGCTCAGGGAACGCACAGCCCGCGTCCCAAAAGTTTTTCAGCGTCGTGAAGTGCGCGTCCGTGTCGTTGTTGACCAGCGATATCTTATCGCCCAGCGCATTCTGCATGGGGACAATTCGCGCCGACGAACAGGACACCTTCATTCGCAGCGTGTAGTTCTCCGACAGTGTCAACACGGGAATGATGACATCGAACGCCTCGAACAGAATGTCGTGCAGCATTCCGGTGTACTTGTAGTCGACGGTCAGACACTTGGCCATCTGGTAAAAGACGATAAAGGCGAGCAGACAAGTGCAAATGGTCAGGCGGACGGCGGAGAGGTCGAGCAAGGTCTGCATTGTTTTCAGCGAGCGGATCTGGATTGAGATCTGAAAGGGAAACGAAAATTAGGTAAAAGTAGCAAACGGCAAATTGCAAATGGTCCACATTATTTTCTCGACAGACTGAAAAAAATATATCAGCTTGTCGGGAAAATAATGAGCACAATTTCGATACGCCGATTGCGTCGTTGAAGTGAAAAGCAAATTGATTTTGCGGCGACACAATTCATTTTTTCGATGCGATTTTTGATGCATCAGAGTGCTCATTATTTTCCCGACAGACTAATAAACAAGTTTTTTTGCAGCAAGTTCGTTGTACAGAGGTTTCACTGTAAAGCCCAAAACCCGTAGAAAAAATGCCGTATTTTACTTACATCCACTTTTCTGGCGATATGATACCTGTTCAGTCCATAGAGTCGCACAAGATTCTTTCGAAACGCTCGGACGGCCTAAAAAGTGCGCAACAGCGCTAAAAATCGTTATTTTTTCTTACCCAAATGCTAACTGTCAAAGTTAGCGCGTAGTAAAAGAAGATGGCCACTTGAACTTCCTTATCTAAACATCAAAACTTATTGCAAATCAACTGAATGCCTCTTACATCTCGCATCCAGTTGCAATATAAAGATTGAGCTGGCCCATTGCGCCACGCTGACAGCCAGCCCAATCATCGAACCGCGTGTGCCGAAATTACACTTTGGATATCGGCTGAACAGATTTACGGCCAGCCCGATGGTACCAAGAGTGTTATAACGAGCCGACAAAAAATAGTCGTGGATCCGGCGAACTCCGAAATTTGTCCGATCGGAGTAGAACAGGTCGTCGGATATAAGGCCATATAACATGTAGGCTCTGAAAAGTGAACATCTATCAGTCTGTCGGGAAAATAATGAGCACTCAATCGCATCGAAAATCGCATTGCCGCTGAGAACATTGATTGTGTCGCGGCAAAATCAAATTGTTTTTTACTGCAGCGACGTGATCAGCGACATTGTTCATTGCTTTCCCGACAGACTGATGGTCAAAATTTGTGTGGATTTTTTGGATTTCTTTTTGTGGAGAAGACCTATGCAATTCCCTAAATTTCATGCCGTCCCTCGCTTGGCTGGGCCTGTCGTGGACTCTACGATAGCAGTCATTGCCAGGGGCTTGGTCTGGAAGTTCTAACAGCTATCTTAATTTCGTCTGTCATCAAATTTAATTGCAGCAAAATGGTAGGTCCGGCCCGTTTTTCAGATTTTGATTTTTTTTTCTTGGTTCAGACCGTTCCTTCCTGGGCCAAAAATAATGCTAACGTGAGCACGTACAGTTGGGACCTGATCCTTTTTGTGGGGGAAGGGCGCGCCCTTCAAAAAAAGTTTTTTTTCACTTGGAGAGGGAAGCATTTTGCCACATTTTTGATACTTCCCGGAAGTAAAATGGTACGTTTTTTGCCACTGGATCGGGTCCCTCGCTGTAGTGTGGCAAAAGTTTTTATTAGAAATAAAAGAGACTTCTAGCTTGCGCTTTGCAGAGACGATCGAGATTTTTAGATAAAAAGTGGCAAAAAATGTCTCATATTTTGCGAATTTTGGCATCAAAAGTTGGATGCCTATTTCTATTGTAGAGAAAAATGTTTCAACAAAAAATCGATTTGAAATTGGCAAAGATATGGCCAAAAAGTGTTTTTCTCTCGGATCGGTCTCCGCGTTTCCTGTACTCTTTAAGCCGCAAAGATCGATGAATATCTCGGCTGCTGCTGGAGTTTGCGAGCTAATATTAAACTTCCAATGACTAATTTGTGACCCATGTTCAAAATATGGATGTAAACTTTAAATAAAATCAGCGCGTCGCACATCCAGCACTTCATTTTTTATTCTCTCACCTCGTCGGCAGATATCCCATCGCGCACATCATGTCATTGAGCAGTATGACCCGGCTCAAATTGGTCGTCAAATTGCTCCGGTACACGGCCACCGACATTGCCGCCAGTGCCAGCACGGCCATCACAATGACGGAGAGCTCAACCGCGGCCAGCACCTTCAAGCCGTTCGGAACGTAGGGTGGGTCGTAGAAGCATCCCACTATCATTCCTAGAAACGACATTACGGTAATCCGGGTCGCTATCTTTGCTATCCAGCTGCACGACGAATTCGTACGAATATTTACAGATTTATGCTCGAATTAAGACATACGAAGCCAAGTGTTTTGCGGAGAGAAGTGCACTGCAAACTTCCTTAACCGGTAATTGTTTTGAGCGGGATTGGCAGCCGCCCCATGTCATGGCCAAAAGTACGGGGCATAACAAAGCAATGGCTATGCATCAGAAGCCAAAATTAAAGTTTTTGAATTTTACAGGGAGACTCAGATTTTATCAGTCTGTCGGGAAAATAATGAGCACAATGTCGCATCGAAAATCGCATCGAAAATCTGAGAAAATGAATTGTCTCGCGGCAAAATCAAATTGCTTTGCACTTCAGCGGCGCGAGTAGCGCAGCGACAGCGAGCTCATTATTTTCCCGACAGACTGATAATGGGACAAAAATTTAGCTTCATTTTTTCTAAGGAATGTCAGAAATTCTTAGCCTGCGCTTTGCAGAAAAAACACGGATTTTTTGTCCGAAAATTGGTCTAAAGCCGCTATTTTTTTACGAGTTTCATTAACAAAAACTGTCAGTTTTATTTATTTCTTGCCAAAAGGACTACGCTTCCGCAAAATATCAGTATGTCAGGAAAATAATGCGGATCGGTCGCGGGTTGGAAAGCTATGTCATTTTGCCGCGATGCAATTCTTTTTATCGGCGGCGATGCGATTTTCGAGGCGACGTTGTGCTCATTATTTTCCCGACAGGGTAATATTAACAGCAGTCCTTCATACCGCAACTTAAAATTTTCAGAAACTGAGAGAAATCGATATGTGGCAGGAGCCCGAAATGTGTGCAAATTTTCAAAAAAAACAAGCGTCACAGTTATCAGTTTGTCGAGAAGATAATGTGGATTCGTCGCGCCTTCAAATCGACTGTGCGCAATCTCGCTGCGCAGGTCGCGTCGCTGAAATGAAAAGAAATTTCATTTCGTCGCGACAATTCATTTTCTCGGCGGCGATGCGATTTTCCATGCGACGTTGCGCTCATTATTTTCCCGACAGTCTGATAGGATACTTCACGTCAAGCTGAGAAGTCCGGTGACCGGAATAGACTCTTCGCGATCGGTTTTTTACACCTCGTCATGATTTCGCAGAGAAACAGAGAAAAAAGACACGCAAAAGCGTACTCTCTCGCCCCAAAAATTCCCCATTTCTTCCCCGACAAAACGTTTTTTCGCGTCTTTTTTTGGCAAATTGCCAATCCACCCGGACTGTTTTAGCTTATCTCAGTTTGCCGCGCACTTCCCTGATGGAAAAAAACCTTTGAACTGCGCTTGAACTAGAACCAGTAAATGTCAAGTGAGATCATAAGCAAGTTGATTACAAAATTGCCGAGCTGTTTTACTCCTTTTTGACGCATAAGCGGAAAGTGAGTTAGCGAAAATGGGGTTAGAAATGGTCGAGCCATGATCAACAATAATTAATTCAATTTATTTTGTAAGCAATAGTGCATGTTATGGTAGCGGGTACAGACGACATTACAAAACAATTCTATGGTAGGATTTGATTACCATAACAAAAAGGGTATATAAAAAGGGTCAAAAGTATTGCCAATTAATAAAAAAATACGAGAATTCAAGGCCGGTGCTCATAACTTTTACTAAAAATCAGTCTTTCGGGAAACAATGAGCTCTGCCGCATCGGAAATCGCATCATCGCCGGGAAAATGAATTGTGTGGCGAGAAAAACAAATTTCTTTTCGATTCAGCGATGTAGTTGGTACAGCGACATTGTGCTCATTATCTTCCCGACAGACGGATATTGCACAACCTTTACTTTTTTCGAACATACATAGACGTTCTGCCGCGGGCCCACAGCGTGCAAAAACACATACACTTTGCACCGGTCATACATATTTTCGAAAAAATGGCCGATTCCAAGGCACGACGAATCCATATTATTTTCCCGACAGACTGATGAGAAACTTCCACCGCTTTACTAATCAGTTCCACAGGCACAACCTCTCGGTAACCCAGCAAAATTCTGGAGCTAACATTTGAAAAAAGGTGTCCCTAAAACACCAAGTTTTTGAAATATTATTAAATCTTCATTTACCGAAATTACCAGCAGCTGAGGTCTGCTTTTTGGTCGTGAATTTGTTTGTGTTTTTTCCAACACAGGACTATTCCAACTAGCAAAATGTTATATAATTATCAAATGGCAAACAACAAGGAAATTTGGCCAACTCAACGCGTGACATTAGACGTAACATTTCTTTTCACAATGACAAACGCACTGTGCAGCTTACCGCAACAACGCATTGTGCGGTTTACGACAAGTGTTGTCCGTTTAACCCGTTTAACAAAAACGCTTCAAACCGTCGCTACAATATTCTATAATTCTCCGAAGAAAGACTAAAAAAACGACCAAAACATAAACCAGTCACGTTGCAGGCACTGGGAAGTACATACAAGTGCTGACGACGCAAGTACTCGGAAATATGTACTTGTATCTGGCATAGTAAAGTCAAAACCCTTTCCATGTTGCTTCAAGTGAGCCGCTGAGAGTTTTCTCAAGCCTTTGCACAGTGCGAACGGCTCTGAGGTCTGCACTGTGCAAAAAACAGCAAAATGCACAGTGCGCCGGCGAAAAACAGGAAAAAAGAGCGCAGTGCACGGTGCATTCGAGATAAACGAGGGAAAAGGTCGGAGAACTTGATAAAAACACTTGTAAAAACACTAGTATTTTCATAAAGTGCATGGACATTTTTTCCCCTTTCGCACGGTGCATTTTGAACTTTTTCCCAAACTTGTCGCGAACGCACAGTGCATTTTCTCTTTCCGCACAGTGCAAACCACAAGAAGAGTCGTTTGCACTGTGCAAATTCTGCTGCCAATCCCGCAGTAACGCAGTTGACAAAAACATGTGTCGCAGCTTTGCACTGTGCATTTTAAATATCGCTGCGACGCACATCAACCACAAAAAAAAAAGTTTCAAATCGGGAAAACTGTTTGCATAACTTTGTTAGGGTGCCCAAGGGTAGCTCAAATAAAAAATTGGAAACGAGTCGAACTGACCAAAAAATAGTAGATTTGAATACCTTATTTTAGACATCTTTTGCTACTAAATCGTTTCGTAACGAAGCAATTGCCTAAATTCTTTTTTCTATGAGCATAATTAGAGTAGTTTTAGAGAACAATAAGCAACCCTGTGTCATATACAGGGTGGGCCACTCGAAACTCCCAACATTTTTTCAAGCATTTCTCCGCCAATAATGCACCAATTTCTATAAAATTTATATCAAATTGAAGCTGAGACACCCCATTTCTTGTCCACCAAATATGGCCCGTCTAACTTCACGGAGGCACCCGTACTGACCTTTTACATTTTCATTCCAAATTTTGGAGCCCGAAATCGGTGAAACTTAGAAAATTTTTGGAATGATTTCCAGTTGAGTTTCTTGGAATTGGAAAATGTTCGCGCCTTTGACTAAATAAAACTCTTATAGGCAACAGAAAAAAATGATGGCAGTCAGCGGAATAGTCAAAATTACTCTTCAAGGCGTTGCTTTTGTGTTCTGGGGCGATAGGCTTAATTATTCGAAATTTTTCAAAATGTTAAAAAATGGGCGAAACTGTCTACATTCATGCCACCCCGAAGATGCATAGAAACTTTTCAGGCTTAGATTGCACGAGAAAACAACTTTCGTTATCATTCGCCCAAATTGGTACCTCGCCTGATTGAAATATGGGTTTAACCCACTTGGTACGGACGTAAACTTTAATTTTTTAAAATTTTTTCCACGAGTTTGGCCACTTTTTTCTAGCAAGAAATCCAAAAATTTTCAAAGTCCGAGAAACTCAATTGAAAATCATTCCAAAAAAAATTGTAAGTTTCACCGATTTCGGGCTCCAAAATTTGGAATGAAAATGTAAAAGGTCAGTACGGGTGCCTCCGTGAAGTTAGACGGGCCATATTTGGTGGACAAGAAATGGGGTGTCTCAGCTTCAATTTGATACAAATTTTATAGAAATTGGTGCATTATTGGCGGAGAAATACTTGAAAAAATGTTGGGAGTTTCGAGTGGCCCACCCTGTACTAGCTTACTCACTCAAAATTCCAAAAAAACTGATATTTAGGTGACTAAAATAATATTTTAAAAATCGGTAAATTTTGACTCAGCTAGGTCCACTATGATCTAAAAAGACAATAAGAGCATAATTAGTATCATCCGCACCAGTTTAGAAGCTGTTCTAAGAACCTTGTTTTAGGTGATATTGGCCATTTTTGAAATTGGCGCAGCGAAGTTGAAACCAACTCCAAAAGCCCAGTATAGCCTTAGAAAGCCATCTCAATTCACATAGATAGTATTAAAACTTTGACTTCAGTCATAAACTTTCATTATTTTTTGTATAAGATCAGGTATGCTACTATAAGGTAAAACTATTTTTCGGCCTAAGAGTTAAAATTTTTGCAATTAATCTCCCTTAACAGGATGTTATGAGATAATATAGTTAATTAATTAGACTATTTAACGCTGTCGGACATTAAAAGTTGCCTAAAGTAATATAATCCATAAGGTAAAAAGCTTAAAATCGCATCTACTTTTTTATTATCTGTCCGATTTGCTTCAAACTTCGCATACTACCTTAGAATACAATATTCTGAAGATCGTTGCAATCACTTTCCGTGTTTCAATCGTTTTAGACAAGTTATTCGGCCGCAAAGTTTGCAAAAATTCGATTTTCTCCGGCCGTTTGTCGCTAACCTGGTGGCCGAAAAACGCCAAAATCTATTAATTTAAAAAATATGGGTCCTTGGCAATGTTTTAATCGAAGGTTCATGTTATTTTGTTCATTACCCACTGCACAGTAAGCTAAAACATTAGAGACCCTTAAAAAACCGAATGCCAAAAATCTTGGCATTCTGTTTGTGGTTGATGTGCGACGTGGGATTTTTCCAGCTTGCACAGTGCAAACGGCTTTCTTGCGGTTTGCACGGTGCAAAAAGAGAAAGTGCACTGTGCGCTGGCGACAAAGGCGATATTTTGACGCACAGTGCAAAAACCAAAAAATGGAAAATGCACGGTGCAAAATGGGAGGCTTTTTGTGCACAGTGCGGAGCGCGATAAAATGCCCATGCACTTAATGAAAATACGAATACCAACCCCCACATACTGTCGCAAAGTGCACTACCTCGAAGAATCCTTATTAATCCGCTCGAAATGTTGACAAAATCACCTGCACTGACATATGACATTATCTGCCCTCATTTGAATTGTAGATACAAACACCAAAGGTTTGAGGGGCGGAGAGGTAATTAGATTAACATCACGCAAAGTGGGAATTTTTTTATGGAAAGTTATTGTTTTTCAGTCTATTTTTGGTTGTATTTTTATGCGAAACACAAGAACGGAAACATCTCATGGGAGAAGTATTTTTATAAACAAATTTGCCAGAAATAGCTAATTTAAACAGGTCCTACGCACAAGCATTCTCATAAAGTGCCTGGACATTTTTTCGCTTTCGCACTGTGCACCTTGAATTTTTGTCGCCAACGCACTGTGGATTTTTGCCTTTGCGGACCGTGGAAACCTCAAAAAAGCCGATTGGACTGTGCACATTTTTGAACAAAACCGCAGCGGCGCAATTGAAAAAAAACTTACGTCGCAGCGATATTTCAAATTCACAGTGCAAAAACAAGAAAAGGTGAGTGCACATTGCAAGAACTCGCGAACTTTTGTGCACGGTGTGGGCGGCGATAAATGTCCAGGCACTTTGTGAAAATGCTAATGGTCCGGAAAGTCGCCGGACTGAAATCGGCGTCACGACACAACCACTTTACGGGCAGCCGACATTTTTTTGATTAGAATTACGATTTCCCTCTCGTAATCTACGTATTACGAGAGAAATTTCACATTGACAACTCCCTGATATTGATAAGTACACAAATCAATTAAATTCACCCACTGCTTTCAAAGTTATGGGAGTTTGTTTTTAAAAAATGGTAAAAAAATGCTTGGATAAACTTATGATAACTATTCGAGCCACTTATACACCTGGAGACTTAATCCGCAACCCCTAATCATCAAGCCCATCTTTAGAGTTTCTAGTTGTAAGCAAATTTTGTCTGATTTCATAACATATCCGCGGAATCTCCGTGGTTTTTCAAGCTGAATGCAAGTGGTTGCCCACAAGTGTGGGCCCCCCCCCTGAAATCGGCGACATGCACTTTGCGAAAACAAAGGTTTTCTTGTGCAATTTTTGCTTTTTGCACCGTGCAATAGCCTTTTTTGGGATGTCGCTCGCACCCCGACTTTTTTCGTACAGTGCGAACGCCAAAAATCAGTCCAGCGACTTTTCGAAAGAACTATCAGTCTGTCGGGAAAATAACGGCGGATCGTCGCGCCTCGGAATCGCCCGTCATCGCTTTGCGACTGCAAGCCACGGCTTGGGATTTGGTGCGCGCTATCGGCAAGGCGAGACATGTTTCTGCGACGATCCGACGTTATTTTCCCGACAGACTGATAATATAACAAAAAATTTTTGAAATGCCTGCTAAAATTTTCATGAATTGATATACGGCCTATGCCTGGCATGTGTGCAAAATCAGACGAAAAATTTGAGGGCAGCACTTGGGGTATCTCCCTTGTTGGACTGGAAACTACCTGCATTCCAACAATACAAAGAATAACCGATTTCACGAACCCTCAAATGTTGGTGTGTCTCATGGTACGAACCTATCCACTCCGTAAAGGGTGAGTGGAAAAGGGGTATTTACCCTTTGCAGGCGCTCTGAATAATTCAAAGCGGAAAGTACGGCTCGTTAATGCAGCACAAATTGCATGTACTGTCACGGCAGCAAGACGCAAAACTGACGTACAACTATAATACTAATGCAGGCAAAAAGATTGCATTTTAATGATTTATTCCACAAATCTTAATTGAAAAAGAACTCAAATGGTGAAACAGGGCAAATGTTGATTCTGGCGCAGATTGCAGCACCGTCAAGCCCTCCTGTCTGACGCAGCGTTTCGAAGGCGACGTCAAGCACGGTCGGGATGATCGTATCGCACATAACATCTCCAATTTCAGCCTCTTCCTTGCACTTTTCCTAAAAAACGTAATCTTATCAGTCTGTCGGGAAAATAATGAGCACTCTGTTGTGTCGAAAGTCGCATCGCCGCTGAGAAAATGAATTGTGTTGCGGAAAAATCATTTTTTTTACTTTAGCGACGCGGCTGGCGCATGGAAATTTTCCTCATTATTTTCCCGACAGAGCGAAAAAAATACAAGAAAAATTGCGCAAATGGCTCGAAAAACTTTGTGCACAAAAAAAAATCAAAAGTCTTACGGTCAAAATGGTCTGCAGAGCCTCCTTTGTGATCCCACTGGGGTCCTGAATAACATGCGATGCAGCGTTTATCACTCCCTTGCATAGGGAGCACATTATTCTCTTGGGAAGGGGTGGCTTCGTAGGCTTGGGAACTGGTGCTTGCGTCGGCTTGGGAGGTCTGGTCGGTCGGGGTCTGGTGGGGTGGGGCCTGGTCGGTCGAGGCTTCCTCGTCTTTGGTTTGTGTCCGCCGCCGCCACCGGGGTGCTTTCCCCCGCCACCGGGGTGTTTTCCGCCACCACCGTGGTGCTTTCCGCCTACAGCGATTTATAAATTTTTTTACGTACTATCAGTCTGTCGGGAAAATAATGAACTTTTTTCGCATGGAAAATCGCATGTCCACAGAGAAAATGAATTGCTAGCGAATTGAGCGGTGTATCGGCATTGTCTCTATTATTTTCCCGACAGATTGAGAGTAATCCTTTTGGAAATCAACCCTCTCATAGGCAAAAAACGTCCCATTTTGCATCCCGGTAGGGACCAAAATGTCTCCATACCCTTGAAGGAAAAGGCGCGCTTTTCAAAGCGGAGTTTTTTAGCTTAGAGAACGGAAGGGTTTGGAGTCATTTTGGTCCCTTCCGGGGTGCAAAATGAGACGTTTTTTGCCATTGGATCAGGTCCCTCACTGTATAAAATTTATATCAAACTGAAGCTGAGGTGCTCCATTTTTTGTTCACCAAATATGACAGGCCCAAGTATAGAAATTGGTGCATTATTGGCGGAGAAATACTTGAAATAAGGGTAGAAGCTTCGGCTAAACCACCCTGTATAAGTCTGTCGGGAATATAATGGCGGGTCGTCGCAGCAAAAAAAAATTCGCCTTGTCGAAAAAGTAATGCAGTTTATTATTTCCTGCTGCTGCTAGCCCTATCAAAGCAATGCTGGGCGATTCCAAGGCGCGAGGTAACGTCACTATTTTTCCGACGGACTGAGAGCCCGTTCGCCAAGTCGCTTGAATTATTTTTTCGACATGCATGTCGCAGAAATCACTCCAGCGGCTTTGCGAACGGACTAGTACAGAAATGTTCTTCGACCAGCCGCCTTACCGCCTTTTATGAAGCTCCCAGGTTCATGTTCGGACGCTTCGCCAACTTCGGAAGTTTTGGCCTCCAAAACCTCATCATCCACGGACACCACAACTTCCACTCGAATCTCTTTGGCCACAACAACGGCCGCGATCAGAACGGCCAGTAAGGAGAGCTTGTGCATGACTGCAGTTGTCAATGTTGCATTGGAGGCGCTTTTTATACGCTTGAAACTTTAATAAAACATTTTTTTAAATTAAAATTCGCCTGCAATGGGCAATGAACGCCACGATTTGCATGCATATTGCGGTTGGGGTTTTTAATTAAAAAGAGTGTTTTATTGACCTCCAGGATTTATTAAACTTTTTTTTGATGCAATGATTATGGAAATTGATAAATGTGCGATGGGAACGAAGCCTGACGAGGTCATTCTGTTCAGTATTCAGTATGCCCCACCTGAAAGACTACTTGTATTATTAGTGTCGGGCTGTCGGGAAAATAGTTATTGTATCGCGGCAAAATCAAATTGCGCTTCAGCGGCACAGTCGGACTTTTCTCCTCTTGTCGCAAACGCACTGTGCATTTTGCTGTTTCCGCACAGTGCAAAAGGCTTTTTTTTGCTGTTTGCACGGTGCGAGAAAGGAAAAAACGTACAGTGCATGGCGACAAGCGTGGAAAACATTCAAGCTGTACTGTATGAAAGAAAAAAATGTCCATGCACTTTATGAAAATACTAATAAAAACAAAAATCTCTCCCGAAGCAACAGCCCCTTACCTTCTCCGAAACCATCGCTGACTCTGCTATCGCTAAACGTCAACTCTCCAGAATCGGGAATTCCGTCATCATATTTTTCAAACACGTCGTCAAAGTTCAACTTCAAGCCCAAATCGATCTCTGCCATACTGCATACGGCGATGTACAGATTTACAATCAAAACCGAGACAAAAAACACGTCCATGAGCGGTCTCAACATCGTTTCGGACTGAATTCCCTTCATTAGATACTCCGCTATTCTGCATAATGAATCGCGGGGTCAACTTTGCATAGTTAAAGGTGTTCCGTGGGAATTTGAAAAGCCTTCTTACGTGAGATTGCATGACAAAATCAACAATTTATATTACTCTCAACAAAAACACAACAAATATTTTTTTTTTAACAAACGGTTATTATTTTGTATGTGGATTAACTTTTCCCGGTTTCTTGGACCGACCAGGTCCGCCGCGACCGCCTTTTGCTGGCCCACCTCTTCCGCGGCCTTTGCCTTTACCACTGCGTTTGTCGGCGGCCTTCTGGGAGCGTAGATCCTTCTTCAATCTGGAGTCTACCACCTTGTATGGGCCACTGGTTGGCTTGTTCATTCTTCCTCGTCTTCCCTTCGTCATCCGTACGTATTTCACGTCCTTCTTTTCGGGGCGCATCGCCTTTTTGTAGAGACTAAAAATTCGTTATTATTATTCAGTGGCGGACCTGATCCAGTGGCAAAAAACGTATCATTCTGCATCCGGGAAGTATCAAAAATGCAGCAAAATACCTCCTCCAAGAGAAAGGACTCCAATTTCAAAAACGCACCGTCTTTTTGTGAGGGGAAGGGCGCGCTTTTGACGAGGAAACTACTTCCATAGAGTACAGTGAGGGACAGGATCCAATGGCAAAAAACGTCTCATTTTGCATCCCGGAAGGGACCAAAATGTCTCAAAGCCCTTCCCTTCTCTAAGCTAAAAAACCCCTCTTCGAAGAGCCCGCCTTGAAGGAAAGGGCGCGCTTTTCAAAGCGGAATTTTTTAGCTATAGAAGGGAAGGGTTTGGAGTCATTTTGGTCCCTTCCGGGATGCAAAAGGAGACGTTTTTTGCCATTGAATCAGGTCCTTCACTGTATGGAGTTACAGGTCAAAACATACATCGAAAAAAATCGCAAAACTTTTCTAATTCAGAAAATATAAAAACTAGCTGCCCAATTTTGGTCTTCAAGTCTTATTAAAAAATGTATTTCTCGAAGAAAACACCGGCGAAATCAAAAGCACGCTGGTTTTGTAGTTTTGCGAGATAACTTCTGAGGGGGTTTTCGCCATTACAAACCAAATTTTGGCAGCTAATTTTTACATATTCCGAATCAAAAAAATTTTGCGATTTTTTCGATATATATGTCTCGACCTGTAACTCCATACCCCATAGTAGTACTTTCCTTGTCAAAAGCGCGCCCTTTCCCTCACAAAAAGCGGGATGCGTTTTTGAAATTGGAGTTTTTTATCTTGAAGATGGAGGTATTTTGCTGCATTTTTGATACTTCCCGTATGCAAAATGATACATTTTTTTGTCACTGGATCAGTTATTTACTTGATAAAATTCAAGTAAATAACTTGTCGATTTAGTAGGCACACTTACCGTCTAACTTCTCGGACCTTCTCCGAATGGTCCATTCCTTCGTTTTCGAGGATTCCTTCGGCGGTTTTCTTGGCCCTTTCCATGCGTCGAATTTGTCGCTTCTTCTTTCTCATTTTGGCCTCAACCACCGCCTTGATCGGTCTTACATTCAGGTCCTTCGATCGTTCTCTGTAGAAGGCGATTCTTTCCTGCAAAAAACAAGTCGTTTTTTATAACTCATTGTCCCTAAAAATCTCAAAAAAAAACAAACAAAAAAAATCCTACCTTATTCACTGGTGGGTCCTTTCTGTAATGTTTCTTTTCATCTTCCACAAACCAATCAGGCAGTCCTTCGTCATTGAATGTGTACCGGTTGATGGCCCAATCTTCCACATCCTTGCGGCTTCTCGACGAGTGAATCAAACGCTCTCCCATGGCGAGTTGGGCCGGCGTGAGGCGGCGTTTCTTCGCCGCTGGGCCTTCCTCATCTCTTTTGGCGATCCGCTCGTCCGTTTCGTCCAGTTCTTCGTCGCTTCTATAGATATCGGTGGTATCTCCGTTTGCGAATGACGACTTCGGAGGTTCGGTGGGTTTCTTGTCGATTTCAATGCCCGATTCATCCGAGGACTCGGCCGATTCCTCATGAACTTCTTCCACCTCCTCCTCAGAGTCTGATCCAACATCATTGAGCTTCTGGACGGTCTCATCTCCAGATTCTTCATCAATTTCCATTTCCTCCTCATCAATCTCGGACGAATCTTCATATTCAGCTTCTTCATCGTCAATCTCATCCTCCGACGCTTCGATAATTTCATCCTCGGATTCATCAGCCGACTCAGTGCCTTCCAATCTAAAAACACAATCCAAAAAGACAAAATTGAACTTACCTTGCACTAGCTTTATCCGCATAGTTCTGAATCATTTGTTTCATCTTTTCCGACAATCCTTCATAATTATTTTCGATCAAATCTGTCTTAAAATGTCCTTCTGAGTCGTTCAGGTCCTCACTAAAATTTTAAATCAAAAATTAAATCATATAATCTTACTCTTCTGAGTCAATCTCAATATCAGATGCATCTTGTTCCAAAACATTTTCGTCCTTCTCATCCGACTTTAAATCTCTGTTTCTGATGCGTTCATAAGCTTCATCGTTAAGTTGTTTCCTCTTCAATGACTTTTTGATTTGAGTTAAATTGAACAAATCGATATCATCGGCTTCATCAATGGCATCTCCCTCATGATGCATGCCAAGTTGTTTCCTTTCCCTGAGGCGACGTTTCTCCTTCAATAAGTTCTTCTTTTTCCTAAAATTAGAAGCGGTTTCTAGCTGAGATTCGGACAAAACATCCCATAAAACCCGTAAACAATCAAAAGCACTTACTTCTTTAATTTCGCGGCTTCGGCGGCACTCGCATTTCGAATGAGTTCGTCGATTTCTTCCAGCTCTCTTTGTTCCTCGGCTTCGGGATCAATTTCCTTGTTCTTTTCGGCCTCTTTCCTGGAAATAAAAAAAAATTTTTTTTTCTCCACGCCTAGTACAATATAAAAAACTTCAAAATCACCCACTCCGCAGCTCTTTTCTCCTTCGCCCATTCGTTCAAAATCTTCTTTCGCCATTGCAGAATCTTCCGAAGTTCCGATCCACCACAAACTCTGATGTCCTTCAAACTGTCTTTAACTTCATCCGTTGTGTAAGGTGAATTTGCAATTTTCTCATCGTCAATTTCAATGCAACTCGCCTTCTCCAAGAGCTTCATGTGATCTCCCGTGCCGAAGAATTCCGAAGCTTTTAGCACATTGAACATGGTGATATTATCATCGTCGTATCCAATAGCTTTAACCTTCTTCAACTTGTCGCCGGAGAGTAAACGTTGCCTAAACACAAATCAAGACGATCAAAATTCAACTTACACATTCAAGTGCTGAGTGTTGTCTGCTGAAGTTTGTACAAAGACTTTTTTGATGTCCAACAAATCCGGATCCACTTTCTCCGGCTTCAAATATTTTTCGCACACCACGAAGATCTCGGCGGATTCCAAACGTGAAGCACTTGGTTTCCAAACATGAACATGCTTGAACAACTTCTCAAACGTCTGAATGAGCGAGGCATAATCGGCGGATCGGAAAATCTTGGTCACAAAGTACCCATTCTTCTTCAAGACTTGAGTTGCCAATTTCAACGCCGACAACACAAGACAATTCTGTTCAAAGGCATCTTTCGTCCAGTTCTGTCCCACGTTAGGAGCACCATCATTCAGGACTGTGTCCACCTCTCGGCCGGGAGGAAGATTGACTTTGATTTGTTGTCGAGTTTTCTCATGGGTAATATCGCCCTGAAGGGTAATACACTTGGGAATCGCTTTAATCGGGCACAAATCCACTCCTAAAATAAGAAGGGAAGTCAAGGTTATTTCTGGGCTCATTTCCTATCCTAAAAACGCAAAAAAATAATTGAAAAAGCTTACCAATCCGAGTGGAATCCAGAGGCATATTCTCGGCCGCCACTTGCAGCCAACCACCTGGAGCCGCGCATAAGTCGACAAGAACCTGAGACCTTTCGAGGAATTGGAACCGTCTGTTCAATTGGATCAACTTGAAGGCAGCACGAGATCGAAAACCTAAAAAAATTTTAAGATAAGTTAGTGGCGAACAACATAAAGTAATTTTACGAGTCTCCTAGCACGTTAGCAAAAAGTTTACTTCATCCTAAACACTGGAATTGAAAGGAAACATCGCTTACCGGCTTCTTTGGCCAAGTGATAATACTTATCACGACGCTGCTTTCCAACTTTGATCTTTTTACCCATTTTTTATGGTTCTGCAACAACAATTCAAGGAATAACAACGAAGAAAGGTCTAAAATTCCTCTAGTTGAACAAAAATTCCCAAGAAAACGAAACCGACTGGGCGCAGTTTGCGAAAAGCCGCTTCTGCAAGTTGCAGAGTCATTTTATACGATGAAACCTCTCTCTCCTGAAAGAAAGTTCGAGCTGCGCCCGATGCTAGCGCTAAAATAATTTATGGAATTCAGAAGTTGGATCTAACTTGGAAGTGCTTGGTTGTGAAGTAGTAGTAGCTGCATTTTCGTGGTCAAAAATTCGTATGGAGGCCAAATGTCGTTTAACTTCGACTCAGTCAATAAGTACTTCTCTGATCGCCGGATTCAGCTCAAACCGGAATGGCTTCGAACTTGTCTGAAATTCCTCCTAAAGCACAAGGTATGATTTACATTTTTCTTGTTGGTTTTTTTACATTTTTCAACGGACCTTTAAATTATTTTTGGTTTTGATTTTTAGGTGTCCGCAAAAGACATGAACAGTGCCGTGTACGATCAATGGTTACATACAGACCTCAAAGAGTCCACCAAGCCATCATTCCAGCCGCCAGTCGGCAAAGTCTTCACAGGGTTTGCTGTTTTACAGGTAGTTTCTTCATTTTTTATCTTATCCTTTAGGGTTCTGATGGCAAATTTTATTTTGAGTATAACTCAACTTAGAGGCTGCTCAGACAGTTGAGTCAGCCTGTGATAGAAAGCTTGTATCTTCCACTTGCTCAGAATTATATTTGCATAAATTTCAGGTTGAATCCATATTGAATATAACCAAGCCTTTTTATGGTCAATTGCGGGAGATGGAGAGGAACCAAAACACCGACCTTGATATCGGTGCCGAAGCGGATGACAAGCTTGCCACGACTCATTGGGACAGAAAGGTATGTTTGATATTTTTACATTCTTTGAGCTTCATATTTTAGGCTCCGAAGCGTATGTTGAAGTTCACCTTGTCTGATGGAGTCAAAACGATAAAAGCAATCGAACATATATCTAATCCTCAAATCCTGCCCACGTTGCAGCCAGGAGCAAAGGTACGGATTTTTTGACTGCAAGGCTTTAGTATTTTTTTCAAAATTTAGGTTGTTGTGACTAGATGCCAATGTCGAGATCAGATTCTTCTCTTAACCCCTCGAAATTGCCAATTTTTGGATGGATACGTCCCAAGATTAGTTGAAAAGAATAATCCAAAGGCTTTGATCAAGCGGATGCCATTTTTACAAGGTCAAAATGGCACCAATAATGTTACAGTACCTAAAACAAATCAGCTAACTGTTGTGCAGAACGATCGGAAGCGAAAGATCGACGATGTGACGATTAACCGCCCCAGTACCAGTGGTGTGACGGCAAATCCGGCCAGCCGAGGGCCTGTGAATCTCTCGGCGCAGCTAAATACGGCAAGAACAAGTGCTGCGTCAACGGGCGGGCCAGTCAATTTGTCAGCTCAACTAAATGCACCAAGAGCAACAACAACTCGAGATACTGGTCCTGGACCAAGCACCAGTGGATATAGACCTCAAATTGTGATTGAGCCGGTAAGTCGGACCTCATGGGTAATATAACGAATTTATGGATTTTTATTTATGTAAATTTGGTTGTTGCTTGATCAGGATTGAAGCTACAGGCATTTTAAATGATGTATTTTTCAGAAACGACCGCAAATGCAAGTTCAAATCAACCGCCGCCCCTCCATTCCACCCTCAACTAGACCAACAACAACTTCAACTACTCCTCAACAACCCAACGAACCGGTGTGTCTCTCGATGCAGCTGAACAACCGGGCAAAGAAGACTACCACCGCCGCCCCAACATCTGATTCTCGACCAACAACAACACCGATCTCCGTCCAAATCAATAATCTCAAAAGAAGCTCCTCAACTACAAGACAAATACCTCAAAACCTGCCGGAATCAAGTCGAATGCCCGAAGCCACCAGATTGAGCATGAAAGAGATGTTGAAGACCCCACATGGAACGAATTTGACAATGGACAACTTTGCCATCCCAACGAATTTGGATGTTTCGAGGGAGCAAGTGAAGGAGCCGATGAGAGTCGATCCAAAGCCTGATCCCCCAAGACCGGCAGTGGTGGTGACTCCGCAGAAAGTGGACAATAAACCGGCGGTTTTAAAGGTGAGCTAAGTTTTTTGTTGAGGGAACTATTTTTATTCGTACAGTGACGGACCTGATTCATTGCAGAAACCGTACCATTTTGCATCCGTGAAGTATCAAAAATGTGGCAAAATGCCTCCCTCTCCAAGTGAAAAAAAACTCCTTTTTGAAGCGCCCTTCCCCTCACAAAAAGAAGGCTTTTGAAATCGAGGTTTTTTTCACTTGGAAAGGGAGGTATTTTGCCACATTTTTTGATACTTCCCGGATGCAAAATGGTACGTTTTTGCCACTGGATCAGGTCCGCCACTGTAAATTCGAGGAGAAATTTGAAATGGATTCTTTGGCGCTACGATTTTTCGAGTCAGCAGTTCGGGTCAACGATACTATCGATCGCCTCGATTCGTTGTTGTATGCATGGGAGAGGCTAGAAGAAGGCTTATTAGAAATAATAAGATTGATCGGTTCCTAAGATAGCTTATCACTTATTTTGAGGTATTTTACATGTACTCACATCAATAATATCTAGCTAAAAGTTATGGATTTTAGTTTTTTTTTCACGAATTTTGGTCTTTTATGTTTTACAATAACTCAGGGTAAAGAAAACTAGCGTTAATAATAGCTAAAGTTAGAAAAAAATGGACATATTGCAAGTCTTTGCCAAGTCTCCGCTGAGCCTTCGCCGAGATTCCGCTGATTATCCAACGGCTTTGCTAGGCCTTTTAGGCACTTCCTACAACGTTTTGTTGGGTATCCACCTGCTCTACACCTAAATTTCAGACCACTCCTCTTTCAACCAGCTCCAAAGTCAACACTCCAACATCGGCCAACTCAACACGTAGTTCGATCGCGCAATGCGGAAAGGAATTTCCATTCTCGTGTGATCATTGTGATATCGGCTTCAAAGACCGGATTCTGTATCAAATTCACATGGGCCTTCATGGATTCAAGGAACCGCTGACATGTAACAAATGTGGCCACGAAGCAGCAACAGCTCTAGACTTTAATTTACATTTTTATGACCATTAGACATTCCGAGCCTTTTTTCTTGTTGGTCTAATTGTAATTTATTGCGTATTTTGTACACTCCAAGTAGCAAAAAATTTGGTAACGAAAGTGAATGGAAAACAGGTTATAACCGGGTGAAATGTCGTGAATCTCGATTGTTTTGAGCTTATTTTGTTTGCAAAATAAAAGTAACTAGTAGTAATTGAAGAATTGAGCGATTGAAACTGTTATTCAAGACTTGAAACACTAATTTTTATTTGAAGGTTATAGATTTGCATTATTCTTTACGTTGAACTATGTTTCAACCAATTTTCAGTCGGAATCCCGGCCATAGCCCCGCCATCCACCATCATGTTGGTCCCGGTGATGTAGCTGGCCTCGTCACTGGCCACGAACAGCACCAAACTGGCCACCTCGTCCGGCTTTCCCGCTCGTTTCAGCGGCACGAAGAGATTGGCCCATTTTTCGGCTATAGCTTTGGTCATCTCGTCATCGCCCCCATGCCGTGATACGAAGTCGGACTCGACACTGCCGGGACTCACGGTGTTCACTCGAATCCCGTCTTTGGCGTACTTTAGCGCCGCTCCACGCGTGAAATGGTCAATGGCGGCTTTCAAAATGGAGTAGGGCATAAAGTAGTCGTGGGCTTTTTGCGATCCCACCGAAGAAATATTGATGATGTTGCCTTTGGTCTTGGATAAGTGGGGAATTGCCGAGTTGGTCAGAGTGTAAATGCTAATAAAATTGAAAATACAATCGTACGGTAGAAATGAGAGACCAAAAAATATCCAGTTTGAGAGACTCACCTCCTCAAGTTGACTTGATACAGAAAATCCATGTTTTCGGCGGATTCCGGATTCAAACCGCCCTTGTGAGAGACTCCGACATTGTTGACGAGAACGTCGATTTTTCCAAACTTTTTGATGGTCTCGTTAATGACTTTATCTTGCGTTTCTTGCTCTTGAATAGCTCCTTGAATCACTAGGTAGTTTTTCTCTAGCACTCCGAGCTCTTTGAGAACTTGGGTTGTCTCCTAGAACAAGATTTTTCACCCCTTCTCATACTTTTAATTACGTATGTTTACGCCGTGTTTGGCTTGAACTCACCTTCAACTTCTCCACATTTTGCCCATGAATAACAACTTCAGCACCTTTGGTAGCGAACCGTAACGCAATTGCCCTTCCAATTCCACGGCTTGAGCCAGTTACGATCACGGTTTTACCAGCGAACTTGCCACTTACGGTTAGCCCTTCCATTTCCGAAATAGGAGGTCTGCAGTGAATTACTTTCTATTTATATAACTGCAGCATAGTTCGAAGTCACAACTAGCAAGGTAAAAAAAATTTATGTCAAAACGAGGGAAAAGGTAGAGGAAGGGACGTTTTCAACAAAAAAGTATAGTAGAGGTTTGTGGTTACAAAACACAGGAAGCCGCATGTTAATTGATCAATCCAAAAGATCAACAGTACGGTTTTGAGGCCAAAAATCGTCGCCGTGGGCAGAGGTAAAACCTCATAGTTCTAAAAGTTTACTTTAAAGTAGAGTTTTTGGCTCCGGCTCTGAGCGGCTCCGAGCCGGGAGCCGGAGCCGGAAATTTTGGGTGCGGCTTCGGCTCCCGAGCCCAAAGCTGGAGCCAGGCTTCTCAGCGTAAGTATCGTATATCCCCTAAACCGAATTTTTTGACACCTTTCGACCAAAAAAATCAGGGCGTTTTTTTGGGAACGTGAGTTTTTCACATGTATTTGATTATGCTCTAAATTTTGACCAACTTTTGTCCAACTCCGTTTGCCCAAATCAACTTTCCTTTTTAGTTCCGGGCCTTGCGCGAACTGCAGACACATTTTGGTTAAGCACAGGTACTTTACAAATCCACCGAGGTACAAAAAGTTTTTCCAACAAGCATTATAAAAGAACCAATAACTCGGGTGCAAACCGAAAGCTCGGGAAATAAAGAAATCGCAAAGGTCGTTACACGAATTTTAAAGATACCTGCGCGCAGATTCACGTAACGGCTAATTGCGGCGTAATGCCATGAGGGAGCAGACAAAGACAATGCTGTTTATACAGTCGATCATATAAAAGGCATAGATTTAGAGTAAATAGTTTCGAAAATTAAAAGTAAATACTTTTGTCAGCCTGGAGCAGTAGGCGCTATCGGAATCTTTTTGGACATGAAGTTTCTTTGCTACGGTCTTTACTTCTGCACATATATTTCGGTTATTATCGCGGAACTCAGTAAGTATACAAGATGTGTGATCAGTCATTTTAAGAAAGGCAAAAAAGTCTGGGTTGTTTTGAAAGTCTAAAAGTATTTGTTCAGCTGTTTCAAACATACCAAAAAAATGCTTCCATTTTTATGTTTATCGTTTTTATGATGTCCAATTTTTGGTCACTGAAACAATTTCTAGACATCCACAGACATATGTAGAAAACCGCCTTTTCCTCGTTCTTCAAAAAAAATTTTTGAAAGGTTCCATCTTAAGGGTTGTCTGCCGCTGCTTCGGTGATCCAAAAAATGTTTTATGTGATCGATTTCAGGCCGTTCCATCGACCTCTTGCACGCATCAAGAATTTGCTGTCCATTGGCTGCTTTGAAATGCTGTAGAGAGGCCATCCTGAGCTATGATCCCATTCGGTGTTTACCGGACATCAAAGAGAACCAACGTATTGTCGAGTGCCATCGGCGGATTGTCTCTGAAAGGCCATTGACTCAATGTAACAAAAAAATTTGTTTTATTTCACAGTTTATTTCAGCCCTCGCCTGCTGCGACAGTGTCTACAAAACCGGATCAGTGTGCCATCAAACATGCGTTGAGCTGGAAATGACCCCAGCTTTAAGATTGGTTGAAAAGCTGCATCAAATGCAGTATTGCAAAATTGGAGCGTCGAACAAGGTAAGGAGCGGAATTTTTTCTAGCAAAAAAAACGATAAAAAAAATACATAAAATGTCGCCGGATAACAATGTTTAAAGCCACAGTAGCTGGGCAAATGTATTCAATTATAGCTTTCTACTTTCAGTGCATCACGAAGTGTCAACATGTGCTTCCGAAGGCCGGCAAGTTCGACACTTCTTGGTACCTTAGAGCTTGCGGTACTTACGTGCTCTCGGAAGAAGTGCCGTTTGAAGAAGAGCGAGTCGTCTACACAAATTTGAAAAGCCCGTTCAAATTATTTATCAATAGTTATCGACCAAAATTTTTATACGTCCGGCCATGAGAAGCAGTAAAGATTACTTAAACATTTGCTTCTCTGATACAGATTCTTTAACAACGTTGTAATAGAAAATATGATGTTGCCTTCGATTTTATAGCCTTTGCAATCTTATGACTTCTCAAAACAATCACTTCATCCAATTCGAGCTCGGAATTCCAGCCAAGACGCCACCATCGACATTGATGTTGGCTCCCGTAACGTAACTCGCATCATCGCTGGCTACAAAAATCACTATATTCGCAACCTCTCCTGGTGTTGCGAACCGATTCATTGGGACGAACAAATTTTTCCACTTTTCCCCAAGTTTCCTGGTGACCTCGGCATCTCCTCCGTGGCGGTGCACGAAGTCGGTCTCGGTTCCACCCGGACTGACTGTGTTGATTCGGATTCCATCTTTGGCATGCCGCAGAGCTGCACCTCGGGTAAAATGATCTAACGCGGCTTTCAGCATGCAATATGGGACTAAACCATCTGACATTTTTTGCGATCCAACGGAAGAAATATTGACGACATTTCCCTTGGTCTTGATCAGATACGGAATAGCAAGATTGGTGAGGGTGTACACACTAAAATAATACAACAATAAGTTCAAGAATTTCTTATCATTCACCTTCGTAAGTTGACTTGATATATGAAATCCAAATTTTCTGCAGAATTTGGGTCCAGCCCGTCTTTGTGAGACACAGCGGCGTTGTTTACCAACACATTGATGTTCCCGAATTTTTTTATCGCTTCTTGAATCAGCTTTTCTTGCGTGGTCTGGTCTTGGATTGCACCTTGAACAATCAAATAATTTTTATCAGATACTCCAAGACCTTCGATGGCCTTTGCAGTTTCCTGAAATTTCAGTAATTTCGTAAATTTTGTTCTTCGCTTTACCTTTAGCTTCGTCTCATCCTGCCCATGGACAACAACATTTGCACCTTGAGCTGCAAATCCCAACGCAACTCCACGGCCAATGCCACGGCTGGAACCGGTTATGATCACTGTTTTACCGGCAAATCTTCCACTAATATTGAGTTTCTCCATAATAAACAAACAGCGGCGGAAGAGTGAAAAGCATCCTCCTTTTATAGTTGAAAAATGTAGTGCACAAAAATACTCCAAGCCACAAACAACATATGGATTGAAGTTTCGAGCGTAATATTAGAGTGTGTAGACTTAAACGAAAGAAGGAAACAACTCATAAATCGTTTATCGGAAGGTTTTGTGATGCAGGGGATGTACTGCAAAAAATGGTGACGCGGAAGTTGCAAAGGAATTAATTGCCTCCAGCCCAAAAATTTTACAATTTTCTCCAAGCGAAACAATGTATGCGCATTGCTTCTCTTCCGACCGAAAACGTTTGAAATTTTTCGCTTGGAGGTTGAAAAATTCAAGACGCGCGGGCTTCCTGGCTTTCCAAAATTCATTGAGATTTTAACGATTGACAAGTCCCAAAAAATCGCCGTATTTTTGGGAGCCTTAGTTTACGGATCGGGCGAATCATATGACAGTTACAATTACAGATTTACCAGAAAATTTGTCTTTCAGATTGATGGTCCTCATCATAAAAATGAGGTACCAACTGCGCCTTAATCGTAACGTAAATGGCACAGGAAAATATGCCTAAAAAGGATGCTTTTCTTGATATCCTGCAAACGTGTAATGTTTGCTTACAAGGGAATGGTCTGAACTTCCCCCAGCGTTAAGGAAAATGACTAGTACAGTTGGATAGAGCAGGTCGACTTTGGCAGAAAAAGGCAATTTCCAGCTGCAAAATAAGCACGGCCGACGAGAAAAATCGACCGAAAGTTCAGAAAAAATTTCCTTTTCTCTTCCCTCGGAAAAGAAGAGGAGCATGCAGTGGTTCGGTTGGTCGAGTGGATAGAGCGTCCGCTCGATATCCTTTTGGGAGTTGGTTCGATTCCGGGGCAGCGCAAGTGGCTATGATAAGGCTTCAGTGATCAAGATAAACTCTTGTGAACCAAAAAAAAAATATTTTGCAATTTTTCGATTTTCTAGAGATCATAAAACATAAAAAAAGGATCTTTATGTAAATTCCTCCATTTTTCTGTAAGATTCCAGAACGGTTCCAGTCATATTCAATAATCTAGTCATGGACTGTCTGTTTTCCGAACACTAGTGGACGTTTGTCAAAACCCCCGGTCTGATCAAGATGTGCTTCAGTTTGCTCCTTATTGGAGTATGATTGGGAACGTTCTGGAATCTTCCAGAAAAAAAAATTGACGGAATTTACATGGAAACCCTTTTTTATGTGTTTTATGATCTGTAGAAAATCTAAAAATTGAAAAATAATTTTTTTTTTGGTTCACAAGAGTTTATCTTGGTCACTGAAGCCTTATCATAGCCACTCGCGCTGCCCCGGAATCGAACCAACCCCCAAAAGGATATCGAGCGGGCGCTCTATCCACTCGACCAACCGAACCACTGGATGCTCCTCTTCTTTTCCGAGGGAAGAGAAAGAGGAAATTTTTTCTGAACTTTCGGTCGATTTTTCTCGTCGGCCGTGCTTATTTTGCAGCTGGAAATTGCCTTTTTCTACTAAAGTCGACCTGCTCTATCCACCTGTGCTAGTCATTTTCCTTAACGCTGGGGGAAGTTCAGACCATTCCCTTGTTAGTTGAGAAAGAAGTATTTACTACTTTTTTGAAATTTAAAAAAACCGAAAATCATTTGGAGCAACAACATCGAACAAAGGAACTCACTATTAGGAAACTATTCAAAAGATGAGGCAATTAAGATGAATGAGTTAACTTTTTTCGTTTCGGCAATGTCTGACGACTGCTGCGTAAGTTAAAAGAGTAATACCATTTTCAGTGTTTCCGGAAACTTCAGCGCATCGCCCTAACCCAGCGACACAAAAGCCGTTCACTAAGTGAACGTTTCGAACTACGACAAACGGAGGTTATTACTAGTATTATGCTGTATTTAAATAAGGTCTACATGTGTTTCCTTGTTGGATGTTCATTAAGTCTTATTCCTACTGTGAGATTGGCATTTTGGCCTGCGACCAAAAACTGGAAACGGCTTTTCAGGCTTGCAATCTTGGTAAGTCGAATCCCTTTCCAATATTCAGTTTTAGTATATGCAGTGCGGCGTTGGTGCTTACAATACGGTGACCACAGTCTACACGTTTAGAAAGATGAAGTTAATGTTCAGAACGGCTCCATTGGATGCCAACCCGACGTCAAGAAAAGGTCACGTTGATCAATATTTTTTAAAGTTGCAAAACGATTGGAAAATTGGTGTGAACAAAGGTTGAAATAAAGTTTCTCGCATAGCTTCTCGCAGTCAGTGGTCAGTGACCAAAGTCTATAGTTCATTTGGAATTCCAGCCCGAATTCCGCCATCGGCGGCCATGGTTGTTCCCGTGATATAACTGGCCTTGTCGAAGAATGTTACTAGATTGGCGACTTCTATCGGTTGTGCACTTCTTTTTACCTTGGAGTTTATGGTGCCTATATGCTCTCGGAAGAAGTGCCTTTTGAAGAACAGCGAGTCGTCTACACAAATTTGAAAACCCCGTTCAAATATTTGTCAGTAGCTATCGACCAATAGGGTTGAATAGTTTCTGCATGCTAAACAAAACGCGGCGTAAGAGTGAAAAATTTGCTTCTTTTATATAGTTGAAAAATGTAGTGCACAAAAATACTCCAAGCCACAAACAACATACGGATTGAAGTTTCGAGCGCAATGTAAGAGTGTGCAGGTATAAACAAACGAAGGAAACAACTTATATATTTTATCGGAAGGTTTCCGTGTTGCAAGGAATGTACTATACGAGAAGACCACAAAAAAGTGACGCGGGAGTTGCAAAGGAATTAATTGCATCCAGCCCGACAATTTTACAATTTTTTCATGTTTGCTCAGTTGATGAAATATGTTTACTTCATTTTTGAAATTTAAAAAAACCGAAAACGCCATAATCACGTCATTTGAAGCAAATATCGTCGAACAATGGAGCTCATCATGTTATTAGGAAAGTATTCACAAGCTGTGCCAATGAAGGTGAAGATGGCCAATCATGCTTAAAAGGGGCCTTCAAATTGTACTGCGTGTAAAATGTTACTCTCGTTTTCTATATTTATCAGGTCTCCATAAGGACAATGCTCCATGTGCGATTTTCTAGTTCACACTTGCAGAAATCAAGATTTCTAGTAGCTGGGAAGAGATACAGCATTTCTTTGCGAATCATGACACAAAACAGTTCCGTTTACGGTAGACTGTAACGTTCCACACGAAACGCGCACAGTTTTTTACACGAGGAAATTTTTTCGCACGAAAATGGCAAAAATGTTATCAAACGTTCTCCTATTTGAAAGCTCTCCATCCCTTGTCAGTTTAATATTTGGAAAGCCGATAAAAAGGTATAACTCGATAGTTTGGGTCTTAACTTTTTGTTGTAATTAAAACTTTCTGCTTATAATTCGATAGCACGAAATGTGCCGCTGGTATTTCCAAAATTTTTTACAGTTGTCACGCAGTGTACTTTCAATGTTCTACGAAACAACCATAAATTGGACTTCAAGCCCAGGTTTCTGTTGACGTTTTATCTTTTTCAGAGCTGTTCTTGGTTGATGCTTTACTTTGCAACACACACGTCTGCATAATATTCAAATTTTTGTCTTGATTTTATAGGGAAGTCGCTAATAATGCAACGCTCAGATTTTGATAAAAATTGGCACAGAGTCTATTTTTTAAGACATTAGGAGACTTTTGGCTCGCGCTTTGCAGAAACGACCCCCCTTGTTCGGCCGAAAGTCGGCGAAAATGCGACAACTTTTGCCCCTTTCAGCATGAGAAGTTTTTGCCTACTTTCTACTATAGGCTTCCCGCATAAAACTAGCCGGATATGGCCGAAAGCATATCCTTTCTTTTCTGTTGCTCCGCAACTCACGCTTTGTCGCGCGGAAGTGGCGGAGAAATCGCCAAAAACTTTTCTTCGCTGGCCTTTTCCGCGTTTATTCTCTCATTGACAAAGACGAGTGAATATGTCGGACGCGCCTGCAAAGTGAGAGCTGAGATTTTCAGAAATTGACATGTTTACGTTCGATGTGTGTGAAAAATTGAAAGGAAATCTGAGCGTCGCATTTGGGACCCTTGTTAGTGAACCCTCGAAAGCAGGGTTTTCCTCCCAGTATGTGCAATGGCAACTGATGAGATTTACTTATTTCTGGAAACGTTTCTCCCGACAGCCGAGCTTGTTTGCGGAATTTTAAGTTTATTCTTCAACCTTTTCTACGGCGGTCAATTTTGGAGAAGCAAAATGGTCCATGAGAACCTCAGGAAATGCATTGTGAGCAACCATTAGGAAGTTTTAATATAACTTTTTTAGCTGCTGCTCAATTTTTTCATTTGTTTTTCACCAATCATTCATCCCTTGACTGTATATCTCGACACCGACGACGCGCCGTTGCAACATAAAAATTACAAACAAGCACTACTGATATACGGAATGAATGCGTCAAATCATGTCAGCCTGCTGTGCTTACACTGCAAATTTTTTATCTTAATTGCAGAACGAGTTCTGGCATATCGGAAAAGGGAAGTCTATGAAAATACGAAAAACAATTACGTTGTCCGGATCTTCGGAGTTACGGTACGTGTAAAATACTAAATATGCATAGAAAACTTAATTTAGTTCATTTTGTGCTTTGTCGAATTAGCGTTTAAACTCACCATATTTTTGAGCTACGATACGGAGGACGCAATTGATGTTCGGCTGCTGAAGGCACTGACTATATCAGAGTCTCCCAGATATTTCTTGATATCGTTTTTCATCTGCTACAATTGCGGCATCATCGGGTATTTGGTGAGCTAAAATTTTGTTCGCTTCGGCAAGGTCTGACTGCTGCGTAGGTTAAAGGACCAGAAAAGGTATTTTTTGAACCGATTTTTTTATCGGCGTAATCAGGCAATTTCGTGGCGGGACTATCAAGGTATGTATGTGTTCTCGATTTTTAGAATGGAGAATAAACTTCTCCTGTGAATTTTAAATGGCCGATTGGCCCAGAAAGATTGATATTAGTGCTGAATAAGATGTGCAATTTCAGGAATTCCATCGAAAATCGTCATATAAGTTCAAAAATCATGTTGTACTTCATGAAAAATTGGAAAATTACTGATATTGTTCGTCTTTCAGGTTCTATTTGATCTTCTAGGCTCATTGTCAGAAAGATGGCAAAACTTTAGCATTTACTATTCATGTTCCGTTTTTAGTTCAATTTTTTTCCGTTTTATCCAGTTTTTTTTTTGAATTTTAGGTATCTCTTTCCATGGATGCTACTCTGAACATGGGGTCAAGTTCCTTGACGAATTCAAAAACAACTCACAGATCTTAAGAAAAGGTTTATCGCTAATATTAGATTAAAATAGAGAAAATATATTTAGATTGAAATAGAGAAAAAGGGTGAAATACTATTCAACGTTCATGAAGCGATAATTTCCCGTGTTGATGGCATTGTTCTAGTCTCCAAGGCCTGCAAAACGTAGTCTTTTCCCGACGTAACAGGAATCTGAAACAAAATGAACATTTACAAACAAATTATTGCTCAAAAGTTCAAGCTTATTACCCAAAAATCAAGTTTTAGCCCAAATTTTGATATTATCCATGGCAAAAGTGCATAGTTCTTACAAAAACGGAGTATTAATAACATGCTTTGTTCTGTAAAACGTATATCAACTCGTGGACTACTTCATGCAGTGATTAACTAAAGCTAGAGCACTAATTTCACTGATAAAAATATATTATTCATGATACCGGTCTGTCTAAAAAATAAACACAAAAAAAGTAAAATTCCCACCCGTCCACATGTGTCCGTCGACCATACCCATCCACGAGTCCGGATTCTAACTGCTTCTAATCGTCCAATCCTTCTTGTTCGGAGAGATATCTAAAAAAGTAACTGAAGGACAAAAAAAACAACTTACACGAACGGGTTTGATGTTTTTCATCGAGTTCCTGGAATGACCCAGCTCATTCAACATGTGAAGCAATGGTTTTGGGCCAATCGGCCATTTAGAATTCACAGGAGAAGTTTATTCTCCATTCTAAAAATCGAGAACACATGCATACCTTGATGGTCCCGCCACGAAATTGCCTGATTACGCCGATAAAAAAATCGGTTCAAAAAATACCTTTTCTGGTCCTTTAAAATCCCATATTTTCAGTGTTTCCGGAGACTTCAGCGCATCGCTCTGGAACAGCGACATAAGAGCCGTTCACTAAGCGAACGTTTCGAACTGCGACAGACGGAGGTTATTACTAGTATTATGCTGTATTTAAGTAAGGTCTACATATGTTTCCTTATTGGATGCTCATTAAGTCTTATTCCTACTGTGAGGCTGGCATTTTGGCCCTCGAGAGAAAACTGGAAACGGCTTTTCAGGCTTGCGATCTTGGTAGGTTCGTTGGACGCCGTTACAATGTTCACTTTTAGTATTTGCATTGCGGCGTTGGCGCGTATAATGCGGTGACCACAGTCTACACTTTTCGAAAGATGAAATTTATGTTCAGAACGGCTCCATTGGATGCCAACGCGGCGTCAAGGAAAGGTCACGTTGATCAATACTTTTTAAAGTTGCAAAACGATTGGAAAATAGGTGTGAACAAAGGTTGAAATAAAGTTTCTCGCATAGCTGCTTGCAGTCAGTGATCAGTGACGAAAATCTAAAGTTCACTTGGAATTCCAGCCCAGATTCCGCCATCGACGGCCATGGTTGTTCCCGTGATATAACTCGCTTCGTCGCTGGCCAAGAATCGTACTAAATTGGCGACTTCTACCGGCTGTGCCACTCTCTGCATAGGAATCGTTTTCTTCGCCCAAACCGTTCTCATTTGATCAATGACTTCGGTCGGAATACCATGACGACCAATGAAATTTGTTTCCACAACTCCCGGATTTACAGCGTTTACTCTGACTCCTTCCTTGGCATACTTCAACGCTAAGTCGCGAGTGTAGTGATCAAGTGCCGCTTTCAACATTGCGTAGGGTATGAAGGAGTCTGTACCGCGTTGGGACCCCGCTGAGGAGATGTTGACCACGTTGCCCTTGGTCTTCAACAAATGCGGGACGACCTTGCTGGTCAAGTTGTAGACGGCACGAAGGTTGATCTCGTAGATCGCATCCAGACTTTCGATGGAATTTGGGTCCGCTGCTGACTTTTGAGAAATCCCGGCATTGTTCACCAGAGTATTAATACGACCAAACTGTTTCAGAGTTTCATTAATAATCCGTTCTTGCGTAGCATCATCTTGAATTGCCCCTTTAATTAGAAGATAGTTCTTTTCGGGGATTTCGAGCTCCTTCATAGCTTTGCTGACCTCCTGGAAACGCCGTTTTAGACAAAAAATAATATGCAAGATTAGTCCTGAATTTACAACTCGCCTTCAACTTGTCATCGTTTTGCCCGTGTACAACAATATTGGCTCCTTCTTTCGCAAAGCATAGTGCGATTTCACGGCCGATTCCGCTGCTTGAGCCAGTTACAATAACCGTCTTGCCGGCAAACCTCGCTCTATTCAGGTTGAGTTTAGCCATAAGGAAGCAAGGCATATAACCTGTAAGCGTATGCTTTTCTCCCTTGCAAAAGTTTGCCTTATATACTAAATTTTAAAACACAAAATACAAGTCCCGTTCGTTCGTCGGCTACGACATAAACACATCCGCTGTTTTTTTGCTGAAGAATTTTTCCCGGCTTTGTCAAAGACCCTTCCTTCAACTTTCTTCTGCGTTGAACTCGGGGTTTTAGCCCACAAAGTTGAGAGCAAAAAAGCAAGAAGGTAGGGAGAAAAGAGTGGTATAGTATGTGTGTTGTTTATGCGGACGCATGTTAGTTTTCAACCACTACGCAAAACAAGAGAGATATAAGAAATTTTTCGTTTCAGAGGGACAGCACATATTTCAAAAAGAAATCCACCAATTTCGGAGTGTTTATTCGAATGCATAACCTCAATCTTATTCAAATCCTATTGCAATACGTCTATTCCAAATAGTTATCAGTTGGCGTTCCAGCCAAGACTCCCCCGTCAACGATCATGTTAGCTCCGGTGATATATGTAGCTTCATCGCTCGCTACGAACAGCACCATGTTGGCCAATTCTCGAAGTGTTCCAAATCTTTTCAAGGCGATCACTTTTCTAGCAAACATTTCTTCCAATCCTTTTCCAGTGCCTTCACTCATCCCATGGCGGGTCAAAAATTCGGTTTGAATCCCTCCAGGGCTTACGGCATTACGCTATCTTTCGCAGACATGGTTGGCGGAATTGCTTTACCTTCTAAGATTTACACTGTATACAAAATCCATGTTTTCGGCAGAATCCGGATCAGCTCCAGTTTGATGAGAAACACCAGCGTTGTTGACAAGTATGTCGAGCTGGCCATAACCGGCGCCACCATGGCAGTTGATGGTGGAATTTGGGCTGGCGCGGCCTAGTAAAAGAAACTTCGGCGAAGATAAATAATTAAACCTCAACTCAAGACTTGTAGATTTTTTTTACAATAAACATCTCCAAAATATAAATTCAAAATACAATAACTAACACTCGATCAATTACACGGTAGCTTTAACGTGGTGTTCCGTCGATCTTCCCACCAAATGTGAAAGTCGTCTTCGAACATTTTCCAATGCCATAGTCTCCGATTCTCGATCTGTCTTACAAACTCGCCGTTCAAATTTACGGGCCATTCCTTAAGCCGGAAAATAGTCTTAGCCCACGGGTCGACTGGGTCAAAAAGTTGAGTAACCGAAAAGGTATTCCAAAAGCTCTGGTCATACCGATGACATCCCATATATCGGTTCAATACCCGAGTTCGCTTATCTGGACGAGAACAGTGGCGTTGACTGCCTGAAGGTTGAATACAACCGGGTGTCAGAGCGCACAAGGTAAACCATTTTAGCGCTTTCCGAGTGTATGGCGAGTCAGAAACAAAGAGGACGGCTTGATACTCGTGAAGCTGCGAAAGAAGTGGGGGCAAGGGGAGATACTTGAACATGCCTAAACACAGCTCGCAACTTCTCAACGTTTAAAAAATAATTACCTGGATTTGTGCTAGCGTAAATTGAATGCCACGTTCTTGTAAATATCGACAGAGGCGGAATTGTTTTTCGTTTTACATGATCCAGGACTTTTGCTTGCATTGGCTTAATAAAACGGCCGCTGGTGTCTATGAAGAAAAAGCTTTTGACTTCCTGAATTGTCTCAACGATCGCCATTTTGAACGCGTAGTTGGAAAGATTGCGCACGTGAAACGGATACAAGGAGAAATTGAAAGGTCGGTATTCTAGATTGCACCAGGATTTCATCTCCAGTATCTATAAGCAAAGGATGAAGTAATGACTGTCCGCATGAGAAACCTCTCCGACTTACAAACTCGTCGGCAAGTCCGATATCGTATACTATCAGGGTGTAATTACCAAACACCTTCATGATATTCTTCGCCATTTTCCTCAACTCTCCGAAATGATTGCTCGAAACTGCCGTAACAAAGATTGGTATCCAGTCATCGTTCAAGTTTTCGTAATCGTTGGAAGTAACCGAAGCCTCGTCATCGGTGAGCCGATATTTCTTAACATACGAAAGTAAAGAGCAGTCGAACGCTTTCCCAAAGCTTCGTTGTCCCAGAATGTCAAGACCGGGATAGCAAAGCTGGAATTGTTAGGCAGCATAAAGTAACAAAAAATGTACTGACATGACTTTGTAAACATTAGCCTTACATTCTCCCCGCTACAGTTACAGTCATTCCAGCGATCGTTCAGAACACTTCCAAATTTGATTTGTCTAACCGAGTAAATTAGGAATAATATTGAGAAAAGCGCGAAATAACAGAGAAATCTCTCTCTGTTCCCGGTGACAAGTAGCATTATAAACTGTAAAGCTGCAATGATCCGATTTTTCGGTTTCCCTGTGATTTGGTTGTTATAGTTCAACGCTTTTTGTTTTAAAATTTACTCAAAACGCCGAACGGATGAGGTTTGTAACATCCTCGTATGCAAGGGTCCATATGAGTCGGCGGTTATATTATTTGGTAAGAAGACTAATCAACCCCGTCATTGACGGCTTCGAATTTATATTGCAATATCATAACACTTCGATTAAAGCGCAAAATCGTTCGCATAAAAATGGTCATGTATATTTCCTAAGCCTCGCCAGTCCACAATTGTGTTATCGGTCCAGCCAAAGAGCCACCGTCGACGTTAAAAATGGCACCAGTGGTGTAACTTGCATCTTCGCTGGCTACGAATAACACTGTCCTGGCCACTTCTTTTGGATACCCTATCCTTTGCATCGGAACGAAGACTTTGCCGAATCTGTGATATGAGTTGTCGAACGCTGATTGCGGGACGCCATGTCTGACGGTAAATTCACTGTCAATGAAGCCGGGACTGAAATCGAGAAATGCACACGCATTAATGGACGAAGCCGCGAAACGACATTGCACTGCGACAAGTTTAACTTACTTCACTGAGTTGACTCTAACATTGTCCTTGGCATGAATAATCGCTGCTCCACGGGTATAATGATCTAACGCGGCTTTCATTACGGTATACGGTAACAACAGCGGGCAAACACGCTGTGATCCAACCGATGAGATATTGATTACATTTCCCTTCGTTTTTGAGAGATAGGGGATGGCTTTTGCGGTCAACGTGAAAATACTGAAAGTTTTTTCACTATTAATCTCACTTCCCCTGTAAAAAGAGCAGCGTCTGATTCGTACCTTTTCATATTCACCTTGTAGACAAAATCCAAACTTTCAGCGGAATTCGGGTCGGGATCTTTCGTCGAGTCGTGTGAAACTCCGGCATTATTGACTATTACATCAATCCGACCGAACTTGTTCAAGGTATCATTGATCAGATTGTCTTGAGTTTCCGCCTCTTGAATAGGCCCTTTGACAACGGTGAAGCGTGTCGAATCAATTCCTAACTCTTCCAAAAGCTTTGTGGTCTCCTGCAATACTAAAAACGTACCGAAAACTCTGTTACCTTCAGTTTCTCCTCTCGTTGACCATGAATAACAACATTGGCTCCTTCTCGGGCAAACTCCAACGCAATTTCCCTTCCAATTCCACTGCTTGAACCGGTAACAATCACCGTTTTATCAACAAAACGATTGTAATTAGTAGTCGACATTTTTCGACAACAAAAAATTTTTATTTGCTTGACCGGTTAAACTTGGTCTACTTTTATATCGCCCCAGTTTTTTTGTAATCAAGTTTTTTTTCGAATTCGTTTGAGTTTGCAGTCACAGACTACACAAGTTTATCGTTTCCATTCGGCTTTTTCTAACTACAACGAAACGAGCAATTTTTTCGCTTGCAAACTGCGAAAACCGGGCGCACTTTGCGCGTTTTTCTACTTGTGGAAGACATGACACATAAAGGCTAAATGAGTCAAGTGTTGCACAAGCGGCCTATAATTTTTTTTCGCCAAATTTCTCGGTTGTTTTAGCTTTTTGACGACGAATTCAGTTGGATTTCACCATGACCAAGGCTAAAAAAGCTGTAAGTTTACTTCATGTTCAATTGTTTGCTGTTTTAGACATTGGTATTATGTGGAACTTATTTATTGTTTTGCAGGGAACGTCCGGAGCCGCCACTGCTTTCGTCAGTCGAAACAAAGCCCTCCGAAAGCTACAACTTTCTCTGAAGGACTTCCGGAGATTATGTATTATCAAAGGAATTTACCCACGAGAGCCTTTGCACAGAAAGAAAGCTCAAGGTGGATCCAACGAAAACCGTGTTCTTTACACTTTGAAAGACATCAAATACCTTCAAAATGAACCGCTCATCGACAAATTCAGACAGGACAAGGTATGAGGCTGTTAAGTTTATATTGTTCATCATGTTTAGGTGTTTATGAGAAAGATCAAAACAGCCAGAAGAAAGCGAGAACAAGAACGAGTGGATAAGTTGCTGAACAATCGACCGGAGTTTGAGCTCGACCATATTGTGCGAGAGCGTTATCCCACATTTACTTCGGCTATCAGAGATTTGGACGATTGTTTGTGTTTGATTGCTGCTTTTGCGGTCCTTCCACAAACAAGAGTTATTCGAAAACAGTTGCTGGATGATTGTCGAAGGTTTCTTGCCGAATTCTACCATTATATCATCGAAGCGCACGCTTTGACCAAGGTTTTTGTCAGTATCAAGGGTAAGATAATATTTTTTTGGGCCAAAAAGTTTTATTATTTCGAGTTTAGGTATTTATTATCAAGCCTCGATCTATGGAGAGAAAGTCACTTGGCTGGTGGGTCATGAACAACGCGCTGTTGGCCGTCTGAAGGATCAAAAGGTTGATCTGCCAGTGATGACAACCTTTGTCCAATTTTACACGACCATGTTGAAATTCGTCAACTTCCGTCTCTACAAGACTTTGGGACTTTATTATCCGCCAAAAATGGCTTTCGAGGAGGAAAATCATTGTGAGTTTTTTCGCATTTGCTTTGGTTTTTAGAGAGAAAAACAGGATTCATTGAGAAATTTGCAGATGAAGCTGATGAAGTCATCACGGACAAAGTTTACTCCATCGCCAAGCCGATTGTCAAGAAGGCAGAAGGAAATGAGGAACCTCAAGCGGAGATCGACACCTTCGACGCCGAAGAGACCTCTGAAGCCTTGGCTGAACGTCTTCGCGAAGCTGAGAAACTGAGATCCCTGTTTGCCAAGAATTACTTCTGGTTGTCCCGCGAGGTCCCCAAGGAGGCGTTGACGCTGGTTATCCGAAACTCCGGAGGGCATGTGTGCTGGGACGATTGTCCAGCCAAGTTGTACGACGAAAACAGCCCAATGATCACTCATGTTATTGTAGACAGGCCTGTTACTAAGGTCGATACCAGCAAGTATGTTTTTCTAAATTTTTAGGTGGTTTCGGTTAATTTATGTTAGAATTGTGTTGTTGGTGAACAAAATTTCTATTGCATTGGTCATTGGCATACTTTACAAAAATTTTTTTCTGATATTCGACCTTTTTTAGGAAATTCGTCCAACCTCAATGGGTATTTGACAGTTTCAATGCCAGAAAGTTGTTGCCAGAACAGCGTTATGCTCCAGGCGCCAAATTACCGCCTCATTTGAGTCCATTCGTCGAAGAAAGAATCGGAGATTACATTCCAATTGAGAGAATCGAGCAGCTCAAAGAGGATGGAAAGGGTAAGATTTTTTCCGATTTTTGTTCTTGGTTTAGGTGAAGACTGGATGCTTTATGATCTGGATGGGTTTTAGATGTCACTCATCTCTTGGAGGACATGAATACTACCATCAATGTCCAAGCTCCGAAGAAGAAGCCAGTTGTCCAACCTAAAGTCCACGCCGTCAATTTGGAAACTGGAGTAGAGGTGAAGAAGGGCCGAGTTCATCGAGAAAACCCTCAGCAGAAGATTAACGAAGAAGGTCACGACCTGAAGATGCGTGAAATGATGATTCCAAAACGATTCAAACGCGCCTACAAGAAGATCAAGCACGGCCAGAAGGAGAAGAAGAAGGAGGTCCGCAAAATGCATGCCAAACGTCAAACCGCTGAATCTTAGAGACATCAGAAGCCCTATTTTTTTGAAGATTGTCCTGGCTTTGCGTTGGATTATAATTTTGGAAGATTTGGGCTCATTTTTCATCAAAACGACCTTATCCATGTTGTTGTTATTTGTTATACCCAATTTCTAATCCTAAACTCCGTTATTGTTATGTTTTTATTGGTAATAAAGATGGTAATCAGCAGCGAGGAGGTAGAGAAAAATGAAAAACGATAAGAGTTGATGGCTGATATGTATTTTTTATATTGTTCATGACATTAGAAGGTACAATATTAGAATGTTCTAAAAGTTATTCCAAACTTTTCCAATCGCTCCCAGATCCGGGTATTGTTGAAAGCCCAGCCAGGGCTGTAAGCGCCACCACTGGAAAAATAATCTTTTAGCCTTGGGATATTAGACTAGGCCAAAAAAATGAAAAGGCTTACGTTCTGGGCATCATGTCCTTGTCCTCAAGAATGGTTACCGCAGCTGATAAAAGACATCCGGCTGTTGCAACATACGCCAAATCTGGCCCATCAACCCGCCCATTTAGTTTTAAGGTGGGCTGTTTTGAGGGTTGAGGCTCGTCCTCAGCCCATCCGGTGCCGTATACGTAATAGGTGATTGTGCTCTGAAAAGGGTGGGTAAATACAGTGGGGACATGATCCAGTGGAAAAAGCGCTCCTGCTCTTATTGTGCGACCTCATCCTGTGGCAAAAAACGTACTATTTTGCATATGGGAAGCATCAAAAATATAGCAAAATGCCTCACTCTTCAAGCGAAAAAACTCTTATTTCAAAAGCGCTCCTCTTTTTCTGTGGGAAAGGGCGCGCGCGCTCTTCAAAACGAAGTTTTTTCACTTGAAGAGGGAAGTATTTTGCCACATTTTTGATACTTCCCGGATGCAAAATGGTACTTTTTTTGCTGCTGGATCAGGTCCCTCACTGTAGTATAAGAGCATGCAGAAACGCTAAAAATTTTTAAAGTTTTGCTTACGGTAGCAACCTGTTGTCTAGTCGGCCCTTCCTTTGAAAGTAGCCCCGCGGTGAAAAGCTCTGGATTATCCAATACAAATTTCCTAGTACGATCAAATTGAGCTAGTCCGATGACCGCCATAAGCCTAGGGACCACTCCAATGACCGCGAAAAGTGATGGAACGGCGCAATAGGTGCTGATCTTGACTGGATACTTGTTGTTCTCAACGGCATCGTAGTATTGAGTGAGTTCCGAGCAGTAGGGGTCAGTCCCTGGGAAAGGTAGCAGATAGTTTCCGGTGTATTGATCTTTTGAAACTGGGCAACTGGAAATAAAAAGTGGTTGAAAACCTCATTGATTTTCTTTGAGTTACTGGTTGAAAAGGGGTGCTTACCGTTTTCCCGGGCCATGATCAGTTTGTGCGAGCTTCGTCGGCATGATTTGTCTTCGGATTTCCTTGATTTTGCGCTCATTTCTCACGATTCCATTCATCGCCAAAACGACACTGTCAAAAGTTCCGTGATTGAATGTGTAGCCCTATAAGTTTTTTGCAAGTGATTAGGCAATTACTTCTCTGTGACAAATTTTACTCTAGAAATAAAGAGTGTAGACTTACATGAGGCCCAGGGTTGTTCTGAGCGACGGCTTCCACATAAGCCAGCGTCCCGGGGAACTCCTTCTTCAGTCTTTGGATCCCAAGATCGCAAGGGATACTGCCGAATCCACAACAGTTAATTATAAAGACTCCTCTTTCTTTGGCCTGCTCTCCATACTTTAGTTTTGTTTCTTCTTCGAACTGAAATTACGTTGTGATGGTAAAGTTCCGGACCGAATCATGTGGCAAAGAAATGCATCCAAATGGGCAGAACGCAAATGAAATGCATCCTCTTCTTTGGGATACATTTCATTTGCGTTCTTCTCATTTTGGATGCATTTTTTTGACACATGATCAGGTCCGAGTTTGTAAAAATTTCATGCAAACTTGCCATAGGCTCTCCAGTAATGTCCACGTACGAGCTTTGCCCCTCTAGACAAGCCTCGATCAGTTTTTCGCCATTTTGATAGAACGGTCCAACTACAGTAATCACAACTTTCGTTTGGCTTGTAACGGCCACCAAGCTTTGGTAATCCGAAGCGTCAGCGATTAGAATGGGAATATGCGATAGGTTCTGCTCTGAAAATAGTCAAAATTTAATTTTTTTGCTTTAGTCCATCTGCAGTTTACTCTAACCACGCTTACCAGTTAAATTCGCTACTTTGTCCAGCGATTTCTCCAATTTTGAGCGGTTTCTTCCGGCAATGGCCAGAGTGTGCTTCTTGTGATATTCTGATTTGACAAAGGTTTCCAGAACGTATTCTCCGGTAAATCCGGAAGCTCCGAATAACACTAGATCATATGGGCGAGACATTTTGCAACTAAAATTGACAAGAAAACTAAAAATAATATAAAATTGGTGACTTCGTTGGAAGCCCAGGTGAAAATATAGTTTCACAGTTGCGCTAATCACGAGACTTAATTTTGTGGTCTTGAATAATGCTGATTTCTACAGCAGGGGTAAGAAATGGCAAGTGAATTTGCATTTTTATCCCTGGAATAAGTTGTCATTGTCCTTAATTTCAAAATTATTGCGATCCGTGAAGGGAAATTATTTTAAAAATAGCCGTCATGATTTGAAATTTTTTTGGCGTCATATAAGCGCTGTGGTTACGATTTATCGTTTGATTAGCTGTCAAAAAATTTAATAGGAGATTCACTCCGTTTGAAGCACGGGAGACCAGCCTTCCGGTCCGAGGCAGGATCCAGCATCCCGAATTGTGTTGAAATGCGTTTGCTGGACATTTTGACTGCCTCCGTATGCCTTGGCTCAGAAAGGAAGGTATGCGGAGGCATTGAAATGTCTCATGTATGCATTTAGAAAGTTGTTGGGTACTGGATCCTATCCCGGACCATAAGGTTGGTCTTCCGTGCTTCGACCGGAGTGAATCTCCAGAAATTTGTTGACAGCTAATCAAAAGATAAATACGTAACCATATAGCACTTATATGACACCAAAAAATTGTTCAAATGATGACAAATATTTTTAAAATAAATTATTTTCATGGATCGCAACTTTTTTGAAATTAAGGGCAATGCCAACTTATTCCGGGGGTAAAAATGGACTTGCGATTTTTGCCTCCTGCTGTACAAATAAGCATTATTCAAGGCCACTAAACTGCCTCGTCATACAGTGAGGGACCTGATCCAATGGCAAAAACGTTTCATTTTGCATCCCGTAAGGGACCAAAATGTCTCCAAACCCTTCCCTTCAATAAGCTAAAAGCTCCGCTTTGAAAAGGCGCCCTTTCCTTCAAGGCGGGCTTTTCAAAGCGGGGGTTTTTTTAGCATAGAGAAGGGAAGGTTTTGGAGACATTCTGGTCCCTTCCGGGATGCAAAATGAGGCATTTTTTGCCATTGGATCCGGCCCCTCACTGTATATGACGCCAAAAATAAATTCACAACGGAATTTTTAAATAAGTCTGCTTCATCCACAGCAACATTTTTGAAATTAAGGGCAAAACCCCAGCTTTCTTCAGCTAAAAAAATGCCTGCCATTTTAAACAAATACTGGAATCAAAGCTGCTATTTTTTATGGAACGTTTCTTTCTTCCAAAACTGCAGAAAATGTTCTCAATAATGCTGTTATTGCCACCCTTTTCTCATTACGTATGATAAATAATGAAACAAGAAAAACTGGAAAAAGAGAAAGTTCTCCGACGGAATTTCGACGGTTTGTTTTTTTGCAAACAACCCTAGATTCCTTATGCGCGTTATTGGTCTTTTATACCGGTGAAAAGGATCGAATCTGTGACAGAAAACACAAAGTTGAATTGCGCAAAAAATGCATAACAAATGTCAGACCACTGAAAGCTGAAGATACTATTGATTGTCGCGTTTGGCGATGGCTTTGCATTGAATTATAATTTCAAAGCGTTTGGGCTGATTTATCACAAAAAGGACATTATTGACGGTATTGTTATTTGTTATACCGAATTTCGAACCCCAAACTACGTTATTTTTATCGTTTATTGATAAAAAAAGATGATAAAGAGCTGAGAGGAGGTAGAAAAAGTGTAAAAAGATGAAGGTTGATCGCTGGGAAATATTTATGACACTGTTTATGGCATGAGACGGTATGACATTAGAATGTTCTAAAAGTGAATCCAAATTTTCCCAATCGCTCCCAGATCCGGGTATTGTTGAAGGCCCAGCCAGGGCTGTAAGCGCCACCACTGAAAAATTGTTTTATTAGCATTGGGATATTAAACTAGGCCAAGAAAAAAAGAGATCCTTACGTGCTAGGCATAACATCCTTGTCTTCCAGAATGGTTAACGCCGCTGATAAAAGCGCTCCGGATGTTCCAATATAAGCGCAATCGGGCCCATCAACTCGCCCATTCAGCTTTAAGGTGGGTTGTTTTGAGGGTTGAGGCTCATTCTCAGGCCATCCGGTACCGTAAATGTAATAGGTGATTGTGCTCTGAAAAGGATGGGTAACGTAATGTCAGGGAAGTTAGAGGGGCAGTAGGGGTCCTCCTTGTACAGTGAAGGGTCTATCCGGTGGCAAAAAACGTTCAATTTTGCATCCGGGAAGTATCAAAAATGTCGCAAAATGCCTCTTCAAGTGAAAAAACTCCGATTTTAAAAGCTACTCTTTTTGTGAGAGAAAGGGCGCGCTCTTCAAAACGGAGTTTTTTTCACTCGGAGAGGGAAGCATTTTGCCACATTTTTGATACTTCTCGGATGCAAAATGGTACGTTGTTTGCCAATGGGTCAGGTCCGCCACTCTATCTCAAGGAACTTGAAGATGAAAACGTAAACATTAGAACTGGTTTTTCAGGAAATAAAAAGTCTTGGTAGAGTCATCTTACAGTAGTAATCTGTTGCCTAGTGGGTCCTTCCTTGGTAAACTGCCCTCCGGTCACGAGTTTCGGATTATTCAACAAGAATTTTCGGGTAGGACCAAATTGTGCCAGTCCAAACACTGTCACCAGCCAAGGGAAGATCCCAATGGCCGCAAGGCCGGATGGAAGCGCAAAATAGGTGCTGATCTTGACGGGATACTTGTTATTCTCAACGGCGTCGTAATATTGCGTCATTTCCGAGCAGTTAATATCACTTCCGGGGAAAGGGATCACGTATTTCCCGGTGTATTGGTCTTTGGAGACTGGGCAACTGAAAATAAAAATGGGTTGAAGACCTCATTGATGTTCTTTGAGTTAAAAAAGGGGTGCTTACCGTTTTCCCGGGCCATGAGCAGTTTGCTCAAGCTTTTTCGGCATGATTTGTCTTCGGATTTCTTTGATTTTGCGCTCATTTCCTGCCATTCCATTCATCGCCAAGACAAAGCTGTCATAAGTGCCATGATTCAAAACGTAACCCTACAAATTATTAGGGTATGTTTAGGGCATACTTTAAATTGGATTTTTTTAGGTTTGAATAGTCTTTTCATGACCTGTTTTGCAAAGATATCCCCCCAATTTTTTTACGTTTGTTACTGTATGTACACTGACGGACTTGGCAGAAAACGTACCATTTTGCATCCGGGAAGCATCAAAAATGTGGCAAAATGCTTCCCTCTCCAAGTGAAATAAATTTCGTTTTGCCTTTCCCTCACAAAAAGAGCGAGCGCGCTTTTGAAATCGGAGTTTTTTTCACTTGGACAGGGAAGCATTTTGCCACATTTTTGATACTTCCCGGAAACAAAGTATTATAGTACGTTTTTTGCCACTGGATCAGGTCCTCTACTGTAACAGGTTACGTCCAGAGATTGCTGAAGCCGGCTCTTGGCTCCGGCTCTAAGCCTCTCCGAGCCGGAGCCGCAAATTTTGTGTCCTGAGCGCAAAATCGGAGCCAGGCATCTCAGCGTTCAGAAAAGTAAAAATTTCGTGGTATTGATAAACCAATTGCTTGAAAAATCACTCTGTACTCACGTGAGGTCCGGGATTGAATTGAGCGACAGTCTCGACATAGGCCAGAGTCCCTGGAAATTCCTTTTTCAGTCGTTGAATTCCCAGATCACATGGGATACTGTCGAATCCGCAAGCGCTGACAATGTACACTCCCTTTTCTTTGGCCTGTTCTCCATATTTTAGTTTTGTGTCTTCTGTGAACTGTAAAAGAATCAAACACTTTAAATAACATGATAAAAACTTGCCATAGGCTCTCCGGAAATGTCTACGTAGGAGCTTTGTCCCTCCAGACAAGCCTCGATCAATTTTTCGCCATGTTGATAGTACGGTCCAACTACAGTAATCACAACTTTCGTTTGGCTTGTAACGGCCACCAAGCTTTGGTAATCCGAAGAGTCAGCGATTAGAATGGGAATATGCGAAAGGTTTTGCTCTAAAAATAGTCAGACTTCAGTTTTTATACTTTGGTTCCACCTGCAGTTTACTGTAATTGCGCTTACCAGTTAAATTCGCTACTTTGTCCAGCGATTTTTCCAATTTTGAACGGTTTCTGCCGGCAATGGCCAGAGTGTGCTTCTTGTGGTATTCTGACTTGACAAAAGTTTCCAGAACGTATTCTCCGGTAAATCCGGAAGCTCCGAACAACACTAGGTCATATGGGCGAGACATTTTGCAACTAAAATTGACTAGACAAATTAAAGGCAATAGATCATTAGTGACGAAATTTCAGATAAAAAACATGTTTCGCAATAGATAAAATGACGAGGCTACAAAATTTGCTACGTGGTCAAGGTCTACTTTACGATCCGGTATAGGTTCCAATACCCAAAAAAACACGTTCAAATGCTTTCAGAATACAGCGAGGGACCTGATCCAGCGGCAAAAAACGTATGATTTTGCATCCGGGAAGTGTCAAAAATGTGGCAAAATGCTTCCCTCTCCAAGTGACAAAACTTTGCTTCCCTCACAAAAAAAGCGGGCGCGCTTTTGAAATGGGAGTTTTTTCGCTTGGAGAGGGAAGCATTGTGCCACATTTTTGATACTTCCCGGATGCAAAATAGTACGTTTTTTGCCACTGGATCAGGTCCCCCACTGTACTTTTTCTACCCATGCTTTTGACCAGAGGTTAAGGCATGTGGCACGTCAAACTGAGATAAGCTAAAACAGTCCGGTGAATGGATTGGGAATTTGCCAAAAAAAGACGTGAAAAACGTTCTGCCGGAGAAGAACTGGGGAATTTTTGGGGCGAGAGAGTACATTTTTGCGCGTCTTTTCTCTTCCTCTTCTGCGAAATCAAGACGAAATGTAGAAAACCGATAGCGAAGAGTCTATTCGGGTCACCGGACTCTACAGTTTGACGTGTGTGGTGGTGACAAAATGTATGCATGTGAACGTAATGGTGGTCATTGGATCCCATACCGAACCGTAAAGTAGACCTTACAAGTTTGAAATGGAGTGAATCTTCTGCTAAAAGTTTTCTGGCCAATCCGAAAAAAAGAAACATAATCTCAGCTCATATAGGACTTGGAACTATAGGTCATAACGCAACTTTTACAAAAAGCTTCCTCTATCTCCTCGAGGTTTTTTAAAATCCGGCTAGTGCTGAAGTAATCAGGCGTGCTTATGGGCATCCAGTTTCGGACTATAAAGTATAAAGCTCTTATAAAGCTTGAAAACCGAGTGAATGTTTTAGCAAAAGTTTCCTGGCCAATCCTAAAAAACTAATCGTGCCATTTTAACAGTCTGTCGGGAAAATAATGAGCACAATGTCGCTGCGCCAATTGCCGCTGTAGTGAAAAGTAATTTGATTTTGCCGCGACAAAATTCATTTTCTTGCGATGCGATTTTCGATGCGACAGAGTGGTCATTATTTTCCCGACAGCTCAAAAATCGGAATCTTGAACTGCGATTTGAAAAAAATCCATTCATTTCCCAAGCCAGCAAGAAAAAAGTCTAATTGACTTCCGCTCTTGCCACCCTTCTAATTGCTTACAAATAATGGGAAGAAACAAAAAAAAGGTAAAAAAAGAAATTCTCTGATGAAATTCCGACGCTTTGTTTTTTACAAACAGCCCCGATTACATGCAGAAAAAGCGATGACGCCGAAAATAGTGGCGCGTACTCCAGCTTTTATACCCGCGGAACAGATCGAATCTTGGGCATAAAACACAAAATCGAATGCGCCACGAAGAAAACCGCCTCGCGAAAAACCCGCCGACTACAAGGTAGAGAGGCACAGATTCGACAGTTTTTCGTGAACCGTTTGGTCGAAGACCCGACATAATGTGTTCTTTGATGGAGTGATAAAGACAGTTTGTCTCGGCTTTTCGCTGATAAGTAATACATCGGAAAATAAAAGTGCTTTCAAAGATTGGTCAAAACAATGCGGAGAATTTGAAGTTTCTGTGGATACAGAATTGTATTGTTTTAAAACAAGTTTTGCGAGAGACTCGAGCTTTCAGATTTGCCTTGTGCACATGAAACAGGATGTCACAGTAGAGCCATGAAACACTAACCATATGTTACCCTAACCGCAAGTACTAAATTTCAGAAGAAAATTTTTGGATTATTGGCCTACTGTAGGTGTACTGTAGCTTTCCCGCATTTCCAGGATCTCAGCCACGAGAGGTTGGATTCTCTCCGGACCTTCTCTGTCTTATAGAATGGACAATTCTAAGCAACTTTCGTATTGACACTTTTTCCCTTGGACTTCTGGAAGTATGTGAAAAATTTGCATATTTGGCAAAAAATTTATATTTCTTAAATTTTCTAAAAAAATTTGCATATCGGGACGTCCTTTTTATTGCTCTAAATGATGCTCCATAAAGCGACAATTCAAACGGTATATAGGTCATCACAAGGCGTTCTGCCTATGTTGCAAACGAGGCTTCTAAAGGTCGGGTCATCACGGATTTTTCTCGGGCTAAAATTTTATATGCGAGACATTGGGACAAAATTTGGTCTTATTATAATCTACGCAAAATTCTAAGACTTTTGGACCACACTTTTATGAGTCTCAGACCGACCGGTCGAAAGATACGACCGATTCTTGAGACTTTTCCGGTATTTTACAATTTTTACCCGGAAGACGGAATTTCGGGGTTTCTTTGATTACGTTTAATTCGGCGTCTCTGGATAACCCAATGTTTGTCGCTTTTCGTACTTTAGCTATTCAAGATTTTTTGAAAAGTTGGTTGTCGCTTCTAGGAATATTCTGAGGTACACTTGTAATTTTTTTGAAGTCTGACACCATGTCGCAAGTTAGCTTCTAAGAGGAAAAATCGACAAAATTACCTTTTTTAGTTGCCGCATTTCGAGATTATTCTATAGGTCGAATCGATCAAAATATTTTCCATTTATTTTCAAGTTCAGAAAAAATCATGCAAATTTTCCGTCACCTTCCGGGTAAAAATTGTAAAATACCGGAAAAGTCTCAAGAATCGGTCGTATCTTTCGACCGGTCGGTCTGAGACTCATAAAAGTGTGGTCCAAAAGTCTTAGAATTTTGCGTAGATTATAATAAGACCAAATTTTGTCCCAATGTCTCGCATATAAAATTTTAGCCCGAGAAAAATCCGTGATGACCCGACCTTTAGAAGCCTCGTTTGCAACATAGGCAGAACGCCTTGTGATGACCTATATACCGTTTGAATTGTCGCTTTATGGAGCATCATTTAGAGCAATAAAAAGGACGTCCCGATATGCAAATTTTTTTAGAAAATTTAAGAAATATAAATTTTTTGCCAAATATGCAAATTTTTCACATATTTCCAGAAGTCCAAGGGAAAAGGTGTCAATACGAAAGTTGCTTAGAATTGTCCATTCTATAAGACAGAGAAGGTCCGGAGAGAATCCAACCTCTCGTGGCTGAGATCCTGGAAATGCGGGAAAGCTACAGTACACCTACAGTAGGCCAATAATCCAAAAATTTTTTTCTGAAATTTAGTACTTGCGGTTAGGGTAACATATGGTTAGTGTTTCATGGCTCTACTGTGACATCCTGTTTCATGTGCACAGCTAGCTCGACCCTTACAAAAAAGCTGTTTTAAAATAATATCTGAGGCCAAAGTTTTGGTTTTATTTTTAGTATCTGTATAGTTGTAGTTTACAAGGAAGTACCCGACATGCGAACCTCAGATTTTCTTTGAATTTTGCACACACGTTTGGCATATGCCGTACATCAATTCTTGAAAGTTTTAGCTCGCGCTTTGCAGGAGCAGACGAGATATTGAATCATCTTTGCCGCCAAGATAGTACGCTAAATGCGGAGAGCGGTCATAGACAAAAAATAAAAGAAATATTTGACCTTTGGTGGTGAGAGAGTATGTTAAAAGAGGAGTTCGGTCAGAGATAAAAGCACTTTTTGGCCGCAAGGCGCGAAATGCGCAAATTTTCTTCAAGTACAATGAGGCACCAGATCCAGTGGCAAAAAACGTACCATTTTGCATCTGGGAAGTATCAAAAATGTGGCAAAGTGTTTCCCTCTCCAAGTGAAAAAACTTTGTTTTGAAGGACACGCCCCTTTTCCTCTAAAAAAGAGCGGGCGCGCTTTTGAAATCTGAGTTTTTTTTCACTTGGAGAGGGAGGTATTTTGCCACATTTTTGATACTTCCTGGTTGCAAAATGGTATATTTTTTTGAGACTGGATCAGGTTTCTCACTGTACAGAACCGCTCGGTGGTGGGCTTCGATTGCTGACTACAATTTATATAGTACATAATCTGAGCCTTGTTCTTATTTACTTTTATGCAGTACAGTGAGGGACCGGATCCAATGGCAAAAAACGTCTCAATTTGCATCCCGGAAGGGACCAAAATGTCTCCAAACCCTTCCCGACTTGAAGGAAAGGGCGCGCTTTTCAAAGCGGAGTTTTTTAGCTTAGACAAGGGAAGGGTTTGGAGTCATTTTGGTCCCTTCCGGGATGCAAAATGAGACGTTTTTTGCCATTGGATCAGGCCCCTCACTGTACAAGGGAAGTTTTCTGAAAGTCTTAGCTCATTATGTCCTCAAGCAAATAACATAGAATCATGGTTACACATAGCGTTGCATCCTTGTGGTCGTGGGGGAACAAAGAGCCAGCAAGTATAACAGAGCAGCTTTATTGTGAAAGAATAAATTATTAAATAAATAAATAGCGGCCGAACGCTAGGTCAGATCCAAACGGAACTCTCTAAAAAAATCCCGTTTTGTTTCTTCGTCGTTCCTCAGAAACTCGGAGAACCTGGACCATGCAGGGAATCGTGCCACGACCCAGCAATAAGTATATTCCAAAGTTACATGCAGTATCTACAACTTTGCGCGCAATGCGACGCCATGCACCATACGTACGGCTGTTGGCGGCAGTAGGATAGGAACATCTGGCAATTAATTGCGCCGTCTATGCAATTGGAGGCGGTGGGTGATTGAGGACCTGAATATCGAAGAGATTACAAAATTCAGCGGTTTTTATAGCTTTGCAAACAGCTAAATAACAAGGCAAGTGTGCCAAGTGGGGGTAGTCAGATTTTGATAAAACTTGGCACAAATTGAGAATAATTTTTTCTAAGGTATATGCGAGAATCCTAGCTCGCGCTTTGCAGAAACAACCGAGATTTTTAGATCGAAAGTCGGCGAAAATTTAGGACTTTTTGCCGAATTTCGGCACGAAAAGTTTCATGCCTATTTCAACCGTAAAGGATAAGGTTTCTACAAAAAATCAAAATTTTCCGCACGAAACTACCAAAGTTATGGGCAAAAAGCGCTTTTCCGAGCCTCATATGTCAATATTTTGCCCATTATTTTTTGACAGGCTTTTAGAAATTGGCCGGTATTTTTTCATGGAGAAAGGCGCTGAAAAATATTGCATTTTTGCCAACGATTCGACTCAAAATTATTGGTCATTTCTGCAAAGCGCGGGTCTTAGAAAAAATCTGAATTTTGTCACCAAGTCTCATCAAAATCTGAGCATCGCCCTTGGAGCACCTCTCCTGTAAATACCGCGAAACTTACAACATAAGTCATTAATGCAAGTATACAATCCGCCAGCGTCTGCATGATCTGGACATTCACCTCCAATGCAGGCTGAATAAATTTTAGATTAATTCAAAAAATGACATCAAACAACAACATTTTACGTAAAATAATTAAAAAGGTCATAGGAAAAGAAGCGATCGAAGGAAGAAGTACTATCAGTCTGTCGGGAAAATAATGAGTACTCTGTCGCGTCTAAAATCGCATCATCGCGGGGAAAATGGACTGTGTCGCGTCGAAATCAAATTTCTTCTCACAGGGGAAGTACTCCGAGAGAGCACGCTAAACGTGGAGAGCGGCCAGAGAGAAAAACGCTTTTTGGCCATAACTTTGGCAAGTTTCACGCGGAAAAATTCGATTTTTTGTAGAAACATTATCCTTTACGGTAGAAATAGGCATGAAACTTTTCGTGCCGAAATTCCGCGAAAAGTCCTAAATTTTCGCCGACTTTCGATCTAAAAATCCCGGTTGTTTCTGCAAAGCGCGAGCTAGGATTCTCGCATATACCTTACAACAAATTATTCTAAATTTGTGCCAGGTTTCATCAAAATCTGAGCGTCGCACTTGGCGTACTTCACCTGTCAGTTCAAAGACAACATCGGCGCAACAACATTCTTGCTCATTATTTCCCCGACAAACTGATTGAAATCTCAACACCTTACGTCCCAAAGATCCTGTACACTGAGCATCGCAATAAGTAGAGCATAAGTAGCTAGCAATTACAAGTAAAAGCACAAAGCCGCTTCCCATTTGTGCTGGATAAGTCTGACATGCACTTCAACCCCTGAAGCTCTCTGTTAAAAAAGAAGGCTTTGCGTCAAGCAAGTATCCCAACATAGCCTCCATTGTTTGTCTCCCAAATATAGACGTGTGTTCGTATCAATGAGGTCGTTGATTTCACAATTTCCGGAGGAGTGCTGGTTCCAAATTTGCGTTATTATTAATTTGACGCCAACTTTAGGACAAACAAATTTTCCACGTTTGTATCTCGGGAACCGGGCCTAGAACCTTGAAATTCAGCGTAGCAACATTTTGGGACAATCTAATACCACACCCAAAAAATCACATCATTTGATGCACTTTTTTTACAAACGACAAAAGGACGGGATGACAAGATTTTCTTTTCTCCTGTTTGGGAAAACGGTTTGTAACTCAAAAGCCAGAGGGCGCTAAGGCATGGTTGTGGTATGGTGTTGGACTGTTCCAAAATTTTTCTTTACGGAATGTCAAGGTTTATATCCGGCAGCCCCAGAGATACGAGGTAGAAAGAAAATTTTGTTGACCATTATATGAACCGGCTGACTACATTGTCGGCCGGCCTGCCTCGGCTCTTTTGAAAGTTTCCAATGCAAACCGCGGCCCCCTGGTACCCAAAGACAAGCTTGAGGGGGGTCTAGACATCATTCTATCACGGATCGGCCCGAGAAATTGCGGCTTAACTTGTGCGTCGGCCTATTTCAAATTTTCCTCGGCCCGGTCCGCTAGTGTGCCCAGTATGAGATAGCTTGATGTTAGGTAATGATCTCATGCTTGTATCTTGAAGCCGGGCCGTCCGTCATTCATATGTGGTTGTTCCTTATGCCGATTTTTATCGATGATAAGTCCGATAGCTTTGTTAAGAGCATTGCCGGCTGGAATTCCACTATAAATGTGATGATAACCGTTCTGCCGAGTTGTTTTAGAGGCTGTAATCGTAGGGGTTTGGATAATGATTTCGGTATATCCGATGCTTGGCTGGCTCTTGCTTCGGCCTAGGCCTCCAGATATCCCCTGATCACGCCAATATCGACTGACGCGGTTCCGAGAATGAATATCAGGATACGTCAGATGTTTACATCGCTCTCAAATTAAGTTCCAACAGCTGTTTTTTTTGAAACCGAATTCAAATTCCATCCAAACGAAAGCCTTTACTTCTCGATAAACAAACATGCGAAGGATCAAAAAACAAACAAAAAAACAATGAAATCACAAATTACTAATATACAGGATGGTTAGTGGTTCGTCTCTGTGCGGTTTTATCCGAAAGCAAAGGCTCCACTAGAGGAGCCTCCATTCGAAGAGCCTCCGCCAGTGGCCGGGCACAGACCGCAGGTCCGACGGCAATGCTGCATCATGCAGACGCGATACATTGAGGTGAAGCCTGAAAGTTAATAACAGTTTGGCGGGAAAATAATGTGGATTCGTCCACATTGTGCTCATTATTTTCCCGATAGAATGATCCAAACGGGCCTGCATAATAGTCTGTCGGGAAAATAATGTGGATTTTTCTCGCCTTGGAATTTCCCCCAGATTTGGCGCGCGACATCGACGAGACGAAACATATTGCTGCGAAAAATCCACATGATTTTCCCGACAGGCTGATAGTATTGTTTTCATAAAGTGCATGGATATTTGTGCTTATTCCCAAAGTGCATAAAACTAATCATTTCAGTTTGTCGAGAAAATAATGTGGATTTATCGCGGAAATATGTATGTATATCTCGCCTCGTCGCTGATACACACCATGTCCCCAGCCACGGCTAGCCGTCGCAAACAGATGATGGACAATTCCACATTATTTTCCCGACAGACTGATACGTAGGCCCGCCTATATCATTCTGTCGGGAAAATAATGAGCACAATGTCGATCGTGTCGCTGAAGCGAAAATTAATTTGATTTTGCCGCGACACGATTCATTTTTTGGCGTCGATGCGATTTTCGATGCGACAAACTCATTATTTTCCCGACAGACTGATACGTAGACCTAGCAAGGCATCTTCAATAGAACTTCCAAGTTCAAACGCCATCAAACTGAGTCACTTACATTCTTGCGTAAACATTTGACAATTCACCGCTCCATCGTTACAACCGGAGGTTGGTGGGCCTGAAATCTCATGTTATCGGACATTGCAGCTTACAGCACGTGTCCTGGATGCAGACGTAGTCTTGGCCGGCGTCGCTCTTATTGGGGCATTCGTTGGCAATGCATGCTGAAAATTGCGATTGCGGGCTAGATCTGTATGAAAACGCTAGCAGATTTTTATTATAAGAACTAAGCACCGTTAAAGTTTTTATTACAGATTTATTCAAATTTACAAAGGCCCCAAGTTTATGACCTCTATTTACAGGGGAAGTACTACAAGTGCGACGCTCAAATCTTGATGAAACTTGGCACAAATTTAGAATATTTTTTCGATAAGGCGTATACGAGACTGCTAGCTCAAGATTGGCAAAAACAACCGTGATTTTTAGGATATTTTAGGTCGAAGATAGCGAAAAGTTTGACATTTTTTTTGCGAGTTTTGCCATGAAAGGCCTCATAGAGGTATTTTGCTGCATTTTTATTACCTCACAGATGCAAAGAGGTACGTTTTTTGCCACTGGATCAGGTCTACCACTGTACTTTCTTCTTCAACAAAAAAGATTTTTTCCAAACGAAACTGGCAAAGATATGGCATAAAAATGGTTTTATCCTTGTCTCCGCCCTCGGCCTTTCGCATGCTCTCTCGTCCGCAAAAAAAATTGTTGAATATCTCGGCTACCCCTTGGAAGCGCTAGCTAAAACTCTCAGGAATTTTTACTTAGCCCATAGTGTACGCAAATTTCAAGAAAATCTGAGCGTCGCACTTCAAGCACTTCCCTTGTCAATAATTAAATCTGAAACAGTAAGTTATTATTATTAGTGGTTGAAAGCGCTGTTCAGTATGAAAGACGATGGTTGACGATGTTTTTGTAAGGCTCTGAACCTTGAACCTTTTTGCAGCTCATCCGCAATACGCGCAGGTATGCGCGCAGTTCCGCTGCATGCATTGGGTATAAGGCTGGCTTCGACAGTAGGTCAGGAAGAGCGGACAGTTGATTGCGCGGTCTTGGCAAGCTCCGAAGCCTTGCGAGGGACCTGAAACAGGGCGGAAATAGGGCACAACAAGCGGGCAGACGAACAGGGGTTAGAGAAGTTGGTGATGCAGACTTTGATGATACAGGAAGGGTTTGGAACTTGCAATTTTTTCAAATTTATCGCCAAAGACCGAGAAAGTGTGGAAATGCAATACTGCTTTTCAAAGATCGCTGCAAGATGAAATTTAGAAAATTTACTGCTTTTTTACATAATACCAATAGCATCCGATTTTTCGACCGAAATTCGACCTAACAGCAAGGAAAAAGTCCACAACTTCTAACGGCCTTCTAACGGCCAAGACAAAAAGTTCTCACAATTCTGCACCCATCAACTTAGAATTTCCGCTACAGGTTTTCGGAATTCAATATAGACAGACTATTCACCGGTTACATTGTCCTTTCCAATCAAAAAATATAATCCGTTGCCACGACTGACCTACAAAAAATCGGCAACTACACGGACGAAGACATGAGCGAGAGTAAGCTGAGTAAACAGCAAAAAGTCGTAGCAGACTTACAGCACATATCAGCTATGCAAGTGTACAGGCCTCCCGCCTCTTGTTGGGATGGACATTGGTTGCCGACGCACGCTGCAAATAGAACAAAGGTTGGGATGCGAAGCGAAACCAGGAAACTTAGGGACAGAAGAAAGAAGCAGCCGGTTTTTACGAATACAAACTTGGGTTACTGTCTCGGAGTTTTTTCATAAAGTGCATGGACATTTTTTCGTTTTCGCAGATTGCATTTTGAACTCTTTCCCACGCTTGTCGCCAACGCACAGTGCATCTTTTCCGCACCGTGCAACCCGCAAAAAAGCCGTTTGCACTGTGCAAATTTCTGTCGCAGCAACATCATTGAAACTTCCTTACGTCGCGGCGATATTTCGCACGGTGCAAAGCCGAACAAAAGGCGAGACGCACGGTGCGAAAAGAGAGCGACAAACAGGGCAAAAAAAGGCGGAACGCACTGTGCGTTCGCGATAAAAGGCAAAATTTTTTTTCGCACAGTGCATTTGGAACATTTTCCCACGATTGTCGCCAACGCACAGTGCATTTTTCGCTTATTGCACCGTGCAAACCGCAAAAAAATGGCTTGCACTGTGCAAATTCCTGGCGTCGCCGACGCAGATCCGCGACAACGTTGAAACATGCCTATGTCGCAGCGATATTTCGCACAGTGCAAAAGCCAACAAAAGGTCAAATGTACGGTGCAAGACGGGGGGTTTTTCGTGCACGGTGCGGGTCGCGACAAAGGTCCATGAACTTTATGAAAATGCTTTCGGTCTGTCGGGAAAGTAATGAGCACACTGTCACTGCGCCAATCGCGTCGCTGAAGTGAAAAGCAACTTATTTTTGCCGCGACACAATTCATTTTTTCAGCAATGATACAATTTTTGATGCCACAGGGTGTTCATTATTTTCCCGACAGACTGATTTGAAAATCCTAGGACAAGAAGCTCTCAGGAATCGGGGAAATCTCTTAGCCGACTGTTTTTGACGATTACAGTAACCCAAATCGCAAAAACGCCTGAAAAAACACAAAATTTGTGCGATGAGCACTTGTAAAACTTTCTTTCAAGTTATCAATTCTATTTTGTTCTCCACTGCCCCCAAGGATCTCTCCGATAGCCCTCACTTACGTCCTAGCGAGTTGGCGCAGGAAGCCTCGGTGTGCTGAAAGAGGTAGGTGAGGAGCGCGGCGATTACGAACACCTCTCTACACATGGCAAGCTCTAGAAACAAGATAACGACAATCGGCCCCCGTCTTATGTTATATCGTAAAAACAATGGACGACAATGTGCAAACAAGCGGCGTAAGAGACAAAGAACCCCTGCATGATTCCCTTTATCCGAGCGCAACACCAGCTTGGAGTGTGAGAGGCGCTGATGGCGAAACCCCACACAGCCTTGTGTACAAACACATGTTGTCCTGTTTTGCGATACGAAAGAGGGGAGCGGGCGTGTCCAACCCCAAATTTAGGCGGATGACGAGATCCAGGTCCGGGCTCACCGTCACAGGCCGGCTCAATGGGATCGGATGTTGTCGTATGAGTACAGATGGATCGTATGGGTCCTGACAACAGATGGATCATGGGTTGCAAAAAGTGGGCCGGCCATGTGCAGTCGAAACCGATACGGGTCGATCGAATGAGGTGATGCGCTTTTTATTTCGACAAACTCAACGGTAGGTTGGACCCGATGACGCCAATAAGAGGACACCGTAGCTAGGGGAGTGAGGCTACCCCGCACGGCAACCCAAAATAGAACAAAAATGTCTCCCGCCCACATTGGGTCAAACAAAAAAATAGTAAGGAGTCCAAATTTTTTTACCTAGCCACCCTCGCCTAGATATAAGAGGGGTTCCGGAAAAATTCAAATTTTTTCGGCCATGATGATCGGTCACGCTTTTCGGCCATGGCAATTTTTTTCTTCTGCATTGTACAGGGCGCACAATAAGCAAAAACTACGTCATTTCCGAATGGTTCTTTCCATTGTACCGTTCAGAACACGTCTTATCCTGTTTTGAGCTCTGCAAGTTGCGAGACATAAAAGTTGGTTTGGCCGAAATGCGTGGCTGAGCATCATGGCCGAAAAACATTTGAATTTACCCGGAACCCCTCTTATATGGAAAGAGTTCTCGCCTGGCTCGGTCTCCGAATTCTATCAGACTGTCGGGAAAATATTGAATCATGTGTCTGCTTGAACTTTGACGAGCCATAACTTTACCGTCAAGACCCGTAAACAGTTTTGGAAGGCAGACGCTTCTTCCACTGCCTGACGCCTTCAACATCCACTAGGTCACCAGGAATGGATCGATCTGCGAAAAAATCGCTTCCCTGTGAGTTGAAAAGCAATCTGAGCTTTCCACGACACAATTAATTTTCTGTTCGGCGGTGCGATTTTCGATGCGACCGAGTGCTCATTATTTTCCCGACAGACTGATAGTAGGTCGCTGCTAAATTATGAAACGACTAGATTTCCAACTTTTATTCCATAAACGAGATTATAAATTATATAGAGCTATAAATATATACTTGAAAAACTAAAAATATGTCATGCAGTTCATGTGACAATCTTTGTGTCCCATTGATCGGTGACTAGGACCTCCGTCACTGCTTCGCTACAATCCCAGGTGGCCATGAAGCCGCGTCCGTCGTTCGCGGCGTCACTGTCCGTGTTGAACTCGATCTTGAAGCTTTGGATCTCCTTTTGAACCAGTCCGGCCGAGATTTTTCGCACGCTCATCTCGCTCTGCAAAAATATTTCTTTAGAATGGCCAGGGAAGTATGGTCCATAGCGTAATGTTCAGGCGCCATTCTGCATGGTAATCTCACCCTACAGTGAGGAACCTGTTCCAGTGGCAAAAAACGTATCATTTGCATCAGGGAAGCATCAAAAATGTGGCAAAATGCCTCCCTCTCCAACTAAAAAAATCCGTTTTTAACTGCGCTCACAAAAAGAGTGGCTTTTGAAATCGGAGTTTTTTCGCTTGGAGAGGGAGGCATTTTGCTGCATTTTTGATACTTCCCGGATGCAAAATGGTACGTTTTTGGCCAATGGATCTGGTCCGCCACTCTATTTCTACTACAAAGGGTAATTTTTCAACAAAAAAGTCGTTTTTTTAGCGCGAAATTGGCGGAAAAATCGCCAAAAACTTTCTTATTCTTTTTTCAGACCGCTCTCCGCATTCTGCGTGCTCTCTTGTCGAAAAATTTTGTTGAATATCTCGGTTATTGTAACTTACAGCACACTCAATTTCCGTCCAATGGGTGCCATCGTCGGTGACTGTCGCAACTTTCAGCACGTCGCCGTTGTTGCATGTGACCGGGTCCTTGTTCAAATACCGAGTAATGCTCATTTCGCAGGTCATTCCGCGCGGCGGAAGGACGAAAGCTCTGAAATTCAATATGTTTCAAAGACTCGGCGGAGATCTTTTTAAGCCGCTGATAATTCAACGTCTCTTCTCAGCTTACCGATAAGTCGTGTTGACACTATATCCGGGGAAACCAAGGTTCACAACGACCCCACTCTTCTCATAGATTGGCGCATACTCATAGAGCTTCTGATATTCCTGTTGATAGGTCTTGATCAAATAGTAATTCGCATCGAAGCCGCCGTGATTCGAGCTGGCATCGCTCGTAAAGTTCAAAACCATCTGGTTTTGCGCCGTCAACACGGGCGGCGGCGTTGCAAATCCGCACAAGGTTTTGGTCAAATTCCCCGTCATGTTGTAGGTCACTCGTAGCGCATCGAATTTGCAATTGTCGTCGAAGAACTTGGAGATCCCGCCGAATGACGTCATTTGGCCGCCAATCCCCCTGAACTGCCCGACTTGTCGCTTCGAGTAGAGGCGCGGGATGCCCCGGCTGCCCGGCTCGCCCTGAATTCGTCGCCAATACGGGTTGCGCCGCAGCGTGTACGCGCCACGCTCGATCATGAACTGTTTGAACACCAGCAGAATGCGATACTCGTCCGGGACCTTGATCCTCGTTATGCACGTGGAATTCGCGTCGTATTGATAGGGGAAGTTGGGACTGTGGACTCGACCCGACGCGAAACGACTGTAAGGGTCGTCGACGGTGATTGTCCGGTTACAGGCTGAAATTTTGGATGTAGGAGTTCTTGTGGGAAGTCGCTGGAGTGATTTTTGGCATTTGCACTGTGCGAAAAAATATGGGGTGTGAGCGACAGCCCAAAAAAGCATATCACACGGTGCAAAAATCAAGAAATTGCACTGTGCAAAATGAACTTTGGTTTTCGCACTGTGCATGTCGCTGAAATCACTCCAGAGACGTTGATATATAACTTACAATCCAATAAAGTGTAGGTTAAATTGAAGGAACTGGTAAATTGACTTTGTAGAACGACTGAGGTCACTATCTGAAAACGTTGAATAGTTAAAACTTGCGTTGAAACAAAACATTATTTCAAGGAAAAAATTTGAAAAAAAGGAAGGTGCCAAATGCGACGCTCAGATTTTGATGAAACCAGAAACAAACTTAGAACAATTTTATCAAAAAATAAAGCATACACGAGACTCCCAGCTCGCGTCCTGCAGAAACGACGAAACGACTGAGATTTTTAGAGCAAAAGTTGGTCAAAATGCGACACTTTCTGGTGAAATTTGGAATGAAAATTTCGTAAAAAACATACTATTTTGTATCAGGGAAGTATCAAAACTGTGGCAAAATGCCTCCATCTCCAAGTGAAAAAACCTCGTTTTGAAGGGCGAGCCGTTTCCCTCATAAAAAGAGCAGCCGCGTTCTTGAAATCTGAGTTTAGTTTTTTCACTTGGAGAGGGAAGCATTTTGCCACCTTTTTGACACTTCCCGGAAGCAGAACGGTACGTTTTTTGCCACTGGATCAGGTCTCCCACTGTAGGAACGCTTCCCAATTTAATTTGAGCCAAGTCTCGTCCAACTCCTCACCTGAACCAGCGACGTTTTGGAGACGAACCGCCAAAACACATTGCTTCCGCAGGTCCTGTAGATGTTCTGCGCGTCCTTTTGCTCGGTGGCGCACGCCGGATGCTGGCATTCGGCCACCGTTCCCACGTCGCTGACCTCGAAGAACTCCTCGTCGCATTTCGCGGTCTTCGTGGGGAAACTGAACGAGTTCATCGACAACTCGATGGGCTCGTTCTCCTCGCCGCGGATGAAGAAGCGGCAGCGTTTGTAGCGCTGATGGGTTCGAGTGAGCGCTGAAAAGGTGGGGAAAAATTGCCGGACGGGGTGGCAACTTACTTCTTTGACTGTTGTAGACGAGAAGTTGATCTTCGCCGGCCTTGGCGGTATAGACTCCGCCGCAATCCGCTGAAACAGGACGATTTGGAGAAACTTCCTTTTTCTGGCCCGGCGCTTCGCAGCTTGCGCCCTGGTTTCTCTGCTGACTGCGAATAAAAAGAGGAAACGGCCCAAGCGCTAAAACTAAGCTTAACGCTAGGTCTTAACTAAGCCTGACCTGCCTAGCCCTGATATTCCATCCAACCGGAATTGTTCGGGCGCAAGCTGCAAGACCTTCTTTTCGCTGGGGCCAGAAAAAGGAAGTTTCACCGATAATTTTGGTCAAAAATCGAAGAAAGAATAAAAAAAAATATAAAAAAATTTCTCACGCTCAATCGCTCGAAATTGCAGAGTGAAGCCGCCGAAAGCGTCGGAGGAGTCGGTTTCGAAATAAACGTCAGCTTTTTTGTACGATGAATAGTAATGCAAGTGCTCTTGATCAAAGTCTTTGGCCAAACAAGACGGCCGCAGAAGCCATGGGGAGATCCCTTGGGGTCCGTCGTAGATCTGAAAATCATTTTTTATTGACATACTTCTATGTGTTATGGAATTACAGGTCAACATATATGGTGCGTCCCAGTATTTGGTTCTACCCCATTTTTTGATCATATTTCAGGGGTTTTCTTCCCAAATGTCATGAAATTTTACACAAGTGTTAATCAGCTTTTAAGATTGAGCTATGCAAAGTTTCATCTCATTTGGCTGCAGTGCTCGAAAATTATGGCGATTTCTTTTTAAATTTTGGGTGCCCCAGGTTTTTGGTTCCACTTGCAAATTTTCGAGTTTTTTGGTCCGGTTTTGAGTCGGCCTGCCTATAACACACTTCCTCGTGTTCTATAGAAAGGGTAATACATTCATTTGCGTGGTGTTCCAAAAGTTCTGAGGGTTTTTTCGCCCTTACAACCCAAAATTGGGCGGCTAATTTTTACATACTCTGAATCAGAAAAGATTTGCGATTTTTTGATGTATATCTCGACCTGTAACTCCATACCCCATAGAAGATACTTTCCTTGCAAAATTTATGACAAAAAATAAAAAAAAATATGAAATTTTTCGAAATCTTACCGCCAAAAAGTCGTAGCAACTCCCATTCCCCATGACCCGGCGCTGTTCCAGGTCCACGTCGCTCAGCTTGAACTCGATCACGCTGCCCTTGTCGGCCGAGATGCGCCACCAACAGCGCAGGTTGTTCATGTACGTGTCCATCTCCTCGCCCTTGCTGAGCGGCGGCTGGATGGTGCGCCACTCGGCGTCGGCGCGGATCTCGCCGCCGCAGCCCTTCTCCGGGCCCAGCGTGGCGGTGAGCACCAGGCTGAAGCCGCCCTTGCTCGTCGTTTCGTCCGTGTGGAACTGGATCAACATGTTGTTGGTCTTGGTCATCTTCGTGCCGAACGGCGGGGTTTGCCCGCAAATTCGGCCCCAAGTCGTGGTGTTTGTGGCTTCGACTCCGTCCCAGAGCTCGATGTAATCGAAGTAGCACTGCTCGGAGCCTTCAATGTCCATTTGGCGGAATCTGAAAAGGATTTTTTGGGGTTGACATTGCAGTGGAAAAACTGCACTGTCCAATTTCTTGCTTTTGAACCGTGCAAGAGCCCTATTCCGGACTGTCGCTGGCACTCTGAATTTTATGCACAGTCCGCCAAAAATTACTCCAGCCACAAAGAACGGACAAGTGTAAAAAAACGTATTTTTCCAAGAGTTCTCCACATTTTTTAGATTTTTTTCGGCTGCCAAAATCCTTGAATATCTGAGCGTTGCTCGCAACATGCAAGCCAAAACTTTCTGTGATTTTTTTGAGTTCTATACAGAGCATATTTTCAAAATTTTAAGAAAATCCCCCCTCTAGAATCTACAACCTAAATTTTAAGTCATCAAAAACAAAAAAAAAGTCTCAAAAATCCCACTTTGCGGCAATAACATATCCGTCCGGCGCTGTGACATTCCACACACAGTTGAGTTTGTGATGATAGGGCAGTGGGAAGGATGGAGAAGTAATGGTTCCGGTCATATGCGAAGTCTCTTCGTCCAGCACAATCTCTCCGCCGCAATCCGAGAGCGCGTACGTCAGGTGGAAGCCGCGCATCCGTTTCCGTTTGTTGTCTTGGAAGAAGGTCGTGTTGCTCACAAACCGAACAGCGACTGGGCCCTGGAAAGAAACGGGGAGTAATTTATACAGCAGAGTTGACGAAACTCACCTTTATTGAGATGGGACTGAAGCCGGCTTCTTCGTTGTTCCGTCCGCAAGCCGTAAAGGCCACTCGGTTCGCGGCGACGTCAATGATTTGCACGTAATCGCTTCCACATGGCTTTCGCTTTCCGTCAACTGAAAACAACAGGTCGCAAAAGTCATTCCAGCTACTATACTATTACTATAATATATATATTTTACTAAGGCTACTATGTTAATCTAAACTTATGTATTTCAGTTTACAGGGGAAGTACCCCAAGTGAGACGCTCAGATTTTGATGAAACTTGGCACAAATTTAGAATAATTTTTTCTGAGATATATGCGAGGATCCTAGCTCGCGCTTTGCAGAAACAACAGAGATTTTTATTAGGTTGATGCATGATTATCCGGCGTTTTTTTTGGCGCGTTTTTGTTTGTTAAGATTCACGTTTTGTTAACTTTTTTTCATAAAGATAATCTTCTCTATTTAGTTAATAAAATGCGTGTCGAAAATCATACTCATATTCGCCATATTATGCTTTACCATTTCGAGAAAGGTTGGAGGTCGAGATTTTTAGATCGAAAGTCGGCGAAAATTTAGGACTTTTTGCCGAATTTCGCCACGAAAAGTTTCATACCTATTTCTACCGTAAAGGGTAATGTTTCCACAAAAAATCAATTTTTCCCGCACGAAACTGCCAAAGTTATGGCCAAAAAGAGTTTTTCACTTTGCCCGCTCTCCGCGTTAAGCGTACTCTCTCGGCGGCAAAGATGGTTCACTATCTCGGTGGCGCTTGCAAAGCGCGAGCTAAAACTTTCAGGAATTGATTTTTAGTTCATCCCCGACGTGTGTGCAAAATTTTAAAAAAATTTGGGGGTCGAACGGCAACCCGAAATAGAAGAAAAATGTTTTCCAGTTTTTGAGTTTCGTCCCAACAAAGTGTCAAAATTGACAAAAGAAATAAAATAATTCAGAGAAAAGTATCTTTCGGCCGGAAAACCGCAAAAAACGGACCTTTTTGCATTCGTGAAGCATCAAAAATGTGGCAAAATGCTTCCCTCTCCAAGTGAAAAAAAACTTTGTTTTGAAGGGCCCTTTCCCTCACAAAAAGAGCGGGCGCGCTTTAGAAATCGGAGTTTTTTCACTTGGAGAGGGAAGCATTTTGCCACATTTTTGATACTTCCCGGATGCAAAACGGTACGTTTTTTGCCGCTGGCTCAGGTCCCCACTGTGGCACGGAAAAGGCCAAAAATTCATCAAAGTCATCCTAAAAATGGCTTTCACTTTTCCTACCCAAGGTATCATCCAGTTCGAGGTCATCGATTCGAATTGTAACAATCTGCGTGTACTTTGTTGGTGGATTGATCTGATAAATGCATTCCATGTCCTCATTCGGATAATAGCTCGGATAAAACGGCGACATAACTTCCCCATGGTTCAGTTGGAAGACGGTTCCGCATTTCGCTTCCCAAGTGAGACGGAAGCCTCTGGCGGTGATGTCATTGTTTGTCGTGAAGTTGAGTCGAACTCGACGACTTTCTGTTTCGATTGGCGCGATCGCATCGATACCGCAGATCCTCTAAAAAGTCTTATTGTTAGGGCTTATTTTAAAGGGGAGGTGGTCAAACGGCAACGCTCAGATTTTGATGAAACTTGGCACAAATTTAGAATGATTTTTTCAAAAATATATGCGAGAATGCTAGCTCGCGCTTTGCAGAAACAACCGAGATTTTTAGGTCGAAAATTGGCGAAAATTTAGGGCTTTTTGCCAAATTTCGGCACAAAAAGTTGCATGCCTATTTCTACATAGACCTTTCCACAAAAAATAATTTTTTTCTTAATTTAAGAAAAGAAACTAGCAAAGTTATGATTTGAAAAGTGTTTTTTTCTTCTCTCTCTGACCGCTCTCCGCGTTTAGCGTACTCTCTCGGCGGCAAAGGTCGTTAAATATCTCGGCGGCGCCCGCAAAGCGCGAGCTAAAACTTTCAGGAATTGATACCTAGTTCATAACGGATGTGTGTGTAAAATTTAAATAAAATCTGAGCATCACATTGGGGTTCTTCCCTTGTTAGTTTACAGGGGAGGTGCTCAACGTAAAACGTTCAGATTTTAACAAAAACGGGGACATATTTTATGGTGTATATTTTCGGAGACATCTATGACGTTCTACATACCGATCGCGCTTTGCAGGAACCACTGTCGGGAAAATAATGAGCATAATGTCGCTGCGCCAATCACGTCGCTAAAGGGAAAAGCAATTTGATTTTGTCGCGACACAATTCATTTTTGGGGGCGATTTTCCACGCGACAGAGTGCTCATTATTTTCCCGACAGACTGATAATAAAGTATTTGTTAAAAAAAATTAAAATAAAATGAAATCCCACCTTGACCAACTCATCATGATCAAAGTAGAACAAATAGTTTCTCATCGGGTCCTTCCCCCGACTTTGATGCTCCTGATAAACGGCCAAGTAATCCTTCAGACAGCCGGCCGACTTGGCAATGTCCAGCCGATCGAAGTTCAGCTTGACGTGGAAGCCGGGAGGCACGGAGATCTCCCATAAACACGATGCGTAGTTCGGATAGTCCACATCCGGATAGCCGGGGGACACAATCTCCCCTTCCATGGCATGAGTGTGGAATCCGCAGGCTAAAAATTTAAAAAAAATGAATTTTCCGGCGAAATTTTTGATTTTTTTTTTGTAATTTTTCAATTTGAGATAGCCTAAAGAGTGAGTCTTCGATTTCATCCAAATTTTGCTACAATATCCTGTACAGGATAAAGGGTAATCACTGAAAATTTGAGCCCCTCATTTGCCCTCACAGCCGAGATATTCGGCAATATTTTTACTCGAGAGAGCATGCAAAATGAGGAGAGAGGGCGAGAGGAAACCCTTTTTCTTGCTACATCTTTGCGAATTTCGCATGGAAATCTTTGTTTTCTTTGTAGAAGCATAGTAAAACCTCTGTATAACGAATAATTGTTCGTTATAGACGGGCTTCGTTTTATGAAGGTTTTTTTTGCCGTAAAATTAATTCATGAGACCTCAAAAAGTGTTTGTTATAGAGAGGTTTTGTTGTAAGACAAATTTGGAGAGATTTTTTTTATTTTTTTTTTTTTTGAATTTTTCATTTTCGAAAAAAATCAAAAAAAATCATTATTATTCAAAAATCGGCATCGCATCGGTGAGAGAATGGCCGACTACGCTCATTACTTTGTAAGTCTCCCTTCGAACTACAGTAATCCGCAAAACACGGCGATATTTTTTTCAAAAAATCGACCTTCTCCAGGCCTGCCGCCATTTCCTCCGAGAGAACACCGGAATCGAGCTCTTTTTGCTGGCCATGATCCACATCTTGGTGGTGGCGAACCTGTCGCTCGGGCTGGGCTACGCACTCATGAGTCGGATCGTGAAGAACTACCGGACCGCCCTCACCATTCTCCCCACTATGGCCATGTTGGAGTACATGCGAGTGTACAAAAAGTCGCCGTTCGAGAGAGCCCAAAATCCGGAGCTGGCGGCGAAACGCGAGGCCGGCGGAATGAGTGTCACAGAGCATGGAGAAGGTGAGTTGAGGGGAAAAATCAAAAAAAAAAAAAAAAAATTTTTTGAAATTTTTGTGTGGGGTACCATGGATGACAACTTACATTTTTTTTATGAAAGTTGGAAAATATTTTCTAAATAGGCCACATTTCGGTGAAAGTTCCTTATTCTGGCCACAAACTTATAACTTTGCGGAAACTGGACAGAAATAGCCCAAATTTGGCGTGCTGGCTCAATTCATCGTTGTCAATTCCCGGACAGTGGATTTAGTTAGTGAGTTACCTTCTTTTTTACGTACCACCTTACCCTTCAAAAACGGCTGCAGCCTGCGACTTTACAATTTATACGATGAGACCTGTCCGGAACTAAACTTATTGCCTCCGTATAGAATTAAACGAGTCGTCATAGCCTTCGTCGTCATAGCCCTTAAGACCATAAAGCTACTATAGTAATTCAGCTTTAGTTCCCAAGCTTGGGCGCAGTTCGCAGAGTACCTTTGTTGTGGCCAGAATAAGGAACTTTTTCCAAATCGTCTAGACAGGACGCATTTCCAACCTTAAAATTTCTAGCTCGCAATCACCACTCGCAGCGGAGGTATCAAATATTATATTTTCAAGCCTAAAATTTCAAATTTTTTTTTTATTTTTGAAAATTTCTCAAAGCAAACTTTTCAGGAGCCCTCCCAGAAGACGATCCTGAAAGTTCTGACGAGGCAGTACCTTCCGAACCATTTTATTACTACCACAGAGACTCTTGACTCGCTTATTATGTCGAATATGTGATATTAAGAATAAAAATTTTTTTAAATCTCACTAAAAACTTTTCAATTTTCAATGTCAAGCCCCACACTTACAATTATTGCTATCCGGCGTCACAAATTCCCAATCAATTTCGAAGCCCTTTCCGTTGATCTCATGGTTGCTGTGGAAATGCAGCGTCAAGTATCGGCCTCGAGAGATCAGTCGTTTGAAGCGGTCCTCCAGCGCTGTGTCCGGGATCAGCTCCGAATTACAGTAGCGATGGAGTTGACTGGAAGTTGCGAGACCTTCCGCCACTTCCAGGACATCATGATTACAGTAGACATCGTATTCCAGGTCCATTTTCGTAACTGATAACTGTAAAAGAAGAGTCAAAAAATAGTAGAGTTACCCACCTTGATGACAAGTCCTTCCGGTGCCTTCAAATGCCACAAACAATCGGCATTGTTCGAATAATTTCCACCGTCTTGCGTGCCCGGAGCCCTGATTGTACCGAAATTTCCGTATAATTCCTCCGTGATATCGCCACCGCATTCTGAAAAGCTTTTTGATGAGATAACGGACAAAAATCTGTGTGAAATTTGCTGCCTCCCAACTTTGAGCCTTCGCAAAAATTCCAATTTACTTCCGACGTCTTTTTTGGAAGTCGCAAATCGAGGTTTCCGCAACACACATTTTGAAATTGGTATCTAACAAAAAAGCGAATCTAACAAAAAACTCTCAAGCTCAAGAAAAAATTGTTAGTTTTATACAGTAGGGGACCTGATCCAGTGGCAAAAAACGTATCATTTTGTATCCGGGAAGCATCAAAAATGTGGCAAAATGCTTCACTCTCCAAGTGAAAAAACTTTGTTTTGAAGGGCGCGCCCCTCACGAAAATAACGGGCGCGCTTTTGAAATCGGAGTTTTCTCGCTTGGAGAGGGAAGCATTTCGCCGCATTTTTGATACTTCCCGGATGCAAAACGGTACGTTTTCTGTTACTGGATAAGGTCCCCGCTGTACGTCGAAATATATAAGAGTATAACTCTCTACAACTTACGATTGTAGACAATACTCAAGTTGAACTGCACCGGCTGATCGATATTTGGCACCAGTGAGAACGGATTGTTCATTATGAAAATATCCAAAATGCGACTGTTGTAAGAGTTGTTATACACGTTGTGCTGGACAATGCCCGAGCATAGCACATCTTTAATGGGCCATTCATCCAACGTCTGGCCAACAATATGCACCTGATTCGAGCTTTGGCCACACAACCGAATGTTGGGGCGGCCTGCGCGGAAGTCGGTGAAATACAGGGCCACTGTCGACTCTTTCTTTTGATTCTCGATTCGGATGTGGCAGAAGGCTGAAAATGGGATTTCCAAATTTACACTGTATGCGAAATTTCAGGCTAATCCATTTTCCGCATTCCCGAGAAATCCCCAAAAATCCCTCCCACATTCTCACATTTTGATCCGGTATTCGTCAAACCCATCATGTCACTGTAGCTTCGTTTTATCGACATGTCGTGGATTGTGATGTTCTGGTCATCATAGACGTGCCACATGCACGCGAACTCGTCAAAGTCTTCGTCCACGCGGGTGTACCGCAATCTGAAGGGCTTGTGGAAACGAGTCGAGTCAATGCCCGTGTACATGACGCTCCGATAAACCTTGGCACGATCCTCGTAGACGACGGTCATAATGTCCGCGTTCGAGACGAATGAGGTTCGGTTCACGCAGAAGCGTTGGTACAGCGAGTACAGAGAGTAGCGCGATTCGACTGGACCGTTCCAGGCTTCCAAGTCGGGGAAACAGGGCTGTTCGGGGCCTCCGTTGATCGAGGGGATGTGCTCGTAGAAGCCCTAGAACATTGGGAATTCATTTTCTATACAAAATTGGGGAAATTAAGAAAAAAATTGAGTCCCACCACGAAAATCTCAAATGCCAAGAAATGCTTGGCATTCCGCAACAAGTAACATTTTACCGCTATTTTATGTACCTAAAAATATTTTGTGTCGTTTTGAATTATTTCTCAATGTTTTTAGCCTTAAATTTGCCGGCAAATCAATAAATTTTCTATAGCGAAGAATTGGAGGAGTAATTCTGCGCCTCAATTCTCAAAAATTAAAAATAAAGTGCTGGGAATCCCATCTTTTAATTTTTTTCTCTGTTTTCCATCTTTTTGTTACACTTTAGATCTCAACTTACATCCTCGTTAACAAACTCAAGGTCCAGCTTGTACCGATACCCGATTCCAGCCTTAAAATTCCAAACACACTCGACACCAGGAAGAACATGATCGGGATACCCGGGAACCACCAATTGCCCTTCATCATCCTCCACATCCCCTCCGCATTCGTATTTGCTGGCGGATAATTCGATTTCGAACCCGCACTTCCGATTCAAACAGAAGAGACGCGAAGCGCCGCGCGCGTATGTTGTATTGGCCATGAACTTGACCAGCGCTGTGCCGTGATGCGAATGGAAATGTCGATCGTTCACGGAGCGCATGGAACAGGATGGAGGCAGAAGGACGGTTCGGTTCTCAGTTGTGTTCGGGGCCACACCAGGATGAAGGCCATCAAGGACGGTGACATATTCTTGCTTGCAGTTGTCGGAAATGGCCAGCCAAAGATGTTTCAGACTAAAAATTGAAGTTTAGAACGGTTATATTTTCAAATTTAGGTGGATTATGTCCGTATTACTCACTGTCCTTCGACGAAATGCCCTTTCGGCGCCTTGACGATCCATTCGCATTCCTCTTGAGCGGGATATGCTTCAGGGAAGTTGGGGCTGGTAATTGAGGTGTTGACGCTTGGCGAAAGCACCACCGTTCCTCCGCAGCTCGCTGAAATCATAAAAATTTTGTATTTTTCCGTAACAAATTGATTTCTGGTTATTTCTTGTGCACTTACCCAGCTCATAAGTCGCTTTCCAGCCCTCCGAAGGCGAGTAGTAATCGGTAACAAAACGAACGAACAGATGAGAGTCGGTCGAGAACAGAGTTGACGGTGGATCATCTCCGCAGAATTTCCCAATCAACGGCGACGATCCACTGGGCCCATCGTAGATCTCCAAGTAGTCATCTTTGCATTCGTCCGGATCCGCGTTCTCCAGCATGAATTGCTCCGTGTCCACGGTGAATTTGATGCGATGGCCTGGCGGCGCAGCGATAATCCATTCGCAATCCAGGGAGTTTGGAGAATCTGAAAAAATTGAAAGAAGTTGTCATAATTTCATAATTTGAGCTTGTTGTTTGTCTCTTGCTTACTCTCTGGATATCCTGGCGATTGAATAACGCCCTTCTTTTTGATCTCATCCAAGTATAGTGTCTCACTGCACATGTGTGTAATCTCCTCTATTAGCAGTTGGAAGCCTTGTCGTCTCACTGCTGGCTGTGTCTCTCCACTATTTTCATACGTGATAAACACTCGACCATATTTGGCGGTATAGTTGAAAAGATTGTTTCCGCAGTAGTAATGCACGTTGTTTCCGGCGTTGTTCGAATGGGGAACCGAGTTCTGCAAAGACTAGAAAGTGAGGATAAAAGCTTACCACTAAAAGATATTCTCCTTTGCATTGGTTGTCTTCCTGCGGTGGCGCTAGATCCATGGATATTGCTTTCACGATCAGATCGCGATTGGTTTCCAGCATGATTCCCCACATACAACTGAAGTTGTGTCCTCCGGTTTCTGGGTACAATGGGCTGTTCAGTGTGTAGACGAACTTGTTCTTCTCGGCATTCAGGTATTCGAAGGTGCGGCAGTCTAAAGTCGGATTGATACGTTTGCGTTTTTTCGCCTACCCAATTTATACTCCAAAGTGAATCCACTGAAGCTCTTTGATCGGTCCGAAACAAAGTAAATAAAAGCCTCATCATCGTAGTTGATTAACGTTGCGTAATTCGCTTGGTCTTTGCGACAAATCCGATGCATGAATGTGGCATCTCTAAAACGCAAATTTAGGTAGAAAACTAAAATTCTCATCGCAGTGGCTTCCCCAATTCCTTACTCGAGCTCCCGAAGAGTCGCGAATTCTCTCGTTCCCACGGTGAGATAGTCATAGGCACAGTTGGCATGCTCCTCGACGTCCAGCAACTTTAGTTTGAAAGAGATTCCGTGCAGAAGAGGTCGTTTGATCTTCCACCGGCACTTCAGATCGTTAGCATACTTGTTGACTAAAATTAGAATGTATCTTACCCTCGGCAAGTCTGAAAAGCATTGTCAAACTTTGTCTTACCGTCCGATGTGGGCAAGGTTAAGTTCTTCGGTGAGAAAGTGGCTTCGAGCTCTCCGCCGCAAGTAAATTCCTCCTCAACGTAGACGGTTTTTCCCACTGCTTCGCTTCCATTCGCTGCTGGACGAATGGGTTTCCATGTCAGTTCGAAATGCGAGATATCCGTTCTCGGCGCGAGCGCTTTGATTTCCAGCTCATTCGAGGTGTAGACCCGTGTTGGCTCATCATCAGCCAGAGAGTCGATTATTTCTTCGTTTATCTGGAATTTGGATATATCAGTCTGTCGGGAAAATAATGTGGACTCGTAGGAAAGTTCAATGAACATGTTAGGTTGCAACTTGCAAAAAATGTGGGAAAACTCACTTGAACTTTCACTCCAATTAACGTACGGAACGTGACCTCGATGTGCTCATCAGATTTGTTGGTCCGGACCGACCAAACAATGGTCTCGTCGGCTGGGCGAATCCTTGGAGAGCCAACCGGCAAAATAATTTTGTTTGACTTGACAACTCCTCCAAGAGATTTCTCAAACCGGAATTTAAGCCAGTTCGTTGGCGCTGGAGTTGTTGGGACGTCTTCGTCGTCTTCATTGTCAGCGGTTTCGAATGGTTTTCGTAGCACTCGTAGATAAAGCTTCTCTGCCTAGAAGATTTAATTTTGATTGCTTTTTGCTGACAAGGAAAGCGCTTCTATCTGGTATGAAGTTACAGGTCGTGAGATATTTTAAAAATCGCAAAAAGTTTCTGATTCAGAACATGCAAAAATTAGCTGCCCAATTTTGGTTTGTAAGGGCAAGAAAGCCCTCAGAACTTTTCATGCAACATCCACGAAAAGACGAGTTTTTGTTAGAGAAACTCTTTGGAGGTTTTTCCGTGGATCTTTTCGTGTTCAATAGCTCCTTTCCTATTGTACTGTATTCCTCACCTCATATTTTCGAGGGGAGATATTTCCGCATAATCTTGACAGTAGTCGCTTTCTCTTGCCTTCCCGGATCTCCACGTAACTCTGCGCACAGTCTTCGGACTCAGGGATTGTGCTCTCACTGAAAATAGACACGTGTTTGCTGTATAAAAATTGACTCTTTACTTACTCAATATGTAGGACCACTTTATTTCCAGCGCTGTTCTCCAGGACGTAATCACAATCTATATCGCCACTAATTTCGTAAATTCCTTTGACTGCATCTCCGATATCTCCGCACACTAGAAAAAATTATCGCTGTTCTGATAGCCATTGCGACTTACTGTATCCGACCGTGTCATAGTGGAGCATGAACGTTACATTCTGTGGGATTTCGCTGACCTCCACCAAGATATCCTCCGTACATTCGACTGTATTGATATGCCGGTTCTTTGTTGATGCGTAATTGCTGAAACTCGCAAGAGATACGTAGGATTTGTAAGTGCCCGCAAGTAGACGATAACATCAGTTTGTCGGGAAAATAATGAGCACTCTGTCGCATAGAAAATCGTATCGCCATCGAGAAAGTGAATCGTGTCGTGGGCAAAGCCAAATTGCTTTTCATTTTTGCTTCTACGCAGCGACATGGTGCTCTTTATTTTCTCGACAGACTGATACTACGCTTTTTCAAAAGGTGCGGTTCAAAATGCCGTTGGAGAAAAATGGTAAACTGCACTGTGCCTCACTAGAGATTTTGAAAAAACAAATCTTACGGTTTTCTGCTGATTCCACAAGTCACATTGATGAACACTTCCTTGTCGTCATCAAATGCGTTCAAATCCAGCAGCTCGAACCCAACGACAATCTTTTGGTCTAGCAATGCTGAAAACGTAGTCAATGAGATATACTATAGTTCGTTTCTAAGGTCGCTGGAGTGATTACTGCGACCTTGACGAACAGTCTAGTACAACAACTCCGTCCTACTGCTGAAATTCTATGCGATTACTTACTCTGATTCTCCCTGGTGACCTTGAACGCGCATCCTCCGTTATTGTGTAGCATATGCTCCCTCAAACTCAATGTTCTTCTCTCTGCACCCGCTTCCAGAGTTCCACCACAAACTGCAAATGCCTCCAGGACAAATCCCACTTTGTCCTTTCGTCCACTATCTCCAGATGGGACCGTCGCGTCGTAGGGTGCGCCATGGAAAGTCACGGTAGATTCGTTGGTCAGAACGTTGAAAATGACAGACTCCGTGATGTCGTTGCAGATTCTGGAGACTGCGCCTTTGCTCTCGCGATAGGATGAGTAGAGTCTGAACAAGTGTTATCGATATCTTTTTGTACTAAAGTTTAAACGAAATCTGAGGGTCATCCTTGGCGCGCTTTCTTGTAACAATAACGTAAGAATTTACCTGTCATTTCTGGCGTATTCTCCGGAATACACCGCCAACCCGCCTTCTATGTACATCAACGCAGAGCTGCATCTAAACGGAGAAAATGATGCTGAGTTTTCGAACTTGGCATACCTGATGTTCGTCGGGAACCCGAGTTGCGGCGGTCTTCGCTTTCCTGGTGTAACGAAATGCGATAAATTATAGGCCAATGAGAATCCCTTGACTGTCTCGAACTGCCAAGCGCATTCGATTGCTCTGGGGTACTTTGTCGGGAATCCGGGCGAGGTGATCGTTTGGTTGTGGCCGGGCAGCACTGCAAGTAATCTGTTTGTCCATTTCGCTTATCTATTCCCGCCCTACACAAAACCCTCAACGAACCTTTGACCTTTCCGGTGCAGGTAAGATCGTTGTCCAGTTTCACGTAGGTAACAAAGGCTCTGAAGACTGTCCCGTTCCTCGACGTCTTGTACTTGGCGTCCATTCCGAGCCTCATTGCGAGCCGGTTCGTGTGCGAGGTGTAGGTCTTGTTTTGGCCGATGATACGGCCGCAGTAGCTCCATTGTGGGTAGTCGGTAAAATTGGTCCCAGTGAAGAACTGAAATCCGACGTTATTTAGTTTCTGCGACAGGGTTATTAAGTTGTGTTTTCATAACATTTATGAAAATACTATTAGGGTGAACCAAAAATGTTTCCGATGTTTTATATATGACCTCTTCGATTCATATGCTCACCATAACTCCATTGAGTTCGTCGATTTTGTCGGGGCAAACACCAGTGTTAATCTGCTCCACCGTATGCATCTCCATGACATCCACTTTGATCACATACCCAATTGGTGCGTACATTACCCAGTTGCATTCTCGACGAAGCGACAGATTCGCCGCAACAAAGTCGCTGACGTCCACGCTGAGCTTTGTCGCGTTGCTATAGACATAATCGCCACAACCTTCAGTGGACCAGCTCAGCCAAAAATGATTCTCTTTGGCTTGTTTCGTATTGGTGAAGTTGAATTGGAGCTCATTGGACTTGGAGAAGATCCGCTGCGGCTCCGCGAAGCCGTTGCAGAACTTGGTGGCCTTCATTTTGTCCGTCGCTTTCCCGTCTTCCGTCCCTTCGACGTGCTCGATTTGATCGGTTCGCACGGAGAGGTAGTTGGACATGCACTCCGTGAATCCTCGGGAACGAATTATCATCGAGCCGTCCAAGCGGAACCGATGGAAAATCACTTTGATTCGGGAGCCGGGAGCGGTTCTTATCGTCCAGCTGCAGACTCGCGCTTCCTCGGTGGGATAGGGGTAGCCGGGCGATTGAATTGATCCGAATGGCTTGCTGAGCACGATATTGTTGCAGACTGAAAGTGAAAGGGTAGTCTACTATTTCTTAGTCTGTCGGGAAAATAGCGACCATAATGCCGCTGCGCCGTGTCGCTGAAGTGAAAAGAAATTTGATTTTGCTGCGACATGTCGCGACATAATTAATCTTTTCGGCGGTGGTGCGATTTTCGATGCGACATAGTGCTCGTTATTTTCCCGACAGACTGATATTGCTATTTTCATAAAGTGCATGGACATGTGTCATGCACCGTACTATGCACAAAAAGCTCTCATCTTGCACCGGGCGTTTCACGTTCTTTTTGTTTTTTGCATGGTGCGGCGAAATATCGCTGCGACGCAAGCAAGCTTCACTTTATGAAAATACCACATTGACGGACCTGATCTCGTGGCAAAAAATGTACCATTTTGCTTCCGGGAAGTATCAAAAAAAAGTGGCAAAATACCTCCCTCTCCAAGTGAAAAACAAAACCGATTTCAAAAGCGCGCCCGCTCTTTTTGTGAGGAAAAGGGACGCGCCCTTCAAAATGAAGTTTTTTTCACTTGAAGAGGGAAGCATTTTGCCGCATTTTTGATACTTCCCGGATGCAAAATGGTACATTTTCTGCCACTGGATCACGTTTGTCACTGTAACATTTTTTTGCCATTTTGAGGCAAAAAGATGAAACTCCAAAACTTACCGGTTACAAATCGTCCCAAGAAGCCAAACAGCCCTCCGTTGATGGACCCTCCAACCTGGTTGTATTTCACAACTAAGCTATTATCCGATGTAATCAGCGGCTCTGGGGCGACCTCTCGTTTGCAGTACTTTCGAAGGACGGTCGGGTCGCTCCTTGGCCCCTCGGCCAGATCGATGTAATTGCGGGCGAACGGCTGACAAACACCGTTGTGGTCGGCGGAAGCGAGATCGTCCATTTTGTCGATTTGGAAGCGGATCCGGTTCCCCGGCGCCACCGTAATCTCCCACTCACACATCAGCTGGTGTGAGTCGGCCTTCGGGTATTGGGGAGTGGCGATCTCGCCGGTGTAGCCGCGTATGGATCCGCCGCAACCTAAAGAGGATTTTTTGACAAAATTGGTCGCTTACTTTGTTCGATCATTTTGTATTCGATCCGCAATGTTGTATTCCGAGTGCTCTTTACAAGCAGACTGATGAACGCCTGATTTCCTTGGGTTATCAGCTCCGGCACCGGTTTCGAGTCGCAGAACGAGGAATCCGGCCATAATTGAGGGAATTTCGGCGAATCGGAGTGTCCGCCATTCCTAGAAATGCGCATAAATTTGACAAGGGAAGACGCCAAGTGCTACGCTCAGATTTTGATGAAACTTGGCACAAATTTAGAACAATTTTTTTCTAAAATATATTCGAGAATTCTGGATTGCGCTTTGCAGAAACAACCGAGGTGGTTTAAAAGGCTCTATTTGGCGACCACGTTGTCCGAACCTCAAGCATCGGTTGTCGTCCCTAAACCTGACGTTCCAGCAGATGTTACTCCTTTCGCTATATTATTTTTTGAAATATCTCGGCTCTGTGTGCAAAGAGCGATTTAAAACTTGCAGGAATTAATGTGTGGCCTACGCCCAACGCGTGTGCAAAATTAAAAAAAAAATCTGAACCTCGCACTTGCGATACTTCCCCTGTGAGTGTATTCCACCTACCTCAGCGTAACGACCCCATCCTCACACGGCATGTAGAAATCGGTGATGTTGAGGTGGATCCGCGCCATTGCTGGTAGCTGAAAGTGAAGTTTTAGGCATTATGTATCACAGTCAGTTGTAAATAATCCGCCAACATCTCGTATTTTACCAACTCACCACAATCCTAAAGTTGCACTCCTCAATGTTACCGTAATTCGACCGGTTGAACTCGAGAACTCCGGATTGTTGAGTTAGAGTGACGTCACAGAAGTTGTGCAGATTCACGACATCATAATGCGCTGTAAATCCGATTCCATTGACCGACCGATCACTGGTGAAAACAACCACCAGCGTCCCGCTCGCCGAGACGATTGGAGGTGGATTGGCGACGCCACAGTATCTGAAATGATTCGAAAATCTTCCCGGGCCCTTAATATCAGTCTGTCGGGAAAAAAATGATAAAAATGTCGCATCGAAAATCGCCGTGAAAAATGAATTGTGTCGTGGCAAAATCGGATTGCTTTCACTTCACCGACGAGACTTGTTGCAGCGACATTTTTCTCATTATTTTCGACAGACTGATGCTAAAATTTTTGCATAAAGTGCGTAGACATTTTTTCGCCTTTTCCCGCGAACGCACAGTTTTTCCTTTCTTTCTTTCATGCACCGTGCGTGTTGCTGTTTTTCGCACAGTGCAAACTGGAAAAAGCGGTTCGCACTGTGCGAATGAATCGTCAAAATCGTAGTGACGTAGTTGGAGAAAACCTTCGTCTCAGCGATATTTTGGTGCACTGTGCAAAAACTAAAAGCGCACGGTGCGAATTGAGGCTTGCACTGTGCATTTTGTCTCGCGACAAAAAGTCTACGCACTTTATGAAAATCTCAGTCTGTCGGGAAAATAATGGGTGCACTGTCGCTATCGCGTCGCTGAAGTGAAAAGCAATATGACTTTGTCGCGACAGAATTAATTTTCTCTGCGGCGATGCGATTTGTGGTGTGACAGAGTGCTCATTATTTTCCCGACAGACTATTAGTATTTCACTTGCCTTCCCAGTAATTTCCCATGTTTCTTCTCATTCTGGTATGTGTCGTAGATCTCAACGGCATCGAAGCCGCAATCCAGCCGACTAGCCACATTTTCCACATCAAAATCGTCAAAGGTTAGCCGAACCGCTTGTCGTCCTTTGGTCTTTATCGTGTAGATGCAATACATATGATTCGGGTATTTATTCGGATAATTCGGGGACTTGATCACCCCGCTTTTGCCATGATAATATCCACCACAGCCCTTCTCCTCCACCGTGTATGAGAACAGGAAGCCGGTGTTGTTGGCGGATCCTGAGGTGCTGTAGGTGATCTGAACGCCAGACGTCCCGCTGACGATTAATTCGCCGCTCGGCGCCACGAACGGATATCTGGCGCAGTGATAGCGACGGTTCAGCGATGCGTCCGAGGTATGACCGCCACTCAGCTAAACAGCGACATGGCAATTCTCTACTATTTTCAAGTCAAACTCACCTCAATATAGTCATCATATCCCGCCAGACTCGAGTCGTTCGAGCTCTGCAGTTGAAGACATCCCACGGAGAAGCCGGGGAGCCCAATGTAATCGAACTTCAACTTTACAATAGCCGAACTGGGCGCGTGAATATTGTAGGTACAGGTGAATGGCTCATGATGACGGACTCTCAAATTCGGCGATCGCACGATTCCGGTGGGATTACTGTAGCTGTGGTAACAAGAGGCCTTGTACAGCATCTTGAAGCCTTTTCCCGAGTATTGCGAATCACTGTGGAATTCCAGCTGAAAGAAAGAGGTGATCAAGCACCAAGTATATCTGGCGCTAGGTCTTTTCGAGTCGACGACAGTTCGGGTCGACTATACCTTGGGTTGCCTTTATTTGTTGTTGTATTCATTGCGAAGGCTTGGAGAATGTTTATTTAGAAGAAATATTAAGATTGACCGGCTCCTAGAAGAGTTTATCCCTATTTTGAGATGTTTTACATTTATTACTGCCAGGGCGCAGCTGAACAAAAGTTCTGGGGGGAGGGACGTCGGGCAAGTTGCGTAAAAAAATATGGTCAGTTCCTTGCCACCCCTTACCATTTTTTTCGTTCGGCCTCGGCCTGGGAAAGGGTACCCTTTTTGGGCCAATTTTTATGCCTTTTCGAAAGCCCAGCGTCAAGGAAACAAGATTAGCAGTAACCAAAATTAGAAAAGGCGGATATTACAGGGTGACCCAAAATAACGGAGACAAATTTTTGAAGGTCCCACCACGAAAACCGGGCGTTAGAGAAACATAAGCGACAGCGGGAAATATTCTATAACACCTTCTCTATAATCCACGAAAGTTTGGGGGAATCATCATGTCGCAGTAAAAAGTTGCAGCTTAACAAATATGCCTTGCGCCGTTTTTTTGGCCTTCAAGTTTGGTTCCCTTGTGTTGTGTAAAGCCTGGCATTACTACAGCCGCAGAAATGGCAAGATCTTTTGTTTTGTTAGACTACTATGTCCCTAAGAAAGCAGTTGCGTAGGTTTTTGGGCTACGGTTTTTATTTCTACGGTGGTACCGATCTCAACATTGAAGATCGCCATTTTTCCCAAATTTTTTCCATAAAAAATTCAGTTTTTTTCGAATTAAGCTAAAACCGCTAGTACGTGTTCTATTCATAAATACAATGATTCTGAAAAAATCTGTGATTGCGTGCTGGTTGCAACAGCTTTTCCTTAACAAGTTTATTGCCCAGAACTTCCTCGTGGCACGCGGCTTTGAGAAAGATGGGTTATCGATAACAGAATGACATGATAGATAAAAATGGCGCATTATGCTCCTGTACACTTATGAATACGACTCTTGAGCATCAGCCTAGGGCACTTTCGGTCTTTATGTGTCACCGACTCGACCGGTATTCCGCCTAAGGCAAAAATAAGGCAGAATTCTAGTGATTACCAAATAGCATTCCGTATCAGTTACAAAATCTTTCTCTTTTGCTTTTGTGGTGTTCCTTTAATCATGTTCTAGTAACTCATATTACATTTTGCCTTATCTAACATTTAAACTCCTTGTTGCGCTTACATTTTCAAAAAAGGCCGATTTTTGCACTTCAAGTGCCTGAAAATACTCGGCTGTAACTTTTGAACCATCGATAGTTAAGCTTAGTATGATAGCTCATTTTAAAGGTCTTATTATGATAATTAATAACTGTAAATCTCAAACTATCCCGAGTTTTCTTTTTTGAGTAAGGCAGCTTTCTTGTAAAAAGACCCCACGGGCAGAAGGGTCCGAGTCAACCGGATATATTCATGTCGTTCAAGACAGAAGAGCGTCGTACAACAAAACTACCGGTAAATAAAACTACCCTAACGTGGTACTGTAATATAAATAAGGAGTCACTCATGAATCTTAATAAGTCGCAGAAAAAACGGGAAATCTTTTGTCTCCGTTATTTTGGGTCACCCTGTATAAGTCTCCGCCAAATCTTCGCCGAGAACCCAGTGGCACGAGACTGTTTTTTTCCACGCATCGTATGTCCTCCTAAACATTTTTTGGCAGGGTTCAGGCCTGCCCTACGCCTATCAACTGATTTTGCGTAGACCCTAATGTGGTCAACCCGAAAAGACGAGACGCGGTATATCTCACCTTGAACTCGTCAAAGAAGTGCAGCTGAACCGGTAGTCGATTTCCATTGCAATGCTTGGTAATGTCGTCGAATTCGATGAAATCCCCCGGACAATAAATGTCATCGTCAACAGTGCCATCTGGAACGGGCTCATTGCTTCCTCGGACATCAAATTCCACCACATCCATGGTGAACATGTTCAAGTCCGTGTCGGAGAGCGTTTCATTCGGGTCTTTCCTCAACTTGAACTCCCACACACACATCAGGTCGGGCGGATAAGCGTGCCCAAAATTGGGGGTTTGAATGAAGCCGACTGGATTCGTTTGGGCGTTTATAACACCTCCGCAGTCGGTGGTTTCTGGAAATGTCATCGTTTTTAGAAAACAGCGAATTTTTCTTACTCGGAACTCCCTTGAAGCTGACCATAAAGTAGATCCCGCATCTTGGCGCATCGTCGGTGTTGTTCGTGGAAGATGTTGACAATTTACAGTCTCGAAGAGTCTCTTCGCTCGCCATGTAGCTGTCGTAGGTGAATTGAAGACTGGCATGATTGGTGGAGAAGCGTTTGACGTACGGTTGCTCAACGTCCGCGCAGATTTCGCCCATCTGCACATTCTGGTCAATCAAGCCGCTGTCGTAGAACTGAAATTGTGACAGTAGGCCTGCAGAAAACTTGGAAACTTTGTAACCGAAAAGGTGCCGAAAAAGGCGAAATTTTTTCAACTTCCCGAAGATACAAAACCCCGAAAATAAAATTATTTAAAAAAAAATGAAAAAATAGGTGTGACATTTTATATGATAAAAATTTTTTTACCCTGTATTTCCATCTTGAAAAAACAGTTTCGTCGTATAACATGTCCCACCTACTTTTTGATTTTAGAAGAAAAATTTTTCATCGTATAACATGTCACCATTTATTTAACGTTTCTTTAATTTTTTTTTAAATGGGACCTCTTCGTTTTTGGGGCCCTTTTTTCGATTTCACAAAGAATCCGATATCCCAAAAATAAAATTACAAAATGAAAAATAGGTGTGACATTTTACATGGCAAAAAATTTTTTACCCTCTACTTTCATTTTGAAAAAACAAATTTCATCGTATAACATGTCCCACCCATTTTTTGATTTTTGCAGAAAACTTTTTATCGTATAACATGTCATCCTTTATTTAAATTTTTTTAAAAAATTTTTTAAAATGGGGCCTCTTCGTTTTTGGTGCCCCTTCGGTCGAGTGACCTCTTCGTTTTGAGGCCTCTTCGTTTCGAAGCCTCTTCGGCTTCAATCAGATACTTTAGCGATGCTTTTCTCAACCTGTTTTTTTAATGAAACTCACTCTCAACGAATTTACTGTGCAATTCACTTCAGCCCCTGTAGCAGTAATCATTTTCTCCACGGTCACCTCAATCAGCTGATCATTTGGCGCATCCAAAAACCACTGACACTCCTCCCACGCTTTGCTGCTCTTGAAGCTGAACGGACTATTGCTCACATCCAGTCTGCCGCCGCAAATCGGCTCCACGGCCTGCCAATGGACGGTCGCTTGGAGCGTATCGTTTGGGGTGGGGACGAAGAAGATCACATGAAGATGACTGTTCTTTGTGTAGTACGGCGAGGTTTTTGTGGGAAGTTGGTAGCGCCAACTGTTCGTGGCGTCCTTTAATTTCACTTCCACCGCGTGGATGTTGTCGAAGCCCGGGTCCAAATCGGAATGCGTGTAATTGGTTACCCAGACCTTCAGAATCTTTCGCGTATCTCGCGACTTCATCGTCAGCGTGCAGACTTCGGAATTGTAGAATGGAAGAGTCATCGTGTAGTTCCCACTGTCCTGGATGAACTCCATTCCGCAAGTGTCTGGGGGGATTATAACGCCTAAAAGATTTGCTGTGGAGCTCTACGTTATTAGTCCGCTCGTGTAGCGAACGGACCATTACAGTGGGGGACTTGATTCAGTCGCAAAAAACGTAGCATTCGCATCCAGGAACTATCAAAAAACGTGGCAAAATGGTTCCCTTTTCAAGTGAAAAAACTCGGATTTCAAAAGCGCGCCCGCTCTTTTTGTGAGGGAAAGGCCGCGCCCTTCAAAACGAAGTTTTTTTCACTTGGAGAAGGAAGTATTTTGCCACATTTTTAATGCTTCCCGGATGCAAAATAGTAGGACCAGCGGCACCCCGATGGTCCGTCAATCCAAGCCTATTCTCGACCGATTCCCAGAGTTTCCCATGATCAACCGCTCTACGTGACAATCCGTTCCGACCGCTCGACTTCGCGCCATTCGGTGAATCTCATTCTTTCAATTGGACCCTCCGGCTCGCTGGACGGTCGACCCCTTTCGTCCTCCTCCGACTACCCGAGACCATCAACGTTGTTGTTGTATTGTGCGCTATCGTGACGTTTGCTGGATAAATATACTTGCTATATCCCAGTTGGCTATTGTAACGTCGATCCGGGCCTTATTCCCCGTTGATCTTATCTAATTGCCCTCTACCTTCCGTAGACTAGGCACTACTAAATGCTTCGTTTTTTTCCACTGGATCAGGTCCGCCATTGTAGCTGAAGAGAAAAGTACTGCACTTTACCTTTCTGTGGGATGATTCCACACGAAGTCGTGAACCCATTCGGACACACACAATAGGCATCATTCTCATTCCGATGGCAAGTCCCAACTTCTCCACAAAAATCCGGCTCGTTGTAGCACTTGTCCTCGAATTCGCATTTGTCCCCATGGAAGCCGGGTGCGCAGAAGCAGTTGGCATGCGTTTCGTTGATCTTCTGACAAGTCGCGCCGTTCTCGCAGACGCTGCAACGTCCACTTCCATAGTAGTAGGTCCGATGACACTCCGTATCCTTCAACCCACTGCCAATGGGCTTGTCTTCCGGACAAAGACAGCCTTCGTTGGGCTCTTCGATGCAGGTCGCCTCTTCGTTGCACGGATTGTTCGCGCAGAACTCAATCTTTTTGCAGTAGAACCCGTCGCCCTCGTAGCCGGCGGGGCAAGCGGCACACGAAAACGAGCCTTTCGTATTGATACATTCGACTCGGGGGTTCTGCGAACACGGGTCGGAATAGCACTCGTTAATGTCCTCACAGGTGATTCCGTCTCCTAAAAAGGCCGATTTAAAATGCTTTTTAAAATTACATGCTGTTTTTACATTAGTTTACCGAAAAATACCAGTTTGTCGGGAAAATAATGAGCACCCTATCGCACCGAAAATTGCATCGCAAAAAGTGGAAAAATGCACTGTGCGCCACGAAAAAAGTCTACGCATTTTTGAAAGGCGTATTTTCAGTCTGTCGGGAAAATAATGAGCACCCTATCGCATCGAAAATTGCATCGCCGAAGAGAAAATGAATTGTCTTGCAAAATCAAGTTTCGTTTCACTTCAGCGACGAGATAGGCGCAGCGACTTTGCGATCATTATTTTGCCGACAGTCTGATACTATATTACGTATATTTACGTTAAAATATCTTGCTTTCGCCTCCTTCCCCCTTTCCTTTTTGCAAGAAAGAGAGATTTCTCTCCCTGGCTCTTTGGTTCCAAATAGTCGAGTGGTTAGTGCGCGCGCTTCCCACTCGAACCCCCGCGAGTTCGATTTCGGTTGCCGATGAAGACAAAAAGACGCTGATTCCGCCCACAAATGGCTAACAAAGTAGCTGGGCGCCCGCGTCTGGCGAAAGGTTCGGGCCGTGTTTGTGGGAACCATGATAAAGATTATGAGATTCGAGGCATCTTTTCGGTTTTTTTGGGGAAACGGAAATCTATTTTGGGGAAGTAGGTTTGATTATTATTCTGTTGGGAAAATAATGAGCAAAATGTCGATGTGACAACCGCGTCGCTGAAGTGAAAAAAGCAATTTGATTTTGTCGCGGCGCAATTCATTTTCTCGACGGCGATGCAATTTTCGATGCGACAGAGATGCTCATTATTTTCCCGACAAACTGATACTACGCGTTTTCAAAAGTGCGCAGACTTTTGCTTTTTTCGTGGCGCACAGTGCATTTTTCCACTTTTTGCACGGATTTTTTTTGCGCTACATCGCGCGCGATTCCCATTGTTCGCAAGCGACAAAACATTTCTTCGAAGTGCGACAGAATTTGAAGACCGAGGAGCCGCAGAAAAAATCCCAGGACCTTTTGCCACGAGAATCAAAACGAAACGGCCGTATCGAAAAAATAGTGATTTTTTGGTTGCAACGATTTTCTAGCGCTGAATCTGGAGTGTTTTAAGACTTCGAACATAAAAAAAAATGTTAGTCTTTTTGATGCCTTTTGATAAAATTTTCCCTTACTACCCAATAAATCCCTCCAAAAACCCCCGCAACTTACCATAGAATCCTTTAGGGCATCCAGTACACTTAAAGCCTCCAGGCAAATTCAAACACTCATTTCCATAGCCTTTGAAGCATGGCGTGTGCTCTCCCGCACATTCGTCGATATCAATGCACAATGGCTGCATGATATCCTCGTTCGATCTGTAGCCATAATCACAAACACATTTGTAGGGCGCCGCTCCCGCATACGACGGGGTAATGGACACACAATGACCGTGCTCTCCGCAGAGGCCGGTGCTCGTGGCGGTGCACTCGCCCGACTTCTCCTGACAATGCGAGCCGTAGGTGTTGGGAGGGCATTTGCAGGTGGTTCCGGGGCCTTTCTCGTTGTTCACGCAGGTCCCACCGTTCTGACAATCGGCGTGCGTGCCTTTGATCATGGCGCATTCGTCGAAGCGCTTTTCGCAGTGAGGACCCTGGAGATTTGCAAGAAAAAGTTTGTATACAGTAGGGGACTTGATCCAGTGGTAAAAGACGTACCATTTTGCATCCGGGAAGTATCAAAAATGTGGCAAACTACCTCCAAGTGAAAAACCTCCGATTTCAAAAGCGCGCCCGCTCTTTTTGTGAGGAAAAAGAGCGCGTCCTTCAAAACGAAATTTTTTTGCTTGGAGAAGAAAGTATTTTGCCACATTTTTAATGCTTCCCGAATGCAAAATGGTACGTTTTTTGCTACTGGATCGGGCCCGTTTTTATTAGCAAGGAACGTACTTCTATGGAGTTGCAGGGCGAGACATATATCAACTAATCGCAAAATGTATCTGATTCAGAACGTGTTAAAATTAGCTGCCCAATTTTGGTTAAGGGCGAAAAAACCCTCAGCACTTTTCTCGCAGCACCACGCAAATGCTTTTTTTGACCACGTTTTTACCAATTCAAAAGCTTTGTTTTGAGCTAAAATAAACCCTGGCATCTTGACAAGTCTTACAATGTAAAATTTTATTATTGCTACACCTATATAAATTAGTAGTTCCAATATAAAAAATGGGAATTTGCGTGGTGTTGCGAGAAAAGTTCTGACAAGGGCTCGGCAAAACCCGTCCCCTGGTTTCTTCTTGAAACATATACCATTTGAAAAAGCGCAAAAAACTGGTCTAGGATCACCTTCAATTAGCTGCTAAGATTCACTTACGTGCTAGCTAGCGAACTTTTTTTCAAAATTCCCAATTAGACTTTGGGAACCTTTTCTTCTGAGATGCCAACGAGATCGAATAATCACTTTTCATACAAATATTAATCACCTATGACATTGGAGGCTTCAATCAAGATCAAAAAACATAAAGTTTTTCCCGAGCTTGAAACTCTCAGGTCGATGCCCTCAACGAGTGATTAGGCGATGTTTTAGGTCTTCTCGCCCGAGACATACTAGGAGGTTTTAAACATGTATACCGTTTTCAGGCTCGTTTTTCACGTACTGCCCGTAAATGGGCATTCCTGGCAAAAAATATTAAAGCCGTTGAAAGTTTCAACCATCTTGGGTGCCCACTGCAGGGTCAAAGACACCTGTATCACAAAAAATTTAAAAACCTGTCGATTTTTCTAGTAAAACAAATCTAGGGTACCCCAAAAATCAATATAAAATTAAAGCTACATGCTAGCCTTCTTCATTCCATAATAGCCAAAAAAATCCAAAAATTCAAAAAGGGATTCGAACCTGGTCCGCAGGTCCTCCTTGTAGAGCGCCTTACCCCACTAGGCCACCGAAGCACTGCTTCGCCGTGCTTTTGATATCGATTCCTTTTGTTTTGTTGAAAGAAGGGTGAGACTGGCTTAGAAGTAAAAAATGCTCGCTAGCTAGTATGTAAGAGAATCTTAGCAGCTAATTAAAGGTGATTCTAGACCAGTTTTTTGCGCTCTTTCAAATGGTATATGTTTCAAGAAGAAACCAGGGGACGAGGTTTTGCCGAGCCCTTGTGAGGGGTTTTTTCGCCCTTACAAGCCAAAATTGGGCAGCTAATTTTTACACATTCTGAATCATAACAATTTCGCGATTTTTGATATATATTTCGACCTGTAACTCCACACCCCATTGAAGTACTTCCCTTGTAAAAAAACACATTTTTCATCTAATTTTTCACCTTCCCCAAACCTACCTCCATGTGCGGCGGGCATAAACAATGAAACGCGGCGAACAAGTCCAAGCAAGTTCCCCCATTTTGGCATGGTTTATCATCGCATTCGTTCGTTTTCATCAACTTGTACAGCCGATCCACCTGCTTGTTCAGTGTGTACATGAGTTGCCGGATTCGCCGCTGATTCGATCCTCGCGCTCGTGAGGCATTGAATTTTTTGAACTGCTCCTCTAGGCTGATCTGTTTGGCTCGCGTTACAACCAGCATCCCTTTGAGCACCGAGAACTGCCGCTCCATGACAGCTTTTTGGACCTTCGACGAAGCGGATTCCGCGCCATTCGAGCGGATTTGGCTTCTCAGGAATGCAATGTCCTCCTGGAATTTTTATTTTTATTTTGGTCGAGAGTTAAGAATTTTGTTTGTAATGTGGCGTAAAGTCTTTTCGGGCCAACCACAGTTTGGGTTTCCTCGATTTGCGCTCATGGCGATGGCTTGGAGAAGGCTTTACTAAGTTGCAAATTTTTCTCTTTTATATGTCACAATAACCCAGGGTGAAAAAGAAATGGTATATAGTTCAGTGGGGTACCTGATCCAGTGTCAAAAAACGTACCATTTTGCATCTAGGAAGTATCAAAAATGTGACAAAATGCTTCCCTCTCCAAGTGATAACACTTCGTTTTGAAGGGTTTTCGCTCACAAAAAGAGCGGGCGCGCTTTTGAGGGGTTTTTTACTTGGAGAGCGAGGTATTTTGCCACATTTTTGATACTTTTCGGATGCAAAATGGTACGTTTATTTGCCACTGGATCACTGTAATGCTAAAGTTGGAAAAAAGTGGACATATTGCAAGTCTCGCCAATACTCCGTCGAGCCTTCGCCAAGTCACTGCCGAGCATAAAACGGCTCGCAGCCTTGTGAGAAGTTCGATTTCAATTTTAAATATTTCTATTATTTTCTAGACAATTTTTCTCATTTTTTGAAAAAAAATAAAAATTTTGTTTTTTTCAAAGAAAAAATGAAAAAAAATTTCCCAAAGTCAAAATAATTTGCATATTTCCCAAAAAAAAGTCACGTACTCCCCTCAAAATCCTCTCATTTCCCCCATTCGCCGCTCATTCATCCTTTGCTTGCTCGTTGCGTCCCGGCTGCTGATCCCCGACCATGCCCATCCCCGACGGAGACTACGAAAAGGGCAAAAAAGTGTTCAAGCAGCGCTGCGCACAATGCCACGAGATCACCTCGTTGGGCACCAAGACCGGTCCCACGCTGAACGGAGTCATTGGCCGGAAGAGCGGAATGGTCGCTGGATTCGAGTATTCCGCCGCCAACAAAAACAAGGTGAGGGGGTTTGGGGAGTTCTTGGACTTTTTTTGGGGAGCTATGTTTTTTGGGGCTTGAATGATTTGGGGTATGGAAAAAGTACCGCAGATTGGCCACCATCCCTAACCGCCAATCTAAATTTAGGCTAACCCTGGACTAAGCCTTAGCCTGGAGAACGTTCCATTGTATAAAATGTCCCAAAATTTCCTGAGCGCCTTTTGCAATTCCCTAAAATTTTTGATTTTTTTGTATGATGGCCAATCTGCGGATCTTTTACCTGGGGTTTAAAGATCTGGTAAAAGTTCCTTATTTTGGCCACAACTTATAACTTTGCGGAAACTGGTCGGAATTAGCTCAAATTTAGCGTGCACGCTCAGTTTATCGTTGTCAATGCCCGGACAGTGGATTTAGTTAGTGAGGTACCTTCTTTTTTACGTACCATCTTACCCTTCAAAAACGGCCGCAGCCTGTGATTTTACACTTTATACGATGAAACATGTCCGGAACTAAACTTATTGCCTCTGTATGGAACTAAATGAGTCGTCACAGCCTTCGTAGGTACCCTTAAAACTATAGAGCTATTATAGTAATTCAGTGCCAGCTAGGTCGAAGCGTTTTTTCCTAACTTTAGTGCCCAAGCTTGGGCGCAGTTCGCGGGGTACCTTTGTTGTGGCCAAAATAAGGAACTTTTTCCGAGATGAGGAGTTTTTGAAATTGAAAGATATCATAAATTTACTAGTCAAGTGCCCTTCATCTATCATTTCAATTTATGAAAGTTTTAGCCTGCGTTTTGCAGGCGCAGCTGAGATATTCATCGGTCTTTGCCGCCGACAGTATGCGCAACGTGGGGAGCGGTCAGAGTGAAAAGCAGTTTTAAGCCATATCTTTGCCAGTTTCGCGCAGAAAAAAATGTTTTTTGAAGAAAAATTACCCTGTACTGTAGAAATAGACAAGGTACTTTTCATGCCGAAATTCGAAAAAGTGCCGCATTTTTTGCTGACTTTCGAGCTAAAAATCTCGGTTGTTTCTGCAAAGTGCGAGCTAAGAAGCTCGCATCTGTTTTAGGAAAAATTGATCTGAATTTTTGCCACTTTTCATTAGATGCTAGTTGAATTTTTTGACAAAAAAAAATCAAATTTCAAAATAAAAAAAACCGATAATTTTTGTCAGCAAAAAATCGTCTCTCCTCAAAAATTTCATTTCCCAAATTTTTATCACCAAAAAGCAGAGTGAATCCCCGAAATCCGGCTCGAAAAGTGCAGATTGAACGTGAACAAACAATGTCATCATCCCCAATTTTCTCTTTTCCCTTTCGAGGCCAATTCCCATAAGCCAAAATGTGCGCCCTTGTAGCTCAGTGGTTTCAGAGCGTCGGTCTTGTAAACCGAAGGTCCAAGGTTCGAATCCTTGCTGGGGCAATCCTTTTTGGCGGGTTTCGGGGATCTCAGGGGTTGAGAAATGATGGCAGAGGGGCCATAATTTTTGTTTGATATTTGTAGATGATCTGGGGAATTGAAAAATCGAATTTTGCGCCTTTTATGGTCATAAAAATTTCATTTTTGGTATTTTGTCCCCGAAAACCCCAAATTTTCCCTTTTTTGATTTCAGATTTTTTTCATAAAGTGCATGGACATTTTTCACTTTATGATTCTATTTTGCACAGTGCATTTTGAACCTTTTCCCACGCTTGTCGCCAACGCACAGTGCATTTTTTTTCTTTTTGCACCGTGCAAACCTCATGAAAGCCGTTTGCACGGTGCAAATTCCGCCGCAGCGACAAGAATTGAAACTTTTTGTCGCAGCGATGCTTTACCGCACAGTGCAAAAACCAAAAAAGAAAATGAAGTGCACAGTGCAAGATGAGGGTTTTGTACACGGTGCGGGACGTGACAAATGTCCATGCACTTTATGAAAATGACAAAATCAGTCCGTCGGGAAAATAATGTGCCCTCTGGCGCATCGAAAATCACATCGCCGCTGGGGATGGATGATCCATGCACTTTATGAAAATACTATTATTAAAACATCAAAACATAGTAATGTTCTAATTTTAGGGAGTGACCTGGACCAAGGACACTTTGTTCGAGTACCTGGCCGACCCCAAGAAGTACATCCCGGGCACGAAAATGGTGTTCGCCGGCCTCAAAAAGGAAAAGGAACGCGCCGATTTGATCAAGTACATTGAAGTCGAGGGAGCCAAGCCTGCTTCGTAAACCTGTCGTTTTCGGTTGTTTTTGATAGTAAATTTTGCGATGAAGTTATTTGATATTGATTTTTTAAGGAAAAAATAAAAAAAAATTCGATTTAAAAAAAATTTTTTCCGAAAAAAATAAAAAATTTTGATTGCAATTTAAAAACGTTGAAAAATGCGTCAGAGTCATTTTAAAATAAAACTAAAATGTCGTAAAAACAAATTGCCCCAGCAAGGATTCGAACCTTGGACCTTCGGTTTACAAGACCGACGCTCTGAAACCACTGAGCTACGAGGGCGCGGGCTCAGCTCCCGGAGGAAGACGCTCTTTCCGAATGGGGACTTCCAAATCTCGGGCCTTAATTATGCGTTTGGACTGGGTTTTGTATTTTTTGTTGTTGTATTACGCTTGCCTACTATTCGTTTCATAAAGTTCGTAGACTTTTTCGGCTTTTTTTCGCATGAACAGTGCATGTTACACGACGCGATCCTTCTCGAAACATTTTTCACTGCGCAATTTCTTTTCGTATGTCTAAAATTGAGGTTGACTCCGTTGAGAAAAGCTTGCGTTGCTGCGATATTCGATATTGCACTTGCACAGTGCAAAAGGTCAAATGCACGCCGCGAAAGGTTTTTGCACGGTGCGGCCCAGGACAAAAAGTCTACACACTTTTGAAAATTCGTAGTATTTTCTTATATTTTCTATACTGATCAGTCTGTCGGGAAAATAATGGTGACAATTCTGTCGGGAAAATAATGATGTCGCATCGAAAATCGCATCGCCGCCGAGAAAAAAAATTTTGTCGCGAAAAAATCCAGTTGCTTTTCACTTCAGCGACACAATTGGGGTAGCCAGATTCAGCTCATTATTTTCCCGACAGACTGATACTACGCTTTTTGGAATACGATAATATACCATATTTTGCACAGTGCGTTCCGTCTTTTCCGCAGAACGAAGCTGCGAAGAATCCACATTATTTTCCCGACAGACTCATAATCGTGGCAAAAAGTTCGTAAAATTTATCGCGGCCAAAATTCTGCTGCTCTCTGAAAAAAATGACTTGTCGTGGCGAAAAGTTGGAAGAAAATAAATATGCACTGTGCAAATGGTGTTTTTGGGTCAAACCGCACTGTGCAAGGCATTTTTCCGCCATTTTTACCGCGACGCGCCAAAACCGCACTGTGAAATTTCTCAGGATGTTTTGTCTTGGGTACCAGTCGCGCCATAAAGTCCGTAGAATTTTTTTCGCCGACGTCGCGGGTGCAATCGCCGAAAAGTGCATGTCGCTAGTGCAAAAACGGGGAATCGCACGGCAACCCAGGGAGTCTCCCGCCTCGTTTCGGCGCTTCGCCCACCTAGTATCGGTTGAATTCAAACGAAATGTCAAAAGTGAATTTTTCGCGTGGTTTTCGAAAAAATATTTTTTCGGAATCATTTTATTTCTTTTGCGAATTTTGACACTTCGTTTGGACGAAATTCAAAAGTGGGTGGGAGACATTTTTGTTCTATTTTGGGTTGCCGTGAATCGCCGCGGTGCGTGCGAAAAAAAAATGGTTGAATGCACTGTGCAAAATTCTACGGACTTTATGTTGCGCCTAGCATTAGCCGCGGAAAAAAGTCCTGGGAATTTTCTGCGACTCTGCACTGTGCATGAACCCGAAAAGTGCTTTTGCACAGTGCAATGAGTGCGACGGAATTTGGGGGCCGCGAGAAATTCCCAGAACTTTTTCCCGCGACTAGTATTAGTTTCAGAATAAGCCTTATCAGTCTGTCGGGAAAATAATGAGCATCGAAAATCGCATCGCCGCCAATACAATAAATTTTGTCGCGGAAAAATCCAATTGTTTTTCTCTTCAGCGACGCGATCGCCGCAGCGACAGAGCGCTCATTATTTTCCCGACAGACTGATAAATCTCCATAAACACTATTAAACACTTACTCTACTCGGAATATCCAAGATATTCAAATTGTGGAAGAAGATACCACCATCATCACCAACATCAAACGTGATGTTTCGCCGAATCCCGGCGCGGAAATGCATATTCCCATTGAGCAGGATGAGTCGAGAACGGGTCTCCAAGTTGTTGGACACAACAATGTCATTGTTTTTCTCGACATGTTTTACCGTTCGGTCCGAATCCAGACCCCTTCCATCGCTGTTGTCGTCGGCGGAGGCGAGATGGAGTAACAGCAAAAAAAGGCCAAAAGTCCTCATAATGAGGGACTTTGGAAGATAATTTGAGAGTTCAGGGCTGTTTTTTGGGGTCTTGGAATTTTCTAAAATACGAAAATTTTTTTTTTTACAATTTCTTTTCAAAGTTCATTCTCGCTTAGACTTCGATGAACTCGGTATTAAATAAAATTTGTTTTTCTTTAGTTATATATTTGAGATTTTTAACTCGAAATTTACAAAAAAAAAATCTTTTTTGTTTCGAAAATTCTGAAGCTAATTTTTTCAAAAAAATGTGAAATTGAAAAGAGTCGCACGTCAAACTGAAGAGTCCGGTGACCGGAATAGACACTTCGCTATCGGTTTTTTTTTCATTTCGTCTTTTTCGCAGAGAAAGAGAGAAAAAAGACACGCAAAAACGTGCTCTCTCGCCCCAAAAATTCCCCATTTCTTCCCCGACAAAACGTTTTTTCGCGTCTTTTTTGGCAAATTGCCAATCCATTCACCGGACTCTTTTAGCTTATCTCAGTTTGACGTGAGTCGCCGCGATATTTCAAACGCACAAACTGATGGTTTTTGCGCACGGGCCTCCACAAATGTGCATGCACTTTATGAAAATGTAAGCACGGTTGAAGACCTTTTCTCTTACCGTCTCTCCCCATTTTCCATAATCTCTCGTTTCCAAAAAAACAGCCGAAAATTTCGCCGCAAAAAATTTCAGATTTTTTTCTGAATCCCACACTTAAAACTTGCGTAAAAACTGAGCACCCCACAAAATACCAGTCTTTCCGGAATGTCGCCGGACTAAAATCGGCGACATGCACTGTGCGAAAACAAAAGTTTTCTTTGCATTGTGCAATTTCTGGTTTTTTGCACCGTGCAGTAGGTTTTTTTTTGGGCTGTCGCCCGCACCCTGCGTTTTCTTGCACAGTGCACGTCGCCGAAATCATTCCAGCGACTTTACGAACGGACTAGTACCAATAATCAAAAAAAATCCCCTCCAAACCCAAAAAATTTCAATCCGAATTGGCCCCAATCACAAAACATTCGGTTTATGGTTTGTTTATCTCCGACCCTGACAAATCCGCCCATATCGATTGTCAACGTCGCGTTCCGTATAAACTTTCCATCAAAAAACAGTAATAAACGAGAGGGGATCGAATTCTCGGAGGGAAGGAAACGGTTTGTCATCGTGATTGCGCAACTGCGACAGATTTTTTTTCGCACATTGCAGTAGAAAATGGTCGAAAAAAAGTTGCCGATATTCAAAAAAAAGTTGGCGATTTTCAAAAAAAGTTGCCGATTTTCGAAAAAAAAGTTGCCGATTTTCAAAAAAAAGTTGTCGATTTTCAAAAAAAAAGTGGTCGATTTTCGAAAAAAAAGTTGTCGACTTTCACAAAAAAAGTTACCGATTTTCAAAAAAAACTTGCCCGTTTTCACAAAAAAAAGTTGCCGATTTCCAAAAAAAAGTTGTCGATTTCCAAAAAAAAGTTGCCGATTTTGAAAAAAAAGTTGCTGATTTTCAAAAAAAAAGTTGCTGATTTTCAAAAAAAGTTGTCGATTTTCAAAAAAAAGTTGCTGATTTTCAAAAAAAAAAGTTGCCATTTTTCAAAAAAAAGTTGCCTATTTTCAAAAAAAAAGTTGCCGATTTTCAAAAAAAGGTTGTCATTGTTTTAAAAAAAGTTGTCGACTTTCAAAAAAAAGTTGCCGATTTCCAAAAAGGTTTTTGTCGTTTTTCAAAAAAAAAGTTGCCGATTTTCAAAAAAAAAGTTGCCGATTTTCAAAAAAAAAGTTGACGATTTTCAAAAAAAGTTGCCGATTTTCAAAAAAAAAGTTGCCGATTTTCAAAAAAAAAGTTGACGATTTTCAAAAAAAGTTGCCGATTTTCAAAAAATAAAAGTTGCCGACTTTCAAAAAAAAATTGCCGATTTTCAAAAAAAAAGTTGCCGATTTTTCTCAAATTTTGTCTTTATTAATGAGTGAATTACTATTTAACCGTTCGAAACATTACAATGTACAACAATGAAGTGTGAGAGAAAATCACAATCTGCTTTACAATCAATTTTGCTCCAAAAAGTTTGCTTTTCCTCCTCAGCTTCCTCTCTCCATGCTGTCTGAAGCCGAATTTCTTGTGGCATCATCTTCGGGCTCCTGGAACGAGTAGTATTGCTCCGAATGATCCGAGGCCGCTTCCTCTTGGTCTGGGGTTTGATTTGGGCCCGCCACTTCTTCCAGCACATGATTGCTGTGGTTGCTGTTTTCGGAGACGTCTTCCGGGTCCCCCTCCACTTGTTCTTCCTGTTCCAGACGTTCTCGGCGTTCCTCATCGTCTTCATCGGAATGCTCGACCGTATTCGTCGAGGAATTATGAGACTCCGAGTCCGAATTCGACGAGTTCGAGCGGGTCCTCTGCAAAAACATCGATGAAGGTTCAAAAATGCAAAAAAAAAAGTTTCCGATTTTCAAAAAAAAGTTGCCGATTTAAAAAAAAAAGGTTGCCGATTTTCAAAAAAAAAAGTTTCCGATTTTCAAGCAAAAAAGTTGCCGATTTTCAAAAAAAAGTGGTCGATTTTCGAAAAAAAAGTTGTCGACTTTCACAAAAAAAGTTACCGATTTTCAAAAAAAAGTTGCCAATTTACCAAAAAAATGGAAATATTGGTCATTGCAATCGGGCCCAAACGTTTTTCACAATGAAGACCTTGGAAATTAAAAAATTTTTTTTTCCTCAAAAAATTCAATTTTCAAAATTCGATGAAATATGCCTCAAAGTTTAAAATAGAAATTCCAACGACATATGCGACATTTCCAGTCCGCATTTTTGACAAACCATCGAGATTTTCAGATCGGAAATTGTCAAAAAAGCGACAATTTTTTGCGATTAAAATTTTTCTGACTCTTGTCATAAAATTCCGACTAGAAATGTCGCATATACCTTTGAAAATTCTATTTTAAACTTTGAGACAAATTTCATCAAATTTTGAAAAAAAAATTTTTTGATCAAAATTTTTTTTTTTTTTAAGTTTCGAAGTCTTCATTATGAAAAACGTTTGTACCAGACCGCAATGGCCAATATTTCAACCTCTTCTTCACACCTCAACCAAAAAACTCGCAAATCTCACCATATTCACCGGTGACTCTCTTTCCTCCGCCAATCTCCATTCACTTATGGGTGAGGTGGACAAGAACCTTCTGGGTGTGCTTAGGCGACTAATCACGTCTCTGTTGGGGGTTTCCGGGGACGGAGAGCTATCCAACTCCACGTAAATAGCATAATCATCGAGATTGACTGGCTCGGGGATGTCCTCATCTTCCTCGTCCTCTTCGATGGGTTCGGTTTTGATTTGTCTGAGGGTGGTGCGGTTCTGGGGGCTTATGAGGGAAGTCTGCGACAAATCCATCGACTCATTATCTAAAAAAATCCAATTTTTTTAAAAGGAAAGTACTTCTATGAGGTATGGAGATACAAGTCGAGACATATATCAAAAAATCGCAAAATTTTTCAGATTCAGAATATATAAAAATTAGCTGTCTAATTCTGGTTTGTAAGGGTGAAAAAACCCTCAGAACTTTTCTCGCAACACCACGCGAATGCCTTTTTGACCAAGTTTTTGCCAAATCAAAAGCTTTGTTGGTCAAGATACCAAGATAACCCTGGTATCTTGACCAGCCTTAAAATATCAAATCTGATTAATACTACACCTTAATCAGTAGTTCGTTTTTACATTGGAACAACTAATTAAGGTGTATATTAATCAGATTTGATATTTTAAGGCTGGTCAAGATACCAGGGTTATCTTGGTATCTTGACCAGCAAAGCTTTTGATTTGGCAAAAACTTGATCAAAAAGGCATTTGCGTGGTGTTGCGAGAAAAGTTCTGAGGATTTTTTCACCCTTACAGACCAAAATTAGGCAGCTAACTTTTACACATTCTGAATCAAAAAAATTTGCGAATTTTTTGATGTATGACTCGACCTGTAACTCCATACCCCATAGAAGCACTTTCCTTCTAAAATCTCAAAACTTCAAAAACCAAAGTTTACCTTTGACTTCCCGCTTGTACTTGAGTGGTGAGAAAGTGAACGAGTGAGTGTATCCAGAGCTGGAATTCTCATCATTTTCTGGCTGATTTAGCGAGTTCATTTCGAGGTCGAACCACTTTACAAATTCAAAATCTCGTTCGAAAAGGACCCCCACCGCTCTTCTGGGGGCGACTTTTAGGCAGCTATCGGTTGAGTGGGTAATTGGGAGCTAAAATACGGATTTTTGGGTTGATTTTTTTTTTGCAAAACAAAAATTTTTGGTTGAAAATTTTTTTTAAAATTTTATTTTCTCCTAAAATACGCAAAATTAGTCTTATTTTTTTTATTTTTTCCCAAAAATTCGAACTTTTGGCAAAAATTTTTTCTAAAATACGACCAAAAATTTTTTTCAAACTACAATTTTTTTTCTCAAAATCCTCCACTTACATCATCAACAAAGCACATTTGTCCTAGAACATCGCACTTGATCAAATAAACCGGGTTCACGCCCGAATTTTGGTCCGGATCGCAGATATCCGCCATAAAGTACATTGAGCCCGCCCCGTACAGCTCAAAGTCGCACACATGATAGGATCCATTCATAAACATGTTCAGAAGAGTTGATTTTGCAGTTCGGCACTAAATTTCAAAATCATAAAAGGCCATATAAACCCACTTCATGCGAAACTCCAAATTTGGCCAATTTCAAGATCTGATTTGGTGCGGCGGCGCAAAAATCGGCCGGATACGTGTGATATTCTCTGCGGAGATCGATTGAGGAGTACACCTGGAGGGTTGAGGCGGCTCGGCGATGGACTAAAAGTCGAGAAAAATGAAAAAATTTTCAAAAAAAATTTTGATATCTAAAAATAAATTTACTTCAGATTTCCTTCAAATCTTGCATCAGAGCTCTAAATAGTCTAAAAAACAATATCTGAAAGTTTCAGTTCTCACTTTTTCAACTTCAAAAAAAAAAATCGCCAATTTCTGGTCTAAAAATCTCGTTTTTTCCAATTGTCATGATAAAAAAAAATTTAAACGCCTTCAAGAATTCTACTCCGAATTTATGCTCAATTTCAGCACCCACAACTTTTTCAAAACTCTCCAAAATCACAAATTACAAACAACCGCGGGCGCGAGCTGCCGACCCAAACCCAACCCAAATCTCTTACCAACAATGAGTGAATTGAAATTCGCATCAAAACAGGCTTCGAAGTCTTGCAGTCTGGACAGCGTGGACTCCACAACCGGCTTCTGCATGAATTCGTGAACACTTTTCAAGTCATTCCAGTTGCACAAAATAATTTTCGTCGCCGGCTCCGGGTGACAGTACTCAAGCAGAACACTTTTCGTCGGTGGGACTGGAATGCTCGAATCCAGAGCGCTAAAAACCGTAAAAAAATGAAAAAAGTGAAAAAAATCACACAGAACTTTACTAACTTTACTAATAGTACTTCTATGGGGTATGGAGTTACCGGTCGAGACATATATCAAAACAATCGCAAAATTTTTCTGATTCAGAATATGTAAAATTTAGCTGCCTAATTTTCGTTTGTAAGGGTGAAAAAATCCTCATAACTTTTCTCGTAACACCACACAAATGCCTTTTTGATGAAGTTTTTACCAATTCAAAAGCTTTGTTTTGAGCTAAACTACACGCTGGCATCATTACACATAGCCTTAAAATATCAAATTTGATTAATACTATACCTTAATTAGTAGTTCCAATATAAAAAAAATGTAAAAAGGAACTACTGATTAAGGTGTAGTAATAATCAAATTTGAAATTTTCAGGCTTGTCAAGAGCCAGGGTTTACTTTAGCCCAAAACAAAGCTTTTGAATTGGTAAAAACTTGGTCAAAAAAGCATTTGCGTGGTGTTGCGAGAAAAGTTTCGAGGATTTTTTCACCCTTACAAACCAAAATTAGGCAGCCAATTTTTACAGATTCTGAATCAGAAAAATTTTGCGATTTTTTTGATGTATGTCTCGACCTGTAACTCCATACCCCATAGAAGTACTTTCCTTGCAAAAAAATGAAAAAATTTTTTACCCTTTAACTTCGGTGGTCCCATTGACATAAATCTCTTCTAACGTATCAAAAATGTACTTCAGACACCCGGCAACGGTTACAATTTTCTCCGGGTCCAATGATTCGTCGAATTTTCGCCCTCCCAAGCCGCTGCGTTCCTTTTCCGTGGACGATTTTTCCTAAAATCGCCAAAAAAATAAATTTTGATGTTCAAATTTGAAAAATAAATTTTTCACTTTTTCACAAATTACAAAATCAAACTCAAATCCCATAAGCTGAATCTCACTTTTTTTCTGTCTTCCTCACAACAGAAATTTCAAAAAATTTAAATTTACGCAATGTTTTTTCTGCAAATCAATAAAAAATCATCCTTTTTTCTGCCTACAGCCTTGATTTTCTCGATATAAAAGGGTCCGTAAAATCTTTTTATCCTCATTCAGTCCTCGCAACTGCCTCTGTGCCGTCTACCAGCACTTCATTCATCCGCCAAGCAATGCCTTTCACCAGTTTCGACTACCTTTTCGACGACGATGCCCTTCTGGAATGGGACTTTATTTTCAAGGTCAATTCCGAAGCCGAAACTACATCCACAGCCAATGCCAAAGGTCCTGAAGTCTCTCTCAGGCCACCTTCTACCTCATCAACTTCAGGATCGAGCAGCAGCGACGATGGGGGATATTCTACAGCCGGACCTTCACCTTGTCCTCAAGGTGAATATTTTGCTGATATTCGTCCAACAGAGTGGTCAACTGCGGCAGTCTACCCTGCCTGGTCTCCAGTGAGACCTGTGTGGAGTCAGGAACATCAGAAACAATCTGATTTGCCATCACCGACAAGGCTAAATGCATCTTGTCCATCAATATGGAAGCCGGCGAAGATCAAGGAGAACATGCGAAATATGATCCCAATGTGCTTAAAAGACCCCGTCCAGCCAACTTGCGGCCCTCAGCCTTCATCTACACTTCCCTACCCACATTGGCGATCAGTCTTCGGGCCAAGTATCATCATCCTTCCTCATGGTGAATATATTCATCTTGAAGGAAAGGATGGCCCAATAGACCTGAACCAAGTCCTCCCATTGTTAAATTTCACCCCATTTTCTTTGTATTTCCCATTTTAATATTCGAATTGTAAATTTTAATATGATAAATAAACCAATTTCCAAAATTCTCACCTTTTCACTCAATTTTGCTGGTACAACGTCATTACAGACGCCCAGAAGCGGTGCAATTCGATCGAACGTCCGCTGTTTCAGCCAGTTTGGGTTGCAGATCAGTTTTCCTTTCGTTTCTTTACTCGCTTCGGGACTTTTCTTCAGTGAATTCATCCACAAATCGACAAATTCAAACCACCTCATGGGTCGCAGTTGCGGCTGGATTAAAGCGTTCGTTACAAATTTTACAAGCAGTTCAAAGTCATGTTCCCGCAACAAACCGTCTCCATCATTGTCAATTTCCATTTCGAGGCCTTCATTGTCGGGGTGGGTGCATAATAATTGCAGCATGTATTTTAGTTCGGCCCTGGAATGTAAAATAAGGTAAAATGTGAAGGAAAAGGGCAATCTTTTGAGGGGAAATGGGCCAGACTTGTTGCACCAAGCGTTCTACGAGCATAGGGATACCAACCAGTCATAAGTCAGTCATAAAAACAGTCAAAATGACAAAAAATAAAAAAATTTTGGACCTAAAACAAGGTAAAATTTTGTTTGAAAACGATGATAAATCTCGATGAACGAACAATTCCGGACTATCGTTAATAATTTCCAATGGTAATTTAGCCAAAAATGCAAGAAATCAAAAAAAAATTTAATTTTGTTACCTAAAATAAGGTAAATATGCCAAAGATCCCCTATAAACCGCTCTTCAAAGTCGGAATTCACCCCTTCAACTCACCAATTATCCCCGGCCACATCCACTAACTCCTTGAACTTCTTTCTCAAGAGTGATGTTAAAACCAAGGCTTTTCTGCATTGTTCGACTGGTTTTGATATGGAATCTTGCCGGAGGACTGATAAAAAGTCAGGAATTCCATCTTCGAACAACTTCTGTGTCTCTGAGGTCTCAAACTCGTCGAGTTGGCCAATCAGAGCGCTTATATGGACAAATAACGTGTTGGTGACGACGATCATGTGTCTTTTTACCATATTCATGAGAAATCTGAAAGTAAATCGAAAATTTTAAAAATGAATTGCCTCTAAAATATAATTTCTGACGTCTTTACAATCCTATAAGTTCTTTTTTAGCCAAAAAATACTGTAATTGAAGGAAAATCCTCAAAAATTTATGTTATACTTACGGGATGTGCTTCAGGACGAAATCTTTCGCCGGTTTCCATTGTTTTTGTTTGATATCCCGGAAGAATGAGTGTGCAAATGAATCCGGGGCATGTCCAGTTAAAATATATCCAACAAAATCCAAGCAAAAATCGGAGACCCGTCCGCCAGTTTGAGATTGATAATTTTCGAAGAGTTTTTTGAAGATGTTGGCGTGGAAAAACTAAAAATTTCGATATTACTCCTAAAATCAAAGGAAAAATTACATCCTATCGTATTCCCCACTTATTTTTCTACATTTAAACTTTCATTTCACCACCTACCTCGCTCTGAGACTCCCAATCCGAGACAGTTTTCAGGAAGGTCTCTCGGATATTGGTCATCAAGTGGAAAATATGGCACAATCGTGCGGCAATCTTAGCCAACGCCCGCACTCGCTTCTCGTTCTTCAAGCCGATGTCAAATTCCACAAGATAGATGGTGGATCCAGCTGAAGGGCCGGCTTCCTGCGGCATTTCAAAGCCACAATCTTCGTCGAACACCGGCTTTCCGCAGGACATTGTGGCCAGCGCGATTTGGACATTCGAATTGGGCAAAAGGCAAATATCCGAGACCTCAGTCGACATACGATCACATACTGAAAATTTTAGGATATTCGGCAAAGTATAAAATCAGATTTTAACATAATTCGTTTATATTACTTTAGACCTCAACATAGGTCTAAAGTAATATAAATTAATGTCGATTTTCGAGGCTACCTGGACTCATAAATTTGTCGTCGATGAGAACACTGTTGATCAACAAAACTCCACCCATGTAGACATCGAATCCCACAAATTCTGCTCGTTGGCCAGCCGCAATAAGAATTGTATTCAGCAGTGACTTTTGAATCTTATCATGGCAATAATGCTCGATGCCTTTTACAATCTTGTAATGATCTCGGCAACTATCAGACTCTTTCGTCCTCAGATGCTCACATTGCACCTAAAAATCAAAGTTTTTTGTGGGAAATTCGCGCAATTTTGACCTCCTCATCAAGTGTAATATCCTAAAAGCGAAAAAAACAAACTCAAAATTTCTTACCGGCACAAGACTCCCATCGAAATTCATCAGACCACCCGTTTTGACGGTCTCGACAAATTTATTGAGACAGTCCAACTTCAACCACTTCAAATGCGTGTAATTCTGGCTCTTCATCCTCAAGGTGTACAAAATTGTTCCATCGTTCACGTCGAGGAAGTGGCACACCCCAAACTCGAAGCAAACGGCCAGAACAGTCCCATCCGGCGACCAAGCAAAACAGGAGAAAGCTCCGACGTCTTCTTTACTCAAATCCGAAGCGTTTCTGGACCATTTCGAGTAGAACACTGCCTCTGGCGCTACCTTTTTCTAAAACAATTAAAATTTAACGAAAGGTTTTTTAAAACCAACTACAATGTGTAAAAGACGTCTTGAAAAACGATCTTCCTCTATTTGGACGTCTCACATGAAAAATCGGCAATAATTTATATTCACCATACCGCCCCGGGGAAGAAGTCTCAGAACTCCAATTATTAGGTTGATACAAAAGTTTTTACACATTTTTTTGAGACACTTCAAAATAAAACTCCTAGAGCCTGATTGAATGTACGTTAAAACTGAAAGCATAGATGTATGGGGCAGAACATTGCAAAATTTTTGATTCGTGGCATTTTATTTTCTACAAGCTTCCTTTCAGAATATTTCAAAAATACTAAAAATTTCTCCGTTTGTGTCATCGTGAATATCCTGGGCCCTAGCAATTTTCCAGCCCACTAAAAAGTCTCGGGTTTTGGGTTATTCGTACTGGGGATGGCTGTAGTTTCTTCTGAATTTATTGCTCTACTTATATCTACACTGACGTTTTTTGTAGCATCCCATAAAGTTGGCCGGAGAGCCGAGCTACCGATCAAAAGCAGATTTTTAAAAATTTTTTGAAAGGAGTTAGATTTTTTTGACTCGGCTGCCATTCAGGTTGTACAAAGACAGTATGCTGATGATACATTCGAAAAGTCACCAACTGAAATTGCCTTATAAGGTAGAAAAGTAGCATAAACTCCACTTTTAGGCGAATTTTTGTAATTTTTTTACTGGTAGGGCAAGAGGACCTTCAGCTTAGCGCGTCTAGCAACTGATAGTGTATGTCAAGTAGGATCAATTATTTATTAAATAACTAGAATACCGGGCGAGAGTAATGAACAGAAAACGTTTTTGTAAAAATCCCCTAAATTTCGTAAAATATTGGTAGATTAAAAAGATTCGATTTTTCTGCCGCATAGCTAAAGCTAGCGCGAATGTTTAGCATTGGCGTTGTAGTGCTACTCATACACTACAATAACAGAAAGCGTTATCTCTTAGTGCTTCTAATAGCTGCGTCTACAGGGTCTACTTTTGCCAGACCCTAATTTTTGATTTTTCGCACTAAAAATTTTTCGACTAGCCCTATAGCAAATTGTCCTCGATGCCATAGAGATTACATACAGGCATACCATATTCTAGAATATTAAGAAGATACAGCCACTCTAGACGTAACGCCGGTGGTTTACTTTTTCTTCCTTCGAGTAGTTAAGGTTTAACACGGCGCTACTACTACAAATTGCTAAGTTGTAAAAAGTTATTAATCTACTATAATCTACAAACAGCCCTCTTTCTAACAAGATATATATCAGGCCCACTGGCCTTGGTCTAAATTTTTTAAAATTTTTTAAAGACATGTGTAAAAACTTTTGTATCAACCTAATAAAAGACCTAAAATCCAAAGAAAAAGTTAAAAATCCTCACCTTCCAACCAGTCTTCCAATGTACTCGCTTCAAGCAAATTTCTCCATCCGTTGAAGCCAACGCAACGACGTCCAAAACTGGATTCCATAGGCTATCTCGGATCTTGAACTTGGTCCGATGCTCCGAATGAGCGAATGTCGTCTGCTTGAGGAAGAATCCAGCGGGATCGGCCATATTTCTTGTCCAATTGAATAAAACTAAAGGTTTATTTTGGCCAAAAACATATTTTTTTGCGAAAATTTTTATTTCTCGCTTGCGCGAGCTGCGCCCAAGGTTAATGCTGATTTTTGCAGAATAAATTGGTAAAATGATTTCGACAGCATGCATATGGAGTAATACTAAGATACCCAACGATATGAGATTGAAAATTACTGGTTTACTTGCAATTCCTTCAGTTATTTTACATCTTTCATCGTATAAGATGGGAATGCAGCCTGCACCTTCGCCGACTCCACAAAATATTGTTTTTTTGTTGTTTTTCTCATGAAACATGTGGTTTCCCGGTCATCACATGGTAATCCCACTTATTTCTTGCCCTTTTTTTACGGCTATGAACCTTGGAACGCTATCCAATTTGCCCGAAATGAAAGGCAGAGCCAGTGAACTATAATCTTTTATCCGTTAGCTCGTAAACAGCAAGATGTTGTTTCAAAATTGTTTGTTATTGGTTTCAAAAGCGCTGGTTGCGAAAATCGAGTACTGCATCGTTTATTTCGGCTGGATCTTTAGGGCCTCTCACTTCTTGGTCGGAGGTTTTTCAATTTTTCCATTTTCCCTTATTTCTCACTGTAATTCCGCGATTTTCAGGCTGATTACTGTAGAAATGACCTCTCGTATCCAACACTGCGCCAAGTCCATGCAATTTTTCGTGAATTTGAGTGGGTTTTCCAATTTTTTTCAATTTTTTATATCAGATGTCAAGTGTAATATAAGAAATGACGAAAAGTCGCTGCAATTCCAGAGAACGGGCAAAAAGCCGTGTTGGACTACAAGATCAAGGAAGGAAATATTTTGGACATGAAGCACACGTTTGTTCCGCCCGAGGGAAGAGGCCAAGGGCTCGCGGAAGAGCTGGTCAGAGTATGTGTAATATTTGCGCTCAAAAAAAAAAAGAAAACGCTCGCTGATGCCTCGTTTTTCAGGAGGGGTTCCAGTTCGCCAAGTCCAACAAATTCCAAGTGTACCCGACATGTTCGTATGTTCAACGATATGCCAAAGAGATTGCCACTCCCGAGGAGCAAAGTCTCATTTCGAAGATGTGGAACAAAGCCAGTTTGTAATCCGCACGTTCCATGAAGCGGAATATTTAATACCTAGGCACTTTTGTACAGATTTGTATAATAAACAGTCATCTGCAAAAGGGCTATTTTTTCAGTTTTTGACCTTTTGTCGAGTGCACAGTGCGTTTTTCGGAGAACTGCACTGTGCTGTTTTCCCATAAGTCTTGGTTGCTCCGATGGTCTTCGCAAAAACCTGATCACCCAAGTGTACACCAACGAATCTTCGGTCTTCATTATGTAACACAAACCACGTACAGTTGGGGACCTGATCCAGTGGCAATAAACGTACCATTTTCCATCCAGGAAGTATCAAAAAATGTGGCAAAATACCTCCCTTTTCAGGTGAAAAAATCCGATTTCAAAAGCGCGCCCGCTCATTTTGTGAGGAAAAAAGGCTCCGCCTTCAAAACGAAGTTTTTCTCACTTGGAGAGGGAAGCATTTTGCCACATTTTTGATACTTTCCGGTTGCAAAATGGTACGTTTTGTGCCACTGGATCAGGTCCCGCACTGTTGCATTCCTATTCTCCTCAATACAATTTACTGACATGAGTGAAAAGAATAAACAAAAATGAAATGAAGATAAGTGTTCCAAAACATTTCACACTATCAATTTTTTTGACCATTTCACTAACTGCACTGTGCGTTTCAAAAACTTTTTTCGCGCTGTGCAAATGTTTCTAAAACTCCCAGAAACCCCCTGCACGTCAATCCAGCGCATTTCCTGAACCGTTTCGAAACTTCGTATCGTTTTCATTGATTGAAAAGAGAGACGAAATGTCGCGAAATTATCGGCACTTTTTCTCGCCCGAAATAACTTATTTTTCTCGAACAGGAAGAAGAAAGATAAGAAAATGCTTTTTATCGGATAGTGACATTTCGTTTTGGACGAATCGTCAAAAAGGGTCGGGAAATATTTTGTTCTATTTTGGATTGACGTGCCCTGGAACTGTTTACTCTGCTGAGTGGGAACCGTTTCGCCGCGATCTCTTGCACTATGCACGCGACTGGCATTTTACCGGGAGTTCATTACCATCGGCGTTTTATGCAAATCTGTTCGGGGAAAATGGGAAAATCCAACAACAGCTTAAAACTACGGATCCGCGAACAGCAAGGTTGTTATAAATTCAAAGCCCGCGCTTACCATGAACTACACAGTCATGCTGAAGATTATCGTAGTGTTATTTTTTTGCTATTCAACATGTGCCCTGGATGCGGGGATTGATGTGGATGCGGCGCCGAAGGTGGATGTGAGGCTGTCGTTGGGCTGGATCCGAGGCTACGAATTCAAGGCCAAAGAGGGAACCGCCAATGTGTTCAAGGTAGGCGAGGCGCAGAGTCGACAGTCCTTCAGGAAAGTCGCTGAAGTGAATTCGGCTACATGCACTGTTCGAAAACAAAAGTTCACTAGATTGCACCGTGCAATAGGCTTTTTTCGGCGGGCGCACACGTGCGGGCAACCACTTTGCGGGCAACCAGTTTGCGGGCAAATCTTTTGCGGGCAGCCACTTTGCGGGCAGCTGACATTTGCGGCCAGCACCGGCATTTGCGGGCAGCCTGGGACATTTGCGGGCAAGGTCGACAGTTGCGGGCAGCCTGGAAGATTTGCGGGCAGCCGACATTTGCGGGCAACCGGCACTTGAGGATAACAAGGTGGAGGTGGAAAAATTACTTCGATATTTTGGAAATTTTCCGACATTTGCGGGCAGCCGACATTTGCGGGCAACCGGCACTTGAGGATAACAAGGTGGAGGTGGAAAAATGACTTCGATATTTTGGAAATTTTCCGACATTTGCGGGCAGGCTATACTTACGGGAAACCGACATTTGCGGGCAACAGTTCCAAAAGTTCCTATACAGTCTGTGTGATTGTTTTTTCCTGTTGCCCGCAAATGTCGGTTGCCCGCAAGTGTCGGCTGCCCGCAAATGTCGGCAAATTTCCAAAATATCGAAGTAATATTTCCACCTCCACCCTGTAACCCTCAGGTGCCGGTTGCCCGCAAATGTCGGCTGCCCGCAAGTGTCGGTTGCCCGCAAGTGTCCCAGGCTGCCCGCAAGTCTCTCAGCTGCCCGCAAATGTTTCAGCTGCCCGCAAATGTGACCCCCAAATTTTGCCCGCAAAGTGGTTGCCCGCAAAAAATTTGCCCGCAAACTGGTTGCCCGCAAAGTGGTTGCCCGCAAGTGTCGCGACGCCCTTTTTTCCGGCTGTCGCTTGCATCCTGACTTTTTATGCACAGTGCAAGTCGCTAGAATCATTTCAGCGGCTTTGCGAACGGATTTAGATGATGGGCGGTTCCAAGGCAAATCCATGTCTTTAACTTTTTGCGAAGAAAATATGTATTTATTGTGACGTGTATCGTCGTACTTGAAAATTTTTATTAATTTTTATTGCTGTTCTCTCACTGTAGTTATACCCGAGAGTAAAAACACCAGAAAACCGAGCCGCTAAAAGTGCAGACGTGGGCGATTTGTTGCCTGGCTGTCCATAGCGTCTGGTTCGGAGCAAAAAAAAACAACAAGGCTTATTCGGGGATAAAACAGTGAAAATAAACCTTGCAAGCCTTACCAAAACGAAGGAACTCGGATATGAACAAAAAGTGGAGATTGCAGCGCTAAAAGCTGAAAGCGCAACGGGCGGCACGACGCTTGCGAGCAACCACTTTTCGAGCAACCAGAATTTATCAAGTACAACTACGGTAAATGCCGGATTCTACCGTAATCTACGTACTATTACCGAAAATTTTCATTGACCCCGTGGTACTTATAAGCATACGGATCTATTGAATCCATCCACCGCTTTCAAAGTTATCGTAGGGGACCTGATCCAGCGGCAAAAAACGTACCATTTTGTATCCGGGAAGTATGAAAAATGTGGCAAAATTCTTCCCTCTCCAAGTTTGTTTTCAAAAAATGTTTTATGAACTTCTAAAAATGGCTGGTTAACCTTATGGTAACTTTTCAAGCCCCTTGTACACCTGGAAACTCATATAATTAGCAACATCTAACTGCCAAATTTATCGGTAGAATTTCTGGCTGTAAGCAAATGTTGGTTTTCCAAAAATGCCGGCAGAAAAGTTTCCTTTCTTCTACCCGCAAAGTGGTTGCCCGCAAGTGTGGCCTCGTCATCCAGAGTTTCCCTTGTAAAGTCATCATTTTTTCAGCGAGTCCCATACATTTCCCCACCCATCGGAGGCCTGCGCTTCCACAGCCCAGTTCCAGCCAAGTCCTGGGAAGGGATCCTGGATGCCACACAGCCCGCCTTGGCGTGTCCACAAAACACAACGGACATGGACAAGTATACGTGGGCCGCCGTAAAAGATCAAAGCGAGGACTGTGTGTACTTAAATATTTATGCGGACAACCGTTGCAATGTGAGTGAAAAAATGAACCGAATTGAATTTTGATGCGCCTACCGTAATTTTGATGATTTCTAACCGCTTCTTTGCGCACCATTTAGGCCGAAAACCCTTGTCCAGTCCTCTTTTATCTTCATGGCGGTGGAAATACTTTCGACAGTCCGAGAATGTTCAATGACTCGTTGATTGTCGAGAATTTCGCGTCGCATGGAGTGGTTTGGGTGTTGCCGTCGTATCGGCTTGGCATTCTTGGCTGGATGGACATTGGCGAGAGCACGGTTGATGCGCCGTATAATGCGGGACTGCTGGGTAAGTATCGGTCTGTCGGGAAAATAATGTGGATTCGTTGCGATTGGAAATTTGGCGCTACTGCTGCGATGCAAGATATTTTGCTGCGACAAATCCACATTATTTTCCCGACATACTGACAGATAATTTGTCGGGAAAGTAATGAGCACTCTGTCGCATCGAAAATCGCATCGACGCCGAGAAAATGAATTGTATCGCGACAAAATTAAATTCTTTTCAATTCAGCGACACGATCAGCGACATTGTGCTCATTATTTTCCCGACAGACCGATATTTGAAATTTTCAGATGTCATCGCGGCCCTTCGCTGGACCCAACGAGAAATCGTCGCGTTCGGAGGCAACAACCGCGACATTGTGCTGCTGGGCCATAGTTCTGGGGCCCACCTGGCCTCGTTGGTCTTGTCCAGCCCCGCAGTGGAGGAGAACGCATTTAGTCGGGCATTTATCATGAGTCCAGGTGGGCGAGTTTTGGACCACGTGAACAGGCCGAGAAGCACATTCATCGCCGAAAAAGTGGGCGTAAGTTGAATTAATGCAGCAATGTGCAAAAAACTGAACACTTCTGGCAACATTTTTACAGAAACCCCGTATATTAGAAGTTTCATAAAGTGCACGGACATTTTTTTGCTGTTTTCAGTGCATTTTCGACGACAAGCTAGAGTTCCTCAACTTTACGCAACGCGTCTCTTGCTTGCGTTCCAAGCCCTTTCGTGAGCTCATACTTGCCGCCCTACCCTTGCAAGACAAACGGCCTGAGGATATGTTGGGGCCACAAGTCGATGGGTACAGCATGACTCAACGGAATCTCTTTGATCTGGCCCGACAGTGGAGGGCAAGTTGTTGTTTATTTATCGACAAAAAGTCTTGTTTCAGCCAATCAAACTGTTCTTGGGAGTGATGTCCTACGAAGGTGATTTCGACGTGGGATACCTGGACAAGGACGTCTGTCACACCTACGTGCCCTACGTTTGTCCCGGACGTTTGGCGGAGTGTGAGTTGAAGTGTCGCAAAGTGTTCGGAGCGCCCCACAAAATCCCGATCGGAGGGACGTTTATTCAGGCATTCACCTGGCTCGTTGGGCACATCAACACCAACAAAGGCGGAGAGTCTTACTATCAGGTGTTCGACCAGTATCATGCCGACGTTCATGCCGAGGAGCTGACGTTCGCATTTGGGTTGCATGCAAACAGAAAGTTTCATGCCAGGAACATTGGACATCAAATGCAGAAGCGGTTCTTCCCCAAACTGCTGCTGAGGTTTATATTGAACCAAACGTTGGTTGAAGGTAGGTTGACATATTCTAGTTTTTTGAGACTTATTGAAACTTGATTTGGTGACAAAAATTGCGTTAGAAGGCATCAAAATTCTAGTTGTCAGTCGGCCGGGAAGATACAGCGGCGGACCTGATCCAGTTGGCCAAAAACGTACCATTTTGCATCTGGGAAGTCTCAAAAATGCAGCAAAATACCTCCCTCTCCAAGTGAAAAAAGAACTCCGATTTCAAAAACGCGCCCAATCTTTTTGTGAGAGAAAGGGCGCGCAGTTCAAAGCGGAGTTTTTTTTAGTTGGAGAGGGAGCCATTTTGCCACATTGTTGAGAATTCCCGGATGCTGTGGTGTATGATCAAACGTAGATAGGTAGGTGGAATAGACACAAGTTTAGAGTAAGGTTTATTTAGACCACCGCACACGAAGGAAGAGAAATGAGATTGATCTTCTTATTGGTGACGAGACATAGTTTTTATATGACTTGGTTTATGCTAATTTCTGTGGGAATTGTGGAGGCTTTTGAGGGTCCACAACAGATGCAAAATGATACGTTTTTTGCCGCTGGATCATTCCCTCACTGTAGGGTCGTCGCGCTTTGGAATTTCCCATCATTTATTTGTGTTGGCTAGCCGCAGCTGGAGATTTGATTCTCGATTGCACTCTTTTTTCGGTCAAGGGATGGTTTATACGATGAAAAATGTTTTTGATAGAGAAGTACAAGAAGTGCGACGCTTAGGTTCCCTTTAATCTTTTGAATACACTTCGGGCAATGACCACATATAGCCTTTGCTTGCAAAAAAACGGTAGCAGTAAAGCCGAAAAATTTTTATTTTGTGGCTGTCAGTCTGCCGGGAAAATAATGTGGACTCGCCTTGGAATCGCCCATTATCGCTGGCTAGTCGCGGCTGGAAATTCTATGCGCGGCTGCGACTAGGTGAGACATTTTTTTGCGATGAATCCACATTATTTTCCCGACGACATGATAAGACATTTGAATAAACTGCATGTCCCTTCAAAACATTCTAGGCTGGGAGCCAATGGATCTGCAGGGCCGCAACTACTTCTACAACAACTTCAAAGCCATTGGAGACCCGGACAATTACACAGTCGTCATAAAGCCGCACTACGTCAAAGGCGAGATCTATCATCAGGCGGCGGTCGACTTCTGGTGGAGGGACTTGGCCGAGCTGCACAAACATGACCCTCGCCATCTGCATTCAACACCCCCACCGCCTGCGCCATCTCCGGTTGTTGTGGAGACCACCGGCGTTCCCTGGTACATATTCTTGATCGTGATCGTGATTGCGTTGGTGCTGGCGTTGGCGTTGCTGGTTATTGTTGGGGTTTCGTTCGTTTGGAAGGCGAGACGGGTGTATAAAAGTGGTAAAGAGATGAAGGTGACAGAGAAAGGTGATGGAACCAATGCCTCAGGCGCTGCGGAGCGCAATGATGTATAAGATTGTAAATATTGGAGTTTGGAATATGTAAAGTAAAAAATAACCATTGTAAAAGAGCAAAAGTTTGAAATGAAGGGGAACTATCGGAGTCAGTAGAATGATCCGTTAAATCTTATGATTCTGTGCTCTATGCAGGCGACGGGCATTTTACCGGGAGTTCATTACCATCGGCGTTTTATGCAAATCTGTTCGGGGAAATGGGAAAATCCGACAACAGCTAAAACTACGGAGCCGCGAACAGCAAGGCTGTTATAAATTCAAAGCCTGCGCTTTCCATGGACTACACAATCGTGCTGAAGATTATCCTAGTGTTATTTTTTTGCTATTCAACATGGGCCCTGGATGTGGGGATTGATGTGGATGCGGCGCCAAAGGTGGATGTGAGGCTGTCGTTGGGCTGGATCCGGGGCTACGAATTCAAGTCCAAGGAGGGAACCGCCAACGTGTTTAAGGTAGGCGAGGCGCAGATTTTCACCGTGAAATATTATAATTTTGAGCTGCAGTGCAATAATAATAAGGTTTTTGCACTTTTTCGACTTATCTGCACTTTAAGTGCAAAAATAAAAAATCTTCCAAGCCTCTGTCATTATGGGCATCATTGTGGATATACATGCCAAATTTCAAATTTCTCCGTTGCTCCTGTCTGCCGGAATGTCGAAATCATTACGAAGCTTCGACAACTTCCCTTGTAAAGTCATCGTTTTTTCAGCGAGTCCCATACATTTCCCCGCCCATCGGAGACCTGCGCTTCCACAGCCCAGTTCCAGCCAAGTCCTGGGAAGGGATCCTGGATGCCACACAGCCCGCCTTGGCGTGTCCACAGAACACAACGGACATGGACAAGTATACGTGGGCCGCCGTGAAAGATCAGAGCGAGGACTGTGTGTATTTGAATATCTATGCGGACAACCGTTGCAATGTGAGTGAAAAAATGAATCGAATTGAATTTTGGTGCACCTACCGTAATTTTGGATGATTTCTAACCGCTTTTACGCATCATCTAGGCGACAAACCCTTGTCCAGTTCTTTTTTATCTTCATGGCGGCGGCAACACCTTCGACGGTCCCAGGATGTTCAACGACTCTTTGATTGTCGAGAACTTTGCGTCGCATGGAGTGGTTTGGGTGTTGCCCTCATTTCGCCTCGGGATTCTTGGCTGGATGGACATTGGCGAGAGCACCGTTGATGCACCTTATAATGCGGGAATGCTGGGTATGTATCGGTCTGTCGGGAAAATAATGAGCTCTCTTTCGCATCGAAAATCACGTTGACGGCGAGAAAATGAACTGTGTCGCGGCAAAGTCGAATTGATTTTCACTTCAGCGATCGGCGCAGCCACATTACCCTCATAATTTTCCCGACAGACTGAAAATAGTAAAAAGAATTATGCAATTGTTTGTCGCCGCGACGCAATTGAAAAACGCGTACATCGACAAGCAAAAAGTCTACGTACTTTTGAAAAACCGTAGTATCAGTCTGTCGGGAAAATAGTGTGGATTCGTCGCGCCTTGGAACCGCCCAGCATCGGTTTTGCGCCCGTTAGCCGCGGCTGGAGATTTGGTGCGCGACTGCGACAAGGCAAGACATTCTGCTATCCGCATTATTTTCCCGACAGACTGACAGATAAACTTGCAAAGACTCAACTACATAAAAAATTTCTGGCTTATGAAATTTCCACTTTCAGATTTGATCGCGGCCCTTCGCTGGACCCAACAAGAAATCTCCGCTTTTGGAGGAAACAACCGCGATATTGTGTTGCTGGGCCATAGTTCTGGGGCCCACCTGGCCTCGTTGGTCTTGTCCAGCCCCGCAGTGGAGGCGAACGCATTTAGTCGGGCATTTATTTTGAGTCCGGCCGGGCGATTTTTGGATCATATTGACCGGCCAAGAAGCACATTCATCGCCGAAAAAGTGGGCGTAAGTTGAGGATGCGGTGGTATGCAAGTAGCCGACAATTCCGAATTTTATTTGATTAAGATTTCAGTGCATTTTCGACGACAACCTGGAGTACCTCAACTTTACACAACGCGTCTCCTGCTTGCGTTCCAAGCCTTACCAAGAGCTTATAAATTCCGCCCAACCCATGCAAGACAAACGGCCGGACGACATCGTTGCACCACAGGTCGATGGGTACAGCATGACTCAACGGACTCTCTATGATCTGGCGCAACAGTGGCGGGCAAGTTGTTGCTTATTTATCGACAAAAAGTCTTGTTCAGCCAATCAAAGTGTTCTTGGGAGTGATGTCCTACGAAGGGGATTTCGACGTCGGATACTTCGACAAAGACGTCTGTTACACCTTCATGCCTTACGTTTGTCCCGGACGTTTGGCGGAGTGTGAGTTGAAGTGTCGCGAAGTGTTCGGAGGGCCCCACAAAATCCCGATCGGAGGGACGTTTATTCAGGCATACACCTGGCTCGTTGGGCACATCAACACGAACAAGGGCGGAGAGTCGTATTATCAGGTGTTCGATCAGTATCACGCCGACGTTCATGCCGACGATCTGGCGTTTGCGCTCGGCTTGCATGCGAAGAGAAAGTTTCATGCCAGGAATGTTGGACACCAAATGCAGAAGCGGTTCTTCCCCAAACTGCTGCTGAGATTTATATTGAACCAAACGTTGGTTGAAGGTAGGTTGACATATTCTACCTTTTTTCAGACTTTTTCAATCAGGTGACAAAAATCGCGTAAGAAGGCATCGAAATTCTAGTTGTAAGTCGGCCGGTAAAATAGGGGTATCGGGTCGTCGCACGCCAAACTGAGACAAGCTTAAAACAGTCCGGTGAATGGATCGGCCATTTGCCAAAAAAAGACGCGAAAAAACGTTTTGTCGGGGAAGAAATGGGGAATTTTTGGGGCGAGAGAGTACGTTTTTGCGTATCTTTTTTCTGCCTTCTCTGCGAAATCAAGACGAAGTGTAAAAAACCGATAGCGAAGAGTCTATTCCGGTCACCGGACTCCTCAGTTTGACGTGCGTCGCGCCTTTGAATTTGCCCATCATTTCTTTTTGACGGCTAGCCGCAGCCGGAGATTTGGTGCTCGATTGCACTTGGGATGTTTTATACGATGAAACATGTTTTTGATAGGGAAGTACCCGAAGTGCGACGCCTAGGTTTTGCTTTCATATTTTGTATGCACTTCGGGCGTATACTATTACGCTTTTTCAAAAGTGCAGACACATTTTGTCGTGGGCCGCACCGTGCACAAAAATCCCTTTTGCGGGGTGCATTTTTTTCCGCCTTTTTTTCGGACCGCACAGTGCAAGTTTCGTGTTCCCCGCGCGACGCGATCCTTTTCGAAACATTTTGCACTGTGCAATTTCTAAAAATTCGCGCCGGCTCCGTTGAGAAAAGCCTACGTCGCTGCGACATTGCAATTGCACGGTGCAAAAGGTCAAATGCACCCCGCAAGAAGGCAATTTTGTGCACAGTGCGGCCCACGACAAAAAGTGCACGCACCTTCTGGAACGACTAGTAGCACGTATCATGTCCTGAAAGCCTTAGCTTTTGCGCTATCTGAAATCAGAAACCTTTTCTTGCAAAAAAAAACGGTAGCAGTAAAGCCGAAATTTTTTATTTTGTGTCTGTCAGTCTGTCGGGAAAATAATGTGGTCTCGTCGTACCTTGGAATCGCCCATTACCGCTTTGGGATGGCTAGCCGCGTCTGGAGATTCTATGCGCGGCTGCGACGAGGCGAGAGATCTTTTCCGCGATGAATCCACATTATTTTCCCGACGACATGACAAGACATTTCAATAAACTGCATGTCCCTTCAAAACATTCTAGGCTGGGAGCCAATGGATCTGCAGGGCCGCAACTACTTCTACAACAACTTCAAAGCCATTGGAGACCCGGACAATTACACAGTCGTTATAAAGCCGCACTACGTCAAAGGCGAGATCTATCATCAGGCGGCGGTCGACTTCTGGTGGAGGGACTTGGCCGAGCTGCACAAACATGACCTTCGCCATCTGCATTCAACACCCCCACCGCCTGCACCATCTCCGGTTGTTGTGGAGACCACCGGCGTTCCCTGGTACATATTCTTGATCGTGATCGTGATTGCGTTGGTGCTGGCGTTGGCATTGCTGGTTATTGTCGGGGTTTCGTTTGTTTGGAAGGCGAGACGGGTGTATAAAAGTGACAAAGAGATGAAGGAGACAGAGAAAGGTGATGGAACAAATAACTCAGGCAATGCGGAGCGCAATGATGTATAAGATTGTAAATATTGGAGTTTGAAATAAAGTAAAAAGTAATCGTTGTAAAAGAGCACAAGTTTGAAATTAAGGGGAAGTATCGGAGTCGGTGGAGTGATATATTAAATTTTATGACTATTTATTATTTATATATGATATAAAATTACAACAAAATTTGAGTAAAATCGAACAAGTTACAAAAAGTTTCGTCTAATGTTTTGTGGATTGCCGAGTCTTCCAAATAATTGGCACCCCAATAACAACGAACAATGACATGGCCAAAATCAGCATGATGATGATGACGAGCACAAAGATCCACCATGGGACGCCCTCCTCTTTGGGAGAAGGTGGATGTGGGAGTCCCGATGCCTCCTCTTCTTCCTCGCCTTGATCGCCCTTATGCCAGTGGACGTGGGCCAGATCACGCCACCAGAAGTCGATTGCCGGCTCGTCGAAGATGACGTTGGGGACGAAATGCGGCTTCTCGACAATGGTGTAGTTGCTGGGCTTGCCGATCGCTTTGATGTTGTTGTAATAGTAGCCGCGGCCTTCGGCGTCCATGGGAAGCCAGCCTGGAAAGGGAGACGGTTTAACAGGGATGCAAAAAGGCTTGAAATGCTCTCAGTGCATTCCACCTTTTGACAGACCTCGCAAGCGCACCGTGCAAAACAGGAAATGCGCGCGACAGACGGTTGCACAGTGCAAAATGGATCGAAAAGGTCGGCGCACCGTGCAAAAAAAGCAACGTGCGCGACAGACGATTGCACAGTGCAAAATGGTTCGAAAGGTCAGCGCACCGTGCAAAAAAGGAAACGCGCGCGACAGACGATTGCACAGTGCAAAAAAAAGCAAAATGCACTGTGCGCCGCGACAAAAAGTCTACGCTCTTTGGAAAAAGCGCAGTGCAATAAAAAATTCTTACCATCAACAACACTGCCTTCCAAAATGAACTTCCTCAAAAGCCGGGGGAAGAACTTTTTCATGATTTGATGTCCCACATTCCTCCGATGGAATCCCTCTTCCGCATTCAGCCCGAACGCGAAGATCAGCTCGTCAGCATGAGCATTGGCATGATACTCGTCCCACACCTGATACCAGGTTGGCGCACCTTGGTTCGTGTTCACAAAACCGAGGATCCAAGAGAATGCGTGGACGAAGGAGGCGCTGATTGGAAGCTCCCGGCCATGTGCGTAACGGTCTTTGCACTTTTGGTCGCATTCGTCTTTGCGGTTGGGGCAAAGCAGTGTCACGTAGTTTAGGCACACGTCCGTGTCGTTGTAGCCCAGGTCGAAGTCGTTCTCGACGGCGGTGACGCCGATGAGCAGGGGTAGTGGCTGAAAGCGGTAGGGGTATTTTAAGGCTAAAAAGTGAGCCAGAAAGAGGGAATATTATTTTAATAATGCAAAGCGGTTTGATAGGGGATGTTTACGCTTTAACTATCAGTCTGTCGGGAAAATAATGAGCGCTCTGTCGCATAGGAAATCGCATCGCCGCCGAGAAAATGAATTGTCTCTTGGCAAAATCAAATTGCTTTTCACTTCAGTGCCACCACCAGCGATATTGTGCTCATTATTTTCCCGACATACTGATGCTATACTTGCGGCAAAAATTCCTGAAAATTACATTTTATCGATGTTTTGGCGCTGCGATAAATGGGAATCCAGCGCGACGTGGGGCCAAAATTACAAAATACGTTTGTTTCTCAGTCTGTCGGGAAAATAGTGTGGACTTGTCGCGCCTTAGAATCGCCCATCATTGCTTTGGGACGGCTGGCCGCGGTTGGAAACTCAGTGCAATCAGAGGAGAAATTTTTTTGTGACAAATCCATATTATTTTCCCGACGAACTGACGGTCAAGACAATAGATGACGGGGTCTCCTTTTGAGACAACAAGAACATAATCAGCCCAAGATCCATAAAGAAACGTCAGTTTCGAAGATGACAGAACTAATTAGAGCATTGGGTGACCAGAAAAGACAAAAAAATAAGGTCTTACATGCCATCGGTTCATATACCCGGCCACAGTCGGCTCAATGTACGTGTAGCCATCAGGCTGGGCTCCACTAAAACCTTGAGGTCTCATTCCTTCGAGAGGAATTCCAGCGTTAATCAACTCCTCAACCGGCTTCTTTCGAAGGCAGTCTAGCCGAGAGGTCATGTTGAGTGGCTCAAGTTTGTCGTTGAGGTAGCACTGAAAGTTTGATTTCAGCGTTGAATGTTTTTACACGCTCTAAAAAATAGACCTATAATTCTTACTCCAACTTTTTCCAAGATAAAGCTGCTTCTCGGCCGGTTCAAGTGAGCGTTCGCCACACTCCCTGGACTGAACAGAATCGCTCGACTGAACGCCTTTTCCTCGACAGCGACGCTTGAAAGCAGCGCCGAGCCAAGATGTCCGCCACTGCTGTGACCGAACAGCACAATGTCTCTGGGATTGCCGCCGAAAGTCAGGATCTCGCGTTGGGTCCAGCGGAGGGCCTGGATCAAGTCTGAAAGAGATTTTTTTCATTTTTACTCGTCGCATATCAGTCTGTCGGGTAAATAATGTGGCTTTGCCGAGGGCTTGGAATCGCCTTTCATCACTTTACGAGGGCTAGCGGCGGCTGGAGATTTGATGCGCGTCTGCTACAGGCGGCATATTTTTTCTGCCGCAAATCCTCATTATTTTCCCGACGGACTGATAAACGCTAAAAAGTTTAGTTAAAACGACAATCTCTTGTCGGTAATGTGCCGACTTACCCAACAGTCCAGCATTATAGGGTGCATCCGGCCAAATCTGCGGCCCAATATCCATCCAGCCCAAAATACCCAATCGAAATGACGGTAGTACCCAAACAATCTCTCTTGCCGCGAAATGACGGGCAATTTCGACGTCGTTGAACTCTCTCGGAGTTCCGTACTGATCTTCTCCACCATGAATGTAGAAGACTACAGGACAAAGGCGCTCTTGCTAAAGCGAGAAAATGGCTTGGCTTTTATAGTCATCAAATTTTTATAAATATATCATTCTGTCGGGAAAGTAATGAGCACTCTGTCGCATCGAAATTCGCATCGCCGCAGGAAAAATGAATTGTGTTGCGAGAAAATCAAATTGCTTTTCACTCCAGCGACTTGATCGGTTCAGCGACATATCGCTTATTGTTTTCCTGACAGATTGATTTGAGAAACGTTTAAAAATTCATTTAAAAACCCACGTTGCAACGTTTGTCAGCATATACGTTCAAATAGATGCAGTCCTCGCTCTGCTCCTTGACGTACTTCAATGAGTACGGGCTCATTTTTGTGTAGTTTTGTGGGCATGCTGGCGCTGGCTTCGTCGCGTCCAAGATGCCGTCCCAGGACCTGACTGGGACCGGAGCATGGAAGCGGAGAGGGCCGACGGGCGGCTCAATAAATGGGATTTTCTGAAAGAAATCGGTTACAGGGGAAATCATCAAAATAAGCAAGGCATCTTGAGCTTGTGGAAATTTTGTGTTTGTTGAGACATTTAAAAAAGATATATCAGTCTGTCGGGAAAATAATGAGCACTCTGGCGCATCGAAAATTGCATCGCCCCCAAGGACATGAATTCAGCGACACTGCTCATTATTTTCCCGACAGAATAAAAGCTCTCGCCTTGCAGACACTGCCAAGGTATTCAACGACCCCTGCGCATCTCACCTTGAAAACATTGGCCGTGCCAAACTCCGTCTCCAGCTCGTACCCCTCAATCCACCCTTGAGACAACTGTCGCTGCACCTTCGGCGCCTTCTCTACATCAACTCCGAACGAAAGATCATCTTGAGAAATGACCGAATTAAATAAAAATAGTAAAACAAAACCTCTCCACATGAAGTCAAGCCGGACTATCGCTCTTGTTTATCGAGTTGATATTTCAGATCACATTCACATTAGGGATTTGCATAATTTTGGAAGTTTTTCGTCCATTCCCGAACAAGTACTCTCATTTTGAAACTTCTAGACAAAATTTCATGTAGAATGTGATACATCGTTTTGTAGAGGAACTGATCGATGAGGGGCTATTGAGGTCATTGGGAGGTTTGAAACTTAGAGAATGTTTTGCAAAAAAATGATGAGAAATGGTAGAAAATTGTGGAAAATACAGCCAAAAACAATGGTAACAAGCTGTCGCAGAAAAATCATGATTTTTTAATAATACATGTAGTTTTTGGATTCTAAAGTGAAGCTCAGATTTCGATGAAAATTGGCTCAAATTTACAGGGGAAGTAAACAAGTGCGACGCTCAGATTTTCCTTAAATTTGGCACACACATCAGACTTACAGTGACAGAACTGATCCAGTGGCAAAAAAAGTACCACTTTGTGTCCGGGAAGTATCAGAAATGTGGCAAAATGTTTCCCTATCCAAGTGAAAAAACTTCGTTTTGAAGGGCGCGCCCTTTCCTTCACAAAAAAAGCGCTCGCTGAAATCGGAGTCTTTTCACTTGCAGATGGAAGCATTTTGCCACATTTTTATTTTTGATACTTCCCGGATGCAAAATGGACTTTTTTTTAACACTGGATCAGGTCTCCCCACTGTAGGCAACACATCAATTTTTAAAAGTTTTAGCTCGCGCCTTGCAGGTGCAGCCGAGATTTTCAACGATTTTTGCGAGAGAGAACGCGAAAAGAGGGCGATCAGAGACGAGAACAGTTCATCGCGCTTTGCGGAAACGACCGAGATTTTTAGATCGAAAATTGTCAAAAATGCGCCATTTTTTGCGAATTTCGACCTGAAAAGTTTCATGCTTATTCCTACTGTAGAGGGTAATGTTTCCAAAAAAAATCAATTTTTTCTTCACGAAACTGGCAAAGATGCGGCCAAAAGGTGTTTTCTCTCTAACCGCCCTTCGAGTTTCGCCTACTCTCTCGGCCGTAAACATCGTCGAATATCTCGGCTGCGCCTGCAAAGCGCGAGCTAAAACTTTCAGGAATTGATATGCGATCCATCTCCAAAGTGTGTAAAAAATTTAAAGAAAATCTGCGGGTCGCACTTCCAGCAGTTCCCCTCTGATTTGGAGCAATTTTCCCTTTCAACAACTATCATTTTTGTTGAAAAAAACTATAAAAAACCTCTCTTACTTTTTGGGAAACGGGTTGACTGTATTCTCGGAAAGCGACTTCAAAGTTAAATTTGAGAATTCCTCTTTTTTTTCTTCCGACTTTACTCCCACTTCTTTTGGGAAAAGAAAACACAAACAAATATCGTTTACATTTGGGTCAAGGTATCACCAAGGTAATGTCGACGGTCAGCGCCGACCTTTAATTACTCTGATCACTGATTCTGAAAGTGTTGTGAGTAATTTTCCGCGTTTGTTGACCAAATTTAGCCATGAATTTGACGTATTTTTCACTGTTAAAAGCGCTGATTTTACTTTGGACCGAGGTTTTGGATTGTTCACTGTATGATCGAAGAGAGGAGGATGCTGGGATGTTTTTGTGGAGAGATATCAGCGATATGGAAGTGCAGGTGAGTATTAGAAATCAGCAATTCGAGAGACTGAGAGAGATTAAAGTCTTCATAATGCCGAAGCAAAATTTTTCAAAATTAGCTCAAAAACATATTTCATCGTATAAAATGTCACCAAAAATTGGTCATTAAAAATCATCCTATGGATAATAAACGTCGTGGAAATACAAGCCTTACACAAAAGGCGCTTTAAAATACTGCCAGCGGCAATTTTCGGCCATAATCTGCATTTTCGCAGACCTCTTTTTGCACAGTAAAATTCAACCATTTGATGTCTGCTAAAGCAAAAATAAATGTTTATAGCTAATTTCTGACGTCTCAATCTACCATTAAACAACAATTTCAATCCATAAACAAAATATTTTTAGCCTTAAAAGTTGATATTATTTTAGACTGTAGCCCTAAACGCCGTCGAGCGCTACAACAAGAACACCCATCCAAAACGAGTCGACATTCTCCTCGAAATCCTTGAAGCCCAATCTAGAGAAGCTACACTCGGCGATGAATATATAATCTCCCTGGTTATCGGAGTTACCGGCTGTTCTTTTGAACACAAAAACAATTGTACTCGAAAAGACGTGGAATTTGTGGATTTCGTCAATGTTGATGCGCTGAAGACAATTTCAATGAAAGAATATGTGTTTACATTCCATAAAATGAAATAAAATCTATTTATTTTTAGGTAAAATACAAAAAATTGTCGAATATTACAAACATTAGTCGAGAAAAGGTAAATTTTACAAAAAACGAGGTGGAATGGGAAGTAATTTTTCTAAACTCTAATTAAGATTTTGATAACGTAAGTTTATAATAATATTTTAATTTAAAAGCGAAAGTAATCGAGAAATTCGAGGATTTTCGGGATTTTTTGGACAAAAATCGCAGAAATTTCGTTGCCAAAAATGAATGATATTAATTTTGGGTAAATCAAGTTCATGGCTTCTAATCTACTCAAAAAACCGTCCAGATTGCCGGAAAATGGTTGGATTGGTCTAAAAATCTCATAAATGGCTAGCCAAAGTGTTTGATTGGTAGCTAAACCATCTAAATGACTAATCAAAAAGCTGGATTGTCCCTAAAAATCTCACAAATGGCTTGAAAAATAGGTAGATTGAAAGGAAAATCATCTAAATGGCTAGTAAGAGTTGAATTGACCTGAAAACCTCAGTGAAATTTTTAATTGAGGTTTTCAAGTCAATTCAACGCTATTTCTAGCCTTTTAGATGATTTTCCTTTCAATCTACCTCTTTGTTGAGCCATTTGTGAGATTTTTAGGGGTAATCCAGCTTTTTGACAAATCATTTGCATGATTTGGCTATCAGTCAAACTCTTTGGCAAGCCGATTCTGAGATTTTTAGACCAACCCAGCCATTTTCCGGCAATCTGGACGATTTTTGAGTAGATTAGAAGGCATAAATTTGATGCGCCCAACATTATTATCAAACATTTCGATTTTTCAAACTAAAAAATTCAAAAAAATTCCAAAAAATCTCTCAAAATTACATTATCCACAATCATAACTCCTCATCTTGCTCTTGTTTAATTTTCGTCCTCGTCGACATCCTCGCGTTCAGAGTGCTACTCAATGCAGTTAGACGGTTGTCAAAACCCGCCTTTTTTGGAGGGAAACAGTACCGAGACTCGTTTAGCGTGGCTGTCGCAGCTGGTCGGTTGACTGAGGACTTTATAGTATCCGGTAATCGCTGAATCCTGCTGATATATCGTTGACGCATCGCTTCGCTGGATGGCCTTTGAACCGCTGCCTAAAAATTGAAAATCCAAAAAAAAAAACTCGAACTTTTTACCTTTTTCTCTTTCGTATCGGCTTCTTTTATCTTCCGCGTTAGTTCTCGTAATCTTTCCGCGAGCTCATCATCAGCTCTTCGATTCTTTTCTTCCTCTTTTTCGAGTTCTTCTTCATCTAAATCTTCTAGGCTCTCCCGATATTCGTCCAAATTCATTTCTTCTTTAGCCCTCCTCAAATATTTGGGTGGAATGGGTTGTTCCAGAAAGTCCGCAACTCGATTCGCTAAATCGGATCGAGCTTGACGCTCCCGCCTAGCGATTGCCGGCCTCTCTTCTGTGCTTGTTCCTTGCTCAACAAAGTGATTTGCGCCTTGGAAATTTAGAAGAATATCTTTCAAAACCGGGAAAATTTGTCGTCCTTTTAGGTTCGGCGCTGCCAAAGACAAAAGGCTCACAACTGCATGTTGAACGTCAACCTTTTGATCTTGTTTTGCACCCTCATAATCGCTGATCGCGGTCAAAAGTGGGCTTCCGCGAAGGTAAGCGTCCAACCGGGCTTGCAATCCTTCCATCTTTTGTTTTATCGCCTCGTTTTGCTTTTGAAGTTCTATATTCTTCTGAAAACATCGAAATAGGCCAAAAAATTGAGTAGACAACATCTGACATATACGACAATGCAATACCTAAAAGCAGAAGAGAAATAACTCAAATTCTTACCTCTAAAAGCTCATGGAAGACATCATTTCGCTCAAGAATCGGGCTCGGCTCACGTGCGGGAATAACCACAGGTTTTGGCGCTGGTGGAGGTGGATGTGCGACGGCCTCAATAATTGGGCCAATTTTGGCTTTTTTGCTTCTGTCCAAAAACTCCTTTACAAACTGCTCCTTCCTCTTTTTACGCTCACTACCCGTTGCATCGTACTTGGCGATCCAATCTTCGTATAAAAGGGCCTCGGTTTCTTCCTCCATCTCGCACCTAAAAATTTGAACAGTTAGTCTCATGGATAATATAAATTTTATTCCCAACATCAAAGAAATTACATAAAAATACGTTGATCGGGTTCATGGATACACGAGTGATCAAAAAGACGAAGGAAAAAATTTTTTTCGCAAAGCAGAAAATCTTTTATGAAGTGTGACAATTTATACGATGAAAGTGGCTTTTACGCTACAGAAAGTGGTTGTATTTTAGGTGAAAACTATTAATAATTGTTTCGAAATTTTGTTAACAGTAATAAGAAATTGACCAACGTCCAAAACTTCAAAATTTCTGAAGATACTCATTCAATTTACGAATATTATCTACAACGCAGCTCGCGCCCTATATTCTTCTTCGAGTTTTTTTTTCTCCGAGAAAAAAAAGCGTCCAAAAATAGAAACAAGAGCTCGCGAGCTAAGTTTTATCCGAAAAAGAGCATTTTTTTGGGCAGATTGTCATGAATCGTCGACGATCCGCTCGTTTGGCCAAGCCGGAGTACAATAAAAAGCCAACCCCGCCTCCGGGGCCTCCACAGAAGTCCAGAAAGTACAGCAAACGTGCTAGTTCAACTTCAGGATCCACCGACGATTCTTCACCACGTAAGAAGGCTTTGGTTTTTACGCTAAAATAAGCTTTTTCCGATTTGAGCTTATTTTTTGTCAAGTATAAGATAAGCTTGAGCTTTATCCTCCAAATAGTTATAAAAATGTGTTTGTTTTAGCTAAACAGAGCCGGTCCACTCGGTTGGTGACTCCAGAAGGTCCCGAACAAACAGTGGGGGAGTATGTTTTTGGCGTGTTATCTGGTCAAATATCCGAAGATCCTGAGGTCGTAATCCGGTCGTCTTCGTTTGAAAAGCGCAAATCTACCGAGCGTATGTTTTTTCTTACCATTTTTTTTGAGTTTTAGGCGTTCTTACTCAGAATTTGACGAGTTCTAGCAATTTTTTGACATTATACTAGACTTTCCCCGGAAAAGTTTGATTTTGATACCGGAAGTCATATTTATGGAGGGAATCAGATGTTTAGAGGCACTGTGGCACTTGAAGCTAAATTATTTTGCTTTTTTCAGGTGTTCCGCCTTCAGAAAAGACCCGTCGATCTTGTGCTAAAGCAGGTATCGACAAGGTCCAAGAAAAGCCGCCAGAAGAGGTGGACAAGCTCTTGAAGGAGATGGTTGGTGCAACTCATGGAATCTACTACACCTCGCATCTTCCCGATCTCAAACCCGGCGAGAACAACGACGAAGATCTTGTTGAAGTTGCCCGATGGGTGAAAACCAATGCAAAATCTCTGGACAAACTGAATGTCGCTGCGGAAAAGCTTAGTTATGCGGCTCGAGCGGGCTTGCCTCGGGATATTCAACGGGTGCAGAAGGAAGCGGACGAACTTGAGATGTACGCGCAACGTCTTCTACACAAACAACAGAAAAAAGCGAATGGAGAAAAAATTCCGAAAAAGAGGTACGATCCGGTGCTGCATAGTACGGACACGTATGGAATATATCACTTGGCCAATAGACGGGATCCGTGAGTTTTTTAATATTTTTTGTTTGATTTTTAGGAAAGAAGACCTTGTAGTAGGCAGTCGACTTTAATTGGTCAAAAAAGAACTTGGGATTGTCTGGATTCCTATTCGATCAGGGTTAATATGACCTTTAGTGTCTATATTTTGTAGACAGCCCAAAATTTTTAGTGCTATATCTGTAGTACATCAAATTTTATATTGTTTTAGACATCAGATATCAAAAATTTGACGAAATTATTGTTTGGTATGGTTTTAATCCCAAACCTTTCCAGAGACTTTGCTGATTCTGAATTTGAGACGGTAGAACCCCCGCACAACTGTCAGATGGTTGATTTCCTCCGACAATCCCTTCTTCGAATGGAAAACCAGCTCAAACTTCAATGGGAAACGCTGGACAAATACAAAAAAGAAATGGAGAACAAGGACAAGATCTTGGAGACCAGGGAAAAGGCCATCCAAGACATGGCCTTCCGAATCCGTGTAGCTGAAGGAGATTCAGATGACACCCCATCTTACAGTAGTGGAGGTGTTCAAGTTGTACACAGTCATTTCTCGGTCCCATATTCCCAAGCCAGCGTGGAGAGCGGAGTGAAACAACAGGAACGCCTGAAGAGCGCCATGAAGATTTGTTTCCCGAATAGCAAACCCAAGGACATCAAGAAGTTGATCACCGACACTTTTCCGGAGTACTTTTCACTCGGAAAAGGATGATTTACTCCATTTTTCTTTTCATAATGATGATTTTTGCTCATAAACGTATCAGAAAAAACCATTGTGATGTGAGTTGTGGTTTTAATCGTTGCTAACCAGCTTTATTTTATTCATTTTTATGTTTTGTTACTGATAAGGATCCTGCAATTTTGAACAATTGATTTTCCTTTTTTTTATGTATTTTGTTACTGATAAGCATAGACCCTACATATGCGAACAATTTTTGGTCTTTCCAGTGTACTTATGGGGAGATTTGATAATTTTTACGCCAGATTTTTTATTCATAAAGTCTCGAGGATTCCTGGGATTCCCCGCATTTTTCCCTAAATAAACTAGTATTTTTGGACATAAAACGTTGTTCTAATTGCCCCACAGATGCTGTAAAGTATCTGCGAGTAAATTGCGTAGTCTTTTTTGCCACGTAAATTTCTTTTTTTTTACCTTGTGTTTTGGCATCATGGATAATATGGGAGATTTTTCAAGATGTTTATAAAAGTCGAAGAGGCCCTTTTTTTGAAAAAATAAGAATTTTTTTTCAAAATGAACGGTGACATGTTATACGAAAAAAATTTTTTGAAAATTGGAAAAGTGGAGTGCGATATGTTATTCGATGAAATTTTTTTTTGAAAATGAAAAAAAGTGTGACATGTTAATGATGAAACATTTATAACATAACACACCCTTTTTTTCATTTTGAAAAAAATTTCATCGTATAAGATGTCACACCCTATTTTTCGATTTTTCAAATTTTTTTCGTATAACATGTCAACCTTTATTTTGAAAATTCTTCTTATTTTTTCAAAAAGGGGCCTCTTTGACTTCATTAGGGGCATCTTCGTTTCGCCTCATCGTAAAAAACAAATTTTCAAATTTTTTTTTCGTATAACATGTCACCCTTCATTTTGAAAATTTTTCTTATTTTTTCAAAATGGGCCTCTGACTTTTTTGGGGGCCCTCTTCATTTTTTGGGGACCTCTTCGGCCCATAAGTCTCCAAGGTCAGGGGGTCTCTTCGGCTGCAAAGGTTTATAACAAATGGTCTCTTACTAGGGAAGTGTACAAACGAACCCTCACCAAATGGCAAGTGTTATACACCATTGGAAAGCCCTTGAAAAATGGTGAAAGGTACCATTTTCATTTTTTGCAGAATGCCTTAGGGCAAAAAATTATAAACGGTTGATTTCTCCCTTAAGTAGTTACAATATCGGCTGTGGGGCAAAATAAATCTTATTTTAAAACGCTAAATGGTAAATATTGCTACTAGGTTGGCCTAAGAATCATTATGAAGTCTGGCGATTGCCAGTAAAACCATTTTACATATTATATTTACTGGTTTTAAACACCCATAACGTGAAAAAACACTTTTCACTTTTTTAATTTTGAAAAACATGTAAGTTTGATGGTTTTAACCGTAATCGACCGTTTTCTAGAAAAATTAAAGCGTTTCTAAAAGTTTAACTCAAATATTATCCTAACTGTAAGAACGCAAAATGTTTTTGCCCAAGCTGGGAATCGAACCTAGCTTGGTTTGGCTTATCAGCCTGCTCAGCAACCACTGCACTATTGAAGCAACTCTCTTCGAAAATTTTTATCCGCTCAAGAGAAAGAAAGACTTTTGTTGCGAAATGACCTAAAAATAATGAAATTTACAGTATGTCGTCGCGGAAAGGCATTCTGCAAAAAATGAAAATGGTATCTTTCACCATTTTTCAAGGGCTTTCCAATGGTGTATATGACTTGCCATTTGGTGAGGGTTCGTTTGTACACTTCCCTAGTTAGTAAAGATGAGTCAAAGACCGATTAAGTTATCGTTAAAAAGTAGAGAAAAATATCACTGCCTTGCGTCACATTTGCTCTCGGAGCCGATTGAACACAGATAACAAGCCGTAAATTTGCTCTTCCCGAAAGGAAGAGCAGTCCGACGGAAGCTATTTATTAGCCGTTTTCACAAAGAAACAAACCCCCTTCAGTACTGTAGCTCGTAGGTTTTAGAGGAAAACTGGGATTGTGTTGGGTGCGAAAGGAAGATTAGAATTGGTGAAATACTGGAATAGGTTGGCCATTTTTCAGCCTAATCTTTCAGCCCTTTAGTCCACAAGCCCTTTATGCGTAGTATTTTTGAAGGGATGCCAGGCATCCGGTATTTCACGCAAAGTTTCTCGAGTTTTTAAGTTGAAAGAGAAGGGATTAGTTTTGCAGCGAAAGCTCGAGGTCCTTCAGATATCCATAATGTTGAATACAGTAGGCAACCAAGTCAATCCCCCACGAAAAATGTAACCATAGATAGTGAAATTGTAAATAGAAGTGCCAGGGGCGTAGCTGGGGAAGTTTTGGGTAACTGCTCTTTTGCCAGCACGGAAATACGTTTTGTTGTAATAACTTTTACTTTTTGGGTTCCTGTGCCCTTACGAAGTTTTTTGGGTTCAATAGAACATTTATAGTATGTATTGTTCAGGTGGGTAATTTGGAAAATGCTCACATGAAACAAAGAGAAAACGAAAATGAACAAAAAAAAAATCAATTTCATGGCGACTAAAGGTACCCAAGTGTAATATTTATAATTCTTTCAATGTTTAAAAACTTTATCTAGCTACTACCTATTCCAAAAATTTTTAGCTCGCGCTTTGCAACCTTAGCCGATATATTCAACGATCTTCTCAAACGAGATACTATAGAAAATGAGGAGAGATGGTCACAGAAACAGTAATTTTTGACCATATCTCCCTTTCTTGAAGTCCCTCTGATTTTGATGAAACTGAGGACAAAACAAAATTCGAATTTTCTATGACGCATGCAAGATTTTTAACTGGCGCTTTGCAAAAACCATCAAGGTTTTTAGATTGGAAATAACAAAAAATCCGATGAACCTCACTTATTATAAAGCACCGCCGATAATGACCCATCGTGCTAAATAGTCGCCCGATTTCGAAGTTGTAATTGATAGATAAAGCATCCAAATGGCTTGTCAATGAGTTTTATGAAGCAAATGAAACTCTTTGGTCCGCCATTTTGTTGCTTTATCGATCAGTTCAAGTTTGAAATTGGCCGACTATTTACGACGATGGGTCATTATCGCCGGTGGTTTATAATGCGTGAGGTTCATCGGATTTTTTGTTACTTCCAATCTAAAAAGCTTGATGGTTTCTGCAAAGGGGCCAGTTAAAAATGTTTTATGTGTCGTAGAAAACTCGAATTTTGATTTGTTCCCAGTTTCATCAAAATTTGAGAGACTTCTAGAAAGGGAGATACGGTCGAAAATTGTTGTTTCTTTGACCATCTCTCATCATTTCCTATAGTATCTCGTTTGAGGAGATCGTTGAATACCTCGGCTAAGGTTGCAAAGCGCGAGCTAAAAAATTTTGGGATAGATAGTAACTAGATCAAGTTTTTAAAAATTGAAAGAATTATAAATATTACACTTGGGTACCTTTAGTCACCATGAAATTGATTTTTTTTGTTCATTTTCATTTTCTCTTTGTTTCATATGAGAATTTACCATATTACTCACGTGAATAATACATAATAAGTGTTCTATTGCAACCCAACAAACTTCGTAAGGGCACACGAACCCAAAACAGTGAAAGTTATTACAATAAAACGTATTTCCGTGCTGACAAAAGAGCAAATAACAAGTTACAAAGTAGTCTTAAAGTCCTTTGTACGAATTGAATTTGAGATTTATTGTTCCTTTTTGGACCAGATTTTGATTATTCTCTCAAAATTTTAGATTCAAAAATGGACCTTCGACTTGTCCTCCACATATCCTGCCTTCTCATATCAACAAATTCCCTTCGATTCCTCCAAATCGCCGACTTTCATTATGATCCCGACTACAATAGCAATGGAGTGGCCGCTCAGATGTGCCACGAACAAAAGAATTCAACAAAAACGAAAAAGTTGGGCGAATTTGGAGATTATTTGTGCGATTCGCCCGCCAAATTGGTTGAAAATGCCGTCCAAGCGGCCGCAAAAACTCTGGCGGAGCCGGATTTGTTGCTGTGGACTGGTGACAATATCCCACATATCGATGAATACACTGAGGAATGTAAGCCGAGATTTTGGGTATTTTGCACCGTGCGAGGTAAATTTTTTTTCGCACGGTGCGGTTTATGAGCAGAGATTGCCACGGTCAAAATTTTGGCTCCGGCTCCGGCTCTTAGCTCCCAGAGCCGGAGCCGAGGCCAAATTTGCAGCTCCGGCTCCGGCTCTTGGCTCCGTGCAAAATTTACAAAGGCATCCGGCTCCGAATCCCGGCTCCTATGCAAAAGGTTTTTTAAAAATATTTTTCCAAAAATAAAAGTTATTAGTGTCAGAGATCATACAGCCAACGTTTTTGCAGTCAAGTCGCATCCTCCGCAGTGTTTTTCGAGCAATTTGGTTTAACAAGATCACGAAATTTTTACTTTTCTGACCGCTGGGAAGCCTGGCTCCGACTTTGGGCTCGGGAGCCGGAGCCGACCCCAAAATTTCCGGCTCCGGCTCTGGCTCCCGGCTCGGAGCCGGAGCCGCTCAGAGCCGGAGCCAAGAGCCGGCTCCGGAGCCGCGGCAATCTCTGTTTATGAGTTAAATTTTTTTCTCGCACGGTGCGGTTTTTAGGTTTTTTAATGTTGCACGGTGCGAAAATCTTGTTTTTGATCTACGCACTGTGCAACAATTTTTTCGTTGAAAATTTTGTTGCACAGTGCGGTTTTTTATTTATTTTTTTCTTTTGCACAGTGCAAAAAAAACTATTTTGATTTACGCACTGTGCAAAAAATTTTTGTTGGAAATTTTGTTGCACAGTGCGGATTTTTTTCTTTTGCACAGTGCAAAAATTTTCTTTGTTGAAAATTTTGTCGCACAGTGCGTTTTTTATTTTTTTTCTTTTGCACAGTGCAAAAAAAAAATTAAATATTTTTTGCACTGTGCAATTTAAAATTTTTTTGTTCCTTGCACAGTGCAAAAATAAATTTTTTTTGTCAGATGTCCGAAGTGCTCTAACTTTCACCACGAACCAGATCAAGAAAAATTTCCCCAAAACAACGGTCCTTCCAACTTTGGGCAATCATGACATAAGCCCTTCAAATCAATTTGGGGAAAACGACAAAGTCTACGAAATCACGGCTGATCTCTGGGCGCACTGGTTGAAGGAGGAGGAAAAGGTGAGATTTTCTCATTTTTACTGTCCCTCCGGAAAGTCGGCGGACTGATTTTTGGCATTTGCACTGTGCGAAAAAAGTCAGGGTGCGAGCGACAGCCCAAAAAAGCCTATTGCACGGTGCAAAAAGCAAGAAATTGCACAGTGCAAAGTGAAGTTTTGTTTTCGCACGGTGCGTGTCGCGGAAATGATTTCTTTTTCATTGCACCGTGCGAAAAATGTCAGGGAGCGACAGCTGAAAAAAAGCCTATTGCACGGTGCAAAAAGCAAGAAATTGCACAGTGCAAAGTGAAGTTTTGTTTTCGCACGGTGCGTGTCGCGGAAATGATTTCTTTTTCATTGCACCGTGCGAATAAAGTCAGGGTGCGAGCGACAAAGCCATTTGCACGGTGCAAAAAGCAAGAAATTGCACAGTGCAAAGTGAAGTTTTGTTTTCGCACGGTGCGTGTCGCGGAAATGATTTCTTTTTCATTGCACCGTGCGAAAAATGTCATGGAGCGACAGCTGAAAAAAAGCCTATTGCACGGTGCAAAAATCAAGAAATTGCACAGTGCGAAATGAACTTTTGTTTTCGCACAGTGCGCGTCGCTGATTTCAGTCCGGCGGCCATAAAACTTTATGGATTTTCAGCCGAAAAATTGTATTTTTGGTAGAAAAAATTTACTTTGGATATCGAAAAAAAGGAAAATTTTTCGAGTTCGAAAATAAAAAAAAATTTTTTAATTTGGTTTAGAAAAAAATTTTTTTTAAAAGACGATTTCTGAGTCAGTGCGTCAGCCGTGGACATAGGAAAAAATCGATTTTGAGTTTTTTGCATTAAAATGACTGTTGAAAGGGGCTAAGCAAAAGCGAACAATATTTTTTCCCAAATCCTTCGTTAAGGTATATTTTTTTACAATTAACTGTTTTAGAAGTAATCGCCCCTAGCTGTGGTATCTTGCCTTGCAGTGCAGTGATTTGACGGCTACTGTAGTTTTTGACCCTTGCGAACACGATGGAGTGATTATTTTTCCCGGTTTCCTACTGTAACATACCGTAATACCGTATCGACCGCTAAAAAACGGTCGTAAAATCTTTGTTTCTAAAAACCCCCAGCTGATTTTTTGATATGTTAATCAGCGTAAAATTCTGCTCTAGACCCAATCAAAAAAAGTGCAAAAAGTTGTGCGACAAATTTCGTGGTGTAGTGGTTAGTGGGCGGGACTACCATTCCACCGTCCCGGGTTCGATCCCGGCTGGGTGCAAATGTCAAAAAAATGCCGCAAATCAATTTTAATGTAAAAATAAGGAATGTCCGAAGAACAAAAAGCAATTTTAAATCATTATGACACCTCTGTTTTCGAGTAAACCCGGTTTAATGTAATCTTAGCGGCTGAAAACGGAAAAAATAAAAGTGCTTCAAATGTGACAAAATTTATAGATATGCTTCTACAGGTTATTATAAGAAATTTTTCCGTTAGTCTTTTTTTGTAACTTACAGTATAACGGATTACTGTAGCATAATGCAGAATTTCGTATTTTGCGTTCTACATGGCGAAAGAGAGCTGGAAGTAAAGCCATAATGTGCAGAATTATTACCAAGAAGCTTATCTGTGAGAAAAAATATTTTTTATGGCAGGATGATTTGGTATACCTGAATAATCTTTCACCGTATTAGCGGTCAACGATGACGTCAGAACATACTCGAAATAATTTGGAATTTTGTTTCGGATAACGAAAGGCGACTTTTTTTGCTGTCAGAGCGGTCTAACAAAAAATCCCAACTTTTTTTTCAAGAACATCGAAGGGAAAATCGATTTTTTATAAATAGTTTTATGTTACAGTAATCCGTTATACTGTAAGCTACAAAAAAAGACTAACGGAAAAGTTTCTTATAATAACCTGTAGAAGCATATCTATAAATTTTATCACATTTGAAGCACTTTTATTTTTTCCCTTTTCAGCCGCTAAGATTACATTAAACCGGGTTTACTCGAAAACAGAGGTGTCATAATGATTTAAAATTGCTTTTTGTTCTTCGGAAATTCCTTATTTTTACATTAAAATTGATTTGCGGCATTTTTTTGACATTTGCACCCAGCCGGGATCGAACCCGGGACGCTGGAATGGTAGTCCCGCCCACTAACCACTACACCACGAAATTTGTCGCACCACTTTTTGCACTTTTTTTGATTGGGTCTAGAGCAGAATTTTACGCTGATTAACATATCAAAAAATCAGCTGGGGGTTTTTAGAAACAAAGATTTTACGACCGTTTTTTAGCGGTCGATACGGTATTACGGTATGTTACAGTAGGAAACCGGGAAAAATAATCACTCCATCGTGTTCGCAAGGGTCAAAAACTACAGTAGCCGTCAAATCACTGCACTGTAAGGCAAGATACCACAGCTAGAGGCGATTACTTCTAAAACAGTTAATTGTAAAAAAATATACCTTAACGAAGGATTTGGGAAAAAATATTGTTAGCTTTTGCTTAGCCCCTTCCAACAGTCATTTTAATGCAAAAAACTAAAAATCGATTTTTTCCTATGTCCACGGCTAACTGGCGGCTGATTCACTGACTCAGAAATCGTCTTTTAACGAACTAAAAATGTTCCGTATGCTGTAAAAAACATTTATTCTAAATTTATGCCAAGTTTCATCTGAATATGACTCAAAAATTTTAAAAAAATTTCAAAATTTCGAAAAATAATTTTGAATTTCTTTCAGAAAACCTATCTCTATGGCGGATATTACTCTCGGGAAATCAACGGCGAACAGTTTTTGGTGCTAAACACAAATCTTTACTATGTTTATGACAAAAGAAATTTTTCGGATCCAGCCGATCCGGCGGGACAATTCGAGTTTACGAAGAAAGCATTGGCTCAAGCGCAGAGTAACAATCAGACTGCACATATCATCGCTCATATCCCTCCGGGATGTAAGTTTTCGAGAGATTTTTTTGGCAATTTTTTTTGGAAATTTTATTTTTGTTGTTACAGTATACGACAGAGTGCCGAATATCAAATGGTTCACTGATGAATATAATAAACAGTTTTTGGACATTATTCGCGCCTACAAGGACACGATTAAACTTCTTATTTTTGGCCATCATCACGGCGATACCTTCCATGTTATCAGGGTGGGGATTTGATTTTATTTTTTCGCACTGTGCAAATTTTTGTCTTTTTGCACTGTGCGAAAATGGATGTTAATTTTTTTCGCACTGTGCAAATTTTTGGATTTTCTGCACCGTGCGGAGGTGGGTTGTCTTCACACTGTGCGGTTTTTTTTTATTTTTCGCACTGTGCGAATCTTTTCGAATTCTTTGCACTGTGCAAAATTTTTTGGATTTTCTGCACCGTGCGGAGGTTCTTTGTATTTTTCGCACTGTGCGAATCTTTTTGAATTCTTTGCGCTGTGCCAAATTTTTCGGATTTTCTGCACCGTGCGGAGGTTGTTTGTCTCTTCGCACTGTGCGGATTTTTTGGATGTTAATTTTTCCGCACTGTGCAAAAACATTTTTTTCGTGCAGTGCAAATTTTTTGCCTTTTCGCACTGTGCGAAATTTTTTGGATTTTCTGCACCGTGCGGAGGTTCTTTGTCTCTTCGCACTGTGCGGATTTTTTGTATTTTTCGCACTGTGCGAATCTTTTCGAATTCTTTGCACTGTGCCAAGTCTTTGTATTCTTTGCACTGTGTGGAGGTACTTTGTCTGTTCGCACTGTGCGGATTTTTTGGATGCTAATTTTTACGCACTGTGCAAAATTTTTGTCTTTTCGCACTGTGCGATTTTTTTGTCAATTCTTTGCACGGCGCGGAAATTTTGAGGTATTTCTAGAGTAAGAAACAACATTCCAGGATTCAAATGACTCTCCAATAAATGTGGCGTACATTTCTCCGGCAGTTACCCCCTGGTACAGCGGTTTGGGGCTCGGGGCGAATAATCCCAGCTTCCGGGTATTCGATTACAACCTGGAATCTAAGGAGGTTACCAATGTTTAGTAAGTCGATTTTTTGAATAATCTTTGATGAAATTTTAATATTTAAATTTTATTTTTTTCGAATATTGAAATTTTAATTTCCCATTTTCAGCACTTACAATGTAAATTTAACGGCCTTAAACGACAACCCATCGACTCCCTGGACCTTGGAATACTCCTTCAAAGACGCGTATGGGATCCCCGACTTTAGCCCCCAATCCTTCCACAATTTGGTCGAGGGATTTTCGAAAAATGAAACTTTATTCGGAACCTACATGCTTTACAACACAGTCAGCACGGATGGAAGTCTTCCAAATTCGACTATCAAGTAATTTTTTACTCAAAATTTTTTGACTGCCTCAGGACAAAATTTTTTGAAAAATTCCGAATTTTAATTTTTAAAAAATTTTTTAGACAAGCCCAAATCTGCTCGCTGAACCATGCCGATTACGACAAATACAGCGTGTGCATCAGCGGTGCGCTTTCGAAAATTTGCTCAATCTTTTCAATCTTCTTCATGATGATGCTAATAATGTTGTAGATTCTCAGGTAAACCGGTAAAGTGGCCAAAATAACGTTTTATTACTCAACAATAAATTGATTTCCGTATTATATTTATAAGAAAACTAGCAATAATAAGAAGCGAGGCGATAAATATGGTGATAACTTGTCAGAGGAGGTTATTCCGCGGGCTGTGGGGGCTGTTCGCGATGATGGACGAGGATTCGGGGGGCTCGGCGGGGTTCGGGCATCTCCACATCCACTAAAATCATGGATAAAATTGAAAAAAAAGCAAAAAATTTTTTTTTTTTCAAAAATAATTTTAAGTATCACATGTACAATATAACCCTTCGATTCCCTTCAAATTTTGCCCAAATACTCTAAATATTTCACAAAGTAATCTCAAAAAATTTTAGCTCACGTTTTACACCAGCATAGGAAATTTTAATCAAAATTTTTTCCGAGAGAGCACGGAAAACGAGGGCTTCATGGAAATTGGACAGGTTTTTTTGAGATTTCTTGAAAATGAGTCTGTTACAGACAAGGAGTGTTCCATTTTTTAATAAAAAACGATATTATTCCGAGGGAAATTCAGGAAGATACAGCCGTAAAACGTTGTTTTTATCTGCCGACTCTTCTCATTTTGGCTTCATGGAAATTGAACAGAGTGAAAGTCGACAGAAATAAATTGGACAGGTTTTTTCACTGCAATCGTATGAAATGTGACTATTCAATTATTTTTTGCAGTGAAAAAATCTGTCCAATTGATTTCTGCCGAGTTTCCCTCTGTCCAATTTCCATGAAGCCAAAATGAGGAGAGTAGGCAGATAAAAACAACGTTTTACAGCTGTATCTTCCTGAATTTCCCTCGGAATAAAACCGTTTTTATTAAAAAATAGAACACTCCTCGACTGCACGCCACGAAAAACGTAAGGCAAAATTGGAAATAGAGATTTCGAGCTGCGCCCAATATTTTTAATTTTTTTGAACGAATGAATATTTTGCTAGATAGTATTGTAACTTTGAGATTTGGAATAATTTAGGGATGAATAGTATGTCAAAAATTACGTTGTTGTCAGTTTCAAGTTTTGAATATAACTGATGAGTCCATGGAGCCCGACCCATCGCGCTGTGACGCAAAAACTGATTCTCCACCTATTGATGTGGGTCCAGAAAATGTAAGATTTCTCTTTGGTCCTGAGTTTTAGGGATGAACCGCCATGTGGTGTTGTGTGAGACATTCTAGCGGACGTTGTAACGAAGAAATCAGGAAATTTGACAGTTGAAAAAGGGCACTTGTCAATCGATTATTGCATCATTTTGCAGGATCAGATGGAGACACGCAAGAACGGACTGGAGAAAGCGCGAGAAAAGCTGGACCAGAAGAAGCAAATGAGGATAAAATTAGCGGAGAGCAGGAGGAAGATCGTATTGAATGTAATGGATGAGTCCATGGAGCCCGGCCCGTCGCCCTATGACCCAAACATTGATTTACCATCCATGGAGGTGTCTTCAGAAAATGTAAGATTTCTCTTTTGTCCTGAGTTTTAGGGATTAATCGCCATGTGGTGTTGTGTGAGACATCCTAGCGGACGTTATGAAGAAGAAATCTGGAAATTTGACAATAGCAAAAGGGCACTTGTCAATCGATTATTGCATCATTTTGCAGGAACTGATAGAGAAACGCGAAGATAAGGCGTGAGCAAAGCTGGATCAGAGGAAGCAGACGACGTTCAGAAGATTTCAAGGTAAGTTTGTGACGTTGTCTTTTTGATTTTTTTGTTTTTCTAGGCCGTTGAGCTAATAATTTTCTCTGGTTATACCTAAAATAATATAATTGATATTTCAGCCGGTCCATGTTGAAGTAGAATGTGAAAGCCAGCATAATGTACCAAAGGGTGTGGAGATTGATTTCCGAGTTCAGATTGCATCCGACAAATGCGATGGATTGTCAAAAATTTATGTAATTTTGATTATTCTTATTGGTTTGATGTTTAGGTGGAATTAAAGAAGATTTGATGAATTTCAATTTAGTAGTGGTCTGTTGTAGCAAGATCAAAGCCCTATTAGTCTTGTAAACCCCGGAAGAGCTCGAATTCGGTCAGATTCATCGATTTTGATCCATTTGTGCCTAGTACAATATAATTTCTTTTCTCTTCTTCGATCAATCTGAGAAGTTCGGGGTGCACCTCCTAGAATCCTTTCGATGCTTTCTCGCCGGTTTCACACGTAAATTGTTGTTTATTAGAATTTTGGAAAGATTTTTATTATTTATTTGTAACGGTTTCAGCGTATGAAATGTCGAAAACATTTTCCCGCGAATTTCTCTATTTCCACTTTTTTCGTGGCGTGCGACTGTAACAGGCTCATTTTTCAAGAAATCTCAAAAAAAACCGTCTAATTTCCATGAAGCCCTCATTTTTCGTGCTTTCTCGGAAAAAAATTTTGATTAAAATTTCCGATGCGGGTGTAAACGCGAGCTAAAATTTTTTGGGATTAATTTGTGAAATATTTAGAGTATTTGGGCAAAATTTGAAGACATTCGAAGGATTGTATAAAGAATCATTTTTCAAGGAATCCCAAAAAACAGTCCAATTTCCGCGAAGCCCTCATTTTCCGTGCTCTCTCGGAAAAAATTTTGATTAATAATTCCGCTGCGGGTGTAAACCGCAAGCTAAAGTTTTTGGGGTTAATGTGTGGGAAATTCCGTGTGTTTGAAAAGACCCTCACTTTTCAAGCACCAACTCTAAAAAAATCCAAAATTTTCCCCAAAATTCCTCAAATTAACCCAAACCGAACTCTCCTTGCACTACAAAATCCTTACCCAATCCCTCTCCCTGCACTGCATCCGGATCATCGACTTCCACCAGCATCGTCTCATCATCGTCGTTTTCGATGAACGTCGCTTGCCTGAGGGCGTCCGTTCGGACCTGCATTTGGTTGTGCTTCTGGATTTCGCCGACCTTCCGCATTCTAAAGTATTGCTGTCGGATTCTCTGCCATTCCGGGAAGTTGGGGAGCTCGTGATAATCGATGTGTTCCATTTTGGGTTGGACCTGGTTCGTCAGGGGTTCCTCCATCTCCATTGAGGAGTCTTGCAATGAACTTCGCTCATGATGATACTGCATGGCCCTCTGTCTGGCCTTTTCGTATGCTTCGCGGGGTTGCAGGATGCCCTCTTTCACCTCTCTTCTCGATTTTCGGTCAATTTGTTGTACGGCCAGCTCTTCGGGGCTCTTTGCCTTGCAATCCGGATGATGTTTGGGGAACTGGTCGCCCATGATTCGTCCGTCCTGCAGCGTGATCTTCGCTCGGATTCTGATGTTCGTCTTTCGAATCAGCGTGTCGCAGAACGAGCAACGGAAGTAGAGTTTTCGTCCATCTTTTGACTTGTTGGTCAAGCGATACTGTCGTTTTAGGCCATCCTTGTCGTCCAGAACCAGCACGGAGGGCTGAAGTTTGGCCGAGAGCTCAAGTCGGACCTGGAAAGCAAAAATTTTTGCAAAAAAAATAAAAAGAATATATCTAAAACAATATAATTTCTCCAAAGCGTCGCCAAAAGTAAAAGATTTGATATTAGCTTTTTCATAAAGTGCGTGGAAATTTTTTCGCTTTTGCACAGTGCATTTTGCAATTTTCCCCACGCATGTCGCCAACGCACAGTGCATTTTTGTTTTTCTCTTTTCGCACCGTGCAAACCTCAAAAAATCCGTTTGCACTGTGCAGATTTTTGAGCAAAGCAGCGGCGACGCAGTTGGAAAAAGCTTGTGTCGCGGCGATATTTCGCCGCACAGTGCAAGGACCAAAAAAAGGTGAGATGCAGAATTCCATCGATTGCAATCCTAAATAGGGTAACGCCATTTTGTAAAGCGACCCAGCGGTGAAAATTTCAAATTTTGTTTCGGAAAAAACTTGGTTTAGGGATTTTCATTTATCTGTAAAGGCAACATTTTCACCTAGTACTAAACAGTACTACAGGGTCTTACAAAAAACGTGAAGGAAAGTGGAAGGCTATAACTTCGGGCGGAAGCGCAGAGACTTCGTATTTGAAATATGTATTTTTAAAAGACATAAGTTTTTGTCCACGAAATAACAAGCTCTTAAAGTGCAAACTGAGGTCGCTACGACCTTCTGAAGTAGAGGCATCTCTACCCCGAAAACCAGGTTTTTTCGGTTGAAAATGATTGAGAAATTTCGGACGTTTTCGGTTGAAAATCACCAGGAAATGTCGGATCTTGTGAGGGGTTTCGATATGGGTGATGTTGAAAAAGAGGAGGAAAGTGCCAACACTTGAAATTTTTTCGACGTTTTCTTAAAGACTGTATCAACAAACCCCCAAAAAATCCGACATTTCCTGGTGATTTTCAACCGAAAAAGTCCGAAATTTCTCGATCATTTCAACCGAAAAAACCTGGTTTTCGGGGTAGAGATGCCTCCACTTCAGAAGGTCGTAGCAACCTCAGTTTGGACTTTAAGAGCTTGTTATTTCGTGGACAAAAACTTATGTCTTTTGAAAATACATATTTCACATACGCAGTCTCTGCGCCGCTTCCGCCCGAAGTTATAGCCTTCCACTTTCCTTCACGTTTTTTGTAAGACCCTGTATAAAGAGAAAAACTAAACATGATTTTCGAACTCAGAAGCCTCGAATACCCCTAAACCAAGTTTTTTCCGAAAAAATTCAAAAAATTTTCATCACGGGTTCGCTTTACCACAGTTTGGGTCGTAATCGATGGAATTCTGCATCTCACCTTTTTTGTTTCTTGCACTGTGTGACGAAATACCGCCGCGACACAAGCTTTCTCCAACTGCGACGTCGCTGGTTTGCTCAAAAATCTGCACAGTGCAAACGGATTTTTTTGAGGTTTGCACGGTGCGCAAAGAGAAAAACAAACACGCACTGTGCGTTGGCGACAAGCGTGGGAAAAAATACAAAATGCACTGTGCAAAAGCGAAAAAATTTCCAGTCACTTTATGAAAATAGCGGCCCGCACTGTGCACAAAAATTCGCGAGTTCTTGCACCGTGCACTCACTTTTTTTTTTTGGTTTTGCACCGTGCATTTGAAATATCGCGGCGACACAAGCTTTTTCCAATTGCGTCGCCGCTGCTTTGCTCAAAAATCTGCACAGTGCAACCGGATTTTTTGAGGTTTGCACGGTGCGCAAAGAGGAAAACAAAATGCACTGTGCGTTGGGGACAAGCGTGGGAAAAAATACAAAATGCACTGTGCGAAAGCGAAAAAATCTCTACGCACTTTATCGGTCTGTCGGGAAAATAACGGCGGATCGTCGCAGCAAAATTTTTCGCTTCGTCGGAAAAATGTGCCGTCGCGCATGAAATCTCCAGCTTCGGCAGCCGTCGCAAAGCGATGATGTGCGATTCCGAGGCGCGACGATCCGCCGTTATTTTCCCGACAGACTGATATAAAAATACTAATCCCAAATCCCTCTCCGTCATCCCAAGACCTATCGTACCTGCTGTTCGGGGGGTGGTACCTCCAATTCGTCGCCTCTATTCCTCCTTCTTCTCCGCTGTCGGTCCGGTAAATACTCCTCCTCGTACTGGTTATTATAGTAAATTTCCATTTCATTCATAATCGGATGCGCTCTTGGGTAGGAATCATATCTCGTTGGGCTGTGATAGGTCTTATTCCGTTTGAAAACGACTCCATAAACATCAAAGAGGGTGGTGTTTTCGACTCCGTGTTTTGCGGCAATCTCCATCAAGTCCGCGTACAATTTGTTGATCATTCCCTTGAAAATCCGATAAACCATCGGTGAGTGGCACAGAATTTGGACTTCGCGGAGTTTGGAGAGCTGAAACGGACGATTTACAACTTGATTTATCGCTTAAAACACGATTTCTGAGTCAGTGAAGCAGCCGCCAGTTAGGCCGTGACATAGAAAAATTCGATCTCGGGTTTTTTGCTTCAATGTAACCGTACCCGTCCTAAAAAGCTTGTGGCAAAACATTTTTGACCATTTCGGCCGTTAACACAGTTATTTTTACAATTTATTAGTTATACAGTAATCCTCCATAAATCTGTAACGAACTCACAGAAATTCATGGAATTGTGAGTGCTTATGTTTTCGCACTCGTAAACTTCAAAAAAAGTGGTTTTGGCCCATTCGGATTACTGTAACATACCAAACTGTTGGTTCGACCGCATAAAATCGGCCATAAAAAGTTTGTTTCTGAAAACCCGCAGCTGAATTTTACATATGTTAATCAGCATAAAATTCTGATATATAAACGTTAAAAAAAAGTGCAAAAAGAGGTGCGGCATTTTTCATGGTGTAGTGGTTTTTGGTCAGAACTAGTAATCTGACGTCCCGGGTTCGAATCCGCCTGGATGCAAATACCACAAATTAGACGCAAATCACCTTTAATGTAGTCTTGAGGTCTGTATGAGGGAGACTGAGTAATTTTAGACCTATATCATATCTCTATTTAAGGTAAAAATGGATTTTATATAATTTTTAGATGATGAATACGTGAAAAATAAAACGTCTTCAAATCGTTTGAAATTGACAACACAGAGTCTAGGAATAATTATAAGAAACTTTTCTGTTAGCTTTTTTTGATAGGTTGCTGTATCGTGGATTACTGTAACATAAAACTTTTTTTTCTTAACTGTTGTTTTCTTCTAAATTCTTCTATGAAATTTTGATTTTTTTTTGGTTAGCTTCTTTGAACGGTTGAATTCATAGATGAAACATATTTAAAATAAAATTCCATCTCTTTTCCAGTGTGTATTCGTATCATCGTCGATTGGTGAAATTGCCAGATCTTTCTCAGGTCTTTCGAATCCTACGGCCATGAAAAAATTTTAGTGTGCCAACCAACTCGTTCTCAACCATTCCTATATCATAAAAGTGATAGTCCGATGCCTCTGCGCTCTGTGGTATATGAAAAATTAAATTGGGGTTTTTGTTACAGTAATCCATGACACAGTAACCTATCAAAAAAAGCCAACAGAAAAGTTTCTTATAATTATCCCTAGAATATGTGTTATCAATTTCAAACGATTTGAAGACGTTTTATTTTTCACGTATTCATCTTCTAAAAATTATATAAAATCCATTTTTACCTTAAATAGAGATATGATATAGGTCTAAAATTACTCAGTCTCCCTCATACAGACCTCAAGACTACATTAAAGGTGATTTGCGTCTAATTTTTGGTATTTGCATCCAGGCGGATTCGAACCCGGGACGTCAGATTACTAGTTCTGACCAAAAACCACTACACCATGAAAAATGCCGCACCACTTTTTGCACTTTTTTTTAACGTTTATATATCAGAATTTTATGCTGATTAACATATGTAAAATTCAGCTGCGGGTTTTCAGAAACAAACTTTTCATGGCCGATTTTATGCGGTCGAACCAGCAGTTTGGTATGTTACAGTAATCCGAATGAGTCAAAACCACTTGTTTTGAAATCTACGAGTGCGAAAACATAAGCACTCACGATTCCATGAATTTCTGTGAGTTCGTTACAGATTTATGGAGGATTACTGTATAACTAATAAATTGTAAAAATAACTGTGTTAACGGCCGAAATGAGCAAAAATGTTTTGCCACAAGCTTTTTAGGACGGGTACGGTTACATTGAAGCAAAAAACCCGAGATCGAATTTTTCTATGTCAAGGGCTGCTACACTCACTCAGAAATCGTGTTTTAAATTTGTCTAAAAATTCAACCAAAAATTTCAACGAAATTTACCTGTCCCTTCTGGTCGGTCAAATACATCCAATTGGAGATCACTTTGAGGAGGAATTCGGCGCTGACTAGAGGCGAAAAGCAGGGGAAAAAGGATGGGAATGCCTGAAAATTCATTTATACACCATAAAACACAAAAATTTTTCAAAAAATCTCAAAATCTTACAATAGTTTGAGCGCCTCTGGCGACAGCTTCGTTCAGACATCGTTTTATAGCCAGCTGTGCAATTTCCACATCAACGATTCGAGTTGTAGTAGGCAAATGTGGTAAAGCCGTGTGAATTATGCCTAAAACAATATAACTTTGGTGGAATTTTGACATAAAAACTGATAAATATTGAGTATAAACGCCATATCCAGAAATAATAAGACCTAAAATCCAAAAAAATCAAAAAACTAAAATACTTACACTTATAATTGCCCGCATTGTAGCTCCGCGTCACTCTGCAGCTCCCATTTTGCATTCCAACGTAATTTTTGCAGTCTCGAATCAGTCTTGGGCCAGCAAGAGCATGAATTTCGTCAAAGAACATGTATCCATCGGTGATGTCGGGCGTGCAAATATTTATAGCCACATCGGCATTGGAGGTGGTGAAGGTCCGTTCGTAAATGTTGAGTTTGGAATAGAAAAGAGACTCCAGCATGGTGCTCATGCTCTCCTGATGAGTTCGTCTGACCTGGATCTCAGAGTCGGCCCGAGGTTCGGCTGCTTCTTCAATGACCTGAAATCGCCATAAACTTTATGTTATCCATGGGAATTGATCGAAGGAGAGTAAGCGAAATCTTCCTCAAAACCTTGCCACATTCATCAGGAAGCCATCTTAACTAAGAAGAGAAGGCTATCCAAAAAAATTACCTCATATTCGTATCCTTCTTGATCTTTCTCAACAATGATTCCGTCCTTGATTTGCACCGGTTGCCCATGCTCATCCACATACTGCATATCGTCCATGGAGACGGTGACAACCTCCTCTTGCACATGAGCGGCTCCTTTATCAAACTCACCTCCCACATCTTGATTTTGCCGGTTCTCGTGGTCTTTTTGGCTCTCAACATGATCATGGTGAACATCTGGCGGCTGTTCCTGTTCTTGACTCTCCGCAGGCTCAACCCGTATCTGCGGAATCTTCGCTGGAGCTGCTTGACTTTGAACCGCCTTCCTTCGAGGGGATTTTGGGACTTCAGGCGCTTGATCAACACTTTGCTCATGATCAACAACTTTTTGTGCTTCTGTTTCGGATAATCTTGATCGTTTGTTTGATGTCCGAGGCTTCTTCGCTGGCGATTTGAATGGAGAGTTTTCTTTTGACTTCGAGTCGGGCTGAGGCACCTAAAAATTGAAATGCCACGTATAAATAAAGCAACTTACAGTCTCATTCGCTGAGTCTTGACGTGGTCGTTTTTGTCGACTACTCGATGTTTGGGCCTGAAACAATGCATGTTTAACACAAATCAGCGAAAGGGATATAGTTTTTCTCAGTTTTTATATTGCACATGGTATCACAGCAAAAAACTCGATTAGTGGAAAATTTTTCATTGAAAGGTGGAAACTTTTGCTATCAATAGATTCAGGAGTTTAAGGCGGTTCTAAAAATACCATTTCCACCTCTCTAAAAACATAAAAAACATCAAAAATAAACAACTTTACCTCTTCAAACGCCTCTAGGAGCAGAGTATTTCGTTTTGGCGGCCGTGCCGATCTCCTAATCGACGGGCCATCGGGCTCACTGCCTTGAGATTGGCTGCTGGACTGTTGAACAGCTTCTGCACTTGCCGGCGTTTCCTGAGGATTTTGCGATTCGGAATTTCGCGACTTCCGACTGGGAGTTCGCTTTGCCGGACTTGAATTCGGCATTTTAGCCTGAAATTTCAAATTTTGCAACTTCAACTCCAATTCAAAGTAAAAATCAACATTGAAAAAGCCGTATTTTACAATTATTTTTCTGGAAATTCTCCGAGAAACCAATCAATATGAAGAAAAACCAATTTTTCGGAGGAAAAGAATTCGAAATCTTCAAAAATAATTTTTAAGTTGTAAAGTACGTCAAAATAATGTCGAAAAACAACAAAAACACTAAATTTTCTAATTTCCGAAATATTTACTCGCGCCATCTTGAAACGGGACGCCAGAAATTGTGACGCTAGGCCAGAAAAAGACGCGAGTCAGACTTGACGCGCATCGTAGTCGGGTCAACTCTTCCCGCAGAAACATTCGAATCGGGGTTTTTGATGGATTGGCGGCAGGAACTGTGTTTACCCTGCTGCGGGGCGGTGTGTTTATGTTTTTGCTAGAAGAGTTGGTCCAAGACTCTCGGAAAAGTCACGTAGTTTCGACGGGTTTATGTTATTTTAGGTATAATTGGAGGTATTGCCGGGATGGATTGTAAAATCTTTGTTTATGACAGAAATGATATTCAAATATGGTCGGAAAATACATAACAATTAGTGAGATGGGAGTGAATGTTAATAATATTATGGGAAAGATGGGAAAATAACATGTTTACATTGGACACCTACAATACCTAAAATAAGGTCGGAAATATTCCAAACGCGGGTTAGATGGATAACGCATGCTGCAGAAGATAGAATAACAGTGTTAGGTAGCTAAAAAATCACAAATTGCATTACAGGATAAATGGAGAAACGAGCAGCAGACATAAATGTATAATATTATCGATGATTACAGTGGGTGGCTGGTGGCAAATAAGGCATGTCGATGATGCTATTTGACCAAAGGAGGGTGAGATCTTGGGACTCTTGCGGATTTCCTACGCTAAAAACTAATTTCGAGAATTTTACGAACAAATTTTATATTATACTAGACAAAGACGGTGGTTTTGATGAAAATAAGTTAGATAGACCTTTCAGAGGCCGAAATACATGATAAATATGGCAAATCTAGGGCTTCCAGTTCTTCTCCAACAACAGGTGATTGTGGTGTGTCGTGTTGTTGGCGCGATTAAAGCAATTGCAGCGCTTTTGCCCGCCCTTCTCCTCCAAACTGTGGCTGGAGTGGATGCAGCGGTGCTTCAGCGAGCTGGACCTGGTCTTACTGTTGCTGCGCGGGAACGAGCTGCCCGTCTTGATGGAGCGCCTCGATTTGGCCGCCAGTCCGCGCCGACTCGGCACCGCGTTCGAGGCGCTCGCGTAGATGCGGGTGAGTTCGCGGATTCGGTCGGAGAGCGGCGAAACACGTCGCAGTCGGCGCTCGAATCGCTGCGAGTTGTGCGGAGTGTGCGAGGCGGCGGTTTGGATGCGCTCCCGCTCTTCCAGGTAGATCAGCTTCAGTTGGTCTGAAAGGAAATCTTAAAAGGAGAGTTGAACGTCAAAGGTGCAAATGAATGGCGACGAATTGGTTTTTAGGCAGTAAATTAGGGTACTACAGGGATATCGCTTGTATGACTTTTAAATTTTTACGGAATTTGGCACAAATAATCGCGTTTTCTGCCCCAAAACGGTCAAAATTAAACTTTTTTTGCAAAAGTTCAGTGACGGACCTGATCCAGTGGCAATAAACGTACCATCTTGAATCCAGGAAGTATCAAAAAATGTGGCAAAATACCTCCCTCTCCAAGTGAAAAAACTCCGATTTGGAAAGCGCGCCCCACGTCAAACTGAGACAAGCTAAAACAGTCCGGTGAATGGATTGGCAATTTGCCAAAAAAAGACGCGAAAAAACGTTTTGTCGGGGGAGAAATGGGGAATTTTTGGGGCGAGAGAGTACGTTTTTGCGTGTCTTTTTTCTCTCTTTCTCTGCGAAATAGACGAAGTGTAAAAAACCGATAGCGAAGAGTCTATTCGGGTCACCGGAATCCTCAGTTTGACGTGCGCCCGCTCTTTTTGTGAGCGCCCTTCAAAACGAAGTTTTTTCACAGGGAGATGGAAGCATTTTGCCACATTTTTGATACTTCCCGGATGCAAAATGATACGTTGTTTGCCACTGGATCAGGTGCTTCACTGTACTTTTGCCAAAAAAAACTAATATTTTGACCATTTTGGGGCTGAAAACGCCGATGACTTGTGCCAGTTCCGCAAATTGATACGTGAGGAAGTACTCCAAGTGCGACGCTCACATTTTGATAAACTGGGAGCAAATTTAGAATAATTTTTTCTAAGACATATATGAGACTCCTAGCCTGCGCTTTGCAGAAACGACCGGGATTTTTAGCCCGAAAGTTGAAAAAAAATTTAAAACTTTTTTTGTCGAATTTCAACATGAAAAGTTTTGTATCTATTTCCACCTTTGAGTACAACATTTTTACAAAAAATTATTTTTTTCCGCGCGAAATTGACAGAGGAATGGCCGAAAAAGTGTTTTTTCTCTGACCGTTCTCCGCGTTTCGCGTGCTCTCTCCGCCGCAAAGATCGTTGAATATCTCGGCTGCGGTTGGAAAGCGCGAGCTAAAACTTTCAGGAATTTATATTTGGCCTATGTCTGATATGTGCGCAAAATTTGAAAAAAATCTGAGCGTCGCAGTTGGAGCACTTCCCTTATTAATCGAAAACATGTTTCATCGTATAAAATGTCCCCTAACATAGTTAGGGTATCGGTTATCCAAAAAAATTTTGACAACTGTTTCACAGTGCATAATTCCCTATATACGGCCCATTTTTGAAGAGTAAAAAAATGCAAAAAAAATTACAGTAACCCACTTACCATATAGAAATTTCTCCCAAGCGTAAAACGTTGTGTATTTGAAGTTGGCCGGGTTCAGCCCATGCATCTTGCAGAAGTTGTTGATCAACGACCTCACCAACACTCCCTCCTGAACCTTGCCGTATTGGATTTGGATGCGTTTCAGGTGCGTCAGCTCCTGGAAGATGGCCTTTTCGTGGATGAAGCGGCGATCCGCGGAGCCTTCGAGGAACTGCGCCAGACTTCCGGGCTCTTCGTCATCGTCCTCGTCGTCGAATTCGTCGTTGTAGGCCTCGATGTGCATCACTCTCTCGTCGAGGGTGACTTTTTTGCCGGCCTTGCGGTCGTCTGAAAAGTTGAGAGCGTCAGGTTTAAATTTGTTTGCCGAAGAAGTGGTCCTAGTGAGACGCTCAGATTCTGTTTTAATTTTGCAGCGACAGAGTGCTCATTATTTTCCCGACAGACTGATATTCAAAGATTTTTTTTTGATGAGAGAGTACACAAAATGCGGAGAGCGGTCAGAGAAAAATCAGTTTTTTGGCCGTATCTTTGCCCGTACTTTGCATAAAAAATTGATTTTTTGTTGAAATATTACCCTCTACAGTAGAAATAATCATGAAACTTTTCATGTCAAAATTCGCAAAAAAATTCCAAAATTTCCCACAACTTTCGATCTAATAATCTCGGTCGTTTCTGCAAAGCACGAGCTGGGAAATCGCTTGAATTTTATTAAAAAATCATAAAATTCATCGCAAGTTTTATTCAAATCGGAGCCTCGCACTTCACGCTTCAGAGAGAAAAGCGCTTTTTGGCCATAACTTTGGCAGTTTCGTGCGGAAAAATTTGATTTTTTGTAGAAACATTATCCTTTACGGTAGAAATAGGCATCAAACTTTTCGTGCCGAAATTCGGCAAAAATTCCTAAATTTTCGCCGACTTTTGATCTAAAAATCTCGGTTGTTTCTGCAAAGCGTGAGCTAGGATTCTCGCATATATGTTAGAAAAAATTGTTCTAAATTTGTGCCAAGTTTCATCAAAATCTAGGCGTCGCACTTGGAGTACTTCCCCTGTAAGCAAAATTACCGTGATTTTCGTATTCCTCATGGTCGGGCATTTGTGGGTAGTCGTCGTCGGTTCCAGTCACAGATCCATTGCTGGTCTGTTTCATGTTGCTTTTACCGCCTCCATTATGATTGGCGATCTCGTCGCGATGAGGATTGCGGCCATTTACAATGATTCCGTTGGGCTTTTGAAGGGTGTTCTCTTGAACTACTGAAAGTATAATAAAAATCATCGATTAGAAATCGATATCGTGTTTCACATGTAACATACAGTGGGGGACCTGATTCAATGGCAAAAAACGTACCATTTTGCATCCGGGAAGTATCAAAAATGTGGCAAAATGATTCCCTCTCCAAGTGAAAAAACTCCGATTTCAAAAGCGCGCTCGCTATTTTTGTGAGGGAGAGCCCTTCAAAACGAAGTTTTTTCACTTGGAGAGGGAAGCTTTCTGACACATTTTTGATACTTCCCGGATACAAAATGATACGTGAAAAATCCACATTACAGTGCGGACCTGATCTAATGGCAAAAAACTTACCATTTTTGCCACTGGATCAGATCCCCCACTGTATCAGTCTGTCTGGAAAATAATGTGGAATTGTCGCAGAAAAATGACTCGTCGCAGTCGCGCACCAAATCTTTTTGCGCCGACAGACGGAATTAAAGAGCAGAATGTCGCTGTTCTGATCGCCAAGGTGAAAAGCAATTCGATTTTGCCGCGACACATTCATTTTCTCGGCGGCGTTGCCATTTTCGATCCGACAGAGTGCTCATTATTTTCCCGACAGACTGATCGTCAAAATTAATTTTTGTTGCAACATTTTTTACCCCTTTATTCAACTTACATTTTATCCCATCTTCCCGCACCACCTTCCTAATGGCCTCTTCGACCATCTCCTTCCCCACCATCATAATCTCATCCGTCTGGATTTCCTTGTTCTGCCCATTCGAATTGGAGAAGTATGAGCGGTTTCCCATGTCGGATGCCGACAAGTTCATTGAGTTCTCCTGAAAAGTCATCCAATATAAAGAAAGCAAAAAATCCATGCAAGTCGCCGGAATCACTCCAGCGACGTTGCGAAAGAAATAGCAGTTCAATTTTGCATACTAGCCGTGTTAAAAAGTGCGTAGACTTTTGTCGTGGGCCGCACCGTGCAGAAAACGCATTTCTGCGGCGAGCATTTGACCTCTTGCACCATGCAAGTGCAATATAGCACGCTTTTTTTCAACGTAGTCGGCGCAAATTTTGGGCGTATGAAATAAAATGTACTTCCCCGCTAGTATTAATATTAGGTTGTTCAGAAAGTTCGGTCGTTTTTTTATTGCTTTGTTTTACAAAGATTGTTTGTTGTTTGGCAAAGCAAATACATTTATTTGATGCAGCTGTCCTCGATGAAAAGCGAAAAAAGCAGGTGCCGTAAACGCAAATTTTTGCCTCCTGGACGGTTCACTTTTGAGCCGGAAAAATAATAAAAAATTGAATTTAAAAAAAAAAACTGAAACCACAATTTTGTAGAGGAGAAAAAGCTGTATCAAATAAATATATTTGTTTTGCCACGCAACAAACAATCTTTGTAAAACAAATCAATAAAAAAACGACCGAACTTTCTGAACAACATAATGCTCACCTTTCGTCCTTGAAGCATTTGGAAGAACGTTGAGTTGTTCGACTCCGGCAACTCCTCGCCCGGCCGTTGCGCATTCATCCATCGCATCTTGGCCAACTTTACATTGTCCTCAATGCTGTCCCGCGACAGCTCAATGAAGTCCGAATCCAGATCTCTGGAGAACTTCCCGCCATGCCTGCTCAAGTAGTCGACCACGTCTTGATGCGATCGCTGGTCGGCCAAGTCCTTGGCGGTCGCCATTTTCTTCTTGTAGATCATCAGATTGTTGATTTCGGCGTCTCTCTGGACCAACAACTTGACCAGATCCAGGTCGCCATTTGCGGCGGCAAGATGAAGAGCGGTGCGCCCGTAGAAGTTGGGGACGTTCACATTTTGAGGCTGCAGTTCCAGGATCCATTCGACAATTTCTGAAGAACAAAGATGTTTTTAAACATTCAACAACACTTTGCGACTTTACAGTACTTTTTTTTGCATATATGTTATAATCTAAGGTCCAAACTAGAACATATAATGACCTTCTAAGAGTAAGAAGACTCGTTTTCTTTACCTTTATTTCCGGTCTGAACGGCTTCATGAAACGGCAGGTCTCCGCGATAATTCTGCATGTCAAAGCTGGTTCCAAATTGTCGCAGGAGCTTCAAAATTCTCATTTGGCCCTTGGCGGCCGCACAGTGCGCCGCAGTTCGTAGGCGTTTGTCCTAAAATATGTTACATAAACTGAATAGTCATCATTTTCAAAAGCACTCGAAAATCTCTCAGTCTGTCGGGAAAATAATGAGCATTCTGTCGCTGCGCCTTCCACGTCGCTGAATTGAAAAGCAATTTGATTTTGCGCGAAAGAATTAATTTTCTAGGCGGCAATGGGATTTTCAATGCCACAGAAAGCTCATTATTTTCCCGACAGACTGATACTAGTGCTTTCATAAAGTCCGTAGACTTTTTTTCCTTCATCGCGAACGCACAGTGCATTTTGTCGCTTTTCCCTGCTTGACGCTCACGCACCGTGCATTTTGCTGCTTTTCGCACAGTGCAAACTTGAAAAAGCGGTTCGCACTGTGCAAAGCGCGCAGCGACGAAGTTTGCACCGTGCGAATGATTCGGCAAAACCGCAGCGACATAAAATGGGAAAAAGCCCAAATTTCGGCGATCGTTTGATGCACAGTGCAAAAACTAAAAGTGCACGGTGCGAATTGGCGTTTGCACTGTGCATTTTGGCTCTCGGCGAAAAGTCTAGGCACTTTATAAAAAAAGTAGTATCAGTCTGTCTGGAAAATAATGGGCTTTCTTTCGCATCGAAAATCGCATTGACGGCGAGAAAATGAATTGTGTCGCGGCAAAATCAAATAGCTTTTCAGTTCAGCGATAGGCGCAGCGATGTTATGGTCATTATTTTCCCGACAGACTGATATAAAAAAAACATTCCACAGCCCAAAAAAACACACGACAACAACATACCACATGATTCGGGTCGGCATCGTTCTTCAACAGCATTTCAGCGCAATCGTAATGCCCAAACGTGGAGGCATAAAAGAGCGGGGTGTCGCCATTTTTGTCCTTTCCATCGATCAGTTTCTTACTTTGCGTTTGTTGAATCAACAGCCCAACAATGGCCACATGGCCATGACTTGCGGCGCAATGCACCGCATTCAAAGCGTCCCGGTCCACGGCGAATTTGTTGGCGCCGGCTTCGATCAAACGACGGCAGGCGTAGAGAAATCCTAGAAATGAGGGTTTGAAGAGTTATTTGGGATGTGCGACGCTTGGATTTTGATGAAACTTGGCCTAAATTTAGAATAGTTTTTTTCTGAGACGCATAAAAAAATTTGCTCAGCTCGCGTTTTTACAGAAACGACCGAGATTTTTAGATCGAAAGTAAGCAAAAAATTCAGCTTTTTTTGCGAATTTTGGTATGAAAATTTTGCTAGCCATTTCTACCATAGAGGGTAATGTTCTCACAAAAAATCAGAATTTTCCATGCAAAACCGGCAAAGATATGGCCAAAATGTATTTTTCTCTTTGTCCGCTCTCCGCGTTTCGCATACTCTCTCGGCGGCAAAGGTCGTTGGATATCAGTGCGTCGGGAAAATAATGTGAAGTCTTCATTTTCAATTTATTTGCCAGTTTCGTGCGAAAAAATTTATTTTTTGTGGAAACATCCTCTACGATAGAGCACGCAACTTTTTGATGTCAAACTTCGCAAAAAAAAAACTGTAATTTTTTCCATCATTCGATCTAAAAGTATCAATTCTTTCAGCAAAGGGCGAGCTAGGATTCCCTCATTTGTCTTAAAAATAATGGACCTAAATTTGAGTTTCATCAAAAATTGGGGGCACATCTCCTTTCATCAGTCTGTCGGGGAAATAATGGGCGCAATGTCGCTGCGCTGATCACTGAAGTGAAAAAATTTGACTTTGCCGCGACACAATTTATTTTCTTTTTGGCGATGCGATTCTCGATGCGACAGAGTGGTCATTATTTTCCCGACAGACTGATAGGTCTTGCCGATAAAGACTAGTATCAAAAAAACTCGCAGCGCTTACAAACCTTCAGCATTTAAAAAAAAGACATGGCTTTTACTATAGTTAGATCGGAGGTTCTCCGATCTAGTAAACGCAACGACTGCGGACTCCATGCTAACTCAGGATGATGACTCACGCAGTCATATGATGCCTCTCCGCCCACATGTTTACGCCTAGGGCGACCTTTGGCCTATGACGCACGTCCGTTGTAAAGTATGAGTCACAAGAATGTTCTAGTCCCTTAGGACAAGATTTGGACATCCAGATATAGCTTGCTTAAGCTTCTGTCCTTGACATCTCAGCTTCTGTCCAGGATATCTTGGCCCTTGTCAACGACGTCCGCAGCTCCATCTTCGACACCTCATCAAATGGTACCATCATCAGCATTCCAGAACGTCCAAGTCCCGCCCAGCCAGTGCCCTATATAAGCCCAGCCAGTCGACCAATCCAGGAATTCCCCATCGTCTTCGATCGGTATTAATCTCGAGATATTATTGTCATAGTATACTATTGTTGTGTTGTGTTATTCGAGCTCATAAAGGTACAGAATATATTCTACGTGGGTATTGTATTAGACGGTAAGCTATCTGTGCGCTACGTTGCGGCTTCAGTATTCTGAAGCAAAGATCCACCGGAAGTCTAGTCAAGCAGCCCACAGGGTAGGGCAAAGGTAGGGCGTCGCGCTGCCCTCTTATTCATCTAACTAAAGGTTAGAGTTGATCATCAACTCTATCGTCGTTTTCCAACGCCTCACCAAGGCGTCGACTTATTGAAAAAGGGTAAAGGAGTTAGATCGGAGGTTCTCCGATCTAGTAAACGCAACGACTGCGGACTCCATGCTAACTCAGGATGATGACTCACGCAGTCATATGATGCCTCTCCGCCCACATGTTTACGCCTAGGGCGACCTTTGGCCTATGACGCACGTCCGTTGTAAAGTATGAGTCACAAGAATGTTCTAGTCCCTTAGGACAAGATTTGGACATCCAGATATAGCTTGCTTAAGCTTCTGTCCTTGACATCTCAGCTTCTGTCCAGGATATCTTGGCCCTTGTCAACGACGTCCGCAGCTCCATCTTCGACACCTCATCAAATGGTACCATCATCAGCATTCCAGAACGTCCAAGTCCCGCCCAGCCAGTGCCCTATATAAGCCCAGCCAGTCGACCAATCCAGGAATTCCCCATCGTCTTCGATCGGTATTAATCTCGAGATATTATTGTCATAGTATACTATTGTTGTGTTGTGTTATTCGAGCTCATAAAGGTACAGAATATATTCTACGTGGGTATTGTATTAGACGGTAAGCTATCTGTGCGCTACGTTGCGGCTTCAGTATTCTGAAGCAAAGATCCACCGGAAGTCTAGTCAAGCAGCCCACAGGGTAGGGCAAAGGTAGGGCATCGCGCTGCCCTCTTATTCATCTAACTCTATGTTATTCATAGAATAGGTCAAAAAAAGATTTTCCACCTCTTTTCAGTCTGTCGGGAAAATAATGTTGAGTCTTCTTGCTTAGGACTCGGCCATCATCGCTTCGCGACGGCTAGCCGCGGCAAGAGATTTGGCCCGCCGATGAGATGAGACGAAAAATTTGCTGCGACAAATCCACATTATTTTCCCGACAGATTGATATTATACATATATAATTAAAAAAATTAGAATGAAAGACAGTCAGTGTTGTTATTTTTTAGCATTGCTGCAATGAATATCTCCGACTGAGACGAATATTCAAACCGCAATGCTAAAATCCACAAGCTGACATTCAATGAATAACTAGCCAAATTTAATTCTCGTAATACATACAAATGTAGGTATCTAGAGAATGAATTGTGTTTGGAGTGTAAAGGCATGCGCTACGAAGCATTGTGTGGGTGTTCGGCACTCAAAAAATACAAGTGTAAACCGGACGTTTAAAACTGTTTTTAGAAAGCCCAAATTTATTGCTAGTATTTTCATCAAGTTCGTAGACTTTTTTGCTTTTCATCGCCAACACACTGCGAATTTGACTTTTTTACTTTGCAGCTAAAAAATCACTATTTTCCCGACATGCTGATATCTAATGCATATAGCCATAAAATGTTACAGTAACCCACCTCCGCTAGCCGCCCACAACAAGGGCGTTCGGTCGTCGAGATCTCGGCAATTTACGTCCTGATCCACCTTCAACAACGCGTTCAGCACCGCTTCTGCGCGGCTCTCTTCAAACTCGTCTAATGTTGCAGCGTAATGTAGAGGTCGAGCTCCCTGAAACGGGAAAAATATTGTGTTTAGAATAGACAATGGTATACATATAGACAATTTTTGAAAGTGACTTTCTGCTTACATAAAGATCAGGAGTGTCGTACGGCGCCCCATTGTTTAGCAGTTCTTGTAGCGCGGAGACCTGAAAAAATTATTATTTTAGAGGTTTTTAAAGATTCGTTTTTTGTTTAGTTCACATCTATTTTCAAGCGTTTTTCTAACGTCATCCAGTCGGAAAAAAACCCTGAAAAAAATCAGCGTTTTCCAGCAGCAAAAAATGTTCAGCATAAAGGGAGTTTGCCTCGCCGTCGTTCGTGGAGATGCCACCTTTTGCGATAAGGTCTCTTTTCAGACCTGTCAAGACTTTTTGGCCTTGTATCAGTCTGTCGGGAAAATAACGGCGGGTCTTCACGCCTTAGCGCCCATCATCGCTTTTGCTTCGCAACGGCTAGCCTAACTGGAAATTTGATGCGCAACTGCAGCATTTTTTCGTTGAGGCGAGACATTTCGCTGCGACAACCCGCCGTTATTTTCCCGATAGACTTACAGTTGGGGACCTGATCCAGTGGCAAAAAACGTACCATTTTGTATCCGGGAGGTATCAAAAATGTGGCAAAATACCTCCCACTACAAGAAAAAAACTCGGTTTTTGAAGGGACCTTTGCCTCAAAAAGAGCGGGAGCGCTTTTGAAATCGGAGTTTTTTCACTTGAAGAGGGAAGCATTTTGCCACATTTTTGATTCTTCCCGGATGCAAAATCGCACTTTTTTGCCACTGAATCAGGCCCGTCACAGTATCAACACTGCAAATCTGTGAAAAAGCTTTGAGTTTCTGCCAATTTCCGACCCAGATTCATAACTATTCTATTATAATTGTACAGTGACGGACCTGATCCAGCGGACCCAAACTGGTGCTTTTTTTGCCACTGGATCAGGTCCCCCACTGTAGAACGTGTGCTCAGTGTTGTGGAGGGTCAAACCTCTCCACAATTCCCACAGAAATTGGCATAAACCAAGTCATATAAAAGCAACGTCACCGATTATCACTTTATTAATCTCATTTCTCTTTTCTTTGGGCGGTCGCAATAAACCTATTCCTAATCTTGTGTCTACTATCTTCTACCTATCCACGTTTGATCGTCCACCACACTCAGAGTGGAAGGGACCCATAATGAGAGGCTAAAAGTGTTGACGATCGCGACCATCTCCCCTACCTGTCCCGACACCACGGCCCAATGCACGGCCGTGTGCTTGTCCATATCCACATGGTCCAGCTGGCTGCCCTTCCCGATCAGGTGCTTCACAATGTCCGCGTGCCCCGCGGTGACGGCGACGAAGAGCGGTGTGAACCCGTGATGGTCTTGGTTGTCGATCAGCGACGGGTCCGCCTCCAACACCGCCACGAACAGCTGCAGGTCCGGTATTTCGGCGGCGTAGTGGATGGCGGCGCAGCCCTCGTCGTCGCGGTTGGTGGCCAGCTCGGGGTGGTCGCGGAGCAGGGTGCGCGCGCGGTCGTAGTCCAACGACTCCAGCGCCCGAATCAGGTCCATCATGCGCGGTTGCGGGGAGGCGGAGCGCACCTGCTTTGGGTCTGCAAAAGGAATGGAAGATTTTGCGCGGGTTTTCGAAGATTCTACGGATTTTATGGCGCGATAAATATGAAAAGATACCTTAAAATCGGAAAAAAGTTTTGGTTCACCCCTAATACGACTTGACCACCGTCTTTTTGGGCGGATTAGGCCTCTTCTTCACTGTAGAGTCGAATTAGCGCCACTGTTACGAAAAAATGCCTCGCCTAAGGTTGGTGGACAGGAAGCGGCGAAGAAATGGTGCGTGTTTTAGTATCATCCGGCTTCCCACGGAAAGACGGGGCTTTTGCGTAATCCCTGGCGTGCGGCAAATCGCTGTCAGCTCTCTACAAACTTTATTATAAGCCAGATTTATACAGGGTGGGGCATCTTTGTGGCCCGATTTGAATTGGCTATATCTTCTTTAGTTTTTGGCCAAATCTTAAATTTCTTTTTTTCTCTGAATCCTCAGACAACCCCTTTTTGTTTGATACCAAATATGTTATACATATTGTCATCTACAGTTATTGGATTTATTCTTGGAGTTCATTTTTTCGGTCGTTTTTTGGTTGTTTTTTCGGTCTTTCCCGGTGTGTCCGAAAATAACATATTTAGTATCTGACAAAATGGGGTTGTCTGAGAATTCAGGGAAAAAAAGGATTTTAAGATTTGGCCAAAAACTAAAGAAATTATAGCTATTTCAAATCGGGCCACAAAGATGCCCCACCCTGTATTATTTGCGATGGATTGGAAAGTTGGTGCGAAATGGCAAAAAAAATGAATTTTTCATCAAGAAATCAACATTATTTCCCCTACAAACTCATATTACTCGAAAAACAAAAAAAAATGTTTTTTTTTTGTTTTTGTAAGCCATGACAATTTACTGCGACATCGGACTCTGAAAAAGATGATTTTTCCCCCCAAGAATGAAAAAAAGGCAAAAAGTTGTAAATTCATAAACAAAACATCTATAATTCACCAAAAGATATGTCTCTTCCCAGCCTAATCCGCCGCTAAATATCCGTTGTTTTCAATAGTCGTCGGGAAAATGCGAATTATCTGGACGAACAAAAAAGATTTGGAATCTTGATGCGAATGAAAAACTCGCTGTGCAATTTCAGGATGACGCACATCAGATACAAAATTTTTTTACTTAAATCGAGAAATCTGATTTGGAGGTTCTATTAACATTGGTCCATATAGGAAATATCCAAAATGTTATCAAAATTCGTCTATACAAAAAAAAGTTGATGCGATTTGAAAATTTGGGATTAAAACAGGCGTTTTTGGAACTGAAAACAATTGCGATTGTAGGAATTACGGGTTTTCTTCACCAATCATGCTCATTTAGATCTAATCTATCAATTACCGGGTAAAAAAGACGGTTTTCACAATGTGCCACAACGTCAGCATGTTATACATGACAATATTCACCACTAATTTTTTTAAGGTTTTGAAGCTGCAAATGATTCTTACAAGAAGTGATATTGATTATAAGATCAAATTAGTTTCAAAACATCCGTTTTTACCCTAAAAAGTTCAAAAATTGAGGAACTAGGTTGTTGTATAGATCATGTATAATATCGAAATTTGTACCAAAAAACGGATGATAGGCTTCAAAAAAAGAATTAAAAACTATGTTACTAACTAAAACCGTCGATGGGTCAAAGAAATAATCCGTATGTTTCTCACTTTTATGTCTGTATCAATTCCGCGTTATCCATGATAGTGAGACCATCTTAGGAGGCTATGTCGCCGGCCGGCGCTTTAGCAACGCGGCAACATCATTCTAGTTTTTATGAAAAGGGGACACCTTAACCAGTCCAAACGAGGTCTGAGACCAACTACTAGCCATTTTTTGAATCTTATTTTATTTGATTCTTTTCCATCTAAAAAGAAATACGTAGCCAACGAAAGGACGTTATTACGTTTTCAAAACATAGATTACCGGTGCAGCAAACCCAAATATGAACATGTGAAGACGTATGTTATTCATGCTAAATTGATGGCAAAATGTCATTTAATTTGGCATTATGGACTCTGAAAGAAGATTTGATAAACTGAGATACCCTATAATGAATGTGTCCATGCAGTGAGCAGCCTTAGCCGTTGCAAAACCGAAAAAATTTTTTGATACCCGAATTTGGGGGCGCGACGTCCAAACCCCGAACTTTCGCACGGTGCAAAATGTGTCAGGACTTTATGGCGCGACTAGTAGCATTTTCACAAAGTGCCTGGAAATTTTTTGGCTTTCGTGCAGTGCATCTTTTTTGGAGTTGCAATGGTAAGGAGGAGTATGACACCATCTCTCACAAGATTTAGCGGTGTTTCGATCGAATCTCTGTGTTACTACGTAGGTTATGGTACTAGGCGGGCCAAAAAGTCTTGACATGTTTTCGCACCGTGCGGGCGCATGAATTCGGCGTTGCGACGAGGTGTCGCGCGATAAAGATTTGGCGGGGTGCGAATGAAGAACGCACTGTGCGTTGTTTACCCTTTTTCAAAACAATCTTTTTGCACTGTGCGGGGTCGCATTGCACCCTAAATGCTTCTTGTCGCCGCGCGACAAATTTCATGCACGACGGCGCACTGTGAAGACATGTCCAGATTTTTTGGCCCGCCTAGTAGAAAAATCGCAGTTTGTTTTCGGTAAGTGTGGGCTGAAAGCTCTGGCGACTCTATGGCCCGCAAGAGTCGCTACGGTGACAAAACCTTTTTTTTTCACATTTCCTTTCCTACTCTGTAACAAACGCGGTTCAATAATATAGCTTTATGGTCATCTAACAATATGCGACAAGGTGTTTGTCATAAGTGCAGCCTGAGAAAATGCCCGTAAAAGGAGCGAGTTGGGAAAGATTGGTAATGTGAAAGGCGGCAGCTGCTAATTACATGTAAAATAACAAGCTTTTTACCAAAACGTAGGCGGCAAAAAACAGGAGGAGTGGGGGATTGCAAAATGGTATTTGAGACTCGAAAAGATTGTTCGAAATGTCAGGAGTGGGCTACAAAGTTTACAGAGCTAAAATTGAAGTGAAAAATTAGTACGTGGGAAAAACGAAAATTTTGAGCGAATCTTAATCCAGGCCTCTTTCAGGACGACGATCTCCTAAAAATTACCCAAAAACACGTCAGGTTTTGGCATAATCCCAAGTCCACGCCAAAAATTAACCCTCCGAATGTTGGCTGGTAATTGGCGCCCGCTGAAAGAAAGCGGCCCAAATTTCGCTCCATTTGGGCGGCGTATATCGCTTTTGATACCGAAAAGAGTTTTATGGCCGCCGGGCCGAATACCTTGCGGAGAGGTTTCCCCCCACTTCCCCCTCTCTGTCTCCCCCTTTTTCGGTCTTCGTATGGCCGTGTACAACATGCAATGGGCTGTATTATTGTTTTTGGAGGGCCATAAAGGAAGATGGAAGGATAATGGAGGCCGTTACAGAAGAAAGGAGGAGCAGAGGGCAAAAACATGAGGGTAGTTTGAAATTTCAGTGGTGAATTTTGTATGTCAAAAGGGAAAAAGAAAGTTCCTATTGGGCCAAAGCGATTTATTAGTGTGTCGGGAAAATAATGAGCACAATGTGCGCCGATTGCTTTGCTGAAGTGAAAAGCAATTTGATTTCGCCGCGACACAATTTATTTTCTCGGAGACGATGCGATTTTCGACGCGACAGAGTGCTCATTATTTTCCCGACAGACTGATAGATGTTGTGGCCTTTTAATTCAGAGAGAGTATCCCATTGCCAGCATTCTCTTCGCTAATAGTCATCATTCATCTCCGAATTTTCAAATTTAAAAGGGAGGTACCCCAAGTTCGACGCACAGCTTTTGATGAAACTTGGCACAAATTTAGAATAACTATTTCTAGAATATATACGAGAATCCTAGCTCTTGCTTTGCAGAAACAACCGAGATTTTTAGATCGAAAGTCGGCGAAACTGTGAGACTTTTTGCCGAATTTCGATACGAAAAGATGCATACCTATTTTTGCCGTAAAGTGTAATTTTTTTACAAAAAATATTTTTCTCCGCATGAAACTGGCAAAGTCATTGTCAAAAATTTGTTTTTCTTTCTGACCGCTCTCCGCGTTTAGCGTGCTCTCTCGGCGGCAAAGATGGTTCAATATCTCGGCGGCTCTTGCAAAGCGTGAGCTAAAACTTTCAGGTTTTGATATTTAGTCCATGCCCGACGTGTGCGCAAAATTTAAAGAAAATCTGAGGGTTGCTTCCCTTGTCGTTGTACAGATCTATGACTGTGTATACTATACCAGACCGTTCGCTGTCGTTGGAGAGATTTTTCGCATTTGCACTGTGCAGAAAAAGTCGAGCAAACAACAGCCCGCAGAACGTCTATTGCACGGTGCGAAAAGCAAGAAATTGCAGTGGGCAAAGTGAGCCTTTAACAAGGAAAGCACTTCTATGTGTTATTGAGCTACAGATCGAGACAATACCAACAAATTCGCAAAATTTTTCTGATTCAAAACGCAAAAGTTAGCCGCCTAATTTTGGTTTGTAAGGGCGCAAAACCCCTTAGAACTTTTCTCGCAACGCCACGCAAATGCCCCTTTTTTACATTCAGACTACTAATTTTAAAAGGTGTGGTATCAATCAAATTTGATATTTTTAGGCTTGTCAAGATGCCAGGGTCTACTTTAGCCCCAAACAAGGCTTTGATTTGGTAAAGACTTGGTCAAAAAAGGCATTACAGCGTCGGTGCAGCGAGAAAAATTCAGAGGTTCCTTTGACCCTTACAAATTAAAATTATGCATCTAATTTTTACATATTCTGAATCGCAAAAATTTTGCGACTTTTTGATGTATTTCTCGACCTGTAACTCAACCTGTAGCCCATAAAGTACAGGGTGTAAAAATTTGGTGGGCCGAGTTGAATTGGCTATAATTTCTTTAATTTTGGGCCAAATGTTAAAATTCTTTTTTTCCCTGAGCCTTCAGACCTCCCCATTTTGTTTAATACCAAATATGTGAGTACAGAAATCTCGCCATCTTCGTCGTGAAGAATAAAAGATCTAAAAAAATGCCGAAAATCAGTCGTATCTTGTGAACGTTACATATAGTTGTGGCAAACTTAGGTTCACAAGGTTTAGAATTTTGTGTAGAATAGTTTGGTACACCCTGTACTTTTCTTGTCAAAAAAGGGAACTTTGGTTTTCGCACAGTACGTATCACAAAAATCACCCTAGCGACATCAAACGGACTCGTATTTCGTATTGACTGTTCATTTTTGCTGTCTTCTGTTTTCAACTCCTTTCCGACTTTTTACCCTTTTACACACTCCACTACACATGACTGCGTTTATTATTATACAAACTCAAACAACAAAAAAACTTCTGGTATAGCCAAACATACGATAAAACCGTCAGAGAAGCTGCTGCCAAAACATCCTCTCCATCGGCGTGATTGAACTCTCAAATCCCGGCTTAATCCGCGATTTGTCTGCCCGCGCCTGTTATTGTCTGCTTTGTCATCGCCGAGACCAATCCGGAGCCGGCGTTTTGTGGATGGAGGCAATTGAAAAGGAAAGGTCAATTGCGGTGGATTTTGCAATCGAACAGGCTTCTCCTGTTGAGGCCAAGGCCGTACGGTATACGCTGAGCCGCACAAGTGCATATGACCTTTTCCGAACTTCAACCTAAAAATTGCGGGAATTTCTGCAAAGCGCCAACTATCAGTCTGTCGGGAAAATGCGCGATAGAGGCGAGGTGAGACATTATGCTGCAACAACCCGCCGTTATTTTCCCGGCAGACTGATATCTAGAAGTCTTGCATGTGTATATAGTTAAAAAATGTTTTAAATTTGTGCCAAGTTTCATCAAAATTTGAGCGTCGCATTATAGATGCTTCCATTCTGAGCATACGTTCTACAGTGGGGGACCTGATCCAGTGGCAAAAAACATACCATTTTGCATCAAGGAAGTATCAAAAATGTGGCAAAACGCCTCCCTTTTCAAGTGAAAAAACTACGATTTCAAAGGCGCGCCCTTCAAAACGAAGTTTTTTTTTTCACTTGGAGAGGGAAGCATTTTGCCACATTTTTGATACTTCCCTGATGCAAAATGGTACGTTTTTTTTGCGACTGGATCAGGTTCTTCACTGTATCAGTAGCACAATGTTGCTGCAACGACCATGTCGCTGACGCAAAAAGAAATTTGATTTTGCCACGACACAATTCATTTTCTAAGCGGCCATGCGATTTTCGATGCGACGAATCATCATTATTTTCCCGACAGACCGATATTTGTCTGTCGGGAAAATAATGTGGACCCGTTGCTCTTTGAAATCACCTATCATCATTATTTTCCCGACAGAGTCACAAAATGCCTGCCCAGAAAATTGTTGGAGTGATTTTTGCGACACGCAGTATCGCAAAAATAGGCAAGACAAGTCAGGGTGCGAGCGACAGCCCAGCAGAGCTTGTTGCGACGTGAAAAAAGCGCTGTGAAACGCCATATAAGATTTTAAATATTAGCTTCAAAAATAAAGTAATCATTGTGGAAAAAGTCTCAGGGTTGAATTGAAGGGAAAGTATCCAGTCTGTCGGGAAAATAATGAGCATCTGGCGCATCGAAAATCGCATCACCGCCGAGAAAATGGACTGTGTCGCGGCAAAATCAAATTGCTTTTCTCTTCAGTGGCGCGGAAAAATAATGAGATTGCTCATTATTTTCCCGACAGATTGATAAATTAGTGAAAATTTGAAGCCGTGTTCTTGTCTTTGCCTTCTTTCTTTGTTAGCTTCAAATTTCATCATGCAATTTTTCAAGGTCTTCCACTTCAAATATCAAATAAATCCATGCATTTGAATTGAAAGGCTTCCCTCTGACGTTGTCAAACAACCGACCAGATAAAGGGATTCCCTCGAACACACAATAACTTTTAAAAAATAACAAAGCCATTAAACTTCGCAAAAAAATGGAGAGACAGAGTGATTTGAGCGACTGCACACGATATACAGCGCTTTTTCGAAAGTGCGTAGACTTCTTGTTGCAAGCTTTTTGCATTGAAAAATTTTTTGCCGAAAATGCGACAATTTTTTTATGGATTTCGGCATGAAAAGTTTCGCACTTATTTCTACCGTAGATAACGTTTCACAAAAAAAATGTTTTTTAGCGTGGTCCTGGCAAATATAAATACAAAAAGTTGTTTGCTCTTCGACCGCTAAAATGACGAGCCACTGAGATTTGATCCAGTGGCAAAAAACATACCATTTTGCATCGGGGAAGTGTCAAAAAATGTATCAAAATGCCTCCCCTTCAAGTGAAAAAACTTCGTTTTGAAGGGTGAGCACTTTCCCTCCTAAAATCAGCGGGCGCGCTTTTGAAATCAGAGTTTTTTCACTTGGAGAGGGAAGCATTTTGCCACATTTTCGATGCTTCGCGAACGCAAAATGATACGTTTTTTGCCACTGGATCAGGTCCCTCACTGTAGGCAAAGTTTGAGGAAAAAGGCCGCACTTTTGGTACTCTCCATTCCATTGTTTACTATCAGTCTGTCGGGAAAATAATGGCAGATTGTCGCGGCAAAATGTTTTGCCTCGTCAAAAAAGGTAAGAGTCCAAATTCCCAGCAGCGGGAATTTGGACTTGCCTTTGCAAAAACGATAATTTCCAAAACGCGACCCTCCGTTATTTTCGCGACAGCCTGATGAGTTAATTTAGACCGAGCTTCTATCAAAGTAAGATCACACGTTTTGCATTTTTTCTCACAAATTCTAGAGCAAAAATTCAAACGAAACACCGAGAATTCTTTTCAGTTGTGTTTGTAATCCCCACCCATTCATTGAAGCGCCAAAAATAGTCATCACCTCCGAAGTTTCTCGATTTTTACTAGACTACAATTTCCCGCCTAACCGCGAACAAATCTTGCAAAAAATGACTTCATACAAATTCAACTGCAATAAAAAAACTATCAACTATTCAACGGAGCCGCTGATTTTGATTATTTACTCCGTTTTTAGGTGTTTTCTTCGTATGAGTTACTGTTTTTAAAAGCAAACATTTACTCGAAATGGAGAAGGAACCTGGGAAAACTTTCATGGTATATGCTATTCATACCATTGCTGGAAGAGGCAAGAAGGATTTGAAATCTACAAGTAAAACGAATAGCGATTGCAAAAAAAGTGAAAATTGGCTGGTACTAGTCCGTTCGCAAAGTCACTGGAGTGATTTTTGCGACATGGACTCTGCGAAAATAAAAGTTCACTTTGCCCTGTGCAATTTCTTTCTTTTTACAATTGGCTTTTTTTGGCTGTTGCTAGCGCCCTGGTTTTTTTTCGCGCAGCGGAAACCCCAAAGCTCAGTCCGGCGGCTTTCCGGAAGGCCTTCCCCTAGGCCTTCCGGATCCACGTGCTTCGCTCAGATTTCGAAGAAAGTTTCACGTCAATCCAGCGCATTTCCTGAAGCGTTTCGAAACTTCGTATCGTTTTCATTGATTTAAAAGAGAGACGAAATGTCGCGAAATTATCGGCACTTTTTCTCGCCAGAAATAATTGCTTTTTCTCGAAAAGGAAGAAGGATAAGAAAATGCTTTTTATCGGATAGTGACATTTCGTTTTGAACGAATCACCAAAAAGGGGCGGGAAATTTTTCCTTCTATTTTGGATTGACGTGAGTTGGCACAAATTTGGATCAATGTTTCGCATCCTGAATTTTCGGGTCAACAAATATGGGGAGTAGGCCATGTCGATATTCCAAAAAAAGTGTTGGAAGTGCCTGAAAGGCCTGTGAAAGCGGTTGAATACTCGGCGGAAGCTCGGCAAAGGCTCGGCGGAGGCTCGGTGAAGAGTCCACTTCTTCTAATTGTGGCTATTACTAATAACATTGGTTTTCTTTACCCTGGGTTATTCTACCATATAAAAGATCAAAATTTGAAGGAAAAAAAACCAAAAATCCGTAATTTTTATCAAGATATTATTGGTGTGAGGGCACGCATAATGGCTCAAAATAATAGGTGATAAGTTGTCCTAGGACTCGATCAATTTTATTATTTCTATTAACTAACGCTGCTCCAAGCCTTCCCCATGCATACAATGACAAATTCAGACGCCTCAAAGTATCATCAACCAATTTTTGGAAAATCTGTATAACTCGCCCAAGGGCAGAGACACAAAAACCATTTTTATGTGGCAGATTCTGCCTGTCATGACTAGTATACATGCCAAGTTTCAAAGTGATTGCGTTATCTTCACTTGAGATATGGGAGGTCAAAAATTTATTTCCGACAGTATACCGTTACAATTTACTCGATTTTTTTTTCATTTTTACGACCTCTCTTCCCCAAACCTCCAGAAGCAAAAAACAATTTTCTCGCCTTATTAATCATCTTTAATCTTCAAACTCGCGCCGCTTGCGCAATCCGATCGAAAACATGTGTTCACGTTTTTATGACATTCATCCGGAGGTAAACACGGCGAGAGGGTCGTGTGACTCTTGAAACAACCTTTAAAAACCCCCCAAAATACCGTTGTTTTGGTCGCGGATTGATCCGGGAGAATATAATGGGCAGAATAAAAAAAAAAAACTTTTTTTTGGAAAAATCGCGCGCCCCGCCTTGTTTTCGTAATTGCGGGTCGTATAAAAGGCGCCCGACGGTGGGAGACTGTACAGTGTTCGGATTGCGATTAGTAGACGTCTAAATTTGGAACTGAAAATGCAAGGTCTTACTGTGGTCTTGGCGCTGTTTGGTTTGTTGGCAGTCGGTAAGTTTAAGGGGTTTTGAGGCCTAGTAGGGCTCATAAAGCTTGCTGAAGGCTAGTTGGGGAGTAAATACAGTAAGAATAGAGCGTCAAAAAAGCGAAATCCTAAGTGCGACACTCAGGATTTCTTTGCAGGCGCAGCCGAAATGTTCAACGACTCTTGCGGCCGACCGGTATGCAAAAGGCGGAGCGCGTTCAGGTATAAAACACTTTCGGCCGTATCCAACCAAATTAAGACAGCGGTTTGTCCCGAATTTTTAGTTTGCCCTTTACAGAAAAGCATTGAGATATTTTGGTCGGAAGCACGAACAACTTCAACGCCGCACGTCAAACTGAGATAAGCTAAAAAAAGGTCCGCTGAATGGATTGGCAATTTGCCAAAAAAAGACGCGGAAAAACGTTCTGTCGGGGAAGAAATGGGGAATTTTTGGGGCGAGAGAGTACGCTTTTGCGTGTCTTTTTTCTCTCTTTCTCTGGAAATCAAGACGAAATGTAAAAAACCGATAGTGAAGGGTCTATTCCGGTCACCGGACTCCTCAGTTTGATGTGCGCCGTGTATACAACAGTTATTCGAAGAGTTGACCTTTCCTGTGCAAAACCTGAAGAGATGTGGCCAAAAAAGCGTTACCGGCATTATCTAGTTGCCTGCACAAAGATTGTTGAATATCTCGGCCTAGCAAAGACGGAAATTTTAAGAAATCAATTTGTGGCTGAGATATCAGTCTTTCGGGAAAATAATGAGCACTCTGTCGCCTCGAAAACCGTCACGAATCGTGGCGCGGCAAAATCAGCGATTATTGGGCTCATTACTTTACCAACAAACTGATAGATGATTCAGGCTAGATTTGAGGAGAATCCTAGGGCAAGACTTATTATGGTTATAGAAAATCCTCTAAAATCTTCATTAACCCTATGTTTCCAGCCTCTGCTCATACATCCACTCTCCCGCCGGTTGGCAAACGCTCAGCCGAAAGCGAAGAGGTGCCCATCGACAAACGCTCGGCCTCCAGCCACAGCCAAGAAGTCCCCATCGACAAACGCGACGTTTCCGCCGAGAAGACGAAACTCTCTTCCTCAACAACACCTCATCCGGCCAAACGAAGCGTCGACGACACCACCGTGCCCTTCGATACGCCGATCGGCGGGAACAAGGAGAAACGCGAGGCGCCCTCGACCGGTGCGCCGCGTACGGAACGCGAAGCGTCCGCCGAAGTGACGCGTGACGCTCGCGCCGTCACCTCAACCACAGCGCCGCGCGTTGAGCGCGAACCGGAGGCCGTAGCGACCACCTCAGCGGGCGGTCGAAGACGTCGTGGAGTTAGTGGAGTTAGTACGACGACTGAGACGGTTAGAGAGGAACGGGCGCTTCCCGAGACCACCAGCTCACCAAGAATCGCACGAGAGGCCGGCTTCAGCACGATCAAGAAACGCGAGGCCACCAGCCCCACAACGCCCGCTAAGCTCGCGTCCGGCGAATCAGCCCGTGCCAGGCGCCACGTAGAGCTCAGCACGCCCTCCTCGGCCTAAATTAACACACCCAATAACATGTAATTTTGCCTCTACTCCCTGAAGAAGGTCTTCATTCCGTTGAAAACTCAAAAATTCCGGTTGGAAATCGCTTTTAACCCCTGGAAAATGTCTTTAATTTCCACTATTGCCCCTTGTATACCCTCAAAGTTTGTTTGCTGCTTAATGTAGTCTACCGTATACTATGGTATTTTATGAATTTTTTTGGCTGTTTAGCCCGGTGATTGTGCAATAAACAATATGAATTTTTTTGAATGTTTGCTCAAAATTTAGAGGGGAAGTACGACTAGACATGGCTCGTCGGCCGGCCCGGGCCGAAAATCTCGGCCCGGCCCGTCGGCCTGAAGGGTTCCGGCCGGCCCGGCCCGTTTCAAATTTTCCGTCGGCCCGGCCCGGCCCGTTTTAAATTTGCTTCGGCCCGGCCTGGGCCGGCCCGGGCCGGCCCATTGAAACGAAAGTCTCCCCAAGTCTAAATCCTTATGACCAAATTTTTTTCTATCATCATGTAAATGGATAAATACTGTGTTCCATAGCTATCTAAAAACAAAAACACCTTTAAAAAAACCAACTGTGTCTTGACATTGCGTTTATTTTCATTATCAAACCCAATTTTCACTTCGAGGTTCTGGATTTTAATTATTCCGGGCCGGGCCGGGCCGAAACGCCGGCCCGGCCGACGGGCCGGAAATGGTCCGGCCGGCCCGGCCGATCTGAAATCGGGCCGACGGGCCGAAATTTCGGCCCGGCCCACGGCCCGGCCCAGGCCGGCCCGGGCCGGCCCGGCCCGACAGCCATGTCTAAGTACGACAAGTGCGGCGCTCAGATTTTCTTTTAATTTTGCGCATACTTATCAATCCCTGAAAATTTTGCTGGCGCTTTGCAAGAGCAGCCGAGATATTCAACTGTTGGGATCGCTACCTGTTTCTGCTCGCAGGGGAAGTACGCAAAAAATGTTTTAGGAAATGTTACTTATAAGCAGAGATTGCCACGGTCAAAATTTCGGCTCCCGGCTCTTACTTGTTAGCTCCCAGAGCCGGAGCCGAGGCCAAATTTGCAGCTCCGGCTCCCGGCTTCGTGCAAAATTTAAAAAAGGTCTCCGGCTCCGAACCTCGGCTCCTGTGCAAATTTTTCTTGCAACATTTTTTCAAAAGTAAAATTTCGTAGTGTGCCAGAATCATACAGCCAACGTTTTTGTAGCCAAGTCGTACGCAACACACCCTTCCCAGTATTTTTCAAGCAACTTGGTTTTAAAAAAATCACAAAATTTTTACTTTTTTGAACGCTGTGAAGCCTGGCTTCGACTTTGGGCTCGGGAGCCGGAGCCATACACAAAATTTCCGGCTTCGGCTCTGGCTTCCGGCTCGGAGCCGCTCAGAGCCGGAGCCAAGAGCCGGCTCCGGAGCCGTGGCAAACTCTGCTTATAATTTTTATTAAAAAAAATATTTTTTCAAAAAAAATTTTAGCTCATCACGCTTTCCAGAAACAACCGAGATTTTTAGATCGAAAGTCGACGAAAATTTTAGACTTTTTTCCGAATTTCGACACATAAAAATTCATGCCTATTTCTACCGTAAAGTGTGATTTTACTACAAAAAAAAACAATTTGTTCCTCATGAAATTAGCGAAATTTTGGCCAAAAAGTGTTTTTCTCTGTGACCGCTCTCCGCAAAGAGAGAGCGGTCATTGAATATCTCTGCGAGATATTCAAAGAGTAATACTAGTCCGGCCAGAAAGTCGCCGGACGGAAATCGGCGACATGCACTCTGCGAAATCGAAAGTTCACTTTGCACTGTGCAATTTTTGGCGTTTTGCACTGTGCAATAGGCTTTTTGGGGCTGTCGCTCGCACCCTGACTTTTTTCGCACAGTGCAAACGCCAAAAATCAGTCCGGCGACTTTCCGGAAGGACTAGTAATATTAGCATTTTCACAAAGTGCATGGACATTTTTTCGCCGTCCCACAGTGCATCTTCAACCGTTTCCCACGCTTGTCGCCAACGCACAGTGCATTTTCTCTCTTTTGCACCGTGCAACCCACAAAAAAGCCGTTCGCACTGTGCAAATTCTTTGAGTCAAACCGCGGCGACGCAGTTGGAAAAAGCTGACATCGCGGCGATATTTCCAAATGCACGGTGCGAAAAACAAGGGAAAAAGTGCAATGCACGGTGCAAATTGGGGGTTTTCGTGCACGGTGCAGGGTTCGACAAATGTCCATGCACTTTATAAAAATACAAATTATATCATATCAACGGTCTTTGAGGCCGAAAGAGTAGGCAAAACGTGGAGAGCGATTAGGGAAAAAACACCTTTTGGCCACAAAATTGCCACTTTTTCGCTTTTGTTTATTATCCGTCATTTATTTCTCAAAATAAAAACCAAATAATCATCTCAAAAGTCATCAATATTATACTACAGTATAAGTTAGCGGTTTTTAATCACAGTAATAACAATAAAATCGATGGGGGGATTTAGCTGTTGCCTTGGACGACCAGTTTTCGGAGGTGGTCGGTGAAGACTTGGAAGCTGACGTCATCCGTGAAAACGGCGGCGCTTCCGTCCTGGCTTTGATAGGAATTGTGGGTGATGGAGGGATTCACTTTGGAGAGGAGGAAACGGGCCTGAAAGTTTTGCAAATATGAGTTCAGAAAGTTCATAAGCCGATAAAATTTTACAATCTAAATATTTTTTGTTTTTTTTTCTTTTTTTTTTTGAAAAAACGACCTAAAAATCTCCGCAATTTCTGCGGAACGTCGTCAATTGGAGAAAAAGATGATTGGGGAAGGAGAATACCGAAAATGAATTTTTTTTTTCTTTTGTTGAAACTAGCAGGGGAGGGAGAAGACCCCAAGCGCGACGCTCAGATTTTGATGAAATTTGGCAAAAAATCTGAATAATTTTTTCTGAGACATACGAGACTCCTAGCCCGCGCTTTGCAGAAATGCGGGAGCGACGAATGAGGAAAAAGAAAATTGGGAAATCGAAAAGTATTATTTTTCTTCAATGAAGTGTCGAAATAAGGGTAAACGACGGTGATGATTTCGAAAATGACATTCATTTTTTTGATAGTTACTTTTTTCCTTATGTAGTACTGTAAAGTAGTAATTTTTTAAACTTTTTTCACAAACACTCAATTTAGGGGTTTCGATGGTGCTGATTCCAAATCATAAAAAATAAATAAGATTTTCGGAATCAGCACCATCGAAAACCCCTAAATTGAGTGTTTGTGAAAAAAGTTCAAAAAATTACTACTTTACAGTACTACTTAAGGAAAAAAGTAACGATCAAAAAAATGAATGTCATTTTCGGAACCAGCACCCTCGATTATCCTTATTTCGACACTTACATCGAAGAAAAATAATACTTTTCAGTTTCCCAAATTGTCTTTTTCCCCATTCGTCGCTCCCGCATTTCTGCAAAGCGCAAGCCAGAAGTCTCGTATATGCCTTAACAAATTTCTTCAGATTTTTTGCCAAATTTTATCAAAATCTTAGCGTCGAACTTGGGATGTTTTCCTTCCTCTGTTAGTTTCAACAAAAGAAAAAAAAGAATTTCATTTTCCGTTCCAAAATACGTGGACTCTAAAAAGCGTACTTTTAGAGAGGAAATTAAAGTTCCGATGAGTTTCCATTTCTCCCAATTTATGCGTTATCTCTCGAATTTCGCGTGGGGTAGGGCAAAAACCAATTTTCCAGCTGGAAATTTCCAAATTTTTCTGTTTCTATCCAATTTTTTGTCCACAAAATTTTCTCGAAATCTCCCATTCTTTTAATTTTTTTGTCTTTTTTATTCGTTTTTTTAGTTATTAGGCGTAGAAGTATGACCGTGCCGTTTTTTTAGGTGTGCCTTTTTACAGCTGGAGTTAAACTTTTAGTGCATCTGTTGATATCACCTGGAAGAACGTTGAAAACGCTGTCTATCGATATATGCTTCGTGTGGTTAGGTTTAGAATAGCGGTTTTTATAAAGCTTCAAAGATGACCAACTTTCGTCCCAGAAAAATGCCATTTGCGGGAAATTTTCCTCTACACATGTAATGTGAGCAAAAGCGCCGTTGACGCATGGAATGCTTACAGAAGTTTACTGTGGCCGTGCTCTGTGAAAAAAATTTCGTTGGAAAGGGGTTCAGCGTTTCAAATCCCGTGATTTTCCAACCCATATCAAAAATTTGAATATGGAGATTATTGCAAACAACACGATGCCGGTGCGCAAGAAAAGCTAGCGGTGATGTTACACGTGTTGCATAAAGTAGCTCACTCAGTTTGGAACAATTGGGAAAGATCCAGAGAGAAGGGACTTGGGTGTCATATGGATTGACCTAACTCAACATGGATAACATACAAAATTTTGATGGATAGACGGAAAGAAAGTCATTTTTGCATTGTCTAGTGACCAGAGAAGAACAATGGATCGATTTTGACAACCCGAAACACAAGCGACCGCACAGTCCAACATTACCGGGAAGGAAGTGTTGCTCTGTATATGATGACAAAAACAAGATCTTCTTTTCTATGAGGTCTTGAAATCCGACAAAACGGTTACTGGCATCCGTTGTGAACAAGACTTGATGCAACACCACCAAGAATATGATAAAAGCGGTCGGTATGACCAATTTTTATTTTGCTGCATGATGACGCCAAACCCCATGTTGAAAAACTGGTCAAGGGCACCCTAGAACCGCCGAGTTCGGACGTTTTACCCCACCCGCGACACTCTCCGGACGCAGCACTTTCAGATTATCACTGGTTTCGACCGATGGAACACGAACTGTGGCAGCAGCGCTTCGTTGAATACAACGATGCCGAAAATTGGGTTGATATTTAGATGGCTTCAAAAAAGCCAAAAATTTTCTTTGATGGATTTGAAAGTTGGCCAAATTGTGCAAACCCCTCGGAATTAATAATAGAATATAAAATTGGATAAAGTTTAGTGTAAAAATTTTTTGTTTTGATTGAAATTATGGGCCGGAAAAACGGCACGATCATACTTCTACGCCTAATATATCAGTTTGTCGGGAAAATAATGTGGATTTTCGCGCTTCATCGCTTTGCGACGGCTAGCTGCGGCTGGAGATTTTGTGCGCGACAGCGACGAGACAAGATTTTTTTCAGCGACAAATCCACATTATTTTCCCGACAGACCATTTTTAGAGTCAACTATTACAATTTTCGTCATTTTCAATTCAATTTTTTACTTTCCCAAGAAAATTTTTCTCACCTGCGATCCTTCATGTTGAGTCTGAATATACCTCGGGACCGGGAATCGCTCCGCCAACAACTGTTGGGCATCTTCCACGGGGGCTTCAAGCAACTGCTTGAAGGTCGCGTATTGCGGGTCCTCGTGATAGTTGGCTCGTTTCCACTGGTCGATCGTCTGCCCGTGATAGATCAGGACATGGAAGTAGTCGTCCATGAGGAGAATTTTGTCCGGCTGGATCGAGGTTGTGTCCAAGAGGACGGGTTCTGGGGGGCCATTAAACGAGTACGAGTACAGCATGGGCTGGATCATTGAGGTGGACTCGCCGACGTTCTCCACGAACAAGATATGCCTAAAATCGTGACAAATAAAACGCAAAAATCGCAAATTCCGGGACAAGCAAGTTTTTCAACCCCAAATAAGGCAAAAAGGCATTAAAAAACGTAAAAAAAAATTTTTTTTTTCAAAATTTTTTTAAATTTCAAAAACCTTAAAATCGCCTCAAATATTCAATAAAACATCCCAAAATTCCATTTCCTCACCTATAATACGCCGTTTCATCCGGTGAATTATTAAAAACTTGAAGGAATTGGGACCTCCTCATGTGGAACATGAACTGCGGGTAGGCTTGGAAACGTTCGTTGATTTTCAGGGAATTGGGGTCGTTGGCGTGGAATTCGGAGAATTTTTGGATCTGCAAAGAAGTAAATCAAAAAAAAAAAAAAAATAAAATAAAATAAAAAATCAAAAAAATCGGAAAAAATTTTTGGTTCACCCTAATAACTTCAAAAATTTTTTTTCACAAGGAAAGTACTTCAATGGGGTATGAAGTTACAGGTCGAGTCATATATCAAACAAATCGCAAAATTTTTCTGATTCAGAATATGTAAAAATTAGCTGGCTAATTTTGGTGTGTCAGGGTGAAAAAATCCTCAGAACTTTTCTCGCAACATCACTCAAATGCCTTTTTGACCAAGTTTTATCGAATCAAAAGCTTTTTTTAGCTAAAGTGAACCCTGATATCTTGACAAGCCTTAAAATATCAAATTTGATTAATACTACGCCTTAATTAGTAGTTCCAATACAAAAAAATTTAAAAAAGGGGCATTTGAATGGTATTGCGAGAAAAGTTCTGAGGATTTTTTCACCCTGACAAACCAAAATTAGGCTGCAAACTTTTACATATTCTGAATCAGAAAAATTTCACGATTTTCTTGATATACGACTCGACCTGTAACTCCATACCCCATAGAAGTGATTTCGTTGTTAAAAAAAAAAAAAAAAAAAAAATCGGAAAATTTTTTTGGTTCACCCTAATAATTTCAAAAAACCCATTTTTTTCCAAAAAATCCCATAACCAACTTCAACAACCTTCCCACTCCTTACCAATCTAATCAAGCTTCTATCAAGCCATCTCATCGTGTCGGGAGAGTCATTTTCATTCGATGCCCTGAACGACGCCAGCCTGGCCATTAGCACCGCGGCGGCGTCTTGATCGAACCCGTAGGCAATCTGTGGCTGTTGGGTGGTCATGTCGGCCCAATGTCTTGCAGTGGTGGTCACTCGGATTCTCTTCCTTCCATCCGCGTGCTGATACTGCGTCACAAACTGGACCACGGCGCGACTTCCCTGCGGCATGGCCGAGCCGTGTTGGGCGCTGATTTCGAGGAGCAGCGCGACCGTATTCCGGGGGGTTAGGGAGCAGAACTTCCACTGGCAGGTGCCGCCGATGCCCACCTCGTTGTCGGAGACGATGGGGTTGCGGACGCCGACGGAGGCGCAGCAGCCGAGGGCGCCTTCCACCTTCAGGCCGGCGCTCAGCTTGATCTCCATGGTGGCGTTGAAGGCCATCTTGAGTTGGCCGTGCACGTCGCGTTCGAACACCTTGGCGAAGGACTGTTTGAAGAGGGTGGATTCGAAACTGTCGGCCATGATTACATGTCCTGAAACAAAAAATAAAATCAAAAAAAAAAAATCAAAAATTAAAAAAAATCAAAAATTTCAAAAAAAATCAAAAAATTCAAAAAATAAAAAAAAAGTAAAAAAATTAAAAAAAAAATCAAATTGAACTTTTTTTTGTTCAATAAGCCCACCATTAGTCAAATTGAAGCAGTTCTTCATCTCCAACAGACCAGTTTGATCCAACGCGCACGCATACACATCAATGGCGTGGCCATTCTTCACAGTCCGGGCGGCCAACGAGTCGTAGAACTTGATCGCCTTCCTCATGTAGACGGCATTGTCCTCTTTGATGTCGTGCCACGATCTGATCGGGCTCTTCAGTTCCTCGTTGCACACCATGCCGGGGCCCACAGTGCAGGCGCCGCCGATGAAGGTCATGATTCTGGCGCCAGTGTTGGGGAAGCAGGTCTCCAGCAGAGTGACAGCGACGGCGAGGGCGCTACCGGTGGCTCGCAGAGGGCGGTGGCCTTGGGGAATGGGCCAACGATCCGAGATGATCTGTTCGATCAAGTCGTTGATGGTTTGTTCGCATTCCGAGAGGGGCTAAAACAAGTTTTTTTAAAAGTTTTTATAAAAAAATGCCAAATTTTTTTGCAATTTCAAAATTTCTTCCCACCTGCAAGAACTTATTGTACGGGACATGTCCTGGTGCTCCCGATTGACTAGAGACGCTGTTCTTTGGTCCCAAAGGCTGAGGTTGACCGGGAAGGGGCTGGCCCGGCTGTCCGGGCAGTTGTTGGCCTGGGAATCCTTGGCCGGGTGGTCCCATTGGCATGCCGGGACGTTGCTGGAACTGGCCCGGGAACGCCGCTTGGCCATTTTGAGGTGGAAGGCCGCCTGGAGCGCCGGGAACCGAGGCTGGGCCGGGAGTTGGGGCGTGCGCGCCGGCTGGACGGCCAATATTCAGGGCCAAAACATCGCGAATTTGCTTTGGAGTGACTTCTTTTTGACCCTGAAATTTTTGAACATCAAGTTTAAAACCGTTTTAATGGCGCTTTCAAATTGATGGTTTCTAATCAAAAATCTGTATTATTGGTTGAAATCAATTAGAATTTTGTCTGCATGATTTTTTTTTGTAAAGTAGTGTTAATTATAGGCTAAAAAGAACGTTGGCTCCGCTAATTTCTAAAAGATACGATATGACGCCCGGCGGATCGAAACTATTGCCTGAAATCGATTGAACGGCTTGCCAAATGGCTGGATTAGTTCAAAAACCTCATAGAGAGGTAGACAAATAGATGGATTTGTAGCCAAACCATCCAGATGGTTGGATAAAGGGTTGGAATGGCCTAAAAATCTCAATTAATCATCTAACTGAGACTTTTAGGCCATTCCAACCCGTCATCTAATCATCAGGATGTTTTGACTACCAACCCATCTATTTTGCTACCTCTCTATGAGACTTTTGAACTAATCCAATCATTTGGCAAGCCGTTCAATCGATTTCAAGCAATAGTTTCGATCAGCCGGGCGTCATATCGTATCTTTTAGAAATTTTTGCAGGGCCAACCTTTTTTTTAACCAATAATTAACACTACTTTACAAACAAAAATCATCCAGACAAAATTTTTTCTCGAAAAAATTGGATTAACGCAACCAAAATTAATCAACGTCTTTTGTAATTTCAAATGTTTCAAGCCGGATTTCCGGTATGAACTTTCCCACAAATGTCGAACTGTTTATAGGGAGATTCTAAGTTATTATATTAGCCAAGAAACGTAATTTCCTTCGCCCTTCCACTCTATAAAAACCCCCGTTTTGTTGACTGTTTTAAACGGCACGTCCGGCATTTCAACTGAATTACAGTTCATTCTACGGCATTATTTGAATATTTGCACGTCTGGACTATGGAGTTTGGCGCCGTTTTTGTTGGTTTAACGAGATTTTCGAACTGGTTCAATTAGTTTGAGAGTTTCCCAATGGGTCAAAGTTAGAGTAGAGTTAAAAGCTAATCAAGGAGCCGGCCAACGCATCTTTGTAATTTCGGTCCCGAGAGTATAACATGTCAAACGAAAAACTTTTCTTTGTACTCTATCAGCCTGTCGGGAAAATAATGAGCAGAATTTCTGATCGAAAATCATGTCGTCGACAAGAAAATGAATTGTGTCGCGGAAAAACCAAATTGCTTTTCACTTCAGCGACACGATCGGTGCAGCGACATTGTGCTCATTATTTTCCCGACAGGCTGATAGAGTACAAAGAAAACTTTTCAGTTTGATGTGTTATACTCCTGGGACCGAAATTACAAAGATGCGTTGGCCGGCTCCTGTTAAAAATTCATTTTTTCTTTTTATTGCAGTTAAAGTTGAGAGCTGACCCTACCAGGATACGGTAGAAAAAAGTAATGCAACAAGGCTGGCATTACTTCTTTCTACAGTATTCTAATGCAACGGAACCTACTAAGGTCCATCAGGAAAATAATATGGATTCGTGGCGCCTTGAAATCTCCCATCACGCCTTGCAGCGGCTAGTCGCGGCTGAAGACTTGGCGTGGTCTCAGGTGAGACATTTACCACATTATTTTCCCGACAGACCTACTTGTGACAAAAAAAGTCCCCAAGTCGCGCGCGCTTTCCATTTTGCGCAGCGAAAAATCATTTTTTGGAGTGCGACAAAATTTGGGAGCCGCTAGAAATTCCAAGGGGTTTTTTCGGGAGTAGTAAAGCAAAAAAAAATTCCTAAACTACATAACACTTTCACTGTTCATTCCTTTCATTGTTATCTGTTGCAAAATCCGTTCCAGCGTTCGAAACACTCTGGGATTACGCCCTTTTTGCGTCACCAAAAATTGAGCGTTCAACACACGTTGCTAGGTACGGCAAGACCAATTAGGGCGAGACAGGCTTTCTGTAAACAGTACTTAATTTAGCGAGTTCTTTCCGGTGACATCAGCGCTTTCGACATTTTGATTCTCAATCGGATTACCTCAACCTCCGGCATGTCATTTTTCGGCTGCGAAACCATTCGATTAACGTCGAATTTCACAGAACAGTGCAACTGCGTCAGTTCAGCGGGGCTAATTAGGTCACGCCCAGACGCTAACCCAGTTCCAGAATCGCGGGCCACGGGCAAGTGTCATCTTCGCGCTGCGGTTGGTGGGCCACTCCGACGGCCCCACCCAACGTTTATTTTTCAACCTCTTTTCTCCTGATGGTTTTTAATGTTTGACCGGGGATTAACTTTGCCTTTAGGGTATCCTCTGACAATATCAAACAGTTTTCGAAGCCAAACCGGATTACTTGTCAATAGAGCTTCTACAGTGACGGACCTGATCCAGTGGCAAAAAACGTACCATTTTGCATCCGGGAAGCATCAAAAATATGGCAAAATGCTTCCCTCTCCAAGTGAAAAAACTTCGTTTTGAACGGCGCGCCCTTACTTCATAAAAAGAGCGGGCGCGCTCTTGAAATCGGAGTTTTTTCACTTGGAGAGGGAAGCATTTTGTCACATTTTTGACACTTTCTGGATGCAAAATGGTACGTTTTTTGCCACTGGATCAGGTCTCCCACTGTCTCAGTCTGTCGGGAAAACAATGAGCACAATCGATTTGATTTTGCCGCGACACAATTCATTTTCTCGGCGGCGATGCGATTTTCGATGCGACAGAGTGCCCGTTATTTTCCGGAGAGCCCGATATTGAAATAACAAAATCCTGTGCAAAACGCGGCCGTTTTTTCTGAATGGACCCCCGGGATTTATTTGCACAACATCCCATAAACACCGCACAAGTCTTGGGTGTAGAAAGAATAAGGAAACGGCTTCAAATGAGAGGAAATCTAGGTACACAACTATGGCGCCGTTTTACGATCTTCTACATTTCTTTTAGTTCAACCCCGCAAACTGTAGATACCGTCTTCTCGAACCCTAGACGTTATTGCTTCTTTTTTGCGAGCGTCCGGCAAGACCATCGTGATTCCTAATCCTCTTAACATTAACTCTTATATCTGTAAATTCTCCGACCTCTCTTTTCTAGGGCTTCCTCACATCACAGCCTAAATACCAGCGAACCGTATTTCTACTGACAAACATGTAGCCTACAGAAAGTTTAACTTCCCTTCAAAAAAACGAATTAGTCATAATCCTTTCAACAGCGCGATTATGTTATTTTCTCCGACTTGCATTTAATCAATTTACGACGCATGATCAAAATATTCTCCTTCCGATACCTGGAAAGCTGCTCGTAGCACCTGCATACTGTACACAAAATCTTGGGCGTGCCTTTCTTTGGAGGTAGAACTCGTCATAATATTGAGTGTATAAAACCCAGATTAACGCCTGTTTTATCTGCATCCCAAGTCCAACTCATTCACAGCTAAAGCGGAAATTGGGATTGCTATACGTCTCGGCCTGTTTCCTTCTTAATTTCGGTCTCTGCCCCAAGAAATTGGTTGAAACCTCCACAAACATTTGTCCTAATTAGTCTCGCGAGTGGGTCGGCTTCCGAAGACGGCAAAATTCAATCGGGATTTGGGGCGAGTACATGGCTTCGAACAGCCTACAGCGTATTCCGCCCTTCTTGAAATGTCGAACGTTACTTTTTTAACCTCTGTTTTCTTTCATAGCGTCAACCACCAATGTAATGTGCCCACTTTGTTTGAACAAAACGCCCCTGGGGACTGTGTAGACGAAAATTTTCAAAAATAACGCGGGCGGATTTTGAATTTCAGACGTCTACCTGCTTGCTTACAACTTAATCTCATTTTGTATGAAAATAGAAGCCATGCCCCGTTTCTTACGCCGTAAATGAATTATCAAAGTCAAGTGTTCCCGAATCAAGTTACCGAGTTACTCGCATATCGTTACGCCTTTACCTACTTTCAAACCGAAAAATATGCTTGACCGTTCTTGCTGTACAAGAAATTACGCAATTTCCTGTCACCATTTTTCCATGCCCACTACAGTTAATCCCCCTTATTCATCGACTGTGATTTGCATACGTGACTCGCTTATCCTTTCCTTAATTTAAGCTCCTCCCTTTCAGAACTGCCTCAAAACTCGGGTCATCGGTTTCAATCCGGTATTCCGAGGTCCGGCCGCCTATTGCGAGAAAAACATGCAGTGTGTTGTCCTATTTCTTCTGCTAGCAGCCCTCGTCTTCCTGATCGATGCTCAACAATACCCGGCGCCTGAGAACGTTCGACAGCAGCTGCAGTCCTACTACTCCGCGCCACAAGCCGCTTTCGGGTACAACCGTCCACGGAATGCAGTGTTGGAGGAGGTCAACCGCGCCTATCCCCAGTATTCCTCCAAACGACTGCTGAGGTTTTTGGTGGATAAGTATAAGAGGGACTTGGCGAGCACCGAAGGGGTAGGTCTAATCGAGAGTGGGTCGATTGCTGAGGGCTATGCTCCGCCGCAACAAAGGTTTGGTGGCGCTGGGTTTGCTGTGCCAGATTCTGTAACAACCGTTCAGCCGGAAGGGGCCGTCAGGGCTGCCGCTTCGTCCGAACGCGTCGCACCTGCGGCTGACAATGCTCAACCACTCGCTGGCCCTCGAACAGAGCCACACCAGCCTAGCAATCTAACTTCTCCTACTAACCAAGCCCCTGTTCCCGTTTATCGTAACCCCGAGCCTGTTCCCGTTGTCATGCCGACTCTAAACGAACAACAAGTCACTGTTCCTCAACAATATCCGATTCAAGCCGTGCCCGTGGCCATTCCTGTTCCCGTCGCTCCTCAAGCCGGCTATATTGTGCCAGTTGACGTTCCGGCGACCAACCCGGTCGCTGCGTTTTTCGCTGCGCGCTACGGTGGCTTCGACATTTGATTGTATTGTACATTACAGTTAGGGGCCCGCTCCAGTGGCAAAAAACGTATCGTTTTGCATCCGGGAAGCATCAAAAATGTGGCAAAATGCCTCCCTCTCCAACTAAAAAAACTCCGTTTTGAACTGCGCTCAAAAAAGAATGGGCGCGCTTTTGAAATCGGAGTTTTTTCACTTCGAGAAGGGAGGTATTTTGCCACATTTTTGATACGTCCCGGATGCAAAATGGTACGTTTTTTGCAATGGATCAGGTCCGCCACTGCACTCTTTAACATTTCATTTCCTTTCCTAATACTCTAACCAATGTTTATATCCTCCAACTAACCGAGTTTGCGTCACTATTTACCATTTTCATCCTAACGTACATGTACTCTGAGTGTTGTAAACCATGTGTTTTGCGGTGACGGGGAAAACAAATCCATGGGACTTTCGAATTTTCCGCCCTTTCCGCAACAGTAATCCAATTCCAGGACGACAGAGACCAGCGACACAAGAGATACGGTCGAATCGGTGGGACGATAGTCATGGGTCGATGAGGAAATGCCGCGAACAAAAAAAATGGGATATCAACCAGTCCGAGCGTGAATACCACAAAAAATTCTGCCGTCAACGAACACCCGAACACCTTGAATGAACAGCCAACACCATCTTTATCAATGCTACTTCACACCGGAGGAAAAACGATCTCTTCGAATTCAACCCCCAATTCAGCCCAAATCACATCCAATTTGCGACCATTTTCGTTTGATTTTTGTTTTGTTTTCACTTCAATTATTTTTCATTTCTGGGCGATGGCTATTTATACATGTTAAACTTTGTTAAATAAACTTCTATCAGATGGATGAAAAAAAAATTTAAAATTAATAAAAAATAACTCTGTTTTCAGACTTATACAGTGATTCTACCGCACTTTTTCAGCGATGATATTGGCAAATCCTGTTTTAAAATTTTCCCAATTTAGATGTCTAGTACAATTTTAATCGAAAAAGTACTTTCGTGTGCCCCCGTCTAATCCATGGCTATTTTCTTGCACTTAACTCGATTGCTAATCTCCGCTTGTCTGTTTCTTTGTCCTTTCTAAGTTGCATGATGTGGAATAAACGAAAATTTTGTGTTAATTAGATTTTGAGTTGCAAACATTATAAACGGAGAAATGTGGATGAAAAGTGGGCGTTGAAATGATATCAATGTTTTGTAGAGATGGAAATAAAATTATTGTAATCATATCAAGTATGACAAAACTAAAAAAATACATTTTTTCGTTCAAGTTTTACACTGATATTCCCTCATTTATCTCCCCAAACCTTACCGAAAAGACGTAGGATCTCCCCAAGTTCTTGGCATCCAATTCCCTCAACTCGACTGTTCGTCCAAACGTGATCAACCCAACAAACGAGTCTGCTGGAAGTGTTGCCAACTCTTTTTGGATTGAATCCTTCAACGATTTGAGTTCATTTGCTCCAACACAGGTGTCAACAACGAAAAGAAAGATTGGTGGGAGAGTTGTGGCTTTCTGAAATTATATTCTAGTAGATGGAAGAAAATCGTTGAATCTTTTATTGCATTCATCGAAAATATAACGATCATAAGTTAAAATCCAACTCGGTTCCTTCTGTTACCTAAAAACCAACAAAAAATCTAAAAATCTCACCCTCAAAGTGTACTCGATCGTAGTCAAAGCAGGATTGAGATCTGGCGGCTGATTGGTTTCGGAGATCCCGGAATAATGTGGTGGGAATACATTTCTGTTGTGGCAAATGGCACATGTCCATGACTTTGTTCGGTAATCAACAATACTGAAAGAAGACACATTATTTTCATGAAGAAAGACAAACAATTTACAATAATTTAGATCAAACATACCACAGGGGGTTTAGCACCGCTTTGCACTGCTGTTTTTGACATAGCACCGGATCATAATCAAGAGGCGGAAGTGGTGGGAGCTCCGCGGGTCTTTCCTGAAAAGGATTTGCATGTTTAGGTGAAAGAATAGTTCCAAATTTTTTTAGTTTTCTTCACCTAAAACAATTTAAAAACAATATTTTTAGATGGAAAAGAACTGCTGGAAGGTCTAATCTTTCGTATACAAACTCTAAGACTCTCTTACAAGGTCCTACAAATAAAAATTTTGTGAATTTTACCACGACATTAATCGACATTATTTTAGGTGTACCTTCCCCTAAATTTTTAATTTTCGAAAACCCTAAAAGCCAAATTCAATAAAAACCAAAACAAACTTACTTTCAAAGGTGTGAAGAAGACTCCAGGTGGAACCACAAGCTTCTGTGCATCAACCTTGGAGTGCGGAAGCATATTCCAGGAAAACCGAACTCCATCGACATTCTCCTGGTTCAGAAGATAGTCGTCCCAAGAAGCCATGACTATTTCCGGCTCTGAAATACAACAAAAAAATTATTTTAGCAGCACGAAAAGAAGAAAACTGAGCTTGTTTCAGCGAAATATCAATAAAATCGTCATGAATAATAAAACAATTGAAAGAGAAGTGGAAAATTTTTTCTACGCTTTATTTTTATCAAAAATTCTGCTTGGATCATGCCACATCAACCCTTTTTCCACCAATTCTAAAACATTTTCGTCCACGTCAACATTTTTCCGAATTTATTTGGCGTTCTATTTCGCTCTGTTTGTTTTCGTGGCGAGACGCAGAGAAAGCGGCGATGGATGAATTTTTTGTGATTTTTCACGGAATCCCACGGCGGTTTCAACAAAGGGAAAAAATTTCCTTCGTTTGGTCTCGTTTTTGAAGCCTGGCGGCAGCTCGCGGAGCGGAAAATGGCGATTTTAGGACCTTTTTAGTCATAACTTTGTTAGTAAGGGTCGGATTAAAAATCGACCAGAGATTAAGAAAGAGCATTACTTTACTGATATAATGGCATAAAGATTTCGAAAATTGGTTGGATTTAGAGGTATGTTGTTTAAAGCCGAAAAAACCGTATTTTACAACTGGTGTAACATACGTATACGGTGAAATTTGGAAAAACTGATAGCCTAGTTACAGAGCTAAGCTCCTGACAAAACGAACAACACCTTAAATGCAAAAAACGGTGGGATATACTAGGAGTTATAGTCTTTTGAAAAACACCAAAAAATCAGAGGTTTGAAAAACGTCACTAAAACTACAGTATCTTTTTAATGAGACCTTTAATCAAAAATCGACCAGAGATTTAGAAACTTAATCAAACAGCGATTGTTTATACATAAAAAATTTGGATCATCGACTTCGATTTTGAACCATTGTTTAAAGCGAAAGATACGGTAGTCATGGCATCGGCGGAGAGAAATCGCAGTAAAATCGTAGGAATTGTTGACAACCACAAAATTTGCATAAAATAAAGTTGATACGTGAATGCTTTTGACGTTGTTAATTGTACTTAACCTGTAGATTACATTTTTCTTGTTTTATGTTACACTTGAGACAGCTGAACTAACTCAACATGATTTGTATAGGACTCTAGAATATTCAGTAATATGAATTCTAAAAAAATTTACTTGTATTGTAAGACTATGAGGTTACAGTAGGCATACCAAAATGAGTTCTAAAGACCTCTTCTTCCACTTAAAAACATTGTACACTAGAAAACGTTGCGCAAATGTGCTACAAATGTGTCTCCTTGTAATGTCCGACATTCGGGAAGGTAAGTATTTCTATTTTAAACGATCTGAATTTTAAATGAGGTATTTTAAAGCAACAAAGTTGCAAAAGAGAACAAACATTTTGAAACAAAACCTCAATATTGCACATGTGTTTTATGACTGAAATGGTCCATAACCTTGTGATTATGCCAAATTCATTTAGTATCTTCATTGTCTTGAAGAAGAGCGATCGTTGTGAAAAAACTTTCCCATAAACGGAATTCCCACAGGCAAAATGTTTGCACCCGTCAGGTACCTGTAAAGCTCTCCTTAATAATGAAGATGAAGTGTAACTTCCAGGGCAATCTTATTGCGGACTCTCTTGGCTCAGTGTGTTCTTTGATCTTTTTTAGTCTAGTAGAAAAGGAACGTCGACATGCTTTTTATAAGCGGTGAAACATCGCGAACGTAATTATGGAATCCGAAGATTATGATCATCACGGTTGAACCCATACCTCATATTTTTATTTAATTCTATATAATTATGAATAGTTCACCGATTTAGACCCGTTTATATACCGTGTTACACGCGAATAAATTGCTTTTCTTTGTTTTGCAATGTAACTCGAAAAACTTCTATCGTATAACTTGGTCCCGCAATTTGCACGCGTTTCATTTCTTTCTTTTCGAAAAGTTTTTTTCGCCCATTCGAAGGGTTGCTTTGAAACCGCCGTGAATCCTCGAAAAATTAGGGTCTTATAGCTAAAATACGGTCAATTTAGGCGCTGTTGGCAAGTCTTTAATGCTTGTCTAGCCGGAAGATTCGATTTTCTTGCTTTTCTAGGCTAAAAATCGAAAATCAGTCGATTTTTTGCAGAGTTTCGTCGAGTTTCACATTTTATTTTCTTCAAATCTCGTATTTACAATTTAAATTTGTTACTTTGTTGCAGAATCTGCATTTTGGTTGCCTCAATTCTACGTATCCTTCGTTTTGTTCGACAAATCTCGCCATCGGAACATAATCTTTGTCGCTTGTGAAAATTCGATTCAACATAAGTCTAAAAGCGGTAAATTAGCTTGCAAATTGACTATTGACCTGCCAAAATGCACCATTGAGGTTGCTTCATACCAGTCTTAGATGAAAAACGGGTTAAAATCTAGTTTAGACCTCGTTTTGTCATGGGTAATATAAAAAGTGGCTTACTTGGCCTTGTAGACGTAATGATACCACCGTTCTCGCGGGTTTCCTTCGTCAATGAACCTCCGGTTCCGATTGATCCCTTCCATAAAGATTTTTTGCAACTCCGTTTTTATCACCGGTTTAAGAATCGGAATGAGTCAAATGATCTCCTTTCATGTGGGAGAAGAAGGTCCGGCCTTAATTTTATGGTGAAATTCAAATGGAATGTGCGATATTCCGTCAATTTATACAGTTTTCAGAGTTTATTCGACTGGCTTTCCGATTAGGAGTATCCGTTTCTGTGCTTTCATCGCTTTGCTGTGTATTCTTGCATGAGAAATTAGAATGTCTGATATAGCTATGTGTTTTTAGTGAGTTTGTACTTGTTGGTTCGTCGCCAGCTAGGCTGCAACGCTTGTTCCTTCCAGCCAATATGTCCGACATAGTCCTTTGCCCTGAAAAATGACGTCGATTATATTGCACTAGAGGTTTGAGGGATAAAAAATTTTCTCGGACTCTCTTCTCACCTTGATCTCGCTTTCTCCACGTAGTGTTGTCACATATTCTGGATACAGTCTGTCCAGTTCTGTTTTGAACTGGTCGCTGACTTGGATCCTCTGTGGAGTTCCGGTGGATTCCATCCTTGAGGCCATGTTGACCTAAAATAATATTGTGTGTTCGTAATTTCAATCGGATATCTCTGTCACTTGAGCTTATACTCGCAAAGCTACCAATGCTTTGTATTTTTACTTACCGTATCTCCAAATAGGCAGTACCTCGGAGTTGTTAATCCAACAACTCCGGCGGCCACGGGTCCCGTATGCAGTCCAGCGCGGATTCGAATCCTGTCCTGGAGTCTGTGCGGTACAGGGAAGTCCTCCAAATATCGCATGAAGCCCAATGCAACATCACTAACGCTCATCAAATGCCGGCTTCCGTTTTCCTGCGGGATTCCACTCACAATCATATAGGCATCTCCAATAGTCTCAACCTTGTACGCACCATTTTTGGTGATGATATTGTCAAACCCGGTGTACACATTGTTCAACATTGTCACCACCTCTAGCGGAGTTGACGTTGAGCAGATGGTTGTGAACCCGACAACGTCGGTGAACATGACAGAGGCTTCTTTGAACATTTTTGGCGCTACAGCTCTTCCCATTTTTAGTTCGGTGGCAACGTAGCGAGGTAACAGTTGGTTTAGCAGCTTGTCGGCGCGTTCATTGGCTTCCTCCAGCATACCAGTTCGTTCTTGAACGAGTTTCTCGAGGTTATTGGCGTATTGTTCCATCATACGCATCATTTGATCTACCAGACTTCCTTTGCTGAAATTAGGGATCATACTAGGGGATTACAGGACGAATTTCTAGCAGACGGTGTCATGCTGCCGAAAACATATCCTACATCATCTTTGATGCAATACAACGCATAATGTTGCGTTTTATTGCATCAAACATGATGTATGATATGTTTTCAGCCGCTATTTTGTTTGGCACTGCAATTGCTTACACTTTCAAGTAATGCTCGGTATTCAGCCTGACACGCCGAATGCTGGGCCGCAATTCTGGGTTTCTAGACCAGCAATCTTCTAGCAGAGACACCAAATCGGCCGAGATGGTGTCATTCTTCTGGACCTGTGGCCTCACTGTTCTTGTGCCGTCTTTCAAGAAGCCACAGAGATCTAAAAAAACTCCCTTTAGTTTGAACTTGCTCTACGCTTCTGTTTCCTTCGATTCTCCTTGCCTACCTGAGATATTCTGATCTTCGGGGAAGGGCAGTTTCCGTGTCATAATCTCGTGCATGACCATTCCGAATGCGTAGATGTCACCAGCTTGCAGTCTGTTTAGCGCCTGCTTCTGCCAGTTCTGATCCATTCCTCTTCTCTTGTTGTTGTCCCGATTCTGCAGCATTTCCGGCGCACAGTACAACGTGTCTGAAGCGTGAGAATTGTCATCTTAATTTGATGATGAATTAGAGATTGCAATCGGATCTACGGCAATTACAAAAAGGCAAAACTTTTTCAGTCCTCTCATGTTTTTGCGTTTTTATTTCTAAAACCCACTTGTCGCTTGAATAGCGCCACTCTTCTCGTCATCTTCCATTAAGGATTCTTGTCCAATAGCACCTTGTTTCGACCAACGTTCAATGGGGTTGGCGATTCCGTAGTCCGTCAGTTTGATCATCCAGTTTCGATCGATTAGGCAAGACCAAGGTGTCAGAGATCCATGATAGCCGATCTGCGAGGTATGGAGGTATTCCAGACCCTGAAATGGTTGTCATAGTAGTTCCCTTTTTGGTATTTCTCTCTATTATGGAGTTAACCTACCAAAGTAATATCCCTAACGAAAGCGGCATGGAAATTAGTGTCCAGAGATACGTCATCATTGTATATAATGTCTTGAACTGTTCCACGCGAACAGAATTTCCACAAAATGAGCATTTCCTCCTTCTCGTTGAAGGACATCCCAAGGAAAGGGTTCAAATTGTCATGCACTACCAATTTCATTTGGGTCAGGAGGCGAAGGTCGTCCCTAACGAACCTGATCATTCGTTGTTGGGGATAGGCGTGGTATGAGGCATGCGTATTGGTTCCAATGATTGCGTGATGCTTCGCAAATTTGGTTGCGTTACTTAGCTTTGTTCTAGTGGATCCAATGGAAAGCTGAAAACCAAAAAAAGAAATAAGTTTTTCATTGTGTTGGCATTTCCATTGCCTTTCATCTTTCTTACCATAGACTTCAATTCCTCCGAGTTGATGAGCCTTAGGTCCTCGCGGAATATGCGCCACGAATTTTTGTCCAACGCACTGTTCTCCAAGGTTCGACACAGCAAGAAGCCGCAAAGCGCCAGTACTACCGCTGCTATCGCGAGAATACCTCCAACCATGAGCAAGGTGTAATCGCATCTTTCTCCTCTGAATCCGCAATCTGGTTCGTCTTTCGGAAGGCGGCCGTCAAACGAAGGCCAAAATCCAGTGATTGTGTCGTTTAGTCGCTGAAAATGGCATTTATAATATATGAGTTTTCTGAAACAGAAAGTCAGGGTGCGAGCGTCAGCCCAAAAAAGCCTATCGAAAATTGCACAATGAGCAGTTGTTTTCTCACAACGCATGTCGCCGAAATCACTTCAGCGGCTTTGCGAACGGACTAGTAGTGCCGGCTTACCAATTCCATGCAGCTACTCTTGTTCACTAGCCCATCGCAATTCTTGAGCGGCACGGGTGTCATCTCCACAACCTTGACCGTCTCTTCTTTCGTAGTCGAGATATAAAATGCGGCGAAAACCCCCGCTCTCTCGGCCAAATCGTCCATCAGCACCGTGCCGGAGGATTCTCCAGCCGCGGAGACGAGGCCGGGAAACGAGAAGCTTCTCATCCGATTCCAGATCGCTTTTCCATCGTCAATCACGCTTAGTTTTCCCGTCTCACTAATCGCTTTCCGAGCAGCCAGACAGTAAAGTTTCAGCGCGTCATAGAGATGGATATAACCGTAGATATTCTCCTGCAATCGATGGGTATATTTTGCGTGTTCGCCGTGGAACGTTGAAGGCCCCTGGACACTTACAAGATTCAGATCCTCGACGTTGAGCCCGAAGCTCGACACCTTTTCCTTGAACGGCGTTAATAGGGTGTTTTCGAAGCCGGTGGAGTCGTCAATCTGAATTCAGCGATATTAGCCGGAAAATTGCCAACTTACGATAATACAGTTGCCAAAATGGGATTTCACATTGGCCATAGTTTGTCCGTCTGGGCCAATCCACGGAGGCAGATCTTTGGCTTCGGCTTGCAGCCACGGAAGAACATAGACGAATTCTGGGTTGTTCATATCAGCGGCAGTCGCGGCACTCATAAACTCCTTGTTCATGTCGCGGGTGTTCGAGAAAATACAGACAATGACTGAAATCGGTGGAATAAGAGTTAATCATGCTCTTTTGAGGGTACTATCTGATTGTCGGGAAAATAATGGGCTCTCTGTCGCATCAAACATCACATCGAAAATGAATTGTGTCGCGGCAAGATCAAATTGCTTTTCATTTCAGCGACGCGACAGGCGCAAGTCCAGTGTTTTCATTATTTCCCCGACTGCATGACAGAATCTCTGACTCACAATGAGCTATGGGCATTCTACTGAAAAATGCACTTACCCCTTGCACTTTGTTTTAGTTGTTCCATGTATCCAGAGGCCAGAATGTCCTTTGTTTGGCTGTTTTCATCAAACATGACCTTCTTGATGACTTGAACTCCGGATTGGTGCATTACCGCCTCGAAGGCTTGAGCTCGTTCCAACGCTGCGACTCCGTTTTGGGTTACAATTGCAACCTACAATAAAATATGTTTTGTCCGCTTATCCCTACTTTTTGCCATTTGAAATGCTTCAACGCAGCGACAGTGGCTACAGCCATAAAATTGATGGTTCTCAGCGAAACTCTAGCGGTGGTTTTGTAGATTGTCTTGTCGGAGAATGCGGTGCCTGCAGCCATGTAGCCAACGATGGGGACATTCCAGAACGCCGCCATCTTGCTGACTGCGTCCATTTCTACAAAGATTTGGTTAGATAAAATTCTATTGTATTTGGGCTGTATGTTCTACAGAAATCGCGGCTTACCTGCATTGCAGTAGGGGCCAATGAAAGCCTTGACATTCTGCTGATGATACATGTCAGCGCCGACGGCAACACCCTCGAAAGATTCGCCACAACCCATACTGCTGATGATCCTGTAATTATTGTAATAGGCTGTGTGAGCATGCGTGAGATTAGGATGAGCAAAATTTCGTGTCGAAAATCGCCACCGAGAAAATGAATTGTGTCGCGGCAAAATCAAATTGCTTTTCACTTCAGCGATATGATTGGCCCAGCAACATTGCGCTCATTATTTTCCCGACAGCCTTGCGAATTGCCGAGTAACAGGCATTTCGCGCACTCACTTGATGTCGAATTTCTTGTCCAGGACGCCCTCTTTCCACAGCTCCTCGCGGCACATGGCCAAGATCTCCTCGGACTTTGGCATCACGCCGATAGCGCCAATATGGCCCACATTCACAATGACACTGTCCACATTTTCCCCCACCGTCGCGGAATCCATCGGAGAGCTGGTCTCATTGTCGGCCGCATCGATCAACAAGAGGAGTGTTGATAGAAGACAAAGCAAATGCCATGGAGGCCCGGATGTGGCCATTTTTATAAGAATCTAGCGGAATTCTGGATGGATAAGCGCAGTTTTCGGCAAGCTCAAGATGGATTACTAAAAGGAGTAAAGAGTATTAGGGCGAAAGAAAGTCGATAATCAGTCTGTCGGGAAAATAATGAGCCTCTGTTGCATCGAAAAAAATTGCCGACGGCGAAATTAATTGTGTCGCGAGAAAATCGGATTGCTTTTCTCTTCGGCGACGCGATCGGCGCAGCGACAGTGGGCCCATTATTTTCCCGACAGACTGAAAATTTAACGAAAAAAAACAATTTTTCAAAGTAAAAAAAGCTGGCACTTATCAGTATGTCGGGAAAATAATGTGGATTTGTCGGGATTTCGGATTGCCATCATCGCTTTTTCCGACGGCTTATTTCCGCAGCTGCACTCATTTTTATACGTGACGAAAAATTTAGCTGCGACAACCCACACTATTTTCCCGACAGACCAATAAAACCCCCAAATAAGTACACCAAACCGCTCAACACCACAACTGCAGAGTGAAATCGGTCCCATATTCACTAAGCCGTTTTATTCGCCGATTGTGGGCGTGCTTCTTCGGCCTACAATAACCGTAAACGGCTTAATTCCGCCAACAATCGGCGCTTAGCCACCGCGTCCACTTCGTCTGATTGGATTCTGAAGAGATTGTTTTGCACAGCTCGCACCGTGGCTGCGAAGCCGCTTAGGCCGGCCGATAAGCGGCTCCGCACCGAACGCTAAGCTCGTATACTCGGCAATTAGCTAATGTGTTTAGGCTGCGGCAGCGCCGGCATGTGGAAGTTATGAGCCGGCTTAGAGTGGGGGGATTGCTTTAGACATTTTAGTTTTATTATTTTCGTGCCGCGTACTGTAGGTGTGAAATCGTTGGAGCGGGATTTGTCATTAGTCAGGCGGTGGGTGTGGATTTGGTTTCATAGTGTATGTGGTTTGGGTGCGACGTGACACGTACTCAAATGAAATCATATGACTCTCTGGTAGCGATCATTTTTACAGTAGTATTTTCATAAAGTTCATGGACGTCTTTCGTGGCCCGCACCGTGCACAAAAAACCTCCCATTTTGCACTGTGCATTACACCTTTTTTTTGGTCTTGCACTGTGCATGAAACATCGCTGCGACATAGGTTTTTGTCAACTGCGTCGCCGCGGTTTGGCTGTAATTTGCACAGTGAAAACAGCTTTTTTGTGGCTTGCACGGTGCGAAATAGAAAACTGCACTGTGCGTTGGCGACAAGCGTGGGAAACAGTCCAAGATGCACTGTGCGTTGGCGAAAAAATGTCCATGCACTTTATGAAAATGCTAACATTAATGCCCTATTCGTAAAGTGCGTAGACTGGTCGGAGTGGGCTGCACCCTCCGTGGGCAAAACCACCGTTTTAGCGGTGTGACAAATGTCCGTGCACTTGGTGAAAATACGAATACATCATGCTGATGAGAGCCGGTGACAGTTTTAGTATAATACATCGAACTGTTGGCTGTGTCCTCTGGGCCCGTTGCAAGGCAGTGACGAAACTTTTTCGTCTTGATTCGCCAAGAAAAAGGAGGCCCACAACTCGCTCTTTCCTTCTGAACTTTCCGTCGTCCCAATCGTGCTTTTAAAAATGCAAATAAAAATCGGAAAAAATTTTTGGTTCACCCTAATATTACATGGGCACTGTCGCATCCGAAAATCGCATCGCCGCCGAGAAAAAGAATTGTGGCGCGCCAAAATCAAATTGCTTTTTTTCGTCAGCGACACAATCGGAACAACGACAGCGCTGTCATTATTTTCCCGACAAACTGATGGCTTTTCAGCCGCACCACAATGTCCTTACGTTGGATTTGCCAATCCCTGCGCACTTTTCTTCCGCCCTCATCAGTCAACATTGAGGCGTCCCGGCTAACCGTCTAAACAGTCCGATAAGACAGTAATCTTACAGGGGAAGTACTCCAAGTGTGACACTCAGATTTTGACGAAACTTGGCACAAATTTAGAAAAATTTTTTTCTAAGATATGTGCGAGAATCCTAGCTCGCGCTTTGCAGAAACAACCGAGATTTTTAGATCGAAAGTCGGCGAAAATTTAGGGCTTTTTGCCGAATTTCGGCACGAAAAGTTTCATGCCTGTTTCTACCGTAAAGGATAATGTTTCTACAAAAAATCAAATTTTTCCGCACGAAACTGCCAAAGTTATGGCCAAAAAGCGTTTTTCTCTCTGACCGCTCCACGTTTAGCATGCTCTCTCGGCGGCGCCCGCAAAGCGCGAGCTAAAACTTTCAGGAATTAATATTTAGTCCATACCCGACGTGTGTGCAAAATTTAAGGAAAATCTGAGCGTCGCACTTGAGGTACTTCCCTTGTAAGTCTTGATTTGCTTTTGATTATTAGCCCCTATCTTCGCAGTCCGATCAGCTCAGTTAAGCCGACGTAATCTGAAATGCCCTATTCGCGACCTATCTTTCAGCAAAGTCGAGCGGTTTATTTCCGGGAAAAGAGTCGACGAGGAATTTTGGTGTCCTTGAATGACAAAAGTATGCTGCCGGAGATTCAATCTTACCTTTGTCATCATCTGCCTTTCACAAAGCACATGCTGCAATTCTTCTTTTTTTTACACACTACGTAGACTCAAGTGGACATGGTCGGCCCGAAGATCTTGGCCGGGCCGTTTCAAATTTGCTTCGGCCCGCGACTCATGTCTAGAGTTAAGTGGATATTAGACTGTGCGTTCTGTATATGTTATTTCGGGTCCTGCCGCAAGTGGGCTCTCCTGACAATAACTCCTTAAGAGTCTTATGTAAATCATACAAGGATTAACACGAATCTCTCATTTCTCTGGTCTGGCGGATAAGCAATTTCGCAGGGGCTGCGACAAGGCCCTGAGATGAAACAGTTGTCGTAAAGTTTGTAGAGTTTCCATAGTGCGCTTTTGTTGCCCACACCACTGCAACTACCCGTTCTTGCATCAGCGACGTACACTTCTCTACGAGCGCAACTCGCGAGGTCGCCGAAAAAAAGTAGTTTATGCCGCGAGTAGCACATATATATAATGTATGTCAGTTTGTCGGGGAAATAATGTGCACGCTGTCGCTGTGTACAGCGAAGATTGCAGCTGTTCAGTTCGGCCGTGGGAAAAATAGCTGACTATCGGGAAAATAGCATGCGCTCTGTTGCATCGAAAATCACGTCGGACGTCAAACTGAGATAAGCTAAAACAGTCCGTGCATTGGCAATTTCCCAAAAAAGGTCGGGAAAAAACGTTTTGTCGGGGAAGAAATGGGGAATTTTGGGGGCGAGAGAGTACGTTTTTGCGCGTCTTTTCTCTGCCTTCTCTGCGAAACCAAGACGAAGTGTAAAAAACCGATAGCAAAGAGTCTATTCCGCTCACCGGACTCCTCAGTTTGACGTGCGTCGCTGAAGTGAAACGCTGTTTGACTTCGCCGCGACACAATTCATTTTGAATCGCCATTGTGCTCACTACAAACGCACTGTGCAAATTCTACGGATTTTGTGGCGCGAGCCGTATAATGTGTGACTCTTGACACGCATGTATGACGGAATAGACGGTGTGGAAAGTCGACGAATTTCCGTTATCAAGATCGAAACGAGACTCTCTAAGATACGAGAGGCTTATTGGCGTGCGCTTTGCATATTCTGACTTTCACGTGCATTCAGCGATTTTTTCAACAATTTGGGAATGTCGCAGTGGCCAAATTTTTGGAGATTCGGTGGGAATTTTGATGATACTAGTCGCGCCATGAAGTCCGTTGAATTTCTGAAGTACTCCAAGTGCGACGCTCAGATTTTGATGAAGCTTGGCACAAATTTAGAATAATTTTCTCTAAGATATATGCGAGAATCCTAGCCCGCGCTTTGCAGAAACAACCGAGATTTTTAGATCGAAAGTCGGCGAAAATTTAGGACTTTTTGCCGAATTTCGGCACAAAAAGTTTCATGCCTATTTTAACCGTAAAGGATAATGTCTCCACAAAAAATCAAATTTTCGAAACTGCCAAAGTTATGGCCAAAAAGTGGTTTTCCCTCTGACCGCTCTCCACGTTTAGTGTGCTCTCTCGGCGACGAAAATCTTCCAATATCTCAGCGGCGCTTGCAAAGTGCGAGCTAAAACTTTGAGGAATTGATGTTTAGTTCATGCCCGACGTGTGTGCAAAATTTAAAGAAAATCTGAGCGTCGCACTTGGGGTACTTCCCTTGTGAGTTAATTTCATTTTTTTGCCCGCGCCACTGCGACTTCCGGTTTTTGCACTCGCGACATGCAACGTCCGTGGGAAAAATTCTACGAATTTCATGGCGACCTTTTCAAGGTTCATATCATACGATAAAAGCAATGTATTTGGTGTTTAAAAAATGCGGGAAAATTGCTCGTGGTTCAGGGTAATAACATGCTGTTTATCAACTTTCAATGAACCGAAAAAACATGGATGTTTCACGGCTCGACCTGAATGAATTCCATGAACATGTAATACGTTAAAGCATTAAACACTCAACTTTTAAAGGTCGAGCAGACCTTTGAATGGACGATGATTTTGTTCGGTGGACTCTATTTTTGTTTTGAAATTATTTTCGTGTCAAAGAATTGCGTTTAGGCGGCGTTGCGACACATGCGGGCAACCACTTTGCGGGCAGCTAGGAGAAATACGGAGACAAATTGCAAGCGACAAAGACGAGTTGTTGGTGGTCATGTAAATAGCAATTTTTCCCCCAAATCGTGATTTTCGGTGCACAAAAAAGCCGACGCCCAAATCGAAAAATTGGCATCGACTTACACGGGAAGTACCCCAAGTGCGGCGCTCAGATTTTCTTTAAATTCTGCACACACGTCGGGCATCAACTAAATATTAATTCCTGAAAGTTTTAGCTCGCGCTTTTCAAGCGCCACCGAGATATTGAACGATCTTTGCCGCGGAGAGAGTACGCCCAATGCGGAGAGCGGTCAGAGAGAAAAACGCTTTTTTGGCCATAACTTTGTGGAAACATTACGCTTTATGGTAGAAATCGGTATGCAACTTTTTGTGCCGAAATTCGGCAAAAAGTCCTAAATTTTCGCCGACTTTCGATCTAAAAATCTCGGTTGTTTCTGCAAAGCGCGAGCTAGGATTCTCGCATATATTTTAGGAAAAATTACTCTAAATCTGTCCCAAGTTTCATCAAAATCTGAGCGTCGCACTTGGGGTACTTCCACTGTTAATTTTTTCAGCATCGAATTCCGAAATTCGGCGCTGACTTATTAGTCTTCGGTGCAGACTTGAGACTTTGAGCACTGATTTCGAAAAACGGGCGTTGAGTTTAAAAAAAAGCGCCGGATTTCAGAATTCGGTGCCGAGAAAAAATTAAGTCGACGTAAATTTTTTGATTTGGGCGTCGACTTTTTTGTGCACCGAAAGTCGCGATTTGGGAAAAATTTTTTTTTAAATACTTACATATATGACCACCTTTTATGTGTAGAGGCTTGACTGTGTTGCAGTTAAATTTAACATCAAAGTAGATGTGAAAGGAAAGCTGTTACTGGCGGACTTTTAAAGTGTCTGCAAAGGTTGCGGGGTTCCTCGGCAACGGCAACCAGCGGAGTAACCCGCCACGTTTTGGTACTTTGCCCATTAAATTTCCGTGTGCGTAAGTGGCTTGAATAGTTGACGCTACGACTTTTCGGGTCAGTGACAGGGTCAATAATACTATGGATCGCGCCGGTTCGTCGCTGTAAGCATGGAAGAGGCTAGGAGAAGGCTTAGTTAGTCAAAATATAATAATAAGATTGGTCTGGTTTTAGGATAGCTTATTACTTATTTTGAGGCATTTTACATGTGTTCACATCAATACTATCTAGATAAAAGTCACATTTCTTCTTTTTTTTGCCCCAAATTCTGGTCTTTTGAATATTACAATAACTCAGGGTAAAGAAAACTAAGGTCGTTTATAACTAAAATTAGAAACAGTGATTTTATTGTAAGTCTCCGCCATGCATCCGCCATGTCTCCGCCGAACATCCAACGACTTTGTCAGGCGTCATAGGCATTTTCTACAAGCCTTCTTTGGGTATCCACCTGCCTTCCGCCTCGTATCAAACAATCTTCTATTGACCCGAACCGTGGTCGACCTGAAAAGTCGGGACGCGAATGGTTAAGGTTAACCATGCATTTTTAAGGGCTCAGGAAGCATTTTTTTGGAAACAAATTCGTATAAATTTGAAAACAGTGGGTGAATTCAATAGGTTCGCGTACTTGCATGTACCATGGAGTTGCCATTTAAAAACATTCCTATGGGTTTACATATACTACGTATATTACGGTAGAATTCAAAGTTGGGTAGTTTTGGAGTTCGAGGGGAGAGCTGTATTCAAAAGCAATAAAAATTGTAAAATACGATGATACGCATGGTATTGTTTCTTTTAAAAAAATGTAAAGACTTGTAGATTTGCCTTGGAATCGTCCATCATCTCTATGTGTCTTAGAGACTTTTCGAAGAGGGTATTTTTTAATTAAGCAACGAAATTCGACCTATAAACCGACAATTTTTGCCACTTTGAGACTTTGCAGCCCGTAAGTGTTATTTTAGACGTGCGATTTTCAAAGTTCAAGAAGTTGGTTTTTAGGTTAATAGGCCATGCATTTAAGATAAGCCGCGTTTTAGCGGGTTATGAAGTGCGCGGAAACATAGCTCTCAGTTCGAATTTTGTGTCGGAAAAGGATCCCAAATTTTAAAGGATATTGCTGTTGAAAAAGTCAAGAAAATTGAGTGAAATGTGGGTAATGGATTCGAGATTTTTTTGTCATGATAATTTCGCTGAAAGCCGCTTAATTCGGAGTAGTCCAGAGATGCAATTAGATTGTGGTGTTCATTTTTTTCAAAGTTTTGAAGGGGAGATATCCTGAGCAAAACTCTAACTCTCTTTGAATTTGTATCGTAAGATGGGAACCTTTGAAAAGGTCGACAAATCATCGAAATTTCAACCCCATGTCAAACATCTATAGTATACAGAACCTCGGCAAAAACACAAGTTTTTTTAGTACTGTGCAATATTATCAGTCTGTCGGAAAAATAACGGCGGATCGTCGCAGCAAAATGTCTCGCCTCGCCGCTATCGCGCACCAAATCCCAAGCAGCGGCTTGCAGTCGCAAAGCGATGATGAGCGACTACGAGGAGCGACGATCCGCCGTTTTTTTCCCGACAGGCTGATATGTTTTTTGCACTGTGCAAAGTTTTTCGGAGGTCGTTCGCATTCTGAGTTCTTTCGCACGGTGCAAACGTCAAAAATCATTTCGGCGACGCGCACTGTGCGAAAACAAAAGTTTACTTTGCACCGTGCGATAGACTTCTTTGAGCTGTCGCTCGCACTCTGAAAGTCCCGGCCCGGCCCAAAAAAAGATCTGTTTGAATCATTTTGAATGGCAATTCTCCCGCCATTTTTGCAATATTTTGGCATTGTGTTTTTTGGTTTTTATTGGCTGATTTTAGGGCGTTTTATCGCCTCCAGCAAAGCAAAAAACGTTCTCAGTCCTCACAGCGCCTCAAACACGTCTTGTTGCATAATGCCAAACGCCCAAAATTGGCATCCCAATTTTTCGTTTCAAAATGAAAATTTTTTCTTATCTGAAAGGGGCTGGCCACAACCGTCAAGTTTATGCCAAAAAATATTAAAGAAACGATCGCTAAACTACAAAATTCAGGTCAAGTCGTCCAAAAACCTTGACGTATATACATTCGATTAAACCTTCAATTATGTAATGGCATTGGTTATTTTGTTTTTTATTATTAAATAAACTCGTTTAAAAAACACAGTAATTGCGACAAAATTAGACTAGAAAATTCATAAAATTTCAATTGAAAGTTTGATTATTGACATGAGATGCATTGGACGGGAATGTACAAAAGATATATGTTCTCTCTATCAGTGGGGTACCCAAGTGGAAAATTTCTATTTTGATGAAATTTGGAGCGAATTTAAAAGAATTTTTTGGGATACTTCTAGAATTTTTAGCACGCGCTCTGCGAAAATTCCGGAGATTTTTTGGTCGAAAAATGAAAAAAAAAAAAATTTTTTTTTGAAATTTTGAACTTGAGACTGTCTGTGTTTATTGCTAATAATTAGTAAAAATTTTTCGACAAAAAATCGATTTTTTCCGAGAAAAATTCGCCCAGATATAACCAAAAAACGAATTTTTTTGTCTGACCGACTCTCCTCATTTCCCATGCTCTCTCGAAAAAAGCTCGCTAAATTTCTCAGCTGCGCGTGAAAATCGTAAACTAAAATTAACATAGGTTACTATGTAGTCGATGGACAGCATTTTTGCCAAGTTTCAAGAAAATCGAAAATTCAACCCTTGGGTACCCTCTAAAATATATCTACGAATATAACTCTGTAAAACTACGAAAATTATCCGTTATGTTGGGTGAAGATCATGTTAGAGCTCTCTGATGGGCGAATTGTTCAATTTCGATAGCAGAATTGTAGGCATTGATCCAGCATGCAGCAATGTTCTTTCAGTTCCGAGATTTTGCAACCCTCCTTCTCGCAGCACTTCTCCGACAGCTTGTGGAAGGTCTGCTTTGTGTATTTGTCTGGAAAAAGGAAGCTTTAGGATTTTGAAGGAAGCAAAAGATTTTTTTTTTGAATTTTTTCCGCGAATTTTTTCGAAAATCCCGGCTGAGATCAATTCTATTATATTTTCGGGATGACGCTTGTCCGCCCGGAAGGTCGCCGGAGTGATTTTTGAAGCTTGCACAGTGCAAAACAAGGAAATTGCACAGTGCAAAGTGAACTTTTGTTTTCGCACAGTGCATGTCGCCGAAATGATTTTTGGTCTTTCCACAAAAACAAACGTCAGGGTGCGAGCGACAGCCCAAAAAAGTCGATTGCACAGTGCAAAGTGAACTTTCGTTTTCGCACAGTGCATGTCGCCGAAGCCAATTTTGGCCGTTCCGCAAAAACAAACGTCAGGCCCAAAAAATTCGATTGCACGGTGCAAAAAGCAACCTTGCACAGTGCAAAATGAACTTTTGTTTTCGCACAGTGCATGTCGCTGGATTGGTTTTCGGCGTTTGCACTGAAAAATTAGGGTGCGAGCGACATCTCAAAAAATTGCACGGTGCAAAACAAAGAAATTGCACGGTGCAAAGTGAACTTTTGTTTTCGCACGGTGCACGTCGCCAAAATGATTTTTGGCCTTTGCACTGTGCGAAAAAAGGTCCAGGTGCGAGCGACAACCCAAAAAAGGTCGACTGCACGGTGCAAAAAGCAGGAAATTGCACAGTGCAAAATGAACCTTTATTGCGTCCTCTCTCGGCCGCAAAGATCGTTGGATATCTCAGCTGCCACTACAAAGCGCGTGCTAACATTTTCAGGAGATGATATGTGGACTATGTGTGCGCAAAACAAAAAACAATTTGAGCGTCGCACTTTGAACACTTCCATGTTTTACATGTCATAATATATATTTAAAAAATAATTTAGAAAAAGAAGAAATACCCCCAAAGCCTTGTTTAAAAAAGGCGATAACATCTTGTTAGGTAGGCTTAAATTTCAACACGCGCCAAGACCTGTAATCCTAAAACGATCTCGCATTTTGTTTTCTCGCAAGATCCGATATCGCCGGATTCCCGAAATCCCAAATTGCAACCCAATTCGACATCCCTACTACACGACGACTTGTGTAGTATGAAAGGTTAAAAATATAAAAAAAAATACGCGGAATTTTTAAATGCGCGATGCAAAAATTAAAATTTTAGCATTTTCACAAAGTGCCTGGACATTTTTTCGCTTTCGCACAGTGCATCTCGAATTTTTGTCGCTGTGAATTTTCGCCTTTGCGCACCGTGCATCCGGCCTGAAAGTGCGTTCGCACAGTGCATTTTCCTCTTTTCGCACGGTGCAAACTTGAAAAACTGGTTCGCGCTGTGCGAATGATTCGATAAAAATCGCAGCGACGCAGTCAGAAAAACGCTTACGTCGCGGCGATATTTTGGATGCACCGTGCAAAAACAAAAAGTGCACGGTGCAAATTGGAGCTTGCACGGTGCATTTTGCCTTATGATGTTTGGATGCACTGTGCGGTAAGATGGATTGGTCTGTCGGGAAAATAATGAGCACAATTTAGTCGCGGCGCACGTCAATCCAGCGCATTTCCTGAACCGTTTCGAAACTTCGTATCGTTTTCATTGGTTTTAAAAGAGGGACGAAATGTCGCGAAATTATCGGCACTTTTTCTCGTCCGAAATAATTGCTTTTTCTCGAAAAGGAAGAAGAAAGATAAGAAAATGCGTTTTATCGGATAGTGACATTTCGTTTTGACGAATCACCAAAAAGGGGCGGGAAATTTTTTCTTCTATTTTGGATTGACGTGCGGCGATCATGTCGCCAATCTGAAGTGAAAAGCGATTTGATTTTGCCGCGACACAATTTATTTTCTCGGCGGCGACGCGATTTCCGTTGCGACAGAGTGCTCATTATTTTCCCGACAGACTGATTCTAGGATTTCTATTGATTCATGATGGATAAAATTCTCTTTTTTGGCCTTCTACTAGCCCCATAATTAACAAATCCCAGCTGTTCTTACCTTTCCATTCCGGCTGATCGAAGTAGAATTTGTAGCAGGGCGTCTTCTTTCCAGGCGCTGCACAAAACAGGTTCGCCATTTGTTTGAAGTCGTCGTCGCAGGCTTGTAGTCGCAAGCGATCCGGGAAGTCGCTGACGCTCTGTTTAGAAAGGTCGAAAGTCTCCGCCGACGTGGATAAATCCACGTTGCAAAGGGCGAACAGCACTAATAATGGTGTTGAACGCATGGCGTGTTGGGCTAAAAAATGCAAAAGATTTTTAGTGTAAAATACGACCAAAATTGCTTCAATTTTCATTCGCGAAACTGTGGTCGAATTAGCGATTTATCGCCAGAATTTGCTCAGAAATAAGCTTAATGGGCGCTAGAAGTGTTGCATGAAAAAATTGTCTTTTAAATAGCCCATTACCGCAACGAAAGAAAAGAAAAAATCTTTTTTTTGTGCAAAAATGTCTGGACTTTATGGCGCGACTATTAGTAAACAATGTTTCCAAGATAGACTGGACGCAACCGGGAACAAAAAAGATCGAATCCGTCGCAAAATTGATTGACGAAGAAGTGACGATGAAGACGAAAAACGGTACAAACAAGGTCACTGTTAACGAAAAACTTCAACTTTTGATCAATAAAAATCAAGAGAGTCGGAAAATTGAACAGCGGAAATTTCAACTCATAACTGAAGCTTCGGCGAGGTAATGCGTAAAAATGAAAAAAAACATTGCAAAGAAAGTTCGCGCAAGCCTCAGAATTCAATGAAAATTGGCGCAAGTTTATAATAGAATAATTTTTTTCAAGAGATATGCGAGATTTCTAGCTTACGCTTTGCAGAAAAAAACCGAGATTTTTAGTCAAATTTTTTGGCTAAATTTGGCATATTTTTTGCAAATTCTATTCATGAAAAGTTTCATATCTATTTCTACCGTAGAATAGATCTTTTCCACAAAAAATCGGTTTTTTCCGCGCGAAACTGGCAAAAATATAGCCAAAAACATTCCTCTTGCCGCTCTCTGTATTTTTCGTACTCTCTCGGCCACAAAGATTGTTGAATATCTCGGCGGCGCGTGCGTAGCGCGAGCTAAAACTTTCGGGAATTGATATGTGGCCTATGCATGGCGTTTCTGCAAAATGTAAAGCAAATCCAAGCGTCGTATTACTTAGGGGAGGCGGTGCTCAGTTCATCTATTACCCTGGTTCGTTTCAATTAAGCCATGACAAAACTTGGCTAAAAGGCGAGTTCAATGGAACAAAAGATCAATGCATAACATACGTTTACAGTACAAACTCCTCTCGGAGAATTTACATTGTTAAAAAGTACAAACAAGGCAAACAAATGGCAGTTCTCTGAGGATTCTCTGAAGACCACAGGCCATAAGTTTGAACAAATATGTTGATAAGTAAAATGTATTTTCATAAAGTGCGTGCACATTTTGTTCGTTGCATTTGGAATTTTTCCTACGCTTGTCGCGTAGGAAAAATTCCAAACAAAATGCACTGTGCGTTAGTATTTAAAAAAATACTAACGCACAGTGCATTTTTCCCTTTTCGCACAGTGCAAAAATGAAAAAACAGCCGCTGCACCGTGCAAAAGTACCATGCACAAAAGCTCCCACTTTGCACGGTGCCTTTCGCTTTTTTGGATTTGCACCGTGCATTTGAAATATCGCCGCGAAATAAACTTTTTTCAAATGCGCCACACGTCAAACCGGGATGAGCTAAAACGGTCCGGTGAATGGATTGGCAATTCGCCAAAAAAGACGCGAAAAAACTTTTTGTCGGAGAAGAAATGGGGAATTTTTAGGGCGAGAGAATACGTTTTTGCGTGTCTTTTTTCTCTCTTTCTCTGCGAAATCAAGGCGAAGTGCAAAAACCGATTGCGAAGAGTCTATTCCGCTCACCGGACTCCTCAGTTTGACGTGCGCCATCGCGGTTTTGTGTCGCGCGAGAAAAGTGGCAAGCTCGCGCGAAAGTGCATGTCGCTAGCGCAAAAACGGGGAGTTGCCGCGACGGGTCCAAAAGAAAAACAAAAATGCACTGTAAAAATTTCTCAGGACTTTATGTCGCGACTATAGCCTTACGAAAAAAAATGAAAAATAAAATTTTCCCAAGGGCAATCCGAATTGATACGAAAAAACAATCTTCTACTACTAGCCGTCCCTCTTCATCTTCCGTGTTCTCTCGGTAAGAGGTCGCCGAATCTTCGCACTGTGTGTGGTCGCATTTTGCGGTCTGTCGGGAAAAAATGAGCCCTCTGTCGCTGCGCCGATCGCGTCGCTCAAGTGAAAAAATTGGTTTTGCCGCAACACAATTTTTTTTCCCGGCGGCGATGCGATTTTCGATGCGACAAAGTGCTCATTATTTTCCCGACAGACTGATGGACATGTCATACGTGTGTGAAAAATCGTGCAAAAATTTGAGGAAGCTATATCGAACGCTCCAGCGAGAAAAAGTGGATTCCTCGCGCTTTCTCCCCCGATCTTCGATGATATTGCTGGAAAGGCACAAGTCCGACCTCTGGCTTGTCGAAATACCCCTCTAGACACATGTAACTCAAGAAAACTGGGATAGCATATCGTCACCTTCACTCATTTTCCCCCCACTTAAATACCGCGCGCTGATGCTTGTGGGGCGTGCGAGGGAAGACGGATCAACGACGTCTTTCACACCTCCTCTCCGCCCCTTAGGCATTTTTCAACCGGAGAGAATGGAATCAGATTAGAAGGAGGGAAAGACTTCCTTTTTCTGGCCTCGCGCTTCGCAGCTTACGCCCTGGTTTCCCTGCAGACTGCGAATAAAAATAGGAAACAGACTAAGCGCTAAACTAAGCCTAAAGCTAAGCCTAAACTAACAGGGGAAGTACTCCAAGTGCGACGCTGAGATTTTGATGAAACTTGGCACAAATTTAGAGTAATTTTTTCTAAGATATATACGAAAATCCTAGCTGGCGCTTTGCAGAAACGACGGAGATTTTTAGATCGAAAGTCGGCCAAAATTTAGGACTTTTTGCCGAATTTTGTATTTCTACCTTAAAGCTGCCAAAGTTATGGCCAAAAGGCGTCTCTCTCTCTGACCGCTCTCCACGTTTAGCGTGTTCTCTCGGCGGCAGAAATCGTTCGATATCTTGGCGGCGCCCGCAAAGCGCGAGCTAAAACTTTCAGGAATTGATATTTAGTCCATACCCGACGTGTGTGCAAAATTTCAAGAAAATCTGAGCGTCGCACTTGGAGTATTTCCCCTCTAAGCCTAACCTGCCTTAGCCTGAGGCTAAGCCTAAGCCTGAAATTCCTTGCAACCAGAATCGTTCGGGCGCAAGCCGCAAAACTATCTTTTCGCTGGGGCCAGACAAAGGAAGTTGTACCAGAAGGAGTAGTGGCCCGGTTGGCCAGAGATTGCAGTTGTTGGTTTAACGAATGAACAACAGCAAGAAGATTTGGTAGTCGAGAGTCGAGAGGATAACGGCACAGAGTAGTTGACCGGTCAAGACGGAGAGTTTATTTTCTCAAAAGACGAGAAAAAGAATGAGACAAGTTGTGTATTCTTGTGGCTTTTACAGCCGAATCCATTATGCAAATTCGGCACTATTGCCAACAACAGTTGAGTAGAAATACGTTGACCTCGATTGTATCAGAGGGGACAGTCGTCGGGACATACCTGTCCTCCTCTGTTGTTAATCTTGTATTTACTGCTACTATTTTTCGGATATTTGGGCTTGGATAAATATTTATTGTTATCTCGCGGCCTTATTCGGAATTTATCGGAGTTTTTCCGTGTTCACTTTGACCGAGAAGCGAACGCTTTGTTCCTGATGTCGACCTGCTTTTTCCACCTGCGCTAGTCATTTTCCCGAACCCTGGAGGACGTTCAGACCATTCCCTCGTTAGCTGCAAATATAAACAAATAATCTCGCTGGATTCGGAGAAGACAGGGGCTGCGATTTTTTTTGAGATCCCCATCAAGGAGGTCGACGAAAAACCTCGAGATTTGTCGAATTTTTGAGGATTGCAATTGTTTTCCACGTCATACCCACGCAAGTGGAATTCTGGACGGCGTATTCGACAAGCTGAACTGCGCAGGAGGCGTAAGCCCTCGGTTTTCAATTAATTTTTGGTTATCTGGATGCTGATCGCGCGCAGGAGTGAAGGTTATTTTATACGAAAGATTATCTGCGCAGGTTGAAGTACATCTCGAGTTCGACGCTTCTGATTAACCTTATTTCCCTCTCTCCACGTAGCACCGGGATTGCTAAGCGGAGACTTCTCGAATTTTAAATGCCCTTGTAGTGGCAGCCGAGATATTAGCATTTTCACAAAGTGCTGGGACATTTTGTCGCGGTCCGCACCGTGCATAAAAATTCGCAAGGTCTTGCACCGTGCACTCACCTTTTTTGGTCGTGCACTACTGCACGGCAACCCGAAATCGAAGAAAAATGTCTCCCGCCCACTTTTGAGTTTCGTTCAAACGAAGTGTCAAAATTGACAAAAGAAATAAAATAATTCCGAGAAAAATATTTTTCGGTCGGAAAACCACACGAAAAATTCTTTGATGACGTTTCGTTTGATTTCAACCGATACAAAATGGGCTAAAATCTATATGATATTTTCTCAAATTGGCGACAAAAAATCAAGATGCACTGTGCGAAAGCGGAAACATGTCGTTGAAAATACTATCAGTCTGTCGGAAAAATAACGGCGGATCGTCGCGCCTCGGAATCGCCCATCATTGCTCTGCGACTGAAAGCCGCGGCTGGGGATTTCGTGCGCGATAGCGGCGAGGCGAGACATTCTGCTGCGACAATCCGCCATTATTTTCCCGACAGACTGATAATATGTACTAGTCGCGCCATAAAGTCCTGACACATTTTGACGCGGGTGTCGCGCGAGATGATTGGCGAGCTCGCGCGAAAAATGCATGTCGCTAGTGCAAAAACGGCGGGTCCGAAAGAAAAATAAAAATGCACTGTGCAAATTTCTCAGGACTTTATGTCGCGACTAGTATTCAGCGATCTTTGCGGCCGAAAGAGATGAAAATTGAAGCAATTTTGGCCGTATTTTACACCAAAAATCCTTGTATTTTTTAGCCCAACACGTCATGCGTTCAACCCCATTATTAGTGCAGTTTGCCCTTTGCAACATTGATAAAACCACGTCGGCGGAGACTTTTGACCTTTCCAAACAGAGCGTCAGCGTCTTCCCGGATCGCTTGAGACTACAAGCCTGTGACGACGACTTCAAACAAATGGCGAACCTGTTTTGTGCAGCGCCTGGCAAGAAGACGCCCTGCTACAAATTCTACTTCGATCAGCCGGAATGGAAAGGTAAGAACAGCTGGGATTTATTAATTATGGGGCTAGTAGAAGGCCAAAAAAAGAGAATTTTATCCATAATTAATCAATAGAAATTCTAGAATCAGTCCGTCGGCAAAATAATGAACACTCTGGCAAAACGAAAATCGCATTGCTGCCGAGAAAATGACATATGTCGCGGGGAAAGCAAATTGCTTTTCACTTCAGATTGGCGACACGATTGCCCCGACGAAATTGTGCTCATTATTTTCCCGACAGACCAACGCATGTTATCGCACCGTGCGCCCAAACATCATAAGGCAAAATGCACCGTGCAAGCTCCAATTTGCACCGTGCACTTTTCGTTTTTGCACGGTGCATCCAAAATATCGCCGCGACGTAAGCGTTTTTCTGACTACGTCGCTGCGATTTTTGTCGAATAATTCGCACAGTGCGAACCGCTTTTTCAAGTTTGCACCGTGCGAAAAGAGAAAAATGCACTGTGCGAACGCACTTTTAGGCCGGATGCACGGTGCGCAATGGCAAAAATTCACGGCGACAAAAATTCAAGATGCACGGTCCGAAAACGAAAAAATGTCCAGGCACTTTGTGAAAATGCAAAAATTTTCGTTTTTGCATCGCGCATTTAAAAATTCCGCTCAATTTTTTATATTTTTAATCTCTCATACTACACAAGTTGTCGTGTCGTAGGGATGTCGAATTGGGTTGAAATTTGGGATTTCGGGAATTCGGCGATATCGGACCTTGCGCGAAAACAAAATGCGAGATCGTTTTAGGATTACAGGTCTTGGCGCGTGTTGAAATTTAAGCCTACCTAACAAGATGTTATCGCCTTTTTTAAACAAGGCTTTGGGGGTATTTCAATTTCTCTTTTTTTATAAATTATTTTTTAAATATATATGTTATGACATGTAAAACATGGAAGTGTTCAAAGTGCGACGCTCAAATTTCTTTTCATTTTGCGCACACACCTTGCATAGTCCACATATCATCTCCTGAAAATGTTAGCACGCGCTTTGTAGTGACAGCCGAGATACCAACGATCTTTTCGGCCGAGAGAGGACGCAATAAAAGTTCACTTTGCACCGTGCAATTTTTTGCTTTTTTCACCGTGCAATCGACTTTTTTGGGGTTTTTTCGCTTGCACCTGGACTTTTTTTCGCACAGTGCAAAAACTAAAAATCATTTTTTATGTATATCAGTATGTCGGGAAAATAATGAGCACAATTTCGCCACCCCAATCGCGTCGCTGAAGTGAAAAGCAACTTGACTTTGCCGCGACACAATTCATCTTCTCGGCGGCGATGAGATTTTCGATGCGACAAAATGCATTTCCCGACAAATTTCACAGAATATATAGGCCATTACACAACATATACGTGTAATAAGAAACAAGTCACGGGATTCGGCAAACAAAGAGCTCATAAAACCCGTGTGCAATTTGCAACCCTACGCCCGGTGACAACAAAAATTTGGCCCTTCAAGCGGTCACAAGATGTGGTATAACGCAAGTTGCTGATGCCAACATTCTAATCTTACTTCGCCAAGGCCTAAACTAGTTTTTTAATGTAATCATTACCATATATTATACTACAAACTGGAGGATTTTGGAATAATAGAGGGATGTTTCACGTACAAAAAGGGCACTAACTCGAGTTAGCGGCATCACGCAAAAAGCGGAGAGAGCAGAGAAAAAGAGGAGTGGTAACTCGAGTGACCTGACTTTTTATCGACTTTGGCCGCACATTTTGGGCCATTTGCGTAGTTTCAAAGGAAAATTTACAAATTTATATGTGTATATTCTGTGTACCGCCAGCATTAATATTTTTTTTGGAAGGGCTTAAATTGGTCCACTGTATCAAAAGTTATGGCCTAAAATGTCCGGCCAAGTCCATAAAAAGTCGCCCGATTCGCCAATCAAAAAGAAGAGGGATCACTCAAGTTACCTTTCCTCTTTTTCTCTGCTCTCTCCTCTTTTTGTGTGATGCCGCTAACTTAAGTTAGTGCCCTTTTGTACGTGAAACATCCCCTAGGTCTCAAACTATATACCATTGGATAAAGTTAGGAGCAGTCCGGGTTTCCTTTGCGAATTCAGATGGAGGTTTCTATAATAATTGTAATAAATTATAACCGCTAGTACCGGGTACCAGAGAAGCTTGGTACCTGGTGACAAAGAGTCCTATAAATTTTGACACACTGTCGATTTAGATGACAAATTGTACTATGCGGAAAACACTTCGAAGCCACCCAAACCGTGACTACATTCCACAACCACCACCGCTTTTCTAGAATGCTTCATCATGCAGAGCACGTACTACAAAATATACTTTCCTTTCTGCTTTCAAGCTTTAGTTCGCACTTGTTACATCAAAACGCTGTAAAACGTGCTTTAAAAAAGTACAAAACTTGTAAGAGATGAAGAAATACGAAAAAGGATGACAATTTTCGTATGCTTCAAACGCAAAGACTTTTGGTTCCTTTGGACGATTTTTGGACGATTCTTTTGTAAATTTTTTTGGTCCCACATTTTGCCTACTCTTTGCTTGCCTTTTGCAGAGAAGCCCGGGATTTTTCGGTTGAAAGTTGGGCAGAACATAACAATTTTTGGTGAATTTGACCATGAAAAGTTTCATGCCTATTTCTACCGTAATGGGTAACGTTTCCACGAAAACACGGATATGGGTGAGTACCAGAGATTGCCACGGCTCCGGAGCCGGAAATTTTGGGTGCGCCTCCGGCTCCTGAGCCCAAAGTCGGAGCCAGGCTTCTCAGCGTTCAGAAAAGTAAAAATTTCGTGATCCTGTTAAACCAATTTGCTTCAAAAATACTGGGAAGGATGTGTTGCGTACGACTTGGCTGCAAAAACGTTGGCTATTTGACCACAGGGCACTAATAACTTTTATTTTCGAAAAAATATTTTTAAAAAAATTTTGCACGGAGCCGGGAGCCGGAGCCGGAGCTGCAAGTTTGGCCTTGGCTCCGGCTCTGGGAGCTAAGAGCCGGAGCCGGAGCCAAAATTTTGACCGTGGCAATCTCTGGTGAGTACTACTAGTTGTTCCTTCAAGATGCACTGTGCGAAAGCGAAAAAATGCCCATGCATTTTATGAAAATGATAAAATTTGTTTTTTCTTTCGCACAGTGCATTTTAATTTTTTTTAACGCTTGTCGCCAACGCACAGTGCATTTTTTTCTCTTCGCACCGTGCAAACCACAAAAAGCCAAGTTTCATCAAACAGCAATGTCTGCACAGTGCGCCGTTGTGCCAGAAGTTTGTCGCGCCGCGCCATGCAAAATTCACGGTGCGCTGCGACCCCGCACGGTGCAAAAAGATCGTTTTCAAAAGGGCAAACAATGCACAGTGCGTTCTTCTCGCGCACTCCGCCAAATTTTTATCGTGCGACATCTCGTCGCAACTCCGAATTCATGCGCGCGCACGGTACGAAAACATGTCAAGGCTATTTGGCTCGAATAGTAAGAGTATTTCAAAGTATAGAAAATCAGTTATTCCCACCCAAAACCGGCGATAAAATGAAATGTAGAGGAATAATCTACGGTTCGTATTCCCTCCGTTACCATTCACAGTAGACTAGACTTTAACGCCCCCAATGAACTTTTCCCGGAGCCCGCGTTCCGAACGTATAATCTCATCCGAAAGGTGGGCTCGTCGACATTTTGTACTCCGATCCGAGTGAACAGAGAGCAGAGACCATCGGGAAATTGGATAATAAAAAACAACGAGCTAATCGACCGTGCCTTTTCCGAATACCGTAGCCGCGGCGCGTGGATAGACGAATGACATTCCGAAAATTTCGAACCGCACGTCGGCGATGCTCCCTTCAGAGGAGTGCGAAATATCAAAACGTGCAGAAATTTAGACGCCCAGACATACCGGCTACAATTCGACAAACTCGAAAGATTTGACAAGCAAAGTGCACGTGGCGTCGCGGCCCTTGTGGCCAACCATTTATAGCTGATATTTAGGGATTAGAAGTTACGATTTTTTTTACCGTAATCTGCGTAGTGTGATAGAAATTTTGGCAACAACCTGGTACAGATAAGTACAGGAATCTGTTGAACTCATCTACCGCTTTGAAAGCTATAAGAATTTGTGTTTACAAGCTAAGTACTTCTATGGACGATTTTAGGAAAAATCATCCACGGAAAAGGAACGCAGCGGCTTGGGTGGGCGAAAATTCGACGAACCATTGGGCCCGGAGAAAATTGTAACCGTCGCCGGATGTCTGAGGTACATTTTCGATACGCTGGAAGAGATTTATGTCAATGGGACCACCGAAGTTAAAGGGTGACATTTTTTTGAATTTTACCAGGAAAGTACTTCTATGGGGTATGAAGTTACAGGCCGAGATGCACATATGTCAAAAAATCGTAAAACTGGCAGGCCAGGAGAAGAATTGAAGTTGAGGATCGACCGGTCGAGGAAGACGAGAAGACAAAGAGAAGGAGTCTTTATTGGACACACAGAAGGAAAAAGTGATTTAAAATGATGAGATCCGTATCTTTTATAGTGAATTGGAGAACTTATGCAAATTTGGGGCTTAGCGCCAACAAATCGTAAAAATTTTCTGATTCAGAATATGTAAAACGTAGCTGCCCAATTTTGGTTTGTAAAGGCGAAAAAACCCTCAGAACGTTTCTTGCAACCACGAAAATGCCCATTTTTACATTGAAACTACTTATTTTAAAAGGTGCAGTATTAATCAAATTAGATTTTTAAAGGCTTGTTGATGCGCCAGGGTTTACTTTAGCTCAAAACAAAGCTTCTGAATTGATAAAAAATGGGTCGAGGAGGCATTTGCGTGGTGCTGCAAGGAAAGTTCTGATGATTTTTTCGCCCCTACAAACTAAAATTGGGCGGCTAACTTTTACATATTCTGAATCAGAAAAATTTTGTGATTTTTGATATATTTTTCAACCAGTAACTTCATACCCCATAGAAGTACTTTCCTTGTTAAAAAAATGGTAAAAAATGCCTGGCCAACCTAATGGTGGCAAGTCAAGCCACTTATACCCCAGGAAACGTATAATTTGCAACCTCTAACTCTCTAACTGCCAGATCCATCGCTTGAATTTCCTAAGCAAATTTTGGCTGATATCTAAATATGTCCGCAGAAATGACTCCATGGTAAATTCTGCGGACTTCTACGCTATCACTCTTTCGCATCTCGCTGTTGAAAAATCGATCCCCTTAAAACTACAAATAATTTGATTTTCATGCCATTTTCTCCTCCATCTCGCACAAATTTGCAGAAATACGCGACGAAATATGTTATGATCTGGATACGTTCCCCTTGTTTGCACGAAACATCAATTATGTTTGGGTGGCATTTCTCTTGTCCTTTGGTCCACCGTGACCCAGAGTCCAAAAGGTCACATGTTCAAGGCCAATGAATTGGGTCGTGGTAAAAGCAAGCTGTTTATCACTTCAGCGACTCGATAGACAACTTAAACAAAAAAGCGAATCGGCGTAGCGACAGAGGGCTCATTATTTTTTCCAACAGACTGGTATTAAACAGCAGGGGAAGTACTCCAAATGAGACGCTCAGATTTTGATGACACTTGCCACAATTTAGATTATAAAGGGAAGTACCCCAAGGGCGACGCTCAGATTTTCTTTAAATTTTGCACACACGTTGGGCATGGACTAGATACCAATTACTGAAAGTTTAAGCTCGCGCTTGACAAACATCGCCGAGATATTCAACGATCTTTGCCGCCGAGAGAGCATGCTAAATGCGGAGAGTGGTCAGAAAGAAAAACACTTTTTGGCCATAACTTTGTTAGCTTCGTGCGGAAAAAAATTATTTTTTGTAGAAACATTATACTTTACGGTAGAAATAGATATGAAACTTTTTGTGCCAAAATTCGGGAAAAAGTCTTAAATTCTCGACGACTTTTTATCTAAAAATCTCAGTGGTTTCTGCAAAGAGCAAGCTAGGATTCTCTATATATTTTAGAAAAAAATATTCTAAATTTGTGGTAAGTTTCATCAAAATCTAAGGGTCCCACTAGGGCACTTCCCTTGTAAGTCTAGGACATATGGGAGACTCCTAGCTGGCGCTTTGGAAAAGGCTAAAAAGTGTTTTCCACAACCGAGATTTTTAGGTTGAAAGTTGGCCATAGAGAGGAATTATTCTACAAAGAAAAAAAAATTTCCACGTCAAACTGCTAGATACGGCTATGTTTTTCTCGGACCGCTCTCTGCGTTTCGCGTACTCTCTCGGCCACAAATATCATTTCATATCTCGGCTCTCCCTGTAACGCGCGAGCCAAAACTTTCAGCGATTCATACCTGGCCTATGACAGTAACACACGCCAAATTTAAAGAAAATCTTACCGTCGCAATTGGAGCTCTTCCACGACAAACAAAAACGCGATTGGCGAGCGCTAAACCGCGAAAACAATCGCATTCGGCGCCCTGTTTGCGGAACCTTGTACTTTAAGAGCTCGGCGCTGCATCGCGTTGAAAAGGACCAAAAAGCGGCGAGATAAGGATAATGAGAGGAGATAAGCCCAGACACTTTTCGAACGGGATTCTAACCACACAGATCGACCCAACTTTCGGACACAAATTTCATGCGACTTCGACGCTGAAGAATTGCGACTTTTTTGCACAATGCGGCTCAGAGACGGCGACAAATCTTTAAGCGAAAGTTGGCTTTCGTCCAGATATTTATAGGGAAAATTATTTTAAATTCAAGACATCGTCTATGCAATGATCACGTATCTTTGGATACCAATCTCAATGCGGATTTCGGTAGGGATATGACCTATATTAACTCCATGATATCAGTCTGTCGGAAAAATACAGTAGGTGACCAGATCCAGTCACAAAAAACGTACTATTTTGCATCCGGGAAACATCAAAAATGTGGCAAAATGCTTCCCTCTCCAGGTGAAAAAACCCCGTTTTGAAGGGCGCGCCCTCAATGGCTAACAATTTTATTGTATTTGCAATTATTTTATGAAAAGCTACAGGCGTAATACATATCAACAACAAAGAAAGACCCAAATAACAAGGACACTGTAAACTTCTCGTTATTTCCACCCTTAGAGCGGTTCCCACGCCGCAAAAATCGCGATCCAAGCTAGCAGTACTGGCCTTTTATAAAGCCGCCATGACGCTTTGACCACTTCGACCACTCGTCAATTACGTACGGCCTTTTGCGACAAAACTTTCATCGTCATACTGTTATATATATATAGAACACACAGCGGTCCACTTTGAAAGGTCACGAGGGCGGAACCCGAAACAAATTTATGCTCCAAAAAACATACTGTATTCCAAATAAATATTATATTTCAAGTGGGATGGGTCAAGGACCAGAGGGATGGCGTTCTGTAGCTTATCAGTCTGCCGGGAAAATAATGTTGTATCCTTCACTGTGTAAGTGTGAAGGGCTTGATGTCAGCCAATGTACGATGGATAATAAATATAGGTTTATTATCAGATAGAAATAACAAGAGACAAAACACGGAGATTGCATTCACCGAATAATGAAAAATAACCACTGAAGTCCTATTTCTCTTCCGAGCTTCGAGAAGCTTCGAATGAAACGGAATGCCAATACAGTAATCGTTGTTTACGTCTCGGGACAAATAATGTGGAGTTGTCGGAGAAAAGTGAGTCTCTAGTCGCGGTTTGCCATGATAACCGATTCCAAGCCGCAACCAATCCACGTTATTTTCCCGACAGACTGAAATACAGTGGCGGATCTTATCCAGTGGCAAGAAACGTAACATTGCGCTCATTTTTGAGCAAGACCGCAGCGGCGCAGTTGAGAAAAGCTTACGACGCAGCGATATCAGTCTGTCGGAAAAATAACGGCGGGTCGTCGCGCCTCGGAATCGCCCATCATCGCTTTGCGACTGCAAGCCGCGACTTGGGATTTGGTGCGCGATAGCGGCGAGGCGAGACATTTTGCTGCGACGACCCGCCGTTTTTTTTCCGACAGACTGATATTTCAAATGCACAGTGCAAAACCGAAAAAAGTTGAGTGCACGGTGCAAAAAATCAAGGATGTTTGTGCACGGTTCAGAGCGACAAATGTCCAAGGCACTTTGTGTAAATGCTAATATTAACCAAAAGTTTAATTTATGAAGATTTCAAGACCAACTTTATGCAAAGGAACTTAACCTTTCAACAATTCGCATTATAATAACATTCACAAACAATGCCCAAAGCAAAGATTGAAGAGTAATAAATACAGCATCATTTTATAATTGGATACGACAAAGGCACGACATTATTCGGTTTCATTTAGCAGTGGTCTACCCCACTTGAAAATAAAAGTCTATTCATAACAACAATAATTAAAGTGCGGTTAAAGTTTCAACGTGCAGAGTAATATGTACCACTAGTCACGTTATAAAGACCCAACATATTCGTATGTCGCGCGCGAAAATAGAAGTTATCTCGCGTGAAAGTGCATGCCGCGACAAATGTCCAGGCACTTTGTGAAAATGCGAACATTTTCTGCGGCTCTGCACTGTGCACGAGCTCGAAAAAACACTTTGCACCGTGCACCCGGTCCAAAAGTGCGTTCGCACAGTGCATTTTGAACATTTTCCCACGCTTGTCGCCAATGCACAGTGCATTTTTCTCTTTTCGCACGGTGCAAACCACAAAAAAACCGTTTGCACTGTGCAAATTTTTCACAAGGAAAGTACTTTTATGGGGGCTCCTACTTTTTGACGGGACATATCTCAAAAAATCAGAAAAAATGCGCTGATCAAGGATATATAAATCTTAGCTGCCCATTTTAGGTTTTTAAGGGTGAAAATGCCCAAAAACTGGTTTAATTTCCCTACAAAAGGCAGACATTCGAAACGATAAAAAGAGCACTCGATCTCTTCCTTCGGAAGAGAGCGGTGTGGCCGAGTGGTTAGTGTCGTAGTCTGGGAATCAAGAGGGGGGACGCCGCACAGGTTCGATTTCCCTTTTGGGCTGAATCAACTTTTTTGAAGTTGAAGGTCGGAAAAATAAATTTTTGGGCCAAGACTGTCTTATTACGTCTTAGAAACTCAATAAACACCATTTTAAGCCAAAATAAAAATTGTAAACCTTTGAAAAAATTAAGCGAAAAGGGGTTTATATAGGACTTTAAGTCAACTTCCGACTGAGTTTTCACCCCTAAAAACCTAAAATGGGCAGCTAGGATTTATATATCCTTGATCAGCACATTTTTTCTGATTTTTTGAGATTTGTCCCGTCAAAAAGTAGGAGCCCCCATAAGAGTACTTTCCTTGTCAGAAAAACCCACGTTTTCGATGCACGGTGCAAAGCCGAAAAAAGTTGAAATGCACGGTGCAAAATGGCTCTTTTTTGTGCACAGTGCGGAGCATGACAAATAATCAATGCATTTTATGAAAATACATACTATTAGCATTTTCATAAAGTGCATGGACATTCGCTTGAAAAAACATATGCACTGTGCAGTTGATTTTTTTTGCACCGTAGGAGGCACGACAAAAATTATTTTCACAAAATGCATGGACAATTTGTCACGGTCCGCACTGTGCACAAAAAACACAAAATAGTTTCTTTTTTGAATGGTAAAGGACGAAGGCTGGGAAACATTGAAATACGTGTCATTCCACATTCTCAGTTGATGAGCCATAAAAATTTGTAGTCAAAATCTTGTGTTCTTTTTTTTTGTATTCGCACTGAAATTATGAAACTACCGCCGTTTTAATAAACGTAATAATTACTGTGCTGTAACAATTCACGAGTTCATTCAACTAACTATTTTTGACATTCAACATTTTATCGAGTTACTGTAGTGATGAAGAAATTCATTGTTACTTGAGACCAACTGCTCTTCGGTCTTTATTGTACATGGAATTTTATTAACAAGGGAATTTTATGTGCTTAAAAGTACCACAAGTGCGACGCTCAGATTTTCTTTAAATTTTGCACACACTTCGGGCACGGACTAAACATCAATTCCTGAAAGTTTTAGCTCTCGCTTTACCAGCACCGCCAAGATATTGAACGATCTTTGCCGCAGAAACAGTACGCTAAACGCGGATAGCGCTCAGAGAAAAAAAATTTTTGCCCATATCTTTTCTAGTTTCGCTCAGAAAAAAAAAATGATTTTTTTGTGGAACCATTACTCTTTACGGTAAAAATAGGCATGAAACTTTTCGTGCCGAAATTCGGCAAAAAGTCTCAAATTTTCGCCGACATTCGATCTCAAAATCTCGGTTGTTTCTGTAAAGCGCGAGATAGGATTCACACATATCTTTTAGAAAAAATTGTTCTAAATTTGTGCCAAGTTTCGTCAAAATCTGAGCGTCGTACTTGGGTACCTTCTCCCTGAAAAAGTGTGTGTAAAATTTAGATTACTTCTTTCCATGACGTATGCAAGATTCGGCTCTGATTTCTAATAAAAATGAAAGGATTTATGCAGTGCGCGACAAAATTATAACCGCACTTTGGAAATTTTGGTTTTTTCAACTTTTTTTCAAATTGGGGAAATTTGCCGAAATAATATTTTGGCACATGATTCGTAGCATACCAGTGCATATTGGTGCTAAACATGACACACTTCTATTGGCAACCAAAAAAGTTACAGCAATTTCTAAAGTGAGGTTATAATTTTGTCGCGCACTGTACAAAAAATCAATTTTTTCCGCGCGTAATTACATATTAGAACTATGACCAATGCCCGTTTTTTCCCTCTGACCACTCTCTGCATTTCGCCAAGGCTCTTGTCGGCAAAGACTGTTCGATAAATCGGCTACTGTAGCAAATCGCAAAAGAAAATTTTCGATCAGTGATACGGTACACATGTCCAACTTCAAAACCGAGGGAAAATCTAATAAGCGTCGTAATATTTACCTCATCTTTGTCATCGTATACAAACTACAGGCAATGCCAACTACAATTTCATTTGTGATAAAATACAAAACATATGCTTCGCCGAGCTATTTATAATGAACCACGCGTTTCGTAATTTGGCTCCAATTTCAAGCGAGGCTAATGAATTAATAACTCTTTTATATGTACAACAAACGGTGAAAATAAAAAAGCAATTGACCTGCAAAATATAATGGATTCTTTCCATTACAGTGACAGTGACGGACCTGATCCAGTGGCAAAAAAAACGTTCCATTTTCATCCGGGAAGCATCAAAAATGTGGCAAAATGCTTTCCTAAACAACGGAAAAAACTTTGATTTGAAGGGCGCGCCCTTTCCCTTACGAAAAGGGCGGCGTTTTGCCACATTTTTGATACTTCCCGGAGGCAAATATTACGTTTTGTTTTGCCACTGGATCAGGTCCTTCACTGTATTAGCATTTTCATGAATCATGGATTGTGTGCCGCGGTCTGAAATTCCCAGCCTTGGCACTTTTTTTTCTCCTCAAAATATCAGTCTGTCGGGAAAATAACGGCGGATTGTCGCAGAAAAATGTCTCGCCTCGCCGCTATCGCGCACCAAATCCCCAGCCGCGGCTTTCGGTCGCAGAGCGATGATGGGCGATTCCAAGGCGCGACGATCCGCCGTTATTTTCCCGACAGACTGATAAGAACCATTGCTTTTCAAATCTGAGTTTTTTTTCACTTGGAGAGGGAGGTATTTTGCCACATTTTTTGATGCTTCCTGGTACGTTTTTTGCAACTGGATCAGGACCCTACTGTATTGGACTTTTTCCATTATTTTTCCGAAATTTCCAGATTAACTTACTGCCCGCAAAAACCCTAAATTGCAAAAAAAAAAAAAAATTATGTTTTTCATTTTCAGCGACGATTTCTTTTACCACAAAAACCCATTCCAATCCTTTTATTAATCTTTATTTTTACACCATTCCAGTCTCTTTCAAGTTCTGTGTGACGATTCGATCCAGCACGGCGTCGAACAATTTCTGGACTTGTTTCGTATCCGTGGCGCAAGTCTCGTGCACATAGAGGGAGTTGGGGTTTCTATAGACCTTCTCGAAACGGGATCGGATAAATTTTATGGCATTTTCGTAGTCCATTCCACCTAAAAATTGCATAAATTTTAAAGGGGACAAAAAATTTTTACAAGGAGAATTCTCCAAAGGGCGACACTCAGATTTTGATGAAACTTGGCACAAATTTTGAAAGTTTTTTTTCTATGCCAAGCGACTCTCGCGCTTTGCAGAGAGACCGGTATTTTTTTACCAAAAATTGGCAAAAAATGAAATTTTTTTTTTAAATTTTTTTTTTCGAATTTAGACATCAAAAGTTTCATGCCAATTTCTACCGCCAAGGACAATGTTTCCACAAAAAATCAATTTTTTCCTCGCAAAACTGGCAAAGATATAGATCAAAAAAGTGTTCCTTCTCTGACCGCACTCAGCCTTTCGCGTGTTCTTTCGGCCTTAGAAATTGTTGAATATCTCGGCTGTTTCTTCAAAGCGAGGGCTAAAATTTTCAGGAGTTTCTATGTGGCCTATTCGGAACGTGTGTGCAAAATTTTAGAAAAATTTGAGCGTTGCACTTGGGGGTACTTCTCTTGTTAATAAATTCGTACAAAAAACCGGAAAAACTTTTTAAAATTTTAAAAAAACCTGTTACAACTCACCAGGATATTGTTTGTAAAGGACTGTTAGTGGAACTTTTTTGATTTTTTCTCGGAATAAATCAATTTTATTCAAGAATAATATTGTTGATGTCTTTAGGAAACACTTGTTGTTTACCGACTCCTCAAAGACTTGGAGCGCTTCGACCAGTCGATTCTGAAATTTTTTTTATCGATTTTTTACAATATCCTTTTTGAGTGCCTACAGTTTCGTTGTCCTCGCGACAAGTCTGATCGTATTCACTGATGGCCGCCACAAATAGTAACCCGTTCACATTGTCGAAGAAATGAATCCATTTTCGGCGTTCGGAGCGCTGCCCGCCAACGTCGTATATTCTGGAAAAGACATGAGTTCAATGGATTTTAAAAAGTTTGTTTTTCATCAGTCTGTCGGGAAAATAGTGAGCACTCTGTCGCTTCGAAAATCGTCACCGAGAAAATAAATTTTGGTATACGGTGTCGCGGTCTGAGCAGAATTTTCGGCCATAAGAAATTCCCAGGACTTTTTGCCGCCTTTTGTCAGTCTGTCGGGAAAATAATCGGCACAGCGACAAATACTCACTATTTCCCCGACAAAGTGAAACAATTTGCCTTACTAATCAACATCCAAATATCGCCCAAAAAGATTAAGACTTACGCAAAGTTAATGTCATTAAATTTAAACTTGAACTCCACGACTCCAGTCGTCGCGACTCGAGCATGGAGAATATCTTGATTGGTCGGTGTGTACGCCGGATCGGCCACTCGATCGATACTATCCAAGAAACTAAACAAGTGCTTTTGTGTGAAATCTGACGACTATTTTTGAGCTTACTGTGCCACCGAATCCGAACATTGGAACCGGCTCCGGTGCTGAAACGCCTCCTTCACGGTCTCATCGGACCACAAACACTTGACGGCGTGTGCAATGTCCTTGGGGAAAGTGAGGAAGTGTTCGTCGTTCTGCGCGTACCTTTCCACCATCTCGACGTAGCTCTGCAACACTTTAAGGCCGTTAAAATTCAAGGGAGAAGTGCTCAAAATGCGACGCTCAGATTTTGATGAAACTTTTATACAGTCATACAGATTTATACAGACAAAAAATCTATGTACAACAAATTTCAAGCGGCAACAACGAATTCCTCGAACTCACCTCGAATGTCGGGTTATTTGAGATCAAATTGAGGTCAGGCATTGCTTTGACAATCTCCAGAATTCCCAAAGCAATATTGTTGAAGACAACGGATCGCTTTTGTTCCAGTTCATACTTTCCAAATCCGTCGTTGTGAAGAATCCTGAAAGAAAGGGTGGTCTTCAAAAATGAACCGGTCAAAGTGCGAGGCTCAGATTTTTTTTTTTTGAATCTTGAACACACAGGAACCTTTATACAACTAGCACCAAATGCAGAAGCGGTTCTTCCCCAAACTGCTGCTGAGATTTATATTGAACCAAACGTTGGTTGAAGGTAGGTTGACATATTCTACCTTTTTTGAGACTTTTTAAATCGGGTGACAAAAATCGCGTTAGAAGGCATCGAAATTCTAGTTGTCAGTCGGCCGGTAAAATAGGGGTATCGGGTCGTCGCACGTCAAACTGAGATAAGCTAAAACGGTTCGGTGAATGGATTGGCCATTTGCCAAAAAAAAAAGACGCGAAAAAACGTTTTGTCGGGGAAGAAATGGGGAATTTTTTGGGGCGAGAGAGTACGCTTTTGCGTGTCTTTTTTCTCTCTTTCTTCGCGAAATAGAAGAAGTGTAAAAAACCGATAGCGGAGAGTCTATTCCGGTCACCGGACTCCTCAGTTTGACGTGTGGCGTACAACGATAAATAATAATAATTTAAAACAAGTAAATGCTTTTGCTTCCTTACAATTTCTTGTATTTTGCATACAGTATATGTATCAGCCCGCCAGGAAAATAGCTTAGATTCGTAACGCCTTGGAATCGCCCGTCATCGGCTAGCTGCAGCAGCAACTTTGGTTTTACCTTTTTTCGACGAGGGGACACATTTTACGACCCGCTACATATTTTCTTGACGGACTGATATTGCACTGTGCACTGCAAATATCGCTGCGACACTAGCTTCTCCAAACTGCATCTACACGGTTTTGCTCAAAAATTTGCACAGTGCAACTGGCTTTTTTGTGGTTTGCACTGTGCGAAGAGAGAAAAATGATCTGTGCATTGGCCGCAAGCATTGGAAAAAGTTCAAAATGCAATACGCGAAAGAAGAAAAGGTCCGCGAACCAAAAAAATATCAGTCTGTCGGGAAAATAATGGCCTGTTGCATTGAAAATCGTATCGCCTCCGAAAAAATGAATTGTGTCGCGACAAAATCAAATTGCTTTTTATTTCAGCAATATTATCAGTCTGTCGAGAAAATAACGGCGGAACGTCGCGCCTTGGAGTCGCCCATCATCGCTCTGCGACTGAAAGCCGCGGCTGGGGATTTGGTGCGCGATAGCGGCGAGGCGAGACATTTTGCTGTCATCTCCGCTAATCCGCCGTTATTTTTCCGACAGCCCGATATCTTTGCAGCGACAAGCACTCATTATTTTCCCGACAGACTGGATACTAATATTACCAAGCTGTAGTCTAAATTTGTGCCATATTTCATTGAAATGTAAGGGCCTCACTTTGAGCACCACCACCCTTCATTTATATAATAATATATCTAACCAAAACTCGAAGAGCACTTGGCCTTTTACACAGTTCAAAAGAGACAAAAATGTAAGGGAAAAAACCGCATACAACTCACTTGATTTGCTTTACGAATGTGCTCTTGCCACTTTCGCCGGGCCCTGAAAAGTCATATGGAAAGTTCGTTTACAGTTTGCACGAAATTTACGAGACCAACGACTGTAAATTGTATGTATGTGCACCCACCAAGAAGCAGCAGTTTCTGAAGCGTTCGAATTTCTTCTGTTTGTACGATCTCTTTTTCAATTTCCTTGGACTTTTTGAGCTGCGCTGCCGCTTCTTCGCTTTGACAGCCCAGAATCTGGCCCATTCTCTGGAAAGATGGCGATTATGTAACGAGAAGGCGTGTCATGGCAAGCCGTGTTTTATCAGAAAGCACGAAAATTGTTGTTGTCAGTCTGTCGGGGAAATAATGAGCACTTTGTCGCATCGAAAATCGCATCGCCGCAGACACAAAAATGAATTGTGTCGCGGCAAAATCAAGTTGCTGCGACAAATCCACTTTATTTTCCCGACTGACTGATTTTGATTGAAACCCCTAGGGTCTAATTTCCATCATGTTCAAAACGATTTGTCGCTGCGAAAAATAGGAATCGCGCGCAAGACTTGCACTGTTTTTTTTGCGTTAAAACGCTCTGTGAAAAGCGCTTTTTTCGCGATGACGAAAAATATCGTCGCATCAAGAATTAATTTTTAACAACCCGCACTTGGGACATTTTCAGGACTCTGTGGCGCTATTATAAGCATTTTCACAAAGTACCTGGACATTTCTCGCTGTCCGCACCGTGCACAAAAATTAGCGAGTTCTTGCACCGTGCACGTCAAACTGAGACAAGCTAAAACTTTCCGGTGAATGGATTGGCAATTTGCTAAAAAAAGACGCGAAAAAATGTTTTGTCGGGGGAGAAATGGGGAATTTTTGGGGCGAGAGAGTACGTTTTTGCGTGTCTTTTTTCTCTCTTTCTCTGCGAAATCAAGACGAAGTGTAAAAAACCGATAGCGAAGGGTCTATTCCGGTCACCGGACTCCCCAGTTTGACGTGCCGTGCACTCACCTTTTTTAGGTTTGCAAAGCGAAAAAATGTCCAGGCACTTTGTGAAAATGCAAATAATATCATACCACCCAACCTTTTATTGTTTTGAGGCACTAGTTCAGAGAAAAAAGATTGAAACCCCGTATTTTACAAGTTTTGAAAGCCCCTGTCTAGTACAAAAACTGAAATGCCAAGAGAAACGCAAAATCCCAAATGAAAAACAAGCCCCACGAAGCATCGCTAGTGCTAAGCCAACTCATTCCCCTCATTAAGCAACCCGACCCCTCACAAATCACACACCCTACAAAGAACAGCACAATGCAAGCAGAAATTACAACATTCACGGCCACCGAAAAAAGAACTGAAGCACTGCCCTCTGACACAAATGCGGAGTATTGCGGAATTACGAATTGAATTACCGGCCCATTGAACTACGAAATTGTTTATAAGAGCGAAAATAAAATTAGTCTATAATAACAGGGTCGCTCGCGGACCCGTCGATGAGGGCTTTATTGTAGGGGAAGGACGTTCGAGAGAAGGCGGACGTGCTCATTTTAGCATTTTCACAAAGTGCCTGGACATTTGTCGCGGCGCGCACTGTGCACAAAAGTCCCCCATTTTTTGCACCGTGCACTGAACTTTTTTTGTTTTTGCACTGTGCATTTGAAATACCGCTGCGACGCAAGCTTTTCTCAGCGCCGCCGACGCGATTTTGATCAAAAATGTGCACAGTGCAAACGGTCTTTTTGAGGTTTGCACGGTGCGCAAAGGGAAAATTCCACAGTGCGTTAGCGACAAAAGTTCAAAATGCAATTTTGGCTATTTTTGGCATTGTGTTTTTCGATACTTTAGAGCTGCCGGAACAAAAAATAAGTATTGCCACGTGGTTCAGAGTGTCCGAATTACTTCAATTACTTTTTAAAAATCGAAAATTGATCAAAGTTGAGCTGAGATAAGGTTTAGAAAATGTGCCCAGTAGTTACTATAAGGTTGAAAACACGATTTTGAAGGTTGAAAAAACCTCTTTTTGAATAATAAAATTGTTTATAACTCAGAAACTACTGCGTGGATCGGGATGAAATTTGGCAGCGTTGTCTAGCATATAGATAGACATCTCCACGCAAAATTTCAGACCTATCCGATTATTGTACAAAATTTTACCGTAGTAAGTGTTATACGGTAAAAAAATGGTAAATCCAATTTTGACTCCAAAATGTGCAGCATAATCTGAGGAACAAGAATATATATTATTTATAGTGTTTGTGCCACATCAAAACTGATTTCCAAGCGATTTTAGTATATGATCCCGATATTATCCATGACGATGTTGTTCCTCCCAAAGCTAAGTCGGGGGTAAAAATGGTAACAAAACGTTGTAAACGTGCCAGCAATTCAGATAATACACAAAAATTGGAGATTTGAATGTTATGGCAAGGACTTTTGTACATATCTTTGATTTTTGATGATTTTTTGTTTTTTCAAGAATCAAAATCTTCAATTTACGTGTAAGGGGCCTGTAAAGACTTTTAACATGTCAGACAGACCATTTTAGGAAGAAATCCATCTTTCAAACACGGCAGTATACAACAAAAATAATTCCAGGGGTAAAATTATATTATTCATGATGACTTGATGTTATTCTGCAAAACCCGGTGTATGGAGGAGGTGAAACGGCGGGTTTTATAGGTTCTAAGCGAAGCTTGAACCATGACGGACATCAGGAAGCCAAGTTAGTCTTACTGCATGCTCTAGATTTAAAACTAAAAAATTATTTTACATTATTTTAGTGTCAAAAATGTATAAAACATGCCAAACTATGCCGATTTTTATGTTTTATACATCATTCTGGTTCAGTTTTTCATAAAACCCTCAGGACTGACCGAGAAAAGTCTTTCCTACCACTCCAAAGGAAACAATTCCTGCAAAAACAGAATGCCAAAATCAGGCAAATCAGCGAAATACGGTACACGCGAAATGTCCTGTTGATTAAAATTTGTCGGAGACACTTCGCGTGAATTCCAATGAAAATCCAAATCTCACGCGAAGTGGGCACCGAACAAAAAAAAATTACACGCGAAGTGGGTCCCGGCGATTTTTGGAAAGTCACGCGAAGTGGGTATTATGAACCTCGGTGACTACCCACTTCGCGTGAAACCCATTTAGCGTGCACGCGAAGTGGGATAAGCGTCTCACGCGAAGTGTCCCACACGCGAAGTGGGTAACACTCGTGCATGTCGCCGATTTCCGTCCGGCGACTTTCCGGAAGGACTAGTACTTTTAGACGGGACATACTAGTCCGTTCGTAAAGTCGCTGGAATGTTTTCGGCGACATGCACTCCGCGCAACCGAAAGTTCACTTTGCACTGTGCATTTTTTGGCTTTTTGCACAGTGCAATAGGCTTTTTGGGCTGTCGCTCGCACCCTGAGTTTTCCTGCACAGTGCACGTCGCCGAAATCATTCCAGCGACTTTACGAACGGACTAGTATCTCAAAAAATTCGAAAGATTGTGCTGATCCAGGATATGTAAAAATTGGCAGCCCTTTTTTGGGTTTAAGGGTCGAAAATCCCCCAAAAACTGGCTTAATTTCCCTACAAAAGGCGCAGGCATTCGAAACGATAAAAAGCGCGGTCGGACTCTTTTTGCACAAGAGAGCGGTGTGGCAGAGTGGTTAGTGCCGTAGTCTGGGGATCAAGAGGAAGACGCCGCACAGGTTCGATTTCCCCCTTGGGCCGAATCAACTTTTTTTTGAAGTTGAAGGTCAGAAAAATAAATTTGCATGCCAAAACTTATTTATTATGTCTTAGCAAGTCTAGAAACATCATTTTAAGCTAAAATAAAGTTTGTAAACCTGTGAAAAATTAAGCGAAAAGGGGTTCATATAGGACTTTAAGTCAACCTGCGATTGATTTTTCACCCCTAAAAGCCAAAATTGGGCAGCTAATTTTTACGTATTCTTAATCAGCACAATTTTTCGGATTTTTTGACATATGTCCCGTAGGAGCCGCCATAAAAGTACATTCCTTGTAAAATGAAACTGAGCACAAATTTAGTCTGACTTTTTCGAACCTTCAGGAGAAGTACTTTCCTAACAAAAGATGTAACTGCCACGCTCAGATATTCATTTAATTTTGCACGTTTCCCGCGTAGGGATCATAAATAAATGCCTGAAAATTTTAGCTCATGCTATGAAGAGGCGGCCGAGATATTCAACGAGCTTTGAGGCCGACAGAGCATGCGAAATGTGGAGAGTGGGTGAGAGAAAATACGTTTTGACCATATCTTTGCCAGTTTCGCGCGGAAAAAATTGATTTTTTGTGGAAACATTACTCACTACGGTAGAAATAGGTATGAGACTTCTCATGGCCAAATTCGCAAAAAAAATGTCAAATTTGGCCAAGCTTTGACCTAAAAATCCCGGCCCTTTCTGCAAACCGTAAGCTAGGAGTCATACTAGTCGCGCCATAAAGTCTGTAGAATTTTTTTCGATTTTAACAAAAAAAAGAAGTAAATAGTCGCGGGCAACCCAAAATTAAGCAAAAATGTCTCCCGCCCACTTTTGAGTTACGTCCAATGTCGCAACTTACAAAAAAATATAATAAAACATTTCCGAAAAAAACATTTTTCGGTCAGAAAAGCCGACGAAAGATTCATTTCTGACGTTTTGTTTCAATTCATCCGATACTAGGTGGGCGAAGTGCCAAAAGGAGGCCTGGGTTTCTGGGTTGCCGTGCATGGTGCGCTTGCAGAAAAGGGCATGTCGTGAGTGCAAAAACGGCAAGTCGCAAAGCGGGGTGCAAAAAGAGAAGCAAACGCGACTAGTAGCTCTTATCACTAGAAAGTTTTTTTATAAATTTGCGCCAAGTTTCATGAAAATCTGACCGTCGCAGGTGCTTCCTCTGTAAGAAACATGTACTCAGTCCTTGTTCAAAAAAATGAGCCCCATTTTTACTCATTGAAAAAAGAGATTGCCGCGGCTCCGGAGCCGGCCGTTGGCTTCGGCTCTGAGCGGCTCCGGCTCCCGAGCCCAAAGTCGGAGCCGGGCGTCTCAGCGTTCAGAAAAGTAAAAATTTGGTGATCTTGTTAAACGAATCTCTTGAAAAAATAGTGGGAAGGATGTGTTGCGTACTTACGACTTGGCTGAAAAACGTTGGGTGAGTCATCTCTGGCAATAATAACTTTTAGTTTTGGAAAAATATTTTTTAAAAAAATAGGGGTCGAAATCTTGGCCGTGGCAATCTCTGATTGAAAATCTATCTTGGGGGGTCTGGAAATAGA